TGGGGACATCTGTAACTCACACTCACACTACTGTCTGAGGGTCATCACCGCGGTCATATCATTTGGACCATTCATATTAGTTTGGCCAAGTCTAGATGCTACTCGATAAGTGGTTTCCAACCAACAAGGGTCGCCCCAGCATCGATGGCTTAAGCGATTAGTGTTTGCGACGACTTATGGGCAAAAAAGACTCTCGCCCTTCAATACTCCAAGTTTGCAGCAATCAAGTCTTACACTCTCACTCTCCATTTGATCTATCACTTCTATCTGGACTCACAGGCAAAACAGATCAAAGACCTCATCCAGTGGTCCACCACCAACCCTCCCCTCAAGTCAACCAAGCCGCGGCTCCAGCTTCGTGATGTGGAAGTAACATCTTTAATATTATCAATTTTATTGTGTCATCAAATTGACACCTCCTTTATCAAATCCTCCTAATGATTCTCTCTGCTTCAACAACATTACATCACTCTTGCATTTGTCTTTCAGCGGCGGGAAGTTTGGGACTGAGTATGTTTTGGAGTCAAGCCAAAGCTTAGGTACACATACTACGCCCCAGTCCTTTGAGAGTTCGTTGTCCTCAGTCTTGTCATATCTAATAATATACCCAGATGTATACCTGATGTTGGTGTCTTTCTGAATTGAGACACGGTCAACTATAACAACGTTGACGCCAGCGTGATGCTCTTGGTATCTGTCTCTCAAGAATGTGACTAGCTTGTGGTCCGTCGCCTCATATTGGAGCAACTCCACTGCTCCATCGTCGTTCTTGTCACATTTCTTGACCATCTTTGCTTGGCGATCCTCCAAGAGAGCCAAGTGACGAATTGATCGTTGGTCATCTATGTCAATATGACGGCTCAACGTATTGGTGTCCAGAGAATGAAGAACAAATTGAGGCTTGCCCATGACCACACCATCCTTTGTAGATGTCTTTGTTGGTAATTGAGTGCCAAATTGAACAGGATTGAAATTCCCATGATTGATGTGGGCTGGATCGACATGGGCTGGATCGACATGGGCTGGATTGACATGATCTTGATCAATGTTGGCAGGATTGACATTCCCATGTATGATGTGGGCTTGATCGCCATGGGCCGGATCGACAAGGGCTGGATCGATATGGGCTGGATCGACATGATCATGATAGATGTTGGCAGGATCGATATTCCCATGATTGATGTGGGCTGGATCGACATGGGCTGGATCGATATGGACTGGATCGACATGGGCTGGCTCTACAAGGGCTGGATCGACAAGGGCTGGATCGACAAGGGCTGGATCGACATGATTTTGATCGATGTTGGCAGGATCGACAATCCCATGATTGTAGGGGACAGGATCGATATGATCATGATTGATGAGGACAGGATGGTAGATTTGAACTGGGTTGACTTGAGCAGTATCGATAGGAGGAGCTGCTATGACTGTAGAGTTGGCAGCTTTGTGGGCTGCTTGTGTATCCTCTATCATACTCACCCATCTAATACGAAGCTCCGCCATCAGAAAGTCATTGATTTCTGGGGATGGGTCCTTGTATATAGAAAAGGTAGGATTGACCTTCAGATAGATCTCCCTAGCTGCAGCTGCCAATTCTATAAATGAGTTCTGATAAGCTGGGATGAAGGCACTACATCTTTTTCCATTTATCCCTACACGAAGATGGAGATAAAGACCAGGTTCTACGATTATATTGGGATTCTCTGTCTATCACAAATGGAAGTAAGTATTGGTAGAAGGAATCTGACCTGTTCGAAACGAGGTAACCTGAAGTATACTTACCAAGTAAACTGCAAGTGCTGGTGGATGTCCAGTGAACCAAGTAACCTTGTGTCTCTTTAACATCTTGAAGAAATTATTCTCTGATCTTTTGTTGGTGTTGTCACCAAAAGCATATGTGATGTGCTTCCTCTCTAAGTGATCAAAGGAAGGGACAACTTCATAGAGTCTGGTCAACTTCCCTATGTCAAGATTCCTCAAAGTATTTGGATGAATTATAGTTTCTTTCATTATTTACTCTTATACTAATTATTATTATAAATACAATCAAATAAACAATCAACAAGTTATTATTATTAATCTTCGAACAAACATACAATCAATGTCCATTGGACAAACATGAAAGACTTGCTTTGCGCGCTGATGTCAACCTGTATCAAAAGAGAGAATTTGTGTGGTATTGAAGTTCGAACTTTCACCACACTTGCTCCTGTGACTCTTTTATTCGAAACTATTAAATAAATAATAAATAAATAAATAAATAAATAAATACATATTACAGCTGAAAACTCTAATTTAAGTGTTCTTTTGGATTTATTAATTATTATTTTGATTTTTTTCAATAATAATAGAGGTCTCAACGTTTTTTTATCCTTTTTCATGGTCCAACCGTCTCAATCTTTTTGTCACTGAACATAGTTACATTATATATTTATAAATATCTTTTACCTTTAAGATCTTTAGGTTCATTGTAAGTTAGTATTATAAGCTTATTTAACTTAATATTCAACTAACATTTCTTATCAGTCTATCAACCAAGAAATGGATTTAGGACTCGAAGATGATGATCAACAGATCAAGAACCTCCGTACAGGAGACTTGGTCACTTTCTATTCGGATCAGGACGAAGAGGAGGGCTTCTTGAGTAAGACAGCAGACTCTGCCGTCATACTACCCAACAAGTCAAAGGAGTGCGTATTCAAGATTCATCCAATGACACACTACACAGCGAGAAAGGCACTGAAAAAGAAGGCAAAGAGGATTGGAGGAGTAGCTGGAGCAGGTGCTAGCAGTCCTGCTATCAACGCGAGCTCTGTTGTTGGAGCTGATCAAGACCAGGAGAAGGACGCCGACTTGAAGCAACTTGAGGAGTATCAGGACATGGAGGAAGTAACCAACGAGGCAACAATGATACAACTAGAGGGACGAGATCTTGTGTACGGGCAGATCATTCAACTGTTCCACCAGAAGAGCAACCAGTTCCTATTTGCCAAGCAATACAATGCCAAGCATACAGTCGTTGGATTTCGCAGCGGTGGCAATCAGAAGTGCTATTTCAAGATAGCACCCTCACGATCCTTCAGTCGAATGGATGGCTCAAAAGTACAACACAGCGATCTTGTCCAGCTACGACACGAGAAGTCAGGACTATACTTGCGCATCACCAACTTTTGCAATGAGAAGGGCATGTTCGAGGTGATCCTCTCTGAGCAGGGTACTCTTTGGAAGATGTCACTGTCTGATGTAGAGGGCAAGGTGGGCATCAATGTGGCCAAAGCCAACGAACCATTGCGATTCTTTCACCGCGAGGGAGGATACGTCAACGCCAACGAAGAAGACTCCAACACTACATTCACATACAAGACTAAGACGCCATCATCAGTCAAGACTCTGTTTGAGATCGAACTGGACCACAGCTCAAACATTCCCACAAAGTCCATGTTCTTGTCAACCAAGAACCTATTCTCTTCTTTGGCAACATCCAACGACATCACCTTTGGCCAGCACTTTAAGATACGTCTCTTTGGCACCAAGAACTATCTATCACTTGGTAGGGGCTTCGTGAGCAACGAAGTACCTACCATTACAGTCAATGGCATGTCAGCGAGCAGCAATTCAGTGCCGGTTGCTGACTCGGCCTCTGACCCCAACTATCAAGATGACATTCCCTTGATACTAGTGCCAGAGTCTGAGAAGAACACACCGAATGCAACATTTTACTTTGTACCAAAGGAACAAACCAACACTGAGCATGTGACCTACAACTCATTCGTAAGGATACAGTCCCTGTCAAAGTATTGGCTTCATTTCATCAATGAAGAGACATTCTTTCATAATGGTGATGTAAGTAATCCTTCACAACAACTACAACAACTCAATTCATATATGTTAACACTCTTTTTTTATTCTCTAATATTATTATAGTTGGTTGGAACCAAAAAGTACTTCAAATACGATGACTTCCAAATCAAACCAATACCAAAGTCTCAAAAGGAGGACTACAAGTACATCACATCGAGGATACAGAGGATCAACAGCTACTTGGCACCAATGCAAGAGCTACGAAAGAAGATATCATTGCAAGAGTTGAGATCCACTCTCATTGATATGATCAAGTTTTGCACTCAATCAGATGTTGAAGATCCTTTAGAGCGAGAGGGAACTCCAATCAAGACACATCAATCACTGTTGGCTAGCTCCTACAACCTTTCTGTTCTGTTGGACCTGCTCAAGAAGTTCTTCAATCCCTTGGATCCGCTCACCATCAGTTACATCTATCGAATCTTCAAGCAGATATGCAAGTCCAATGTAAAGAACGGAATAGCTATCAACAAACATATCAAGACCATCGCTGGCCCACCAGAGATTCGTGAGAAGGCCATATCATTTGGACTTGGCTCAATCCTGTTGGACATCTACAAGAACAACAATATACTTCTGGAGAACTTGACCGAGGACAAGGTGATCGAGTTCATTGACGATATCCGACTCACAAAGGACCCCAGGTACTTGGAGTTGCTGAGCGAGCTCTGTGTGTGCAATGGAAAGCCCATCGTGAAGAACCAACAATACCTGTGTGACCTATTGCTTGAGAGGAACTCTGATCTCCTACTACGAACCAAGGTTGGCACCACCGTGGAGGTCGAGGTGGCACCAGGTCGATGGATGTCCATGCCAGAGTTCATGAGCAAAGGTGACGAGAAGACACAGCGCTACTTTGAACAATCACTGTCGCTCTACGCCAACATATCTCGTGGCCGCAACTACAATGGCATTCGACTCATCAATCAGTGCTGTTCATTCCAAGAGTGCTTCCTATGCCTCAAGGATGATTCACTTCCATATATGCTTCGTGGTTCATACACCAATGTTGTAATCCATGTCATTATGGATTGCTACCCACAGAAGCCGTACGCCAAGATCAACTACATTTGGAATCCACTGGTCGTCAGTGAGGCCGACTCTCATCCAAGCACAATTGGAAGGAACACACACAAATCATCGGATGGACTTGCGCCTAGCACCAACAATATGAGCTCACCTGTCGGCACTGGACACTTCTCCTCCTCCTCCTCATCTGCAGGCCCGAACGACGATGAGATATTCACCACGTTTGCTCCTGTACCTGAGACCATTCACATTGGCGACCCCTCCAACATCTCCCAGTTCCTCATGAACTATGTACTGCGTCCAGAGAACTTCACCTGGAACGCCATGTACTCATCACAGCCTGCCCTGCAACGACCACAATGGGGATTCTTCCATAAGATTCTCATTGCAGTCAACTACGCCTTTAAGTTTGGATTCTTCAAACGAAAGGAGAGAATTCTACTCAACAGACTGAGAGACATTCTCGAGTATCAATCAAATGATGCTATGCCCACTGCTTCACAGGTGGACCTTGGTCGCACCATTGGTGGTTCTCGACTACTGGAGGATGACTCCACCGTATTGGTGGCCATCAAGATCGAGATCCTCCAAATCCTACACACCATGCTGTCACTTCAAAAGAAGACAACGTTTGAGAACTTCCTTCGTGACATGTCCTCCAATGAACAAGTGCGCACCGCCACCACTTCTGGCTCCCACAGCGACAGCTCACATGAGGGTGTCAAGCTCCTAATTGTCAACAAGCTCAATGACATGCGTCCAGGCACGATGATCACTCAGAACAAGTTCATCATCACATTGTTTGATCTTTTGAAGCACGAGAACAACACACTGTCCAGTCTTGTTCTATCTATGCTTGTCAGAGTGTACCGCTACCAAGGCAACGCCCTCCTTGTGAACCCCACCAAGAAGCTGCTGATCATCTCCAATTCGCCGCAATCACAACTCTACGAGAAGTCAATGAAGAAGATGGAGGAGATGACCAAGTACTGCTCCAATCCACTATCTCTGGTGGACACTGAGGAAGTGCTCAAGATCCTGGCCTACTTTGTTCACATGTGCGAGAGTGGCGATGCAAAGGCCCAGAAGAATCAGACTATGCTCAAGGTCATGGGTATTCATCAGAGGATCATCGGTGTGCTTAAGATGGGTTGCTCCCTCGAGCGTCTCTTTGACGAGAGAGGTGAGGTGTGTCACTATCTACAAACATCCTCATCCAAGGTCAACAACACTTTGGCAACTTCCGATGGCAGCTCCTCCAATCTCGGATCACTTGTCTCTACAAGTGGTAGCTTGGGAAATGGCGAGAGTCAAAGGATACAACAACAGTCCTGCTTTGTGGCCAAGATTTTCAGGAGTTGCTATGAGTTCCTGAGAACCTTTTGCAAGAACAATGCAGACAACCAAGCAGTACTCTATGGCTACATAGAGTTCCTGATTGGACATCTCATTCGTTACGGCAACATCTTTGGCACAATCGAGACGTTGATGGAGATCTTCAAGAACAATATCAAATTGTGTGTCCAGTTTGGAGAGTCTCCCTACATGAAGCTGCTCATCGAGTTCATCATCCATCAGGACATCAAGGAGGTCGACCCATACAGCTTGAAATTCCTCAACATGATCATGAAGCCCACTGGTCTGAACGCTGTCACAGAGATCCAGATATCGATATCAAAGATCATCAAACAGTATCGAGTCATCATTGCCAATTGGCTGCTTCCCTTCTCCACTCTGAAGGAGGTGATGCGTGAGCCAAAAGGAGCGACTATCTCCAAGTTCCACAAGTCCAACAACTCCTCTGCATACAAGTTACACGCATGTCTTCAAGAAGTGTTGGTCCATTCACTACAGAACGAGCAAGACGGAGCCGAACATCTTTCCTCCACCAAGACATCCAACAACAACAACAACAACAACAACCCAAAGTTGATTCGCTCCACTGCCAAGCACATGTTGATCACATCGGAGGAGGTACTGCCAAGAGAGTTTGTCATCAACCTGGAGCTCGTCTGGCTGCTCACAGTATGTAGCTTTGGTCGCAACACACCCACCGAGATCATATGCAGTGAATTCATATCGATGTATGACTGCTTCGAGGTTCTTGTCGTCCGCACTGACGGTGCCGGTCGAGAGAACAGCAGTCTGATGATTCACGACACCAAGGAGTACCTGGATCACAATCTCCAGTTCAGATTCAAGAGTGCCTACATCAACTTCCTGCATGAGGTCTATTTCAACTCTGACACGCTCAAGGGAGACCTTTTGGCACTTCAACTGAACGAGAATCTGTGGAACCTCGTCGACCAATTCACCAATCAGCTCAAGTTCCTCTTCACGAGCTACAGCACCAACCGTTTGTCATTGGACTACTTCACCAGTATTGCGCGATACATTGTGTTGCCAATGGTAGCCATTCTGGAGAGGTTCTATTCACAGTGCTTCTACTTTGACAAGGCAACACAGAAACACTTGATGTACAGCAGTGTACTCATGGGAAACCTTCTCAAGTTCTACTCCTATGATGATGCTTTGAGCATCCCACGAAACCAAGCCAACAACAGCACCAAAAAGATCACTTTGGTAACTGATGATGACCCTGGAAGCTCAGGTGGTATCCACCCCATTTTTGTCGACCTCCGTCTCGACGAGAAGATCTCATTGTTGGTCTCACTGGTCAAGTGTCTCAAAGCTATGGACCGCTCTGCAATCGCCCCAGCCTCCACACCGGGCATCTCTGTGGCATCCGTGTCCGAGGTGATCAAGGGCTGTGAGGAGATCACGACCAGACTCGACTACCAGAACTCCAGATGGACAAGACAACGTGCAGAGACTGACGACGTCTCCGTCACCATGCTCTCTAAACAATCGTCCATCTTCCTATCCGACAAGAAGGAGCATCCTCTTGTCACTCGCGTCAAGGAGAGAGGCTATCAGCAGATGGCCATCATCGCAATGAGCAGTGCAGACGATGGCAACAGCAACAGCAGCAGCAGCATCAACAGCAACAGTGATAACTCAAACAATGGTTTTCTCGAGATCCTGGTCTTCCAACTTCGAAACTCTCTGTTTGACAACAACGAACTGAAGCTCCATTGTCTCAACATCCTCCTGTCTGCGCTCAAGAACAACTCGGGATCAAAGCGCGAGCTTCAAATCAAGTTGACCGAGATGTACTGTCACTCTGCCTGTATCGGCTTGATCGGATCCAAGTCTAACGAGCTGGCAATTGGTGCACTCAACCTTCTCCACAAACTGCTAGAAGAGCAGTACGACGAGACCAACCCACTGGCCAACAATGTTGTCAAGGAAGCCATCCATTCATTCTTCACATCGTCACCCGATATCCAGTTCTTTAAGAACCTCTACCTGATGATGGATCGCGCCAAGTCCAACCTGCGAGATACGACCCGCAACATCAGACTGGAGAGTATCAAGCACAACATATCTGGCAACCTCGTCATTGAGCACCAAAACACCACCATCGGTCTGGTTCACAAGCATGCCGACCTCGACATGAACGTGGACCCCAATCCATATGCCACAGAGTTTATGATGATGAACAACATCTTCACGGTGCTCCAACTCCTCTGTCAAGGCTCCTCCAACATGTTCAAGAGCTATATTCGATGCCAACCTGACAACTACAAATCATTCGATTTGCTCCGTGAGCTGTGTCTCTTCCTCAAGGTGCTCGAGTCCATCGTTGACATTGACTTTGAGTCGATCAAGCTTGCCACCCACTACTTCTCCTGTCTCAAGGAGATCGTCAAGCACACGCCAGAGAATCAGATAGCTGTGACCAACATCCAGATGTGCAAGCCAATCTGTAACATCCTGCGCAAGAACGTTCCACCCCGTCTAGAGGAGAAGTTCATGAACTTGAAGATCGTCATCATCGACTTTTTACTTCACGTGATTGACAGAGAGGATCCACGAGTGGTCAGCCGTATGATCGAACTGCTCGACTACAGCGTCATTGAAGAGAACACCAAGATGGTCACAGCCAAGACATCTACAACGTTTGACAATGAATCTCAGTCCATCAAGCTGGCCTCCATGTCGTTCAGACTGATCAAGATTCTGGCCGACAATGACAAGTCTCAGAACCCAACACTGGCCAAGCATCTGTTGGCCTGTGGAGAACATTGTAAATCGCGTATCGGTCGTGTGGAGATGTTCAACAACTCCAAACTAGAACGCATTTACTTCCCAATCCCAAGTTCTTGTCGTCGATTGATCCTGCAGGCCAAAGAGCAGACCAAGATCAGAAGTGATGAGAACCAACTTCAAGAAGACCTCCAGGACTTCTTCATTGCCAATGGAATCAACTGGAACAAGACGGGTGAGAAGCTCGAGTCATTCATGGAGTGGTCCGAGTACAAGCTTATTGAGATCGAGCATCACTACCAACTGAAGCTTCAACCTCTATTGTACTTTGTGGTCAAGAACTACAACAAATGGGCACTGACCAACTTTGCCTTTGCTCTGGTCATCAACGTCCTACTGATCGTCTATGCAACTTCTGGTTCCACCAACTTTGAGGATGATTTTGGGTAAGCTTTCAGGATGACGAGAGAGGATCTAGTGTCTGAAACTAACCACCCGATATCCTATATTTATAGACGTTCTGTTTATGTAGCCACAATGTTCCCTCTGTCTATCCTCCAAACAGTGTTCAGTATACTTACCAGTGTATCATTCTACATCAAGTATGGGTCAGTCATATTGTATAAAGGATGGATCAAGTATCTAAACAATGGCAACTCATTCATGCTACGAGGTAACAATGAGAGAATGGTAAGTCACATCCTAGAGAATCCAAAATCACATCACTAACTCACTCTCAATCACTCTACTACAATATATAGCATCACATCAGAGCCAAATATCCACTTCACAAGTACCTCTATATCAACTTCCTACACTTGATAACGGATGCTGAATCAGTGTACTTCTTCTTCTCGATTATATTCTCATTGCTTGGCCTTTACAACCCATTGTTCTATGCCTTCCACATTCTACAGATAACACTCAAGACCAAAGCACTTCGTATTGTGATCAGAGTAAGATACATCCAACCATCCATAACATCAATATGATCCTAACATCACTCACTACCACCACCACCACAACCGGAACATAGGCAATCAACATCAACAAAGGTACATTATTATTGATGGGATGCTTCATGATACAGTCCACCTACTTGATGTCGATCTTCTCCTATGCCTTCTTCAGTCAGTACTACTACAACTACAACACAGACACGTTCTTCTGTACGACACTGTATCAATGCTTCTTGGGCAACGTGTTCTATGGAGTGCCAACCAGTGGACAACTAGTACAATTTGTCAAGTTCCAGTTTGACAATCCCAACACCAACGCTGGCACCGGACTACTACTGGCGTGGACAGTGTTCTGTGTGATCTTCTACGTTGTGACCACGATCTTTTTGCTCAACGTCATTCTCGGTATCATTGTGGACACTTTTGGACAGATCCGTGACCAGAGATCAATCACTGAGGAGTACAAGGCCAACTACTGCTTCATTTGTTCGATTGACCGAGAGACCTTCCAGAAGAAAGGCATCGACTTTAACAAGCATGTTGAAGATGATCACAACAAGTGGTACTACCTCTACTTCTTTGCCTATCTCAAGGAAAGAATGCACAACAATCAACAGAACCAACTGAGCGACTCTGAACTGAATGCCCTGGAGAGGATCGAAAGCAATAGCTCGCTCTCCCTTTTCCCTATCGAGTCTGCAATCTCACTGCAACAGGACATGGTCAACGACAACAAGCTACAGGACATTGAGGCAAAGATCACATCATCTGTAACATCACAAATCAATCCAACACTGGCCATGCTTCTGGAAGAGGTAAAGAACCTCAGACAGCAAGTAAATGACCTATCAAACAAATAATAAAATCATCAGCCTGTATTATTATTATTATATCTGTCCATGACATTGTGTACTTTATTCTTTAACTACCAACATTGAAGTGTCAATACCGGCAGCTACAAAAATCACCTCTCTGTTTGAGATTGACTCGATCAATTTGGGTATATTCTCACCAGCAGTGTTACCATGGCCAAGCTTTCCATTGTCTCCACATCCCCAGCTGTATACCTTTCCATCGTCGGTGAGAGCCAGAGAATGAGCACCTCCAGCGGAAACCTGAACAATCTTGATATTATTCTCTTGGAAGAAGGTGATTTGCGTCGGATTATAGCGATTGATGGTGTTGTCACCCAAACCAAGTCTGCCTTCTGAGCCCCAACCACATGAATATACTCTTCCAGACTCTGATAGGAACAGTGCATGTGTAGCGCCACATGCCATACTCTTGACTCTCTCCTTGTCTGGCATCAGTACTTTGGTTGGTTTCATAACTCTGCCTGCATTGTCATCATCGCCTATTCCCAGAGTCCCTGTTTCATTGTTTCCTACGGCATAGACATTGCCTCTTGACGAGATGAAGAAGGTACAGTCATATCCACACACCACTCTAGCAATCTTGATATTCTCTAGGCCTGGTACCAGTAGAGGTAGATTGAACTCCTCGTCGGCCACCATTGTCCTGTCCATTTCGTCCAAGTTCTCTGCTGATTCACCATCTGCAGTTTGTACTCTCTTGTATTCCACTATCTTTTGTCCAATCTGACCTTCTATATTGTATCCCCATCCAAATGCATGTCCTGTCTCTATTATTATTTTCATGATGATCATTAGTTAACAAGGTACCTAAAACTAATAACTTTCCTATTAACTAACCTACTTGTTACTGCGATGGCATGGTCAAATCCAGCACCAATTGATACAATTGATTGTTGTGACAATGTCTCGATGACTCTAGGTGTATGTGACCCTCTGACACCAGCACCCAATCCTAATTGTCCAAACTCATTTGAACCAAGTGATAACATCTTTCCTTGCTCTGTAGTTTGTGTCTTTGTCGTTAGGGTATAGCCCAGTCACTACTATCACATTCTACTTACTGGTAAGAATGACTGTGAACGACCTGCCCATGCCAACCTTATCAATGTCCACCATCTTTAGCATGTCAGATTCAGTTGGGAATCTAAAGACCTGGTTGGCAGGCAGACCCATTTGACCAGCGCTATTTGTTCCCCACATGAACAAATGGTTGTCATCGGTGAGAATGAAGCTCGTTTGCCAAGTAGAACCACCGTCAATCACTCGTAGTCTGTGAGGCAAATGTGTGATTCTGGTTGGTACCACTCTGTCTGTCTCACCAATCATACCCAGCTTTGATGAGTCGCATGCTCCAAACATCCATACTGAATGTCTTGTCTTGTCTGTCGTTACAGTAGTATTGCTACTGCTACTACTACTACTACAATATGCCCTCTTGTTTTGTGTTGACAACAACAATGTCGTGTTGTTGAACAAATTGATTGGTGTCTGTAGTCGTAAAGGGTATATCCCTCTTCGCAGATGTATTGCAATCGACATCATCGTATTGAGTATGTATCTATCTCTTTGTATGTGTGTGTGTGTGTGTGTGTGATGTGGTGAATGTGTGTTCTCAAGATTGTTCGTGGTGAATCGAAACAACAACTACTTAAGTAGAGAACCAATTTATTACTTTATTTCATATATCTACACAAATAATTGGAGCACAAATATATATATATATATATATAAATACACATAAATAATATATATAAATACAAAATTACATCATTAACAACCTAATTGTATACAATAGCAATAGCAACAGTAGCAGACATCATCAGCAATGATGGACAGGGGACAAATAGAAAACTATACACTACAATCACGATTGGGCTCTGGTGCATTTGCTCAGGTTTTCAAGGCAATTCACAAGACCAGTGGAAATGTAGTGGCCATCAAGATGATTGACGTCTATCGACTTACAGAGAGAAACTCAAAGCTGAAGGAGAACCTAAACTATGAAATCAGGATCCTAAAGTCTGTCAATCATCCCAATATTGTCACCCTCTACGATGTCTTGGATGTAAGTTTATGGCTATTGTCAACAGGACACATACATTCTCTCTTACTAACTAACTACATTCACTACTAACAACAGTCTCCCCCTCCTTCAGATTCATACATTTACATGATTATGGAATGTTGCGAAGGTGGTGACTTCTCCAAGTATATTAGGAAGCACAAGAAGTTGTCAGAGGACAGAGCACTGTATTTTATGCGTCAACTGGCGAATGGACTGCGATTCCTTCGAATGAATGATATCATCCACAGAGACTTGAAACCCCAGAACCTCCTCCTCTCTGACTCTTCTGATACACCCATCCTCAAGATTGCCGACTTTGGCTTTGCCCGCTTCATAGATGTTCAGTCTCTTTCTGATACATTCTGTGGATCTCCACTCTACATGGTATCTATCTATCTATATGTACAATCTATCTTTTAACAAAAACCTTTACTAACTAACTATCACAATATCATCATCCAATAATCATACAAACAAACACACAGGCCCCAGAAATACTTCACAGAAAGAACTACACAGTCAAGGCTGACCTATGGTCGGTAGGAGTCATCCTCTATGAAATGTTAATTGGCGAACCACCCTACAACTGCAACACAGTGGTAGACCTATTACACCAGCTGGAAACAACACGCATCAAGCTCCCTAGCAATGTGTCAATTAGCAGGGAATGTCAAGACCTTCTATACTCACTGCTTCAAACCAATGAGGCCAACAGGATATCATGGGAGGACTTCTTTTTGCATCCATGGCTAGGTTTCTCACAGAACATACCAATTGCACTGTCACCAACCTCAGCTACAAACTACATCAACTCTGCCTCACCATTCATAGACAACAATGCTCTCTACCATCACAATAGTAGTAGCAACAGTGCCACTACTGGAATATACTCTCCATCCAAACCTGACCGTATAGTTGGACAACAACAACAACAACACAACCAATTTGTATGTTGGTCTCACTCTATTTCATTATCAATTTGATTGCTAACTCTACTAACATATATCTATATTATTAGAATATTAATGATGGACAACAACAACCAAAGAAGAATACTACATCATCATCATCAATCGACTTTGAAAAGGACTGTGTTATACTGGACGATGAGGAATCTATCAATACCCTCGAAAGAATTGGCAAACGAGCAGTGGCAATAGCAGAATTGGGCGACCTTAGACAGTTCGAACCTAGCGAATGCGTGCCTCTTTATCTAAAGGCGTTGCTTCTCATCAAGTCCAGATTGCAAGGCAGCACACCCAACTTCTCCTTTGGCTCACCAAACCTCTATCGATACAACGCAGTCACAGAGAAGCTGCGGGAATCATTGCGCGAATACCTGGACAAGACATTGAAACATTACGCTAGAGGTCTCGAGCCTAGTCAAACATTCTCACCCAACAAGTTCATCTACGACACTGCGTTGGAGATGGGCAGGAATGGAGGAGTGGAGGAGATGTACAAAGACTATCCAAAGTCTTTGCAATACTACACTGATGGTCTCCTACTACTTGAGTACCTATTATCGATATCAGTTGACAAGGAGGATCAAGGTGTTTTGAGCAAATGTATGTGTGATATTTATATTGTTATGTAACACTCTTAGTCATTACTAACTGGATCTTGCACTATCTTCTAGACATTAATTCGTTCAACGAGAGAATACAGTACTGTACACAATTGTCATCTAGGTGATAGGTAGATGGAGCCAATAATCAAATAAAACGACTCGTTTTGTTGGGTTCACATCACTTTATTTGCAAAAGTCATAAATTTAATACAAACATAGAATAAGGATGTTGGGTCAGATTCAAAGTACTCTGATGAGATTCACCTCTTCATCAACAACGATGAAACTGATGAGAAGTAGCACATTATATACTTCTAGCTATTCAAATACATTCTGCAGATGTCCTCCAATCAACAACAACAACAACAACACAAGAGGAAAGAGACAACCACAATCAAAAAGAATCCAATCATCATCATCATCACAAATAAGAGAGGAGGCATCTATTGTCAATCAAGTTCAGAGAGATTATCAAATTAGACGAGCTGAAGCAAAGCGAGCGAAACATATTCCCGATGGCATTGACGACAGTACAGAGGAGAAATTTCAACTACAACAACGTGATCGCAATGAGAACATCATTGGATACCAATCAGTGTTGAGTGCCTGGGAGAATCGTAATCCTGACCACTTGAAACAACTATATATCACTCGCGACCTATACAATAGAAAGATGGATAGTCTAAAGGCGTTGGTTCAGTTCTTCACACAGGAAGGCAAGTCCTATCGTTTGATCGAAGACAAAGATGAGATGAACCAGTTGGCTGGCACCATTCACCACGAGGGCATTTGCATGGTGTCAAAGACAAGACCAATGATGACGCTACACGAACTGTTTGAACAAGAGACAAGACGTGCCAATGCCAACAGCACTCCACCAAAGACACACTCAACCATTACCTCCCCGATCATCTCCAAAGAGCCCAACAGAAATCCATCGGTACTGGATCGACCGATCATTGTTGTGTTGGACAACATGGAAATGGACAATGTTGGACCAATCATCAGGTCATGTGCATCATTTGGCGTTCGCACTGTGATATCACTCAATCAGTCACTGTTGTCCAATGGCGAGAGTATCATCTCACCATCAAGATACCTAACTAGTCGAGGTGCGATGGAGTATGTGGACATTGTAGAGACACCTAGCATCACCAAGTTGGGTGACATTTTGATGGAGTTCAAAGTCTATGGATGGGAGATCATATCGATCATTGGTAGGGAACGCAATGCACCCTTGTCGATATTCAGTGACGATAGTATCAAATCGCTTGGCACCAAACCACTGATAGTGTTGCTTGGTTCCGATGGTAAAGGTATATCGTCGACCCTCTTGCGTCTCACTGACAAAGATATCCATGTCCCAAGCTATGTCATCAATGGTGGTCTCAATGCATCACAATCCATATCAATTATCCTTTCAGAGTGCTGGAGACTGCACGGCAGGAAATAAACCTCGAGGTTCGGGAACTTTTTGCGCTGATTTTTTTTTTTTTATTCATTCGTGCAGGCGACCACTTACTTAAATTATGTGTTTCAGCACAGTCTCTCTTCATTCTACAACCTTGTTACACGTAAGTACACCTACAAACACATATCCACCTTCACAACTATTACTACCATGATGAAAAAATTTTGCTACTTCTGTAACTTTATTGATGACTCATTAATCATCAAGATCTCTGATCCTATCCTATCAATTACTCCAATATATATTTATAATGCTTGTTTAATTTCTATCTCCTCTTATATTAACTTACACCTTAATCTATTCTTTAGTGATGTCCATGATCGATATGATGACCAATTTAGATGTCAATAAAGATTCTATCATTAATGATAAACGTTAAAAACAGTTTTTTGGTGGGGAAGATTGATGGTGTCTGGCTGATGCAAAGGAAAATCGGTTCAAGCCGATATTTCGAATAGAAATTTGATAGAAAAGGTGATGTCATCGAGATCTATTAAGTGGTCCACCTAGGTTATGATTATTGATCAACCAAACAGTGTGGCGGTGTAGAAGAGTTCTGGTCCTTCATCCAAACCTTTAAACAACAACAATTGTTACACAAACAATCATATAATATATATATATTCCAAAACGCACATAGATCATGAGTCCAGTGCCTTCCCAACCTTTGGTAGACTTCCAAGATGAGCAGTTGAATACAACTAGAAATGGTATGGATATTTGGATTGCCAATGTATCCTTTGAATGGTCACAGTGTCACTAACAAAATACAATACACTCGAATCATAACAACAGAGATTCTTGATTTGATTGACAAATCAAAGGTCCACTATGATAGCCAATTTATTGGAGGTGTCAAGGCTGTCATCCCAACATACGTGGACTTTGCCTCGTTGTCCAGCTACTCAAAGAGCGACAAGTCCAATGTATTGCGAGGCATCAAGAGCAATATAGCAGGCCTCATGAAGCAAGTGGCCTCTGCCTTTGATAAAATGGACGCCGTCAACAAGTCCAATGTACAGACTTATATTACAAGGATTGTGATCACCAACGTACCTGGCAAAGCCTCAACGTCCAAGAAGTCCTCCTTCTCTGCCGATGGAACTCTAGAAGTTGGTACCATATTTGAGGACGCCATCAACTGTTCCTACTATGTTGAGAAGAAGATCATCACTGCTCTCAACGAGTTCCGTCCGTCACAAGGCGCAGTTGTGCCTGATAAAGTGGCCGCTTTTGAGCCAGCTCCAACTTCAGAACCTTCCCCTGCAATTGCTGCCGCCATTTCAGCTCCACCTCCAGTCTCTGCCAGCGGTCTTGATCTTTCACAACCCACATATCCTGTTGCTGCCCAAGAGACACTCAAGCTTGAGATTCTGAGCATCCTCAAGCCAGTCCGCATTGAGTCAGTGGTGCTAGGAAAGCCAGCATTTGAGATGCCAATCTATGTTGATTGGGCAAGTATGTCCCTCAGTCCAGATGTCACGAGTGTCCTGCGTTCCGTCAAGACCAACATTCCCAACATTGTCAAGCAGATCGTGCCATCACTCACCAAGGTGGATGAGGTCAGAAAGGCAGCCGTGGGTGACTACCTTGTGTCAATGGTAGTCCAGAACGTACCTGGTAAAGCCTCAACGTCCAAGAAAGCTTGTCTTACCCACGAGGGCATGCTTATCATCACCCTGCCACTGGAGGACTCGCTCAACTGTTCCTATTACCTCGACAAGAAGATAACAACTGCACTCAATGAGTTTATTCCTCAGAGTGGATACCAACCACAGGAGAAGTTCATTTCTCCACCAGTTGCAGTAGTCGCACCAGCGGTCGTTCAAGCTGTCGCTCAGCCAGTAATCCAACAACAAAGACCACCAGTAGTTTATCAACAACAACCACCAGCAGTTGTATATCAACAACAACCAGTACAACAACCAAAGCCAGTGGCTGTCGCACCACCAGCACCAGTTCCCGTACCTATTGCTGAGCCAAAGGAGAAGGGTCGTCCAGAGATGGAGTACAAGCCAACATTCAGTGATCCAGCTCAACAATTCCTTGTCCGAGAGATTGACCAATTCCTCAACCACTTCAAGCTTGTCGATGACAAGGACGTTCCAATTGGTGCACCCATCTATCTGGATTGGGCTTCAATCATGGTCTACCCCACGGCAGTGAAGCAGAGCACAGTTCTTCGCAATGTCAACCTGACTCTCTACCGAATGTTGAGAGAGACAGTCAATGCCGTCAAGCTGTCCTGTACTGATTTCGCCATGGGAGGAACTATTCGTGCCTACCTGCGCTCAATGACCTTCCAGAACATTCAAGGTGTATCCACAACTGCAAAGAAAGTTCTCTATGAAGATGGACACCTCATCATTCAGACAGTCTTTGAGGACCTTGGAAACTGTGCCATGTACTTTGACTCCAAGGTTATACAGGCGTTCCCAGCTCGCCCATCAACACCCACTCCAAAGAAGCCAGAGCAAGCGCAACTCATCAGAGAGGAACTGGACATCCGTCTGCTTGCCCACCGTGATGTCACCGCCCAGGAGGGTGGTCACTTGTTGGTGCCACCCTGTCCAGTCACAATGGATTGGTCATTCCAGACCAACAAGGCATACGAGTCTGCAGGTATTGAGCCCAATCTCATTGGCACCAGCAATCCAATAATGACCGATCTCTTGGGTGCCCTCTCCACGTTCAATAGCAAGGAGGTGGAGATATTGAGACGCGAGATCACAAAGATTGTGTTTGTCCAAGCGGCACCTGGCAAGACAATGTTTGAGAAACGTAGCGTTGTCATGGCAGACGATGGTACTCTCAACATCATCTCTATATTCGAGGACCGTACCGAGGGTGGCAAGGGATTCCGTGATCGCTTCATCAACAGCTTCAAGGCTCGTCTCTACAAGGTACAGATCAGAGACACCATCATCCCTGCCATTGCCAAGTCAATCGACGAGTCTGTGCGCTCTCGTGTCAAGGATAACTACCTGGACAAGATTGTCGTGCCCTCCGATGCCAGCTACCAGGCCAACGTCGTCTTTAATTGGACGATCATTGAGAAGGAGTCACCAGAGAGTCAGGTCAACACATACCGTGCCGTCACTGAGAAGCTTGGAGTTGGTCACGGCTTTGCCGAGGAGCTTCGCAAAGCCATCTGTGATATATGTTCCTATGATGTTGGCAAGAGTGCATTCCTAGCAACCAATCGATTCGTCCTCACCAACATCATGAACGCCAAACAGGAGACCAACAAGTTCTCATGTGGCAACACATGGGAGTTGACCGCCACCTTCCATGATCCAGCCAACAATCGCAACACTTCGTCTTCGATGAATGTCTACTTCAAGGAGCAACTCAAGGTGGCCTTCCCCTGTGCCATCCAAGATACATTCCCACAGATCGCCTCGTTGGTTGATGAACTTGCCAGTGCCACATCAAAGAAGGTCCCAGTGGTTATGAACTACGATTCATGGAGAACGTATGCCAGGTTCACCAATGATCAGTTTGCCTACAAGTCCATCAAGTCTATCGCGGTCACCGTTCCAGGCTCTGGTCTGAGGTGTGTTACCACTCTATGTAGAGATGCTATCGTCAAGAAGGAGTACTGCACCAAGGTCAACTCAATCAACATTGAGTATGATGTGACTGATCAAGTGAAGAAACAGAGAAACAAGGATCCAAACGTCGTGGCCACTCTCGACAGTAAGACTGGATGCCTTACCTTCAAGCTAAACTTTGTCGATGGTCTGCTTGGAGAGAAGATGCCATCATGGGACTACCAGTTTGAGTTGGCATTGGGTACCCGTCCACTCAAGATTGCCCGCTCAATGGAGAACAACAAGGCAGAGTTGAGTGCAGTCTCGAGCGAGATTACCTCTCTCATTGGCAAGACTGTGCAGGTCAGCGTCAACTACAAGTCCTTCATTGATCACCGCAACTTTTTGCACGAGCTTGAGGAGCCTGTCTACACCAAGATCATTGCTTCATTTGCTCAGTGGCTAAGAGCTGGTTGGGTCAAGCACGACCAGACCGCCGAACTCACCACCTACGCCACAGTCAAGGAGTCACTGCAACGCCAGCTTACCTCCATCCAGTTCCATCTGTGCTGTGAGAACAACCAAAGAGAGGTCTACGACTTTGAACTCAAGGGCACCGAACTCAATGTCTCTATCAACCTGTCTGGTGCTATCGATGGCAAGACCATGCCATGGCGCATCACTCTGGAGGGCATATTCAAGTTGCGCAATCTCAAGATCAAGGAGGAGATTGCCAAGAGAATCGACCTATCAAAGAACAAGGCACTGATCTCCAAGATGGTTGGCAAGAATATCGAGCTGGTGATCGACTGGGCCTCGCTCGAGTCCGACTCGGCCTTCTCCACCAACGTCGATGACTACATCACCTACATGCATCGCTTTGCCGAGGAGATCCCATCTCGCTTCCCCACTCAGTATGGTTTTGGCGAGTTGGTCGAGTACCAAGAGGTGCAGCAGACCATTCAGACACAGGTGGACACAATGAAGATCGTCGCCACGTCCAGTGGTTTGGTGGCCGACTTGGTTGGACGCACATTGGAGATCCACGTTGGTGTGCGCAACATCAACAAGTTCCTCAAAGACACTGCCGATGACTTTGAGTGTTATGGTCGCGAGGTTGAGAACGCTCTCGGTCTCCGTCTGCAGATCGTTCGTGGCTACATCAAGCGTAACGAACCAAAGTTCCTCCAAGAGACTATTAGACGTCTGACCGATGCCGTGGAGAACGTGGTCCGTGTCGAGATTGACTGGGAGTCGATCATCCAACATGCTGGCTTCCTCAAGTACGTTGACTTCAAGCCAGTGTTGGCCAACATTCTCAAGTTGCCCGCACAACTCCATCCAGTGCAACAGTTGTGCCGTGAGAACCTTGCCGCCAAGAAGGCACTGTCCATCGTACCCACCTACACTTTCAGAGTGGACGGCACCAACTCTGTCAACGAATCAGAGTTCTGTGAGAACAAGTTTGGAGTGGACTGGGTGCGAGCATCCTACTTCAAGCCACCTGCAAAGGACCACATCCTGATCACCGTCAATGTCGGTCGTATGATCATGGAGCCATGTGACCTCGAGTTGGAGGACAAGATTGAGTTCCTCGTGACACCTGACCTGGCAGAGGAGCGTTACCTGAAGAAGTTGGCACGTAAGGATCGTGAGGATGACCTCGCCTATCGTCGTAAGCAATCAGCTCGTGAGGATGCCTATCATCAAGAGCAAATGAGAATGGATCAGCGAATGCTCGACTCGTCCAATCAACGTAACAGAGAGCTCTCACAGTTGAATCGCAAGCTAAGCCGTTGGTAAAAGTCATACTTTGTATAATAAACTATTAATTAATTAATTTTGTTTACCACAAAAAACTATGATCAGATTCGAGTGTTTGGTGGGTGTAGGAAGTATCCAACTCTGATCATTGGCAAAGTGAGTGGGGGACAATCAATCATTCACCTCTCGCTCTCACTCTTTCTTTCTCTTTTGTATCTTGTAAGAATTAAATCTATAAATATTTATATATTATTGTGTCAAACATATTACAAATATCTCTCACAAGGTCAATCAAAAGAGCGAGAGTTACATACATACATTACAACAAACAAACAAACAAACAAACAACTATGGTTGGTGGACTACCCAATTCCAAACTCTGGAACATAGAGTACAACGACTTGGTGTTCAAAGAAGTTATAGGCAAGGGTAACTTTGGCAATGTGTATAGAGGATCATATCTTGGTGTAGAGGTGGCCATCAAACAGATTCCATCCTTTGACGACCCAGACTATTGCAAATATACAGAGCGCGAGGTCAAGGCACTGCGATACATCAGACATCCACAGGTGGTACACTTCTTTGGTGCCTGTCACCATACAACAGGATTCTATCTGATCACAGAGTTTGTGGATGGTCCCGACGTTAGACAATTTGTCAAGTGCACCATCAAGCCACCCAGATGGACACAACGTGTATCACTAGCGTTGTCCGTGGCACAGACCTGCTTCTTCCTGCACTCCAAGAATATAATACATCGTGATCTCAAGACAAAGAACGTTCTGATGACCAGAGGCGGTGCAGCAAGTCTGCTCAATAGCACAGACCACTTCAAGACCAAGTTGTGTGACTTTGGTTTCGCACGTGTTGGTTCACAGTACTCGACAGGATGTGACAGCAGCAGCAGTGACGACGACTCTCAGTCCGACGTTGATGATGATCTCTACGACACCAATGGAAATGGCACCAAAGCATCTGGACGTCTCAGGAGGATGAGCATCTGTGGAACACCGAGCTTCATGGCACCAGAAATCCTGCTACAGAAGAAGTATGACTGGAGCGTCGATGTCTTCTCCTATGGTGTCATTCTGGCCGAGCTCATCACATTCAAGCGACCGGGCAAGGACTTTTGGGTGCGCAACTCTACCAATGGTTTCGATATCAACGTGGAGGAGCTGAAGGAGAACATCGCCATTCCAAACGATTGTCCTACTGTATTCTATGACCTTTGTATCAAGTGTTGCCAGTACGAGCCAAGCCAACGACCAAAGTTCTCAGACATCATACACATCCTGGAGGCCTTGATGCAAACTCTAGAGACAGAGAACGGCGCGACTTCCCCTCTGGTAAATGGTGGTGGCAACTTGTCCAACAGTAACAGCGGTTCACTACCAGTTGGTGCTGATCTCACAGTCAGTGACACATCCATTCCCAACATCTATCCAATCACTGTGTTCAAGGATCGCAAAAGACAGACATTGGGTACTATTGCCAACAGACTGACTAGCAACAGGAAGCAGTCCAATGCCGCCAGCACAGCAACAACAACACTTGGACAACAACATCAACAGCAAACAGAGCGAGAGGGTGTACTCAAACTACCCATCCACCAGTACTCCAATGGTTGGAAGGAGTTTGGTGTGGATGGCTTTGCCAAAGTCTGGATAGTCTATCATTCAAATATGATTAGAATCCAGTAAGTAATACTTTTTTGCTTTTGTTATACTTGTTCTTAATAACTGACTATCCCATCATCACTATAGTGATCGTAAATCTAAACATAACCTTACACAGTTGATAGAGGTGACACCTGCCAGAGTGATAAAGATATCAAAGAACTCAATGACCATTGCATTCTCTGATCCAAACATTGCCAATGGAACACCGATCATCAATGTCAAACCATACTATGAGACCTATCCACATGTGCAGTACATTGTCACCAATGAGATGAAGCGATCAGCATCAATACTCACCAACGGTCTGTGTCTGTCCTACGATGACAAGATTTTCTGGAAGGACAACAATGAGCTCGTTGTCAGACTTCAGTCGTACGCAAGACGATGGCTGCATCGAACCCGCTACAATCGCTTCAAGAGCAGTTGGAGCACACCGAGCACTCGTGCAATGTCTGCTCAGGAGCTACATGGTCAACAGAAGCAATGGATTGGTTTGGTTGACCAGCTGATCACATCGGAGCACGACTACAGACGTCAGTTGGACTACATCCTCAAGAGCTATCTGGCGCCACTGCAGTCAAAGTTCCGCATCAACAAGCCACTGCTCAACTACAAGGAGATCGCCTCTATCTTTTCCAACATCGAGACAATCTATGATCTCCACACTGTATTCATATCGACACTCAAGTTCTTCTCGACACTGGCACCATTCTACACAACAGCTGCCTCTGATGAGACCAGGAGCAACAACGCCAAGATCACCTCGTCCAACAAGGACAACACCGTCTATCAATACCAGACGATATCACAGTTCTTTATCAAGAACTTCAACCAGATGAAGAACATCTATGGCAAATACATGTACAACTTCAAGTATGCGATGAACACTCTGTCATGGTGCCGTCTGAATCCAGACTTTGCCTCTTTCACCAAGCATGCCAACGTGTCTGGTGAAGACGAGTTTGATTTGGCTCCTCTGCTCTCTCTGCCAATCAATAGGATCCAAAAGTACCAGCTGCTGTTTGAGAACCTGACCAAGTGCACTCCCCTGGATCACCCCGAGAACAAACACATTGCCGCTGCCTTCTCATTGATCAAGGAGATATCCAGCTTCCTACAGAATCAACTGGAGATGTCAGTCAACTACAGCAGCATCATGTCAATCGAAACGATGTTGCTCGATGATGGCAAGGGACGACAGTCACTCATGCAGAGTGGACGTTGGTTTGTCAAGCAGGGCGCACTGGAGGAGACTTCAAGCAAGCAAAAGTACTACATCTACTTGCTGTCGGACCTGTGTCTTATCACAAAACCATTCAAGTCCAAGAGCTCACAGGACTCTGCCAACAACCAGAAGTACTACTACCGAGAGAAGTTCTGTGTCCACCTCAAGGACCCAGAGGTGTCGATGAAGTTCAATCCAGATGTCGTGAATGGTGTGATTCTCAACATGGGCCTTCTTACAGGCAACAAGTGCTACAGATTCGTTGCAGCAAGCGAGGAGGAGGCCAACGAATGGGTTGGAGAGTTTGAGAGAACAATCTCAAACTGTAGCAAGGCATCAACTCTGACCACACCAGGAACAGAGGAACCATTGAAGTATGGTTCACAGGTGGTTGGTAGTGGACCAAACAACAACAACGACAACGTAATGGATGTTAACTCGAATGGACATCACACAGAGACGTTCAAAGAACCATTGGCCGAGAAGGAGAAAGGTTTCATCAAGAGACTTCGACAAAAGAGCGTCTCTTCTGGCTCCCCCGACAGGAGAGAATCTCTTGCGATTCCACCAACACCTTCCACACCAATTGTGTTGTCTTCATCGGCGTCCAACACACCTACACTCACTTCAGCCAACAACAGCGAGAAGAAGAAGTTCTCCACTTTTGTCATGAAGAAGTTCAAGAGATTGAGTGTCAACTTCTCAGCCGTCAACGATAAATCAAAGGGAAGAGAAGACAGCGTTGATTAGAGTCAATACTATATATAAATATTACTATTACAACAAACAACTACATTGTTTACTTTATTTGGTTGAAATGAATGCTGGGGTAGTACTACTACCAAGTGATAGAGCGTTTGTCTCTTTGTCATTGATGGCGTAGAGAGTGAAGAAAAAGTCAGAGTCAATCGTATCTGACACTACTGAGAAGGTGAGCCCGTTTACTGGGTCCAAAGGCTGGAGAACTATAAAGTTGGGGTTTGGTTGTGGTGGCGGGACTAGAGCCTTCTTTGCCGAGAGATACAATCCTTGATTCTTCATTTTAATCTTGACTTGATAGGCCTCATATCCATCGAATAGGAATCCAGTATCAATGACTCTCCACCTTGGCGCTTGTCCTCCACCTACGGGTGTCGTTGCAGAGACAAACACCTCCTCGTTGAGATCGAGTGATCCAACGACCAAGAAAAAGTTGGAAGTTGGGAATGAGAAGTTGAGATTAAGGAACTGGAACTGATTAACCTTGAGCACCTTTTGATATAGTACAGGTATGTCTTTGTCCTTGCCTACGACCTGTGCCAGCTTTGAATTGTTAAAGTTGACATTGAAAGTGAGATTGGATGCCTTTGCATAGGCCTCTCGATTGGACGTTGTAAATGACACTGATGGAAAGTCTGTTGCCCATGCCTTTGGTATAGTTGGAACAGAGGAGAGCAAGTGAAAGTTGACTTGAAAGAATGGGAAGAATTGTGATAGAATGTTCAATGAGGTCCTGATCTCAAACTTTTTCTTCTGTACCAAGGAGTTATTACTCTGGTTGACTTCGGTAGCGTCCATGGCGTACTTGACATAGATGTTATCCAAATAGATCAAAGTTGATTCTGTCAATGGATGTACTGAAGTGAAGTACATTCCACTGTAAGATGACTTTGGAACATGTATCCCAATCTAACAACACAGTAATTATGTTAGTGATCTATTAAGTATTGATTATTGTTACAACACATACCTTATTCCAACTATTCTCAACAATTGGTTTGGTTGGACTACTAAGAGAAGAGAGATTATACTTTGTAATTGGTTCAACTGTTGTTGATGGTACAAATGTTATCTCCACATCATTCCTAAAGATAGACTTATCAGGATAGATATGGAACACAAATTGAGTGTCCTGGAACAGTTGTAGATAATAATATTCCAGTTAGTAAGTAGTTATTAAAGAGTATTTTAAACTTCACTACTCCTACATACCTTCTTTGTTACAATATTCTTTCTAAATTCAATGTAGAGTCTATTCTTATCTTGCAAGTCAAACTGGATGGATGAAACGTGATCGTTGTAGACCACATTTGAAGAGTTGAGTTTGATACCATTGACATCTTGAACCAAGACACCAACACCACTGATGCAGTTGGCATACACCTTGAACTCATTCTCTGCGACATCTCTTTTCTTTAGCTTGATGTCATCGATGAAGATGCTATAGGTGGGATGCTTCTGAACGAACCACAAGCCACGGTAGCTGTTGGATGGGAAGTACTCTAGAGATAGTTGAACCTTTGTCCACTGGTTCGGTGTGAGGTATGCCGTGTGCAGTACAGAGTTGATTGGATGGAGAGCATTGATGATTGGTATTGAATGCTCCTCCTTCTTGTCGTTGATCAGTGTTAGGGTGAGGTCTTGTAGTTCATGTGTTGGATAGATATAGAATGTGAGATGGGAGTATTCACGCTTGTCAATAGTGAAGTTTGAGTCTGTCTTTGTAAAGATATAGAACTCCTTGATGAACTCTATTGAATAGTTGCCACTGTATGACTGTTTGTTACTGTTGGTAACGATACTATATAATGGTATATAGAAGTTGTTGGCATCCAATGTGTCATTATATATAGTAAAGTGTACATCATTTCCTTTGGCTGCACTAGTGTCCAGATTAGGTACTTCTAAACTGTAAACCAACAACAATGGTAACAATAAAAACAAAATAGTTAAGGAACTTATCATTGTTGTTGTATCTTATTCCTCTACTTGTAATAATATATATTTATAATGATGATAATGATTGATAGTAGTAGTTTACAGTTGTAATGATGACAATGTTATAGTATATATAACCATTTATGATGGACTCGATCAACTTATGTTTGTTCAGCCCTACACTCATATATATATATATATATGTCCATCATCACATTATTATTATTATGTGTTGATCTACAACAGAAACATATTATGTCTTGGACAGACAGAGGAATTAAGAATCATTCTATCTGTTCGCACTTCTTATTATTACTCGTCAGGACGAGTTTCAAATCATACCCGTTCCCACACACCCCAATTCCCCCTCCTTCATAAACACACTCATACAATGACATTCACGTCAACTGACAACAATGATCACACACATCTGAAGGACCAGGTCAAACCAGGGGGTGTCATATACCTGGTTTGATGTTGACACCTGGACAACCATCAGATGTCCACGCACGCTTTGGAATTTTCCAAAAGATAAATATTAATATAAATAGTTTTTTATGCGTTTAGCGGGTAGCAAAGATTGATATGGGGGTGTTTATGTGAGTGTCACAACTTACTAGTTTTGATAGGTATTGACACTATGTGGCAGAAGAACTGAGTGACTGTTTATTGAGCTCCCATTACTTATTATTAAATCTATCAATCAATCTTTATCTGTTTATCTATCTATCTATCTCTCTTTTTTATATACCTACCCCCAGTATCATTATAGCATGAACGGTGGTGGCTCAAAGGACTCCAATAGATTGGCAACACTCGAAGCTGAGAATGAGAAGCTAAAGCAAATGTTGAACAAGGTTGGCAACCTTAACCTACTGGTATGTTGTTTGGGGACATACAGACATTAGTCTCAAACACTGACACACTACACTCTACAACAAACAGGATGAGATATCCAGACTTGAACAAGCCAATAAAGAACTAAATGAAATGTTGGCCACAGAGATTGCAAAGAACAAGGCTTTGGCCAATGGTTCACCAACATCGGAGCACCCAGCAAATGGAGCCATCAGCAAGTCTGCTGTTGCACCACAAATCAGATCCGTAAGCGTTCCAAACAAGATAACAGAGATTGAGAAATCAAGTAAACGAACATATGTGGCATATGTCATTCAAATTGAACTAGAGAACAATAAGTAAGTAGTTGTTTCAACACTGTCGTGTTCCATGGATGAACACCAATCTAATAATATTAATAATAATTACTAACTATATATTTAAAATAGGACATACACAGTGACAAGAAGATACAAACAGTTTGTAATCCTAAACACAATGTTCATTAGGACGTTTGGAGAACATGGTATGCCATCACTGCCACAGAAAAAGAATGGCTTCTACTTCTCATCGGAGGATCACACCGAGAAGCGTAGGACTGGACTGCAAGATTACCTGCAGTCGGTTCTGAGCACCAGTGGACTCAACCAATCCATCCATCTGTACCAATTCCTCAAGGAAGACACTCCCATGGCCTCGGATTCACAGCATCATTGATCACGTTATTACTATTATTATTATTATTATACTAATACCAACACCAATGCCATAAAGTGTACAGATTATTTACCAAATGTATTATTTGTTTGTTTGTTGGTTGGTTGGTTGGTTGGTTGGCTGTTTGTTGATTACCTCAGTATTCCTCTGGGTGGCTGGGTTGTGGAGGATGGCATTGTAGACATTGGAGTTACTCGTGGTGTACTCCTCATGCCTCCACTGCTGCTGCTGCTGCTGCTGCTGCTGCTGGTACTGTTTGTTCTTGTGTTGTTGTTATCATCATAATCCAATCTTCTGTTATTATCTTGAAGCAATCGATTATAGTTGTCCTTTTGTGATTGAATGGCATTCTGGAACTCGAGCTTCTGTCGTCGAACATCATCATTATAGGTATTGACGGCCGATGAAAGACTCTGGTGATACTCTTGCTCCTTCTCCTTCAATAACCTTGACAGGTATTGACGATCCTTCTCCAATGTGGCCTTCAAATGGATTAACTCCTGATCCTTCTTGTTCAAAGACTGTTGCATCTCGACTTGTTGTCTCTGAAGTCTGTTTGACTTGTCTTTGATATCTTCATCGAGACCATTGATAATCTTTCCTGCCTTGGCCAATCCACGATCCTTTTTCTCTACTTCCTTCTTCTTTGACTCTAGTTGCTCGCTGAGCTGATGATTGATTGCCTTCAATGACATTAGCTCTGATTCTGAATGGTGCCTCAAATCAACCAGTTGTTTCTGAAAGTCCTCCACACCTCTCTGTATCTCCTTCTCAGACTCTTGATACTTGAGCAGCGATGGACGCATTCGCTCAAGCTCTCCCCTGAAATGCTCAGCCTCTTGATCCTTGGCCGCCATGTCTCTCTGATGGGCCAATGTTTGTTGACTCTTCTCCTCGTGCAATCTCCTCAGATCCTCCTGCAGTATGTCAACACTATATCGCAGTGTCTCAATTTCTCTCTCCAGAGCGTCCCTTGAGTATCGCTCCTGATCCAACTTCCTAATGTTCTCCATATGCACACCTTTCAGCTCTTGCAGCTCTCCTTCTCGTTGGTCCGCCCTCATCTTCTCATTCTTGTACTTGACCATCAGTTCTGCGTACTGTTCAGTCGAGCTCAGATTAAATGATGTGACCTTTGGCGCTACCGGATGTCCCATTGTGGCAGAGGTTGGTTGCGGTGGGGCCATCTTTGTTGAGCTATGGGCATTGTTGTTGCTGCGAGATGAGTCATAGGTGGAAGATGGCGAGGGAGTCTGAGGGTATGTAACTTGTTCACTAAGTTTCTCATACTTCCTGTAGAGTCCATTGACATAGTCTCTTGGGTAGAGAGCAGTGGGGCCCATCGTTGATGATGATTCAACAGTGACTGGACTTGGCATATTGTTGATGCTGTCCACTCCTCCTCCTCCTCTTGAACTGCTGATATTGTGACCCAAAGGAGAGAGAATCAGTGATTGATGGTGATATGAACTATTCCAATACACTTACAAGTTTGAGCTGTTGTTACGTTGCAACTGTTCTCTCCTCTGTTGAGATTGTTGCATTGATTCGATTACATTGTTGGCATCATCAGCAAAGTTCTCTTGATAGCCAACTGTATCCTCAAATCGAACACCTCTTGTTGTAGTGGATGATAGGTCACCTCTCCTATCGTTGTAGGTGTAGTTGTTGTTGTACAGTCTTGTTGGTGCTCCACCATTTGTAGTTGACGATGGTGTTGTAAGTGTTATCGATGGTGCCACTGATGATGGTGTGACAGGTGGCCGTGGCATGCCAGATGGTGTCGTAGTAGTTCGATAGGACCCTCCTCCTCCATTCCTGTTTGGTGCAATTGGAGTAGCAGGAAAGTTGACAGACTCATCAATCATGCTTCTAGAGTCGTAGAGATTTGTGTCATTGAAGCTATACATCAGAGATGGTTCGTTGTATTGCATTGCTGCTGGTCTCGTCGTAGTCGTGGTGTTTGTAGATGGACCTGTCACTGGTGTTCTGAATGACGTTGTATTGTTGTTTGATCTAGCTGGTGTATGTGGAGTATAACTCATCTCTATCTATATATATATATATCAATGATATTATACCTTTGTCTCTTTTCCTGAACCGATCTCTACTAGATTGATTCATCAACTTCACCACAATGATCATTGTGTTTAGGCGCCACATTCGAATCAAATGAAAACCTGGAACTTCGATAATTTAAAGTCAAAGAGATAGTTACAAGAATACAACATATGAATGGACTATGAATCAAGCCACATCACTTTAGCTTGTTGTGTTATTAGATTAGGATCCATTGATTGTAGTGTACGGATGAACATTGCAAACTGCTTGTCCAACATTGTCTTTCTGAACGTTCCGAATACATTCTCTTCACATCCATTGAAATTGACCACTGCCTCGAACGATGGCACAGAGTTGAGCAAGGCCTCGGCCGTCACCCAACCAATGGTATGCTTCTCGACACAGCGCACCCTCTGTGCAAAGTCTTTCTGTTCATTATCTTTGGCCGCCATAATAAACTCGTCTGGCTGTACATATCGTGCCACTGGTGCTATAAACATATGATACATATTGGCAGGGTTGATCAACCGACACACCACATTATTACTATACAACTGTTGATCCGATAAGATCCTCGTCATTGTCTCCATGCTCTTTTGTACTCCTTCTTTGTTGCCTCTATACTCTTTGCTCAAACAAAGTATTCCCTACAGTGTTTGTAATAAAGGTTTAGTATATTGACTCGAACTCTCTCGAACTCTCTTTCTCTCGAACTCTCTCTCTCTCACTCATTGAGATCTTACAAGAGTCTCTTCACTAAACTCTCTTGCAGCATTCTGATATCTATTCTCTTTGTACTCGCTGAAACCTCCAAAGTCGCTCAGACCTCTACGTTCCAAACCCAAGAGGAAACAGAGGGTACCATTCTTATCAAACATATAAGGCAATATGCCTGATGCTCCACATTCCTCCATGTCTATATGTATGTATATTTATATTAATATATGTGTTTAAATAAATATCTGTTTTAGTGTTGTGATAAATGAGATGATTTGCAGGATCGTCTGAGACTAATCGATTCAAATTTACTTGACCCAGGTGATTGGCTCAAAACCCTAGCACTCATTTATTGTATTGTAATAATATTAGAGGTTTCTCAAACTCTTTAGGTTCTTAAAGTTGATCCTTGAAGCATTCTTGTTGGAATAGATTCTGTTCATATGTGGTCCCTCTACATACTTGACAGAAATGTAGAACACCAGTCCCATCAATGCTGTGCAAACTATTGATAGTGGTGTGAAGTTGTTAGTGGCCCAAGGTCACATGCTTCATAATATTGATGTCTACTACTTACTGAATCCATTGAGACTTTGATAACGAATGGCGTATCCAATGCAAGAGATTGTGGTACCAACGTATTGTGGATCATTGAACAATTGGTAGACACCAGATTGAACTGGGGCATCCATCACATGTCCAAAGCTGTCGCCATTGTACATTCCTTTGATTCCAAGTGCATGAAGAGTCCACAGGTTGAGAAGGATGCCAAAGATAAAGCAGCTGTTGCCAAGCAGTGTGGCAAACTCATCTGGGAACAACTCGATCTGATACTTGTCGTTTTGAATGGCAGTATCGATAAAGTGATCACGAATCAATGCACTCAATATCAAATACACTGCATAGTAGTATATTGTGTATTTACCAATGGCCTTTTATGATGATGGTGAAGTTTTAGTGTGTGTATCGGTTAGGATCATCATTATCATGATTGACTTACCTTTGTGAATATCCTGGTGTTGTACTCAAGTTGAGCAGTGAAGTTGTAGTTGGCAACGTGCACTACAATCGACACCAATGCAATGATCAAACTCATATCCATTGTCCTTGAATTATGTAAGTTGCTAGAGAGAGATAGAGAGAGATACTATTGGAAAGACGAAAGAATAATGACTCACCCCATGGGACCTGATAATGATCCTCAAAGTGATCATTGTCTCCTTTTTTGTTTTTGTGCACAAAGATCATGATAGACAGGTTCCTTTCCTGGCTGGTGATTTGTTATCAACAGGCAGTCAATGCATTTATGTATGAATGAATGTATGTTGGTATTGATAATGACATTGGTCGTTGGATTGTGTACAAAGGATCCAGTATCCTATGCTTATGAATAGTAGCCATAGGGGTTGTAGTAGTAACCTGGTGCATTGTTGTTATACTGCTGGTCATAAGACATTTGTGGGTAGTAGTTGTAGGCGTTGGCCATCATGTTGTTGTTGTTGTTGTTGTTGTTGTGGTTGTGGTTGTTGTTCTGTGGTGGCATCTGGCCAATAGGTGCACCAGATGACGATGGATTTCCACCACGTGTCGGACATTCCTATTGGAGTGTAAGGGTAGGGAAAGGTTGGGTATGGGGTATGTTAGTAATGGGCCATATGTCCAAGAAGGATGGATGGACTTACGAATGACTTGTGACCTGTCCTCCTGCAACTGAAACACATCTGACACTCCTGTTTGTTTGTTTGATTGATTGTGCAAAATGAATTGGTAACCTGTCAGTAAAGTTGCCCAACAAGACACACCGTCGTCTTCGCAACAACCCACCGCTTTTGCGAAGTGGTTACGGCAGTAGTGAACACTTACTCTAGACTTGTGGCCTCTCTCTCCACAGCTGTGACACACATCGCACTCCTTGAACTTGTGTCCTGGCTGCTTGCAACTGAAGCACACGTCGCACTCCTTGGCGAGGTGTCCCTCTCTTCCACATGCATAACATGGTGCTCCAGGTCTTGCTTGTTGTGATCTAAAGGAAAGGAGGAGAAGGAGAGATAAATATATTATGATAGAGATAATGAGGAGAGTAGTAGGGTTAGGAGGTTAGAAGAGGAACATTATATATATATATAATTATCAATATATCAGGATAGTAACCTTTCTGGATCTAGTTGGTGGAAAGGATTGGGTTAGTATTTAAAGTGAGTGAGTGTGAGAGATAGTGAGAGAGAGTGAGAGATAGAGAGAGAGGGAGAGAGAGAGGGTGTTTGAACACTTACCATATTCATTGCTGGCGTTTGGATTGGTACAGTTCCTTTGGATATGACCTGTATCACCGCACTTGTAGCACTTCATTGTTGGACAGTTGTATTGGAAATGACCCTTGCCGTTGCATGTGTGACATACCCCCATTGGGCCAGGTCTCGATGGGCAAGTAACCTKGTTGATGTCCTTCACCTATGAAGATATAATCGATTGATTGATCAAACATTAGTTATTTGTTTGTTGTAGTTTGGGTCATGAAAGTACATACCTCCGCAACGATAGCAAACAGTAGTTGGACGCGTCTTTTGTAATAATCCTGATAGTTGGTGTAGCTATTTGCGTTATAGTGTTGATTATTGTATTGTTGTGCTTGATTAGTACCGGTCTGAGCAGTTAACAACGTTCCATTTCCGCCTGCACCATAACCACTACTGCCACTGCTGCTGCCGCCACTTCCATTGACATCGCCACTGTTGTTGTTGCCTACACCCACACCGCCACCGCCAACGCTGCTCTCTTCACCATCCAGCTTTCTCTTTATAGCTACATTTGGGGTGGAGTCTAACATGTGCGACTGTTTGACGATGGGAGGAGGGACAATGTGTGATCTTCCATCGTTTCCATTCGTGCTTGTACCAGTGCTACTGCTGCTGCTGTTGTTGGAGGCAGCAGTTGATGATGATGTTGCGTGCTTGTGGTTCCTATCTCTTAGATGTTCATCGTCCTCCTCATCATGCTTCTCACTGTCGTCATCTGTGTGATGTTCAAGAGTGTACTCCTCTTTGTCTCTGTTTGAAGTGCTGCTAATATCTGTTTGATTGACAGTAGTTGTTGTTTCTGCTGTGGACGATGATGAGGTTTCAATCTGAGAGTTTGAATTATCATTATTATTATTATTATTATTGTTGTTCTCATCATGAGCGTCTACAGGAACATTTGAATCATATACATTATCGTTGTTGCTTGTGTAGATGTCATTGACAACATCACTATTATCTATTTTCTCGTCACTCATTGTAATCTTATTATTTATTGTATATGTATGTATATATGTATCTATGTAAAAATTACAATGACTACTTTTATAACATTGTTTTCAAACACAAAGACAGAGAGAGATTGCAATGGGGTGGGACAAACAAAACGTTGATTGATCTTATATAGTAATTTTATTTTATTTAATTAACTTGTTTTGTTGTTAATAAATATATTCCCAATCATTTGTGGTATTTCTATATTAATAAGATATAAATATAACATTTATAACATTTAAAAATAATGGTACTAATCAAATATGAATGAATATATATATATATTGATGGTTCTCAAATTCATAAAGCCGTTTAATGATACCCATTCAAATAATCTCGGCTCTACAAATCAGTAAGATGTTGATAATCTAGTTTGATACATACTCTTACCATTCCGACCCAACAAGATCAATGTGTCACAATTAGAAAAATGGTTTGAAGTTTCAAAAGAGAATCAAATCGAGTGGTGCAAAGACAAACACCTATCCTTATCCGGCCGTGCCTCAACTCAACTAGTTCCAACAAAGATGAAGATGTTTCGTATGAACTGGTTGTTGAGATCACTCTGAACTCTAGTTCGATGGGTTACTGTTCCAACCTCTTGACAATCATGAGATAACTATTTAAGCCAAAGGACTACAATACAGGTTCAATTCTACAAATTGTATCTTGTCATAATCAAACATACATACAGAAACTACACAATCATGTCATCAAACACACTTACTAAAAGATCAAATACATCTCCATCCTCATCATCATCCTCCTCTTCATCTCTGGTTGCAGAGCAATCTGATTCCATTTCAATCACCAACACTGAGAAGATGGCCACCACCTCTTCAAATATATCGACATCCACCCCAGCCAAGCCTGTTAGTAGGTGGTATGGCTGGTGGATACGCTTTGCTTCCACAGTGGCAATGTTTGCTACCTCGATCTCTGTGATATATGCCGGACATTTGGTGACAAGTGCTGTCATCTTCTTATCCAACGTCATTGTCTACAAAGAGATCAGTACACTGAGCCGTCTGCAAACACACAAGGTCCAATTGTCATGGTTCTCGAGGGCTCTGAACTGGTACTTCTTCCTTGGCGCCAACTACTTTATGATCGGTCGTATATTCTATGGACACTTTGCCAACTACTTCCATACCACCGACAACGAGGTCCTTTCATTCCTGTCCTACTACCATATCCTGATCAGCTTCATAATGTACATTGTTGGCTTTGTCCTGTTTGTAATGACATTGGAGGTGGGCAAGTACAAGCAACAGTTCATTCAATTGGCTTGGACACACATGACCATTATTTCCACCGCTGCCCAGACCACCCTTTGGATCTCCAACATCTTCCAAGGATTCATTTGGTTCATTCTGCCCACCAGTCTGGTCATCTTGAATGATATATTCGCCTACGTGTTTGGTTTCTTCTTTGGAAAGACCCAACTTATCGCAGTGAGTCCCAAGAAGACCTGGGAGGGATTCATCGGAGGCATGTTCACCACCCTCATCGGCTCAATACTCCTGGCCCACTACTTCTCTGGCTATAGCTGGATGATCTGTCCCAAGACCGACCTGATCCTTCATCCCACCACATGTGTGCCATCGGCCATGTTCACCCGAACTACTACACCAGTGTTCAAATGGCTTGTACCCTATATGTTTGGTATCGAGTCGTTGCCAGTGTCACCGATCATTCTTCATGCCTTTGTACTTGGTCTGTTTGCCTCGCTGGTGGCACCATATGGAGGATTCTTTGCCAGTGGTCTAAAGAGAGCATTTGGAATCAAAGACTTTGGCTCGTCAATCCCAGGTCATGGAGGAATCACAGACAGAACCGACTGTCAGTTCTTCATGGGCACCTTCACCTACATCTATCTCTACACGTTTATAAGTCGTCTGCCTGCCGTAGCCACTATTCTCCAACGAGTATCATCACTATCACCCAAGGACCAACTGGATATCTATATGAAGTTACAGTCCACTCTATTGGAAAGTGGTTTATTGGTAAACTAATCAATCATATACTAATAGTAACAAACGATGACCAAGTAATAAATAAATGTAAATGTAATCAAATAGAGAGCGTGATAGGATGGATGGTAGAGAGAGAGATAGATTGATATATAGAGAGAGAGAGATGGTGGGAATAAGTTGTTCGATAGCAATATGATCTGAATGTACATACAAAGGAATTGTATTGTTCTTTCTTTACACACTCCCTCCTTGATTAATGTTGTCTGTTGTCTTGTTGTTGTTGTCGTAAGAGAACATGTCATATCATGTCATGTTCACCACTGTTTGTAAAGTCGTCATTGTAGTCTACTGGACTAAAGGAGGAACATCCTTTAGGAAGGAATGATTCAAACATTCACGAGCGGTGGCACGCTTCTCTGGAAGGTATTGAAGCATTGGCAACAAAAAGTCCTCAAAGTCCTTGGACTCGCGATGTGTGAACTTGTACTTCTCTGTCAGGACATTGTAGAGAGGCCACTGCTCGCTGAGTTTCGAAATGTTGCGCAGCTCGCCTCGATGAGTAAAGTATTGCTTAGACTTTGATCCTTGTGTTGTGATTGGTGAAGGGAACGGTCCCAGCAGCTCGATCATCAGTGCCAGGTGATCGTCTGACTTGTCAAACGTTTTGCTCGACTTTGGCTTGAACAGATGATCGCCAGTGGCCAACTCGAATGCCATGCATGCAGCGCTCCAAATGTCCACGGGTGTCGACCATCTTGATCGCACGATTGCCTCGGGTGATCGATACTGTCTCGTCTGAATGTCGTCTGTAAAGTGTCGATCGATCCAACATGCATTTCCCAAGTCAACTATTGCACATGCAGGGTAATGCTCTCTGCTTAGCTCCTCTCCTCGTTCGCTATTGTTATGTTGATAGAATGAATGTCCATTGTTATATATAATATTATCTAATTCCATTTCGTTGTTGTTGTTATGATGTTGATCTATTGATGATGATGATGATATTGATGAAGATGCTGACGATGATACTACTGTTGTTGTTAACTTTGATGACTTGTGTCTACACTTGTACAATCCATACTGCTGTCCCCATGTAAAGTTCTCTGCTCCCATGTCCACTGTACCTCGCAGCAGTACATTCTCGGGCTTGAGATCGGTGTGAATGATTGAGCACCTGGTATGTAGATAGTCCAGTCCAACGAGCACCTGCTTCATTATCGATTTGACCAAGGTGAGCGGGATGCCTCTGTATCTGTAGTGTTTGATCAGGTCGAGCAGGTTGCTCCCCAGCACTTCAAACACCATGCACACATGATTGCCGTGCGGACCAGTGTGTACAAAGTGATCGAGCAGTGTGGCAACGGCGGGCGAGCCAGTGCTGGCCATCAGCAACTTGATCTCATCCTCTGCTGTCTCTGTGTAGGACTTTGCTGCGCGTACGATCTTGAGTGCCACATTGCGCTTGCTCTCCAAGTCTATACATAGCCAAACGGTGGAGAAGTGTCCCCATCCCAATTTGCTGACCACTTGATAACGTTGATTGTAGATATCATTCTTTCGCACAAGATGGTATCCTCCAACTTTATAATCTGCTACGCCTTCGTCATCAGATTGTGACTGAGGCAAGAAACTGTTTGTCATTGAATGGATCTACTGAACTACTAATATTACTTTGTGATAATTACTATTATGTACTATGTATTATATTATTATTATAAGTTGTAATAATTCAACATCACAATTTTGTTTGAATAATGATTGTGTGTTTACAACTTTTTTGTTTTTAAAATTAATAAAAATCACCACCAGGACAAAAACAGTTTGAACTTGAGCCATCAATTTTTTGATCACCAACAGATATTTATTGATCAAAGAGACACCCACATCACATAGGTAAAAAGTTAAGGTGATCAACCTAAAGAAATTAATTTTAATGATGTAAGCAACTTAAACGACCAATAGTGTGTGTCTATTTATAAGGTGAGGTGTGAGGTCGATCACTCTTCCATCATAGTTGTTGTTCTCACATTGAGGAGAGTTATTAAAGTTATAAAGTTAGGTAAGTGAACTAGAGTGCTCATAGGCATTAGAAACACTTTAACTATAACTGGAAATAAATGTATAAACATATATATCTTCCAACAAGCATATCATCAACATCAATCAAACAAATCTATCACATACTCTCAAAAGCCCATTAAATCATTCATCCGATCAGCTCCCACCCTCCACCTACCACCCCCTCTCCATCGATAGTACACACACACACACAATCACCTGACGTTGTCCACTTGAAGGGGTTTTAATCAATCACTCCATTCATCCTCTTACATCATCATCAACATCATAATAATCATCCACTATCATGATGCTCGCCATCACTTTTTTGTCCAGACCATACATATTATCAATAATATTATAAAGTGAAGATAGAGAGAGTAGTAGTAGTAGAATAAGTTTGAGCTAATAGTTTCCTCTTTCCAATAATATCAAGATTAATATATTACAACAACAACAACAACAACAAATAATATATAATGAATTCAATTGCAGAGGATGTTGGCATGCAGGTGAATCACCAACCACCTGTCATCTATGTTGTCAACAATTGTGATAATAATAATAATAATAATAGTGCTGCAGCTGATCAACTACAATATTGGAAGGAAGAGGCAATCAAATGGGAATCACTTTGTAAACAATACCAAAAGGAGTCTGAAGATCTTCGTTGCAAACTGGAGGATTTGAGTATAAGATATTATGAACTGTATGTCAATTCCTCCCACTTGTGTKGTCCACAATCATCATAACCATCATTTATCATCGTTGTCCCAATACGTCAATCATCCTTATCCTGCATCAATCACTAACATAGATTCTTGTGTATTAWTTTAGACTTAGTCACAGCAGTGGTAGTAGTGGTAGTTTAGGTAGCGATCATAGTAGTAGCAGTGCCAGTAATATCAACAACAACAACAATATGAACGTTGGAAACAAAACAGACAGCAGTAGTTTGGAAAAATCAACAACGACAACACCATCAAAATCCAAACTAAACAGTAGTAGCAATGGTACAACTCAACCAGTATCGATTGGAAGCGTGAAGAGTAGCACCAGTTTCTCAAGGGAATCAGGTTCATCATCTGCACTCGATAGGATATTCCTGTCAAAGTCACTGCCTGACCAACATCAGATCGTCGAGAACGAGAAGGACAAGGAGAAGAAGAAGTCAAAGAAGTGGAACAACTTGATAAAGTTCAACCATCACAGCAGCAGCAGTAACAAGAAGCATCACAACAACAACAATAATAATAGTAGTAGTAGCAATAGTAATAATGTCAGTGGAATGTTATCATTCTCATCATCACATTCATCACCAGCACTTGTAGTGTCACCATCCAAGAGTGATAGTAAGAAGGACCAACAACACCTTGCAACACCAGACACTACTAATGAGTCTGCTCCACTGTTCTCCTACAATGAGCGTGGCTTGAGCTCACACTTCCATCATCTACCGAGACTCAATGTCAAACCCATCCTATCAAAGTCAAGAGCATGTCTCAAGTTCTCTGGCCCCGACTACCCTGCTGCCAAGCAGGCCAACATTGTTGCCGGTGGTCCCAAGACACTGTATCAAGTGGAGTATGGCAACAGCATCATGGCCATGTCAACAAGCACGTATCCTTACTCGATAGGATCGTTAGGCAGAGATGGTGATCCAATTGCCGATCGATATAATTGCGTGGTGTTTGAGAATCGTCTCGTGGCATGTCTGGCCGACGGTTGCAATTGGGGCTCTCGACCAAAGGAGGCGGCACAAAAGGCAAGCGATGCCTTCATCGACTACATCCTGACAAAGAACGACACTATTCAAGATACAAAGCAGATTGGAAAGATACTCTTCGATGCTTTTGAGACAGCCCACTACGCCATCATGAAGGGCAAGGGTGACTACTCAGAGGCTGGCACCACAACCGTACTTGGAGGAGTGTTGTTGGAGATCAACAAAGGTGATGACCGATGGGCACCCGAATGGGAGTTTGTTCTTGCCTCTGTTGGAGACTGCAAGGCCTATCTGATATCGGTGGAAGGTGAAATCTGCGACATCACCGAAGGCAACCGTATCAATCTGGACCCCAAGGACTGTGGTGGCCGTCTGGGACCGCATCTGGAAGAGGGTCGTCCAGACCTCAGGAACATGAACATCTTTTGTGCCAGCGTCAACAAGGGCGACATCATTCTTATGGTTACGGATGGAGTGTATGACAACCTGGATCCACATCATCTTGGCAAGACCCAAGAGGAGATATCACACGAGGTGGACCTGTCCGAGTCTCGATGGGCCGATGTCGATCTCACCAAGACACACAAGGCCAAATCAGCATACACTACTGCCTTTTTGGAATCATTGCTCAAGAATGAGAAGACACCATCACAGATCACACACAAGCTGATAGACCACTGTTGGACCACCACTGCATCGTCCAGGGCATTTATGGAGAACAATCCAGGTAAACATCTGCCACAGGACTATGTCAAGTATCCAGGTAAAATGGATCATACAACGATCATCTGTTTCACAGTGGGTCACTTTGACATTGCCGTGGATGAACCGATCAACTCATCATCATTCCCAATGTCACTAAGTCCATCATCATATCTTACACCATCACTATTTGACACACCGACCGCCAGTTCATTTACACCACCGAGTAACATAATTCATCCTTAATACTCAATACAACACTACATCCTTAAATTATTTGTAAATAATAAACAAAGACCACGTGGTCGAGACTTCCGTCAACTATTTGCTCAGATATTTTTGGGTGTAGATAGCCTTTTTTGCAAAACATTGAATGAAGCTTCATTCTTAAACAATCACGCAAATAATAGTTAGAGATAAAACTACAGATAGATATATATATATATATAACAATGATCAAAGCTATTCTTATTATAAACAATCATGGCAAAGCAAGACTAACAAAGTTCTATGATCATGTCGTATGTTTGAAGCAATCACCCGAATCCGATCTGATCACTCTCTAACACACACACAACACCAACACTTAAAATCAACGACTCTAGAGCCAAGACAAACAACAACAGATCATTAGAGATATATTCCTATTGGTATCAAAGAGATCAGATAGAGCATGTAACTTTGTAGAGGGTGAGGATATATATGACAGCGATACAAAGATCGTCTACAAACCATTTGCAACATTGTACTTTATCTTTATCGTCGACTCCTCAGAGAGTGAGCTGTCAATCATCGATCTCATTCAATCATTCGTAGAAACTCTTGATAAATGTAGGTTATATGACTGTTAAGTATTGAATCTATGAACTCTATCAATCATACTAACTAACGACTACATAGGCTTTGAAAACGTTTGCGAACTCCACCTTATCTTCAACATTGACAAGGTTCACTATATTTTGGACGAGATGGTCATGGGTGGACTATTGTTGGAAACAAACTCACAGATCGTTGTATCAAACTATCAACAACAGAACAAGCTGGAGAAGACAGAGAATCCTCTGTTGGCCGGTTTCCAAGGTGTGATGCAAACCATCAAGCATAAATAATGAATCAACAACAATGTACTACTTTATATATTCTCCTTTACCAATGACTGGAGTACACCTTTGAACTTGGCAGTGTTAAATGGTCTCCTTGTGCACACACAGGATGTTGCGATCATCCAATACAGAGTCTATTTTAATTAATTTTGAAACCCCAGTGGCAGGGCAATCAGAATAGGGTTGGATTGATTGACTGTTCCCCATTCAACAATGATTGACCAACATGACTTTGCTAAAAGATAAACTTTGCGAACATGTAAGTCCTCCAACATCTCATCATAATTCACCATTCTCTACTTAAAATTATTACTATTCATACAGATACTAACTAATACATGGCTGATAACCAGAACCAACATGATGTCTTAACAAATGATGCAGTTGGTGACGCTGCTGCTCTTAATGCCCACCAAGTCAGGGTGTTCTGGGAGGATGGAAGACTGGCAATGGTGTTCGGAGAGGGAGCAACGTGGGAACGCATTAAGGATGGATTAAACTTGGTCCAAGGCAACCTTGTTCGCTGGAACAGCACTGTCAGAGTAATACCACCGTACCCTCCAGGAGCCTATTCTCTCGTGGATGTAAAGAAAGATGTATGTTTCGTTTTTTATTCTTTGAGAACTGTTGCACTAATAATATATTAACAGTCATGGCTTAGTTGAAATGGATTTGGAGAGTTCTGCTCAGATTCAGTCCTGCAATGACTTACATGACAGCTGCCAGAGCTCTCCTTCATTTCCAGAGAAGCATCGATTGAGCTATCCACATACGTATCTAATAATGAGAGTACAAGTACTTTAGAGATAATAGTTGATTGGAAGGAGAAGTTAATACAAATAGGTGGATATTATGGTTAAACACTCCATGTCAATTATTCATCATAGTGTGACACAATCCTAGGATTAAAATATTAATTCCAACAAACTTAAATAGTTTATGAGAGCTTTGAGAATATTGACAATACTTATGTATTCTTCTTTACCAATGACTGGAGGACACCTTTGATCTTAGTCTTGGGTGTTCTTTTCAATAATGGAAGTATCTTGTACACAATGGTCTCCACTCCAATCTCCTTGTACACACAAAGGACATTGCGATCATCCAACATTCGATAGTCAACAACTTGATCAAAGCATTGCATGTTGACCTTTACACGAGTGTGCAATCGATAGTGTTTGACAGTAGTTGACTTCAGCAGTCCTATTGAGCTCTTGATAAGACGTTGTTGAACTGCCTTTGCACCACCTTTGGGCATCACAACCCGGCTGGTCGCATAATCTGGACACGAGTAGTCAGCAGAGGCATAGATTGTCAATCGTTGTATAGTAGATGATGACACATGACGTGACATTGAATCAAAAGTGAATGATGCTTTGTTTCCAACATCTATAAATCTAAACTCAATTGACTCTATGGATGACGGTAACTGTTGAAGATAGATCAACTGTGATAGGTCTTCGATTTGTAGTGACTGTAGTTTGCTTGGAAAGACAACAGATGAATGGTACTCTTTGCCAAGTGATAGTGATGTGAGTGACTTGGGCAGTACATCCTTAGTCAATGGCTGGTTGTAGTTCGATCCAAACGATAGGATGGCCAAAGTGTTTGGTAGACATCCCAATGTGATTGGTTTGGAGTACCATCGTCCAAAGATTAACTTGGTTAGTGATCCATTATTGAGTAGATCGGGCATGAGAGTTTGATTGAAGAAGTATCCAAGTTGAAGGTCAGTGAGTGATCGAGGGAGTTTACCTTTAGTAATCTGCTGTTTGAAGTAGTCTCCGAGTTTGAGTGTCGTGATCGAATCCGGAAGATTACAAAGTGGTCGATTATATAGAGTACTAAACTCAAGCTCCTGAAGTGAACTTGGTAGTCCACCTGCCAAGATAACCTCGTTATAGTTGGTTCCAAACTTCAACTTTCTAAGTGATAATGGTAGCATTCCAGGTAATAACTGCTGTCTGAATATTGATCCAAGCTCCAGAGTGACTAGTGAGTCAGGTAGCGTGCCTGGCTCCCAACTCTTATTGAACTTATATCCAAAGGTCAGATGTGTGAGTGATCGTGGCAGTGAACCTGGCACTAGTTGTTGATCGAAGCCATATCCGAATGATAGTTTGGTTACTGAATCAGGTATCACACCAGGATGGATACATTCATCGAATCGACCAAGTATACATAATGTCTTTAGTGATTGAGGTAGAGAACCTGGTGAGAAAATATGATCATACTCCAATCCCAAGGTCAATGATGTTATTTTTGAAGGTAGACATCCAGGGTCCAACTGATGATTGAATGATTTGCCAAAGATGAGTGATAAGAGGGATGGAGGCAGCTGACCAGGTTCAATGGTGTGATCGAAACCATCTGAGAGTGTCAAGTGTAGTAAACTGTTTGGTAGTTTACCAGGTTTGATTGGCTTTGAGAACAGGTGAGTATAGGTCAATGAGGTTGCTGATGGAGGACACCCTTCATCATTGCCAGGTATCCACGTTATAGTGCTCCTGGGTGTTGATGTTATTGTATATCCTGTGGTTCCCTCTGGTTGTAGAATCCAATGAGAAATGCTTTGAAATACTCTATTGAGTCTCTTGTTTGTAAGACTTAGTGATAATATATCTAAGTATGCATCTCCAAGTCTCCAAAGGCACTTGTATATGTATTTCAACATATAATCACTTATTTGTTCCATCTTATTTCTCTCGAGTAAATTCTAGAATGATCATCATTCTGATCAAAAAACAAACAAAACTGGAATATATACAACTACAACTTTAATATAAGTTATTACTTCTGTAGCTCAACCAGTGGTGGTCCACTATGACTGGAGCTGGTTGCCATCGATGCAACATTGTTCTGCTCTGGCGACTTGACATCCATGTTGGTGGTGAATGTCGATGTCTTCCTGGACAGCATGGACACTGAGTACTTGGTTGGATCACCCAACTTGTCGAGCTTGGTCTTGACCAACTCAATGAATGGACCCGTCATCTGAGGTAGGTACTCAACCTTTGGCTTCTCTGGACCATTCTTTTCCTCTACATTCTCCTCACCATGGCCATCCATACTGGACATTGACGATGTCTGTGTTGTCGTAGTGGTAGTTGGTGTTGATGACTCGAGTGTTGGCGATGAGGTAGATGGTGAGAACAACTTCTTTGACTTCTTTTGCTCCTTCTCTTGCTTCTTCTTCTTGAGCTCACGCTCAGCAGCCTCCTTCTCCTCCTTTACACGTCTCTCAATGTTCCTCTGCTCGATCCTATACTTCTGGTACTCGATGACTTTGTCCAACTCTGGCAACACCTTATCCTTCATCGATGGTGACAGTGGTCCAAATATCTCTGATGTTACATCAACCTCTTCATCCTTGAGGAACTGCAGTAGACCAAGTAGCCAAGTGACCGATTGAGACAGCAGTCCAGTTGATATCGATCCATTGTTGGATACATTCTGTTTGGCATCAGATGACACCAAGTCGTGAAACATATCATATATCCTCTCCATCAATATGTAGTTGACATCCTCAAACAATGCCAATCTCTCCTGCATTGTGATCGCCGCACTCTTGTCCTTTCTAAACTTCTTCTTCAAGACCTTTGCATTGATATCCACTGGTCCTCCCTCCACAGCACAGTTACCTGCTTGCTGTTGTTGTTGTGACTGTTGCTGTTGCTGGTTATAATGTGGTTGTTGTTGTTGAGGTGATCCAGATGTTGGTGATGTTGACTTTGGTGAGAATAAATTGGATGGTTTGAGCCAATTGAACTTGTTGAGTAGGTTGCTGCCGCTGCCCTTGTTCTTGTCGTGGGTGACTGGTGATGGAGGCTGTGAATGTGAGGTTGGTACATGATCGACATCTGGAGTCCCGATGGTAGGTGTATTCCCAACTGACTTGGCAAGTACTGGCGTATTATAGTCATCATATTCCTCGCTGGCACCAGTTGCAGTTTGTTGGAGGTCCAGATCTTGATCATCCTCCTCTTTGAGCTCACCAAACTCAGCCACAGTGATGATCTTCTTGATGCAATGCGCTACTCGCTCAAAGTGATATCCAATGTTCGCCTTTGTGAACAGCTTGCCCAGTGGTTCGTAGAGCACTGGCAACAACTCTCTGATGATCTCGATCATCTCCTCATTGCCAAGCACCTCGATAAAGTCATCCTTCTCCTTCTTGCGCTTCTCCATCTTGACATACTCAAACAACAGTGTGAAGTGCTCCTCGGTCAGCGTGGAGATGAGGTCTGGGTCCATCGAAGGACTGGATGGCCACTGGTACTGCATGATCTGTATGGGCTCAGGCACCTCCTTGAAGGTTGCTATTGGTTTGCCGTCGAACGATTGTATCTTGTCGATGTTCATTACGAATCCCTTCATCTTGCCAATTAGCAGCTTGCGGGCATTCTTGTTGGGATGTGACTGGAGTGAGATCTCTGCATCCTTCTGTGCCTTCTTCAATATCTGCTCAGTCTTGCCACTCTCGACCAACACCGATGTGAACGTTTGAATGAGATTCCTGGCACCAAATGGCTTGGCAAGGAACAGTGCGATGAATCCCTTGAGCAATGTGATTGGATTGGCAATGGTCAACGATGCTCTAATAGCCTTGATCGGTGTGATGGTGTAGAGTTTCTTCATCTTTTGCAACTGCTTTGGATCTCTCAACTCACGCTCCATCCACAGCGACATGATCTTGATCAAGGTGAGTGTGAACTCGGTGAATTCTGACGGCAGGTCTCTAAAGTTCTTGGTCTTGAGTACGATATTGAACAGACCAGATATGCCATTCTGTGCATCGCTACCCTGTGCCTCCTTGCTCTTCTTCTCAAAGTTCATAATGATGATGTGCGTCAACTCAGTGAGACGCTTTTGATGCTTGGCGATTGACTCATCACGCTCAATATCCTTTGGATTCTTCTCTCTCTCCTCTTCGGCAATATCATTCTCCTTGTCGTCGAGTGTCTGCTGACTTGGCTTCCTGTTGTAGCGCCTCTTCTGTCTGTTCTTCATCTCCTGCTCGAGGACAGGGTCATCCATCAGCTTGAGCTTCTTGTCGTAGTCCTTCTCCTGGGGTGTCCTGAGGGCCACGTCAAAGACCTTGACCACGAACTTTCTGAATTGATCGCCAGTCTCTTGTTTGGAGGCCATCTGTGACTGGATGATCATCTTTGGCAGAGTGTGAATCAGTTGACGGAACTTAATCTTTGCCTGCTCCTTGTGTGTCAGCAGTGGTATCGATGTCAATTGATTGAACAGGAATCTCAGGAACAATGTCTGATTGAGTGCCTCTGCATCGGCAAAGTACATTGTGATCTCCTCCATCACAGAGTACTTTAGCAATTGTTGCTTAAAGAATGCCTCCTGGTCATGAGTCAACTTTATCTCCATTGGTCCATCCATTGTTATTGTTGTTATAATGATTGGTCAATTTGATTTTGGTTGATTGATTGATTGATTGATTGGTATCTAGTTGTATCGGATGGATGGATGGCTTAACTCTGTATTTATTGTTTAGTTTAATAATGTTAGTTTGTGTATATAATCCAATTGATTAATTAATAATTAATGTAAACACACAACAGGAAGCATCGCCCTGATTAACCAAGGATTGGTTTGATTGATTGATTGATTGGCAAGGGGTTGGATGGATATCACCTACACACTTGGCACACACACAACACACAATTGACAGAGTCAATATCTGATGGCTGATTACATCTCCTCTTGATACCACTTCACAACCACATCATTCATTCAAATGAAATTCATCATCTATGTAAACGCTCTGTCACACAATCAATTGATCAGATAAATCTGTGAACATTCCAACAGTGTGTGTGGGTGATGAGATTGTAACAGATAAACAACAATAACGGGTGTTGAGGTGTGAATTTAGCCTTACATGGAATGTTGTATCTCTATGTTGAATGTTATTATTATTATTATTATTGAATGATTAGATGATTATGACAAGAAGTCTAGAAGTTGTGAAGTTGTACACAACTTATTAAACAAACACACTACACTTATTATTATCAATTTACTTGTTTGATAAGTCTTGACTGACCAGGATCATCTACCGATGGGCCAACAACCAATGATAGGACCTCACCCCCACTGATGGCAGTTATTATCCTGTCGGTGACCAAAATTGGTCTGGAAACCCACCAACCACCTTACAACAAACATCCTTTGGGGGCTAAAACTCTGATAACGATAGAGAGAGAGATTCCCATTTGTTATTATTATTATTGAGTCGACTATTAGTTGAATGATCATTCCCAATCACTCACTGAATCAATCAATCAATAGCTACTTACTTACTTGAACGACACAAAGTAATAGTAAAGTCAAAGTCGATGGGTAGTAGTAATGTCTATGATAGTACTTTATACAACTTTTGGTCTTCTCTTATGAGCAGGCTTTCTTGAGGACTTCTTCTTCTTAATATGTTGTTTCTTCTTTGGTACCTTCTTCTTCTTTGTAGTAGTAGTATCGTTTGTTTCCATTGATTCATTAGTATCCTCTTCATCATCCTGCTGTTGATCGACAACCACATCCTTTGCTTTGGTAAGTGCTTGCATCTCTGGTGGAACATTCAAGTCTTTTTGTTGTTGTTGTGTGTGTGTGTGTTAGTGTTTTGAACATTATCCATCTACTTCAACAACAACAATGGTGAACCAAATGATATTGTTGTTGTTGTTGATCACAGTTCGACAACATACCCATGACATTAGTATCTTGTGTGGCCAAATGTGCGTTCATTTTGTCGACGATTCTCTGTAGTCTCATGCTCTCATGAACCACCAACTTTGCTCTCATAGCAGCGACATTCTTTAATCTTCTCTTGGCTCTAACTGATCCTCCCATTCTCTATATATATATGTATTGGTTTTAGTTTAGTTTTATATATATATAATATATAAATGTGTATGTGTATGTAAGAGTTTATTATGATTGATTTCAACACACCATTTCAAGTCGAGGGTCTCATGATTCGTTCGGTTGTTTTATTTTTTAATTAAATTTAATTGAATTGTTCAACACCATTGGTCCATGATGTTATTATTTAGTAGTTAAATAATAATTCATTATTATTATTACTACAATAAAAGGTGTTATCTATTTTATTGTCCATGTCATATAATAGTATACTCATTGTCCAATTCAGGAGTTCCTATCTCATTTCTAAAGACTAGACACCCTAGGCCAACCAAACAAACAGGACAAACAAGTTTTGTTCCTCAATTCATTGTCAAACGAACGAACAATGATAAGCACTAAACATCTTGTTTCTACTACTACTAGTAATGTCCTATTAAGGCGTACTCTATTATCAACAGCAACAGTAGTATATAATCCTAGATCACTATATACAACAACATCAACAACATCATCAACAACAACTACTACTACACCAAATACCACTAAAGGCAAAGGTTTGAGACATCTGACCTTTGAAAGAGATATATACTATGACTTGCACGTCAAGCTAAATGATGAGTTGGCTGTTCAAAGGAGAACAATTGGCATTCATCAACATGATCAACCACTACAACAGTCTGAACAACATGAACAACAACAACAACAACAACAGAATCTACAACAGAATCAACAACAACAACAACAACAACAGACAGAGATAAAGGCAACAAATGATAAACAACTTCACAAAGACCGAATCAAACAACTCAAATCATTGGGCATTTCCTTTGACAACAATCTATTACCAATCTCAGTGTCAGAGAGCTTGACCAATGACCAAATCACACCTTTCGCATCGCAGAACATGCTTCTCTACTTTGGTATGATTGATCATCACTATCATCATCATCGATCGAGTGTTGATCATGTTCACTAACCTTGTATCGTACTACTTAGGTAATCTTGTATATAGTACAGTGATCTCAGAGGTTGTTAAAGAACACTTGGACACAGACATTGAGATAAAAAAGGAGTTCACTGCCATTGCCAAGAGCGCCTCTTTCTTGAGTCGAAGAGCAGATGTCATTGGTTTGGCAAAGGTAATGCGTATGGAGTTTAATGACAGGGAGTCAAGACATCAGCAGACATTCATCGGTCACTATAGATACAAGTGTCTTGGAAAGTTCATGGGTGCACTCTATCTCGAGCAAGGCTTCGACGTTGTAAACAACTTTATCCGAAGACATGTCCTACTGCCGAGCAACACACCTCTAGAGTCCTACGTACTACAAGAGCCAGAGTCTCAAGTGATTCAGAAGTTCTTCCAATACAAGATGGAACCACCCATTATAACGTATGTTTAGCGGTAACAAGTTGTCCAAGTATTGTCCTAACATGTTACCACCTTAAAAACTTCCAGTTCCAGGTTGTATTCAGCACCAGTCTATAGATCATCGATTGAGTCTGGCAATCAAAGATTGGTCGAGTCATATGGCTGCACTGAACAAGAGGCCAGATACAATGCATTCGAATCACTACAGACACATTGTTCATCGCTTACATCAATTCTCACACTGTTGATGGCTTCCAAACCAAAGATTGACAAGTCCACTAACATCAATAAGAAGAGTACACGTCGATAAACATAACAGTTCTTTACTTAAATAATGTCCAATATCGTCGACGTTTATCCAATCTCTCCTTTTGATTGACTAGATAGTTGGTGATGTGATGATGGATGGTCTCTTTGGCCAACTCGATGAAGGCCAGTAGGTTGGTGAATGGCTTTGGCGAGCTCTCCAATATATGTCTGACCACTACCATGTATCCATTCTTTATGGCCAACTCCATCTCTTTCTCACCATACTGAGGATTGTGACTGTTTAGGAAGATGTACACTGATAGTCGCTCGTGTTGCAAAGCCGTCAGACGGTGTGTCTCTGTAAAGTGCTTGGGTTGTGCAATGTACTTGATCATACCAATGTCACCATTCTTGCACAGTCTCTGGAAGGTCTTGTCCGGCACCACCAGTGAACCCAGAGATAGACGATGTTTACTCATAAACACCTGAAGGATATCAAGATGTCCATAGTAGATCAGACTGTTGGCACATGAATCAATGTTTGATGTGTTACTGTCCACGGGTATCACTCTAACAAGGTAGTTTAGGATGTCTGTCTTTCCATGCTGACTGGCCACACCCACCAGAGTGGAGTAACTTATTGACTGTTTGTTGATGGTACTGCGATACAAATAGTCAAATGTATCAAGGTGACCAGATGTAATTGCACTGATCATCACATCAGTGCTAATAATCTCATGTGATGAGTTGTCTCCATTGTTCCTTGCATATTCTAATACATATTGAGTGATTACCAAGTCCTTCTTTGCAGCAGCGATCAATGCCTTTTGATAATGATGTTGCTTATCAAATGTCTCACATATAAACTTGACAATATCAATATGACCACCTTCACATGCCTTGATCAATGTAAGTTTAGAGCATACAGCTGATTGTTTCTTTGATAGGTACTCTACAATCTCAAGGTGCCCATTCTATTGTAAATTTGAGTTAGTAAGTGAGCCAACAACTTGGTATCAAGATATAACATACCAAACATGAACTCTCCAATGCAAATGATGTGTAGCCTTCGTTCCTATTCATATCAAGGTACTTTACAACATCCAAATGTCCATTTGATCTATAAATAACATGTTGATTAATATATTAAGGTCTTTGTCCAATACCATTATTATACATACGCTGCAAAGTCTATCGCTCTATTTGATCCACCCTCTGACCTACATTGACTTAGGAACTTTACAACATTCAAATGTCCATGGTACCTATGATTGAGCAAGTATTAATATCTATCAATCAATCATACAGTCATTCAATCTAGAGGGAGGGATACTTACGCACTACCATTCAATGCTTGTTTGCTTGCACCTTCACTTCTGTTTGAATGTAGGAATTGTACAATATCCAAATGACCATATGTTGCTGCATTGTCCATGGCTTCAAAGGTTGTACCATCATAGTTTTGTGAATGTAGGAAGCTGACGAGATCAAGATCACCGACTTTACACGCGAGGTTCAGAGCATTGGACCTTAGACGACTGTTGATGAATGAGTTGATGTACTTTACAATGTAGAAATGACCTTTAGTTGCAGCTCGCTCCAGTGCATAGAAGTAGTTGGCCTGTGTGAACTCGGGATTGCCAATGGCAATATGGACTGATATGTAGTTGAGTACATGTAGATGTCCGTTGATGGCAGCATGTAGGAATGCCATGAATCCAGCTGGTTCAGTCCTATTCTCCCATAGATATTGTACAATTTCCAAATGGCCGTTGGCACATGCATTGTTTATGGCATCTAGACTACATCCTTCTGTTCGGTTCAAGTGCAGGAACTTGACCACATCCAAGTGACCATTGGCACAAGCCATATGCATTGCCAACTGAGTACATCCTTCGGTCCTATTCAGATGTAAGTACTCCAGGATGTTCAAGTGACCATACTCTGCAGCCAGATCCATGGCACCAACAGTACATCCTTCATCACGATACTCGTTGATCCATTCGACCACCTCCAAGTGTCCGTTCTTTGCAGCAAGATCCATGGCATTACTAGTACATCCCTCGGTACGATTGTCAGATAGGAATGTGACCAGTTTAAGATGACCACCTTCAGCGGCACTATCCAAACTTGACATGGTGAAGATATCATTGCATTGTGGAATGGAGAAGAATGAGTGTATGATGTCCAGTCGACCCAGTCGACACAGTTGATCAATGTGACGTGGTATCCAACCAAGTAAAGGACGTTCACATCGTAGCTTGTCCTTTATAAGTTCAATGTGATTGTTCTCTATAATCCAATCGACACTTATAATAGTATTGTATCGCTTGTGTACACGTCTACATTGACATCGATGTACAAAGTGGAACACACGATGTCTGACTACCACATTCATTATCAATCGTTTGAACAGTCTGTCAAACTCTGTTGTTGGTTGGATATCATTGTTATAGTCTAGAAGATTGAAATTGAAATGTGGTCTGTCCAATGGTGTAACTATTATCTTATCACAATAGAGTGTCTCTGTGATTGTTGATGCCATGATATGGTCAACCTGTGAATGTAACTTTGATTGTTTGATTGATTGTTTGATTGATTGATTAGAGATAGAGTAACTTTAAATAATAATCTATAACATTACAAAAGATAATACAGTATAACAACAACAACAAAAACAACATCAACCTATCCTCCTACGAGGAGTTACCACTTCATATCCACCTATTGACCAATATCCAACCAAAGAGTGTGTTGATGTGATAATTGTTTATTGGATACCTATTTACGTATCAATGATTGGGGTTATACTCGTATGGTGTTGGAAGTGGTAAGTGTGCGAGAGTGATGGTGTGTGGTGAGTGTGATCAAAGAGATCGGATCATTATTATTAGAATAACAGATAGTGATAATAGTTACCATTATTAGATAAGAAAGGTTTTAGAAAGTAATACCTAAACCAAGTAGTTCTCAGAGACTTTATATAGAGTTCTTTGGTAACAGAATACCTATCATGTAGAATAGAGTTGGGTATCGAAAATTCCAATCAATCGGATCAATCGAGAATCATTTCCCTGATCAGACGCGTCAAAGAATCCTTCTTTCGTATCCATCATTTTTGTGTAGGGCACAATCATATTTACAAATATCTATCTTTATTATTAGATATTATAATCTATACAATATATATATATTATTATTTGTTATTTCAACTAGAGAATAAAAGTAAATGTTTAATTAAATTCAATAATAAATAAATTGATGTTGACCCAAAAAAACGAACGAAAGACCTTTCTCTCTTTTCAAAACCTGATCTACCCCAAACAAACTATCAAACAATCAAACAAACATTACATATCTCTAATATATACAACTAAACAATAACAATAATGTTAAAGTTACAAGGATCTAAACAGTTTAGACAGAGAATAATATTCTCAACACTCAGTGGTCGACCAATAAAGATTGCAAACATCAGAGATGACGAGGAGAAGCCTGGTTTGGCAGACTACGAGATCTCATTCCTGAGGCTCATGGACAAGCTGACCAACGGCACAAAGATAGATATCAACTCCACTGGTACAACAGTCACATATATACCAGGTGTCATTGTCGGTGGCAAGGCAACTCACGACTGTCCACTATCACGCGCAATCGGTTACTATGTCGAAGCATTAATCTGCATCGCACCATTCGCAAAGACACCAATGGACATCAACTTTAATGGAATAACAAACAATGATATAGACATGACTGTATGTATCATCAAGAACATCATCAACTCAATCATAGTTAGTCGATATCACTCACTCAATCAATCAATCAATCAAACAACAACAGATAGACACAATTAGAACTACTACACTACCTATTGTAAGAAAGTTTGGAATAGAGGAGGGTCTGTCGATAAAGATATTGAAGAGAGGAGCACCACCTGGAGGTGGTGGATGTGTTGTGTTTAGATGTCCCATTGTACAGCAGTTGAAACCACTGCAACTGATCGATGAAGGAAAGATCAGAAGAATCAGAGGCATTGCCTACGCCACGCGTGTCTCACCTCAGATACCAAACCGTGTGCTGGACACGGCCAAGGGCGTGCTGCTCAACTTTACACCAGACATCTTTATCTCTGCCGATCATTACAAAGGAAACGAATCAGGACAGTATGTGATCATCGAGACAATCAAACAACGATCGACCACTCACTGACTTGAACGATCAATCAACTCCACTCACTTAGGTCACCTGGATTTGGATTGACATTGGTAGCAGAGACGACAACAGGTTGCTGTATATCGGCAGAGTGCATGGGCGAGCCTGGTGAGGCACCAGAGGATCTAGGTGAGAGGACTGCCAACTTTTTGCTTGAGGAGATACTCAATGGCGGATGCATCGATAGCAACAACCAGAGTCTGGCATTGTTGTTCATGGTCCTATGTCCAGAGGATATTTCCAAAGTCAGACTTGGCAAGTTGACACCTTACACGTATGTAGTTTAGTTCTCTGCTCGAGTCTGGGTGATTGATCGATTGATCACATGACTGACAACATACACACACAGAATCGACTTTATCAGAAACATCAAGGAGTTCTTTGGTGTTACATTCAAGATTGAGCCTGATGAGGAGACCAAGACCATCATCTTCACATGTCTGGGCATTGGTTTCAAGAATATGGCAAGAAGAACATTCTAAAGTGATTACATACCGGAGAATAAAGACATCTATCTTCTCCTTTGGTCATTTATTGGTAAGAGCCGCACTAGCTGGGAGAGTCTATACAATGTGAGAGGCGTGTCCACCTGTCTTTGATCTATCATTGCCAAATCAGGTTGCCAACAACGGTGTACTTGTTCTGGTAGAATTTAGCCCATTTCTCGACCAGTCCTAGTTCCTTCTCATCGTACGATGATGTGTCTGGTTGATCGAGACAGGTAGGATCCAAGTTATTTTTGCCGAGACACTTGGTGACGTCGTGACCAGCAAAGACATGATATCCTCCACCAACACCATAGAGATCACGCTTCTCTGTCACGTCAAAGATAATACCACCGACACTGACAAAGATTGGCTTGTCAGCACTGGTACCATCGTATTGTGTGATCTCTGCCAATGTATAATCTCTCTTCTCATAAGTTGGTGTAGGTATAGTTGGTGTTGCTGTTGTATCTGTCATCTTATTGTTATTGTTATTGTTATTTAATGAGTATGCAATTACGATAGTTAATACAGCCAATGCAAATAGAGTGTAATATAATATATATTGATTCTGTTGTTGTTGATACAAGAATGCTCCTATTCCTGCCGTTATACTTAGTGCTACATAAAGTAATAACATTGTTTGTTTGTTCAAGAATGAGTCTAATCAAAAAAATCGAACCCTCATGTTTGCAAGACTGATCAGAGACCAAAAGTTTCAATTGTCTCATATGCATGAATTATATCAACTTGAACACTTGCAATGTTAATATTACTTCCTATTTGGGTATTAAGAAACATTGTTTCATACCTTGACTGTATCGACATTGTTTGCTTTGTCATGTCTTGCAAGATCATCTATGTGTTGCAAAAGAGCATAGCTCCATCTTTAAAGCATAACATATATGCACTTCACTATCCAACCAATGCCACCACTCATCTAAAGAAGTTGAGATCGTTTAATAATCTAACCACGATGCACAGATGTTATAATAGACTCTATCCCGACTCTTTGCGACTCACAATTGACTCTGGTCATATTCAAATACCTTCATCAATCACAAGCCTGGATTTGCATCTTGATATCGATCTTCCAGTTGGACTCATTCCACAATCGGTGACCCAATTAACCATTGACAGTCTAAACCAACCTCTTCAAGTTGGACACATTCCACAATCTGTGACCCATTTATCATTGACAGTCTAAACCAACCACTTCAAATTGGACACATTCCGCAATGCGTATCACAACTGTCAATGCCTCTATTCAATCAACCACTTCAAGTTGGACACTTTCCAGAATCAGTAACCCATTTATCCTTGGAGCGTTTTAATCGACCTCTTCAAGTTGGACTTTTTCCACAATCAGCCATACAACTTTCATTGTCAACATCACATAAGAATCAACCTCTTCAAGTTGGGCTGATACCACCATCAGTGAAACAACTATCATTGACACGTATGAATCAACCTCTTCAAGTTGGACACATTCCACAATCAGTGGAGCAACTATCATTGACACGTATGAATCAACCTCTTCAAGTTGGACACATCCCACAATCAGTCACCCAATTAACATTGCCAAGTTTCAATCAACCACTTGATGCTGGGCACATTCCACGATCAGTGACAAATTAACCATTGACCGGTTCAACAAACCTCTACAAATTGGATATATTCCACTATCAGTGACTCATTTGTCAATGCAAGATTTCAATCAACCTCTTCAAATAGGTCACATACCTCAATCTGTTACCAATTTATCATTTCATCAGTTCAATCAACCTCTTCAATCTGGACATATTCCAATATCAGTAACTCTTCTGTCATTGTTTCAGTTCGATCAACCTCTTCAAATTGGACATATTCCACAATCAGTGATATATCTGACACTTATATTTTTCAATCAACCACTTCAAGCTGGACATATTCCACCATCAGTGACACATCTGAAACTGTCAGGGGTCAATCTACCTCTTCAATATGGGCACATTCCACAATCAGTTGTTGAACTATCTTTAAATAATTTCGATCAACCTCTTCAAGTTGGTTCCATCCCACGACTTGTAAGGCGATTGTCTTTTGGATTTAACTTTAATCAATACCTCAAAATGGAATACATTCCATCCGTCACGTCACTATCTATTCCTAACAGTCAATTCTCCCAAGATAACTTTGGACTCTTGGATCACAATTATCTCCAAGAACTCACCATCTCTCATGAGATCAGCAGACCCGGACAGCCTCCTCTCTCACCAACTCAATTCTATTTAGATGTGGACAGGACAAGTAACCCAGCCTCCAAAGGACCTTCTCATCTCATCATTCAAGTCCGTGTCAATCGTACCCGTGAAAATATGTATGAAGGTATTCCACGCTCTTTCTTGAGTATTCAGCTCAAACAATTACTCTCAAACGCTACCAATGTGACCAGCACTTCTTTGATTTCACGACAGTCTGGAGGTTACTTGACAATGAAACTGCATTATGTATACCAGTGGCCGATAGCTATGGTGATGGAGTCATGTCACTTTGGAGGATTAAGGGTAATACGCTCCAAAGACCATTACTTATATAAATATATTGGGTTGTTATAATATATATTATATCTATAACCAGTCGACTACTTGGACAACCATGAGGGCCTAAATTGTGGCAGTTGTTCCATTGCCATGTTTGTTTATTGTAGTATTACAAGTCCTTCCAAGTCGATAGCAGTGTACTGACAATGCCAGAGAACTGATGACCAGTGTCTATTCTTATAAATACATGATAATGGAATACATCTTTGATACTTTGTAGATGTGGTGGATTGATAAACACAAGGTACTCTTTGCCATATGTGCCCAGTCCCAATGTGTTCTCCAAATGGTATCTGGCCTGCTCCTCTGTCAGTGGATGAAGACACCACAGTACACAGTGACGTATGTTCTCGTCAATGTTGTAAGGAAAGTCATTCATTCTTATTATGATGCGCTGCTCCATTGGACCATCAGGTGTCACCACCCTCTTGAGAGGCGCTGCCACTGTCACACTGATTGGCTCGCCAACATCGCCCGATTCTTGAGCGGCGGCACTGGCGATGGGTGTCAGCGCTTCGATACCATCGTCGACGATGGGGAAGTCAAACACCAACGAGAGAATATAGTCTCGGGCAGTGCTGTAGTGTTGCTTGATCCAATCAGAGTGAGCCCACATCCTGCGTAGCCAATCCTCTCGACGACCAAGCTCATGCACTCTTCCCTCTGCTATAATAGTGATCAGTTCATCCCAACTCCTCTTGACGTAGCCCAATGGTTGAGAGCATTTCGTTTTAGGTTGTTGTTGTTGTTGTGAACTGTCTGTACTGGTCATTGTGCACTTTAGTTATACAAGTATATGTAATAATAATAATTGTTGTACTTTCTGTGATCACTTCATGAGTGGAATGAAACACCATCTGAGAACAGAAGTGAGTTCGTTGTGTGTGACGATTCATCAACACGGATCAATGAATCTAAGAAAGGTAATGATAAGATAAAAGGAAGACACAGAGAGAAGGTACATTTAATAACAATGTTATTTATTGTAATAAAAGTTAATTGATTGATCATTGATTGGTAGTAGAAATAATATTAACTGTAAGGAGGGAATGATTGTTTAAGTTATTAGTATGTGATTGATAAAGATTGATTGTGTTTAGATGATTGAATGTTGGGTGTTTGGTTGGTTGAAGGAAAGAGAGGAATGTGCATCAGAAGACTGTCATGAGAACGATGAGGTTACTATCACTTGAAATCAAAGTGCTGAGTTTAGAATAACGTTTGTATCATCACTGTACGATAGAGTAGAGAAAGAGGGATAGATTGAAAGAAGAGAGTGTAGTTGTTTGTATGTGTTTGGTTGTAGATTACTTACATGTTGGACAGGTTGTTGACTGATCACTGGTGCATCTGAGCGAGCCTATCAACCCTTCGCTCGTTCACTTGAGACGCCAAAACTACCCTGTTTTACTTGATTTGCCACGTGCCAAATTTAAAGCCCGGGCTTTTATTTATTTGCTGGTGTTCGTCGATTGATTGAATGATTGATTAGTTGCTGTTGTTGTTGTTGTTGCACAATAGTTGTGATAGCTGTGTTAGTTGTGCTGGAAGCTTGTCGTTGTATTGACCACTGCAGAGTTGTTGTCTTGCAAACAATCCACATGCTACTACCAGTGGCAGGATTAAAAGTGGCAAGAGGAGACGAATGGCCTTTGAAGATGATACAATGGATGGCTTGAAACTCCTGATGATCGAGTCACATGTGATTGAACACATCTCAAGATCGTTGACCTCCACATTCTTGCCCATCGCCTTCTTCTTTGTCTTGCTCGAGAGTATGGCATCATTGCTCTGTTTGCAGTACTGTGCCAGATTGTAAATGGTCTCTGAGGACAGTGACCTCTTGAGGTTCAACTGGTCCCAGTTCAATGATATGAATAGGAGTAGATTGTTGGTCTGTGCCACATTCTTTGGATACACCTGTTTGATGTACTCCACGCTGTTGCCATCCAACTTTATACAATTGATCAATGAGGACAATATCTAGTGGAGTAGTTGGTGGTTGACTATATTAATAAGTGGCGGCAAGGATGATCATATCCACATCAACATACGATTTCTCTATAGTTCTCATCGGCAATGGCAGTATTGCTGAGTAGTACGTTGAGGTAGGGTTGAGGTACTGATTTGGATGGGAACAGCGTATCAACATCAAACAATACCTGCCCAATTGTAAGGCAAGTGTCATCCAATCTAAAGTGTAGGGTGGTGTAAGTATACTTGTAAGTGATGGCCATGATGGGATCCAACTCACTCATATCCTTTTTGGATTGCCCATAGCAATTGCTCCACGCTTGATGTCATGATTGATTCGTTGATTCGTGACTTGCCACTTTGGATGTCATTGCTATGTTGTAGGACAAGAAACGTTAGTATGTATCCAAGGTGGTGGACATTGATTGGTGATTGCTTACCAATGTGCCAACACTGAAGTGGAGAATGATTGAATATAGTCATTGACTGTGGTCGGTATCTTAAGGTGTTGGTTAAGCTTCAATGGGAAGATTACACTGAACCAGACTGTGAGTATAGGAGGGGCGCGTCAGTGATTGCGGAGGATGGTCTTGTAGTTGGCTTGAATGTGAACTTACTGGAGACTGGAACCTCTGGATGAGTTGGGAATGCTTGTGATGCCAACCAAAGGTAGAGCGAGGCCACGTTTGGCTTCAAGCTGTGGATACCTGCAGCGTTGAATATAGTCTTGAAGGTTTCGACCATTGCCAAGGGCACTGCCTTGATGTGCTTGAACACTACCTGTAGGAATATTATCAAACCAACTCCACTGGTCTTCAATGCTCCCTTCTCTGTTTGCATGTGTGAGTATGTACATTCGTTAGGTTGATGTTGATGGTCAATGTAACCATGTCCATGTTACATGTCATTATTACCTTGTTTGATGATTGAAAGCAAGGTGTTGATAAGGAATGTGATGGTCTGGAGGTATTCAGATGTTGGGACATTGTCAAAGTACTTCCTCGTCTCCTTGACAAATCGTTTCTCCAAAGTGCTCGTTGGATACTCTGTGAGAGGGGAAAAGAGAGGAGTGATGTGAGTGAGTGAACACTTCTGCTTTAACCGATTGAATGAACATACCATAGTTTGCCTCTAGTATCAAGTCACCCAATGATATATCCATCTCTGTCTTGCCAAAGTGCTCCTCAAGGAACTCAGCAATGTACTTGAGTTGGATGTCACGTGATGTTGGGTACTTCTTGACGACGGCGATTATCAATTCATAATACTGACTGTATTGGAACTATACCAGGAGGTGAGAAGAGTATCAGGTCAGTCAGTGAACTCTCACCATGTACATGTTGACACGTGACACACATACAGTCTGCTTGGCATTGTCGAATGATGTTGGACCCTTCTTCTTTGTGTCAACAGCCTGCCTCTTCTTGGCCATCTCCCTTTGCTTCTGGAGAGCCTTGGCCTTCTTCTTCTCGAGATCGTTGAGATACTTGCTGGTGTAGACGTAGCCCTCCGAGGTGACAGTGGGCACATCCTTTTTCTTCCTTTGACCGTGTCTCTTTGGATCGTTTCCACCGTCGTCTCCATCCTCCAACACCTCCCAGGGATTGTTATAGCTGCTGCGTGACTTGTCCGACTTTAGACTGAAGGCGTTGGCAGAGTCTGCAAACATCTCCTTTATACGCTTTTGTTTCTCATCATGTTCCTTCTTCTCGACATCACGTCTCTCTTGAATCTCTGCAGCCTTTCTCTGTTTCCTCTGTTGTTGCTGTTGTTGTTTCACTTGTTTAGAGGGTATAGTCTCCCAATCATCATCTCCATGGCTATCCATCTTAATAAATATTATATTATATAACTGTTGTGTTATCAATACTCGAGAATCATTGTATTAATGATGAAGGAATGAATGTAGGGATAGTGAGTGATGAATTGAATTGTTGGGGTTTGTTTGATTGTTGTTGAACTTAGTTTGACTTTGTGAACTTCACTCTCAACCCAACATCAGATTGAGTAGACATTTAAATATAATATATATAATCTAACTTTATTTATAGGTATGATGAGATGGATTCGTCTGTTCCAAGATGATTCTCGATGGTCTTTACCACATCCTGGCATGCCCTCTCCACATCGGGCACACTGTCCTCCAGTAGCTCCGAAATGAATGGCAGTGTCTCGGGTAGCAGGATGATGAGTCGCTCGCCAAGACGCTTGTGCAGTGCGTGGATGACGGACAGAGCAGACAGTCTGACCGCGGCGTATGGGTTCCTGGTCTTTATCAGCACCGAGTGGTTCAGTGGCTTCCACAGCATCTCCTGGTTGATCGTCAGTGCCAGCTGGGTGATGCACGGCACCAGGTACTTCTCCATTCTGTTTCTGTACGCCTCGCTGTTGCTGCCCATCTGGTTCTCCAATTGATTTACAAGTGCTGGCATCAGCTTCTCGAAGCGCTGCTTGTCCAAGAAGTTGTCCTTGTCGAATGATAGACACTTCTGGATCGCAGAGAGCACCTGGCATATCACCTCCTCCTTGGTGGACATGGTTGCGCCAGACACGCCGCCGTTGGTCAGTGCAGCCGCCGCTGCAGATGAGGCGGATGTCGAGCTCTGGTTGGCTCTCTTTCTCTTGCCGTTGCTGTTGGTCAGTGCAATGTCATCGTCGTGTTCGTCGTGGGCGTTGTGTCCGGGCGACTTGACGATCAGTGTCTCGAGCAGGAAGATCGAGTTCTCCATAAAGTAGGCCATGTAGGGGACAAAGATGGACTTGAGGTGTTGGGCAAGCGCGTTGACAACCTTGTAGAAGAACAACAGGTTGTTGAGGTCACCAGTGGCGTCAGTGTTAGCGTCGTCCGATGTGTGACTGCTGCTCGAGTGTCCATTCATTGGCTTCTTCTTCTTGTTCTGTTGCTGTTGCTGTTGTGACTGAGCCCAGTCAGAGATCTTAAGGAAGAGTGGCTTGAACAGGTTCTCATTCAACTTCATGATCAGGGCAATGAACGAGCTGATCAGATGTTGCTCGACAAGGTCGATGTTGCGCACCTTGCTGTTGTACTTTCGTCTAAAGTCAAAGCACTGCAGGAAGAACTTGAAGATGTTCTTGTGGTAGAGTGCCACGTCCTTGGCGCCCAGGTTGGTCGAGATGTCGCCGACAAAGTCAAACAAACAGATGACACTCTGGTCATTCTCTGACACGACGGCAAACTCATAGGCAGATGCGAGAGCGGGCAGGAGCAGTCTGAACTCTACATTCTTTGTCAACAATGTCAAGATTTTCTTGACCTGTGTGTACACCTTGCCTGTGGCCTGTTTGATGGGTGGAGGTGCGCATGAGTATGTGATTGATTGGAATGATTCCAGGTGAGAGAGTGGACTTACGTTGGTGCTTGTGAGTCTTGGATGAAGGAGAGCGTTGAGCATTTGTGGAAGGTATGGTGAGAGGAACTTGGGGATCTTCTTGAGCATCATCTCCAATGAGGAGATACAGGACAGCTGAAGAAGGTTGCGAGTCTCAGACTCTTCAGATGACTTGAATGATCCTGTCAGCGTGTTGAGAAGCACGGGGAAGAACTGTGGAATGTATGGCACGGTCTTGGCTTGGAGTTCAGAGCACAGGGTGGCAATGCAAATGAGCGAGCTGGATACGACCATGTAGTTGCCGGCACCCATGGCCTTGATGATGGTGGTCATCTGCTTCAGGAACACCTTGCTGTGGTTGGTGGCAAAGTTACGCGCCAGGATCTCAAAGCTGAGAAGGGCGGTCTGCTTGTTGGTGTCGATCTCCTTGGGAGACTCGATCACTTTGGCAAACTCATCAAGCAGTGAGAGGAACTTGACGATCTGCTCGGGCGTCAGCTGCTTCCTCAGCGTGGAGATCTTCTCGTTGAAGATGACCAGAGAGCGACGGCGCACCTGGGGGTCTGGGTGGTGCAGCAGCTTGGACACTGACACGACGAAGCCGTCGACAGACAGCAGCTGGTTGTAGCGGTCCATGCAGCGGTTGACGGACGACAGCAGCTTCTTGAGGTACTTGTCCTTGCCCTTCTTGCCACTGCTCTCAGAGGTGAGGCGCTCAATGCACTCGGTGATGCTGCGCAGCATGACCAGTAGGTTGGAGAATGAGGACAGGTAGTGCTTCTCGATGAGCTCTCGGTCTGTTGAGGTGATCTTGAATGACAGGTCCTCGAGGTAGGAGGTGGACGAAAGGCGCTCGTCGATAAAGTCCAACATGTTGGCCTGGAGCAAGCGATTGTCCTTGGCAGAGTTCTTCTCCAAGAACTTGACAATCTCTGCAACGTCCTCGTCGTTTCCATTTGTGGCATCCTCATCCATAGCCTCGTCCATATCCTCAATGACGTTTCCACTGTCCACTGAGATTGTATTTACAGCTCTGGACAACGTGGCTAGTGCACAGGACATCTCCGGTGCGGGCACACCATTGCAGAAGGCAGTGATAAAGTCGTTGAAACGGTTGCTCTCGTCTTGCTTGAGCTCCTCTGGCTGTTGCTGGTTGACTCCGTCTTCCTTGGTGTCCATGGCGGCAGCGGCCAAGGTCTCCTTTTGCTTCTCCTCGTTGGCAGTCTCGCGTCTAAGGATCTCAATGCGCTTCTCCAACATAAGGGTGAGCAGTATGCCCAACTTGGAGTATGTGATCGACTGGAGCATCACTGAGAAGAGTTCGACACGGTTGTGCTTGGGGATGTCGGTGAACGAGTCAAGGAACAGCTTGAAGATTGTGGTCAGTGTGAGGTCTCCAATGGAGAGCAGCTCTGGCATGGTGTTCATGAGGAACTCCTTCAGCACGCCAAAGGTGTGGTTGTCGTCGCGAGTCACTGTGGCCTTGATCATATCGATGATGGCGCCAAAGTTGTCGATCACCTTGGTTGGTGCGATCTTGGACACCTTGGAAAGAAGCATCAGGCCAGTATTGCAGGTCTGGCCCTCCTCGCTGGCCGACACACAGGTCAGCACAGCGGGCAGGTCAACTATCTGCTCGTAGAGCTCACGGTCACGCTCGGACTTGGACAGATTGTCGCTGATTGCGCCAAGGGCAAGGAGTGTGAGCTGCTTGGTGTACTCGTTACTGTCACTCTTCTGGGCATTGAGCAGAGACAAAGTGGAGAATACAGATCCGAGAAGGAGAAGGACATCCTTGATCTTTGGAGCGTTGATCTTGATGATCTCCAGGATCGAGTTGAGACGTGGCAGCTCGGGAAGGATCTTTGAGCCATCCTTGGACTTGACGCTCAGCACAGACAGGATGCTGTTGGCATCGATAAGAACGCACTCCAGTGTATCCATGGTGATTGAGCGAATGTCGGCCACGTTGAGGTTGTCCAGCAGAGTCTCAACTATGGTGGTTTGGTCCTTGACTGTCAACATGGTCATAAGCTTGGGAACGATGTTGGGCAGGATAGTCTTTTGCAACGTGTACACAGTCTTATCATTGTCGACAACGACAGAGTTGGTGATGGAGAGTGCACGATGGAGAAGCTGAATGTGGCCCTTCTTTCTGTTGGACAGGATGGGTGCCTGGACGAGCTGATCGCCGAGCACCATCAGGACTGACACCTCATCGGACGAGATCTTGGAGGCCTCGAAGCGGCCGAGCAAATCAGTGAAGTATTTATGACAGATGTCAAAGAAGTATGGCTCGCGGATGGCAGACAGTCCACTCATGAGAGTCGAGCAGTTCTGAGGCGACTCGAGGCTCAGGGCACAGTTGATCAAGAATGATCCCACAGCTTCCTTCTCCTTGCGGCCAAATGTGTTGTTGTCGGGGTTGAGTACGACTGATCCGACAAAGGACAGGAAGAAGGTGGCGCTCAGTGTGAACTCGGAAGTGTAGTCAGAGAGCATCTTGACCAGGTTGGCATACTGTACCGGCTCCAGATTGGTGATAGGACGACGGAAGTACTTGCTGGTGGCGTGGACGTTGTCTGACTCTGTGGAGTGTTCGATGGCTTGGTGAATGGTTACAAGACACTGGCAGACAGCCTCGCGCACCTCTTGATTGTCATTCTGGAGCATCAAAAGGAATGGGGCCAACAGCTCTTGGGAACGAGCCAGCTTGACAAACAGACGCGACGACAGGAACGATTGGCAGAGTGTCAAGGAAGCAATCTTGATAAAGTCTGGCTGGCGGAGATCACACCAGAGCGATGAGAGGAACTTCAAGAGCACGACGTGGTCAGTGAAGTGCTGCTTGATAAGCTTTTGGATCAATGTCTCGACCAAAGAGGCGTTGGTGGCGGCAGACATGCTGAGCGCGGCCACAAACAAAGTCTTGAGAATGTTGAGCGCGGGCAGTTTGTCAGACTCGGTGGCGGTCAGCGCCTCCATGAGCTGTTCGGTTGAGATCGCCTGCAGACTGTTGATGATGTTGTTGATCGAGGCCACCAATGTGCCCAATGGGTATTGTGTGGAGGACAGAACATTCTCCTGCTTGTCAATGTCGGAGCACACGGCTGACAGTGACTCGTATGGAATCGATTGTGTAACGGTCGCTGCTGAGCTAGCGGCGGCTGCGGCACCTGCAGCAGTTGTGTTGTCCCTTGAGACTGTTGCAGTGCAATGGTTGATGGAAAACTGGACTATAATATTAGATAGTTTGACCTTGTCCGACGCTGTTTGAGTGATTGGCGACAGGTTAGTATGAGTGCAACAGCGAGGGAAGGACGAGGACGAGGTGGAACATACCATTTTTCAGCTTGGTGATAGCGTGGGCAGAGGCGAGGAGGATTAAAATCTTGTCGTTGGTGATCGCTTGTTCATTGGTGTTGAGGATGGTGGAGATGGCGGCAAAGGCCGCGTCGGTGGATGCGGTGATATTTGTGCCAATGACTTGCATGACACTTTCGTTCGTTTTCAGGCTGTTGTTGAGACCATGCAGCAGTACTCCTGCTCCACTGATGACCTGTTGTTGTGTTTGTTGTTGTTGTGTTGAAAGCGTTATCAGATTGTCTCTGATAAATTGACTGAATGTGAGTGTGCGCTTGGTGATCAGGAGATGTGGCAGCAACGCGAGGGTGACTCGCTCGCTCCACTCGGCCTCACTCACAGCGGTGGCTTTGATGCCGCACACAATCTTGACGATCTTCTTCTTGCACTCGACTGGCAGCAGCTCAGAGTCCAAGCACTGAGCGAGCTTGCGGATGATGGTGTCCTGTGAGACCATATCCTGGAGGAGTGGCAGACCCCAAGCCTTCTCCACGACGACCGAGTCGTTGTCGACCAACAACTCGCTGACAGAGTCGGCGAATGACTTCCAGTCCATCTTGGTTTGGGCGTTGGCAAGCTCGGCCAGCTGGTCAATGCCCTCGCGACGGGCATGCACGCTGGAAGAGACGAGACGCAGGAACAGCTCGTTGGCCTTGGACTTTGACAGGAACTTCTGAGCAAATACGTGTGATTGGAACTCGGCAAGACGATCGGCCACCTGGGTCGGACAGTTTGGATCGGTCAGCTTGGCATTGATTAGTGCTTGGACGATCGAGGGTTCAATGGCGCGGACGATGGCCGACATCAGATCGATATTGAGTCCAGCCTCGGCCTTGAGGTAGCGGCCCAGGAGGGAGGTGGCCACCATAGCCTTTTGCACGTCAGAGGTGGGCAGCTCGGTGATATAGAGCATGAGCAACTCGTACGACTCTGAATTATCCTCGTAGGTGTTAATAAGATAGTGCAGAGTCTGCTGAATGAATTGATCCAATGATCGGCTCTGTCGGTGCAAGTCCAGCAGGATGTCGTTGATGGCTGGCGTGCCCACGAGCATCTCCAGCGTCTGATCAGAGAGCGGGCGCTCAAAGTTTTGGCGTTGGAACAACACCAACAGGAATGTGAATGAAGCCATCAGCGAGCCATGGCAGTTCTTGAGCGTTGACCTAATGAGCAGCTCCAACACATCCACCGAGAACTGAACCTTTGATGCCATGTTGCCCAAAACCATGAATGCTCCGAGCTACAATGAGTGATGGTGATGGAGTGAGTATAGGCTGACCTGTGACGTGTAGCGCCAAACTGGTACTTACCTGCAAGTCAATGTTTCTGCTGCGTAGCGAGGAGTTGAGACATGGTAGGGCCACACGATTGAAATGTTCGGGGACATTCCTAACTGAACTGATCAGATCGACGAGCAGCGCAGTGAAGAATGAGGTCATTGTCTTGGAGAGTGTGGCGTGTGTCTCATACTCAATGATCGTGTTGCACAGCAACTCGACAAAGAAGTTATGTCTCTTGAGTGACTTGACAAAGAAGTCACGAGTGATTGTGACCTTGTGTCTCTTTGTCTCTGTGAGGAATCCCCATTTGCCTTCTTGACTGTTGAATGGTTGTTGTGTCGCGTTAGTTGACCATCCATGCACTCAATCAATCAATCAATCAATCATGATTCATTAACATACTCGAAACGAAGAATGGAGACCAACTTGGCAAAGGTATTTGACTGATGGTAGGGCAGGACAGACATGATGAGGGAGTCGATGTTGAACTCGTTGACACGATATCTTCTGATGAGCCACTCGAGTGCCTGTTGTGCTGGCGTCAGCAGGAAGTAACTGCTGAATAGACGCAGGAAGCTATCGATGTGCGAGTCCAACTCGATGGTCTCCTCACTGGTGATGAGCATACGGTTATGCTTGCTGGACGATGGTGCAAACAGGTTCGCCTCGAATGTCTTGAATCGTTGGTCCAACGCAATCAATTCGCGCAGACCCTCCTGTCCAATGGCGAGCACTCCATCATAATCTATTGTTGAAGCTTCTTTCTTATCAAACAGCAATGAATCACGCGTCTTGTCTGTATGGACTTGATGTGCATTCTGTTGTATACGTGACAACTGTCTCTCCAACGATGTCTTTGTCATCTTGTATCGTTGTTGTTGTTGTTGTTTATATGTTTGGTTGTTTGCGTGTGATTGGTGAGTGAGTGATGAATGGATAATGCACGTTAGAGGGTATAATTGTGTTGATGATGATCAGAGTGCAATGGTGAAGGAGTAGTGAGTTTGAATGGTGTGGCGGTGGATGATGATGAGAATGGTTGTCTGTGTGTCTCTCTCTCTCTTTCTCTCTTTCTCTTTGAAGGTGTCTCAAAGCGAGTCGTGTCTGAGATGAAGCATTCGCACATTCGATTGAAAAACCACTCAAGTCTATCAAATTTAAATTATTAAAATAAAATCAAAAAAAGAAAACGAGTCGTCGTTGTGTTGCATTCATTCGTCTCGATGTTGTTTCTCCTCCATGCAGAACTTCGCCAAATCGTCCAGACATTGACAATTACAATACTCTGAGAAGAGAGATAGAGAGATAGAGATGAGACCAAGATGTTGTTATTATTCTAGAATTGGTCAGTGTCCATTGCTGCGTTGGATTCAGTTTTCAGAGAGTTGACATAGAGACTGAACTGCCTCTTGTATCTGGCAAAGCTATGATCTTGCTTCTTGTTTGATCGCTTCGTCTTGACATTGGAAGTAGTAGTTGTGTTGTCATCTGTTGTTGCATCTGTTGATTGATCATCCTCATTGAGAATCATTGGCAGTGTTGGTACCAAATCAGCATCAAAGTTATCAATATCACTATACTCTATTGGTACACATAGTCTCTCTGTTTGATTGATTGCGTGGCCATGATTAGTATCAAGTCAATCATACATCATATTATAAAACAACTTACTTGTTCTTGGATGTATACAGAATGGTGACTTTAACAAATGGTTAAAGCCAACAGTGACGGCGGCATCTAGACGTGGCTGGGTGTAGTGCATGACAACATCAAAGATGATGTCTTCGTAGTCAATGTCATCTCTGGTGGCCAGTGACTGTTTGATTGCGTTCCACTTGTCACCATCTGAACAGTTATCATTGGCATCCAACACTCTCTGTACATCTGCACGGATATCAGCCCTCTTTCTCTTCTTTGTAAAGAGATCCGTTGGGAATTGTTCCAAGAACTTCTTCACCTGACCCTCATCGCAAAGGATCAACTGTTCATCAATCATATGTTTCTCAAAGTATGGCAGGAACAACTCCTTGTAGCATTTCCTAAGTTTGATTGATTGAATGAGTGAGTGGGCGGGGCATGAGTGGAGAGTTTGATCAACATACTGTATAGCTGGATGACCATCACCTGGTGATATGGTGAGGAGTGAGACGATTGACCTTCTCATCTCTTGTGAGAGTATCATGGCCTCTTTGTCACTGACCCAGATGTGCAGACCACGTCCACCACTGAACACGTATAGCAGCTTGGTGAAGCCAAAGCATTGGTCCAGCATCTCGGTGAGGTAGTGAGCGGCCAACGACAGCAGACCCCAGCACTTTGTACACAGGGTCTGGCCGGCGCAGCAGACACGCACGTCATCATAGTCGTTGATATCTATATCAAAGACAAGCTCTCGCTCCAATGGATGGTAGTCGTTGTAGAGGCCCTTCTTCTTGGGCTCATGATTGTACACGGCGCCAATGTCCAACTTGTCAAACACTTGCAATGTGGAAGAGCTCCTGCCTGATTGTTCCTTGCCCATGACCATGGCGGCGAGGTCCTGTGGATTTGTGTATGAGCAGTGACGTAGCACCAAGTCCTTCAATGGTCGTGACAATGACACTGAGAACTCTCTCTTTGAGAAGTATGCTGCATGAGCGTCCTGATCTGCGCCCTCATTGCAATTGACCGACAGCCAATCAAACAATAGATCCCATGGGAATTTACTCTCTGATTGTTATTATTATATTTGAGACAAGTAAATGTCAGTACTTTGATTGAATGACTGTGATTGATTGAGTGATTGAATGATTGATCACCTACCATAGTATCTTCTCAAGTTTAGTCTATCTTGTGTGTATTGATCATTTGAGTTGGTTGTTGTTCCAGCAGCAACTGGGACATCCTGTACAGGATCAAAGTCAAAGTCAAACTCATCCATCTTCTAATATCTTTATCCTTTATCTATATATATATATATCTGTATAACAATGTATCTCTTTGAAATGTGTGAAGTCTTCCACTTAATCAATCTTTGATATTTGGCGCGAGGTTTGAATTCAATCCAAAAACACACACAAGTCACCAAACCCTCGCCCTCGCCCTAACCCTTACCCTTGCCCTTACTCATTGGTGACCAAGATAAAGGTACATGGTTAGTTTATTATAACATTACAATTAGATAGAGGTATTCTATATATATATATATTTATCTATCATATCATCTACATCATCATTTAGAATTTCTTCTTCTTATAGGTTGCCCTAAAGTCGTTGATCTGCGAGATGGGATTTGGATTCTTTACAGAGATGACTGCACCTCGCTTGATACGTTTCTTCTCCATTACAACGTTGCATAGTCCTGTAAGGTCATCGGGTTTGATAGGTATACCAATTGTTACCTCGACCTTATCGACAAACTCACTGACCTGTATCTTCTCTGTATCGCCAGCTGACACTGTGACCACCTTTGTTCCAGATAGGTTCGTGTACGCTATCATTATTGAACGTCCTGTCTGATTCATCACTCTTATGTGTGACGATGTGAATGAGCTATACTCTGTGCGCTTCTCCACTGTTGGTCCAAGGTCGAATGGTGGTCCAAGTATTACAACAGGTTGCTGCACTGCGCCTGGCATAGCCACTGGCTGCTGTTGAACGATGACCGGCTGACTGACCACTGGCTGGCCAGGGGCTGGTTGATAGAAGGGTTGTGAGCCGGGATAGATCGGCTGTTGTTGTTGATGTGTTGGTGGTGGTCCATAATGTTGTGGTGGAGGGTATGGGTATGGTTGTTGCTGTTGTTGTGGATGAGGAGGGTAGGGATAGCCTGGATGTTGTGGTGGCGGAGCGTAGTAGCCTTGAGGCGGATATGATTGTTGTAGTTGTTGTGTTGGAGGTGGTGGTGCACCATATGGGTATTGCTGCTGCTGAGGGGCATATTGGAATGAACCATGTTGTTGAGGATATGGTTGTTGAGGATATTGTTGTTGTGCTGTAGTCACAGATGACGCCAAAGGTGCACTTGGTGATACACCATTGTTATTATTGTTGTTGATATGTCCAACTGTTGCTGTTTGTGTCGACTGAACCATGGTGTAGTTGTAATATATATATAAAGAAGTTAGACTAATTGTATTTATTGAGACAACAATTGAAAGAATGATGATAGAGGTGAAAGTGTGTGGCGTTCCTCACCCCAATCGTTGTTGATATGTTTCGGAACCGTGAGTCTCAAAACAACACAATTCGTTTTCGACATAAACCCCATTTTATAACCTTAATAGTAAATATCGGGCGACGAATCAAACATTGTAGTTCTGAGATTGATGACATCGGGTAACTCCAATAAAACATAATAATATTTAATTAATTACCTTTTGTTCTACTTTTTATCTTTAGTTTGTTGAGAAGTGATTGAAATGTTCCTTTGGACTTTGATGAATCTTGAGCTGGAGGAGGACGTGGAAATATCCGGAACACTTTATGTCCATCCTCACGATATTGACATAATACATTATGATTGTCAAGTGATCGGAATGTAAGTATATGAAAGATATTTGTCTGATTAAATACACTGATCTTTGTATACATTGTGTACGTGTCCACATTGGGCATCTTGAGAATCAGACTCTGCATCAATAGTCTTCGAATTTCCTGTGGTCCACCTGGTGGCACATTAACTCCATTTGCTGAACGATCCTCAAAGTCAACGAATATTGTCAGTTGTTTGATTCGAGGTGTTGTGGATGGTGCCTCAAAGGGCATGCAGGCATGTGGACCTAGATTATGTGAGGCCACGATCACTTTTTGTAAAGTAGACATTGGTGAGAGTTGTTGTAGGTAGTGCATCTGTGATGGCAGGTGACCAAGTCGAAGTATTTGTATGTTTCTAGGGAAGGCCACTGGTGATCGTAGCATCTTTCCAAACGATAGCCATGTCAAGGACTCTGGCAACACTGATGGAAGTATCGGTTGATTATAATAGTCGCCCAATGTGAGTTTGGTGAGCGAACAGGGTAGACTCAATGCCAAGAACTTCTGATTATATGTGACACCAAATGAAAGTATCGTGAGTGTAGATGGGAACATTCCAGGTGTGATTACTCCTTGGAATCCATGACCAAGATCCAGGTCGGTGAGCGAACGAGGTATGCCCTTGGGATCAGTTGGACGTGTTGTCTGATAGCCACCAGCCAGTGTGATCTTGGTGAGGGATTGAGGTAGCTCATCAAGTTCAACTTGATGATTGAATCGATTGCTCAAATGAAGTGATCGGAGTGATGTAGGTAGATTCGTCGTTGATATATGTTGGTTGAAGATTACACCAAAGCTTAGGTCAGTGATTGATTGAGGTAGCAGTCCCGACGGAATGGGTTGATCATAGCAGTTTCCAAATGTCAGTTGTATGAGATTGGGTGGCAGGACTCCAGGTTCGAGACTCTTGTTAAAGTCATCGGCAAAGTTGAGTGATGTTATCGATGTTGGAAGTAGACCTGGTTCAAATCTTTTGCGATATACTTTGAGTGTGCTAATGATCAACAATGTGTTGGGCAAGTCATCAAGTTTACTATTATTGTCCAATAGTACTGCCATTGTAGTAATTGGTGTTGTTGATTGATCACGTTCATGATTGTTGATGGAGTTGGAAGTAGATGATGTAGGGACAACAGAGTCCAACTTGCAAGCCAATATCCATAGTCTCTTATTAACAAGTCCGAAACAAGTTACATCCAAAGTATGTTCTTGTGACTTAAGATGTTTGAATATCTCTTTCAATATGTATTCAGATAGTTGTTCCATTTTTGATCAAAATTAAAAGTCATCTCATCTTGAGGACCATGGTGTGTTTTGATCACAAACACCAAGATATTTTTGAATGGGGAGTGTCAATCAATCATTCAACTCAGAAATAATCAAACATATAAATAATAATGATACAAACAGATAATGGCAATGTCTTGGATATACCAATGATATATAATAGAATTGTTGAGGCACATAGGATGGTCAGACCAATGGTCAGAGAGACACCTCTTGATGTTAGTCCTATCCTGTCAAAGATGACTGGCTGCAACAAGTTGTTGTTAAAGTGTGACTTTCTACAACATACAGGATCGTTCAAGTATAGAGGCGCAACAAATCGTATACGTCTGCTAACTGATCGACAGCGTGTGGATGGTGTCATCACTGCATCCACTGGCAACCATGGCCAGGCCATCGCCCTTGCCGCCAAACTGGCCGGCACTCACTCAACTATATACGCGCCAAAGAGTGCCGCACCCATCAAGCTGCAGGCCATCGAGGCGTTGGGTGGCACTGTCCAACTGGTCGATGGAAACATGTTGTTGGCTGAGAAGACAGCCAATGCACACGCCCAGGAAAAGGACATCTTGTACATATCACCCTACAATGACATTGACATTGTTGCTGGACAGGGTACTTGTGGCATGGAGATAGTGGATCAATCATTGCAACTTGGTTTGGAGTCAGTGGATGCAGTGTTTGTTGCTGTTGGTGGCGGTGGATTGATCACTGGCACAGCGATCGCAATCAAACAACGTTGGCCAAATTGCAAGGTGGTGGGATGTTGGCCTGCCAATGCATGCAGTCTATACCAGAACCTGGAGGCTGGAAGAATATTCGAGGCAGACGAACAGCCAACTATTGCCGATGGTACTGCTGGTGGAGTGGACGATGGCGCCATCACATTTGAATTATGCCAGCAACTGATCGATGAGCGAGTGTTGGTCAGCGAGGAAGAGATCAAAAGTGCCATGAAGTTGATCGCCAACACTGATCGATTTATGATCGAAGGTGCTGCTGGTGTACCCTTGGCCGCTGCCCTGAAAACAGCCAACCACTATCAAAACAAGAACATTGTCGTTGTACTCTGTGGCAGGAACATAATGTTGGAAAAGTACATTAAATCAATCGAAGAGGTCTTGTGATGACTCTCAAGCAATTAGTTGGAGTTGGATGTTAATATATTGACTTTGTCCAACAAAAGGATGGGCCTCAAAAGTCTATAGACACTTTGAACTCTGTGATGTAGTTGTAGTCAATCATAGTTCACTTTGGAATGAAGTACTTGTCAGCAATGATGATTTATTCCTTTGCGAGGAGGCCGAGTGGGGCCACTACTGGCATGATCCTCATCCCTCCATGATGACTGTTGGTGTCAAATGGACCTGTGATGGTGAGGCTATTGGTACGATCACTGTCGACTTGTGATGTGTTTCCAGTGTTGCCTGTGCGCATCAATATATAGTCGTTCGCCTCGCGCTTTGATGATGAAGCTGGTGAATGGTGATGGCGTTAGATATATGCCAAGGGGAGCGTGTCTGGGTTGTATTTGGAAGGATGGAGGGAGTCAGATTGTAGCGCGATGGCGGCATGCTGGAGTCTCTCGATGTGAGGCAGAGTGAGGGTACCCCTTACCACTGCCACAGTCGCTCTTGCAGCCATGGTTGGAATCAGTAGCGAACACCATCAAGATCGCCAATTTTTATGTATCCTGTCATGAGTAGACTGTTGCAATCGTGATCTTCGAAGTCATGTTTCTGTCGGACCATGAAAAGTATGGTGTTGGTCAGCCTGATGATCTTGGTGCTTCCGCTACAGAAGGTCACGTTGGTGACAGTGTTCGGCAGGCGTGCCAGCAGCGACTCGACTTTTGCCCGTTGGAAGCATGATTCGACCTGGTATATGCCTGGAGACAGATGCAATGAGTGCAATGCGTAAGGGAGGTGCTCCACTTGGATCGCATCGAGTTGGTTGTACACTTTGAATGAGTTGGAAAAATTCTGTCTCAAATGGAGTGATGTGATTGACGTTGGAAGTATTGCAAGACTGAGGGTTGGAGTAGCATCTCTGACAGTGATCTCAATTGTGTCGATGCTGTCGAGTGGAGGGGAGAGCAATTCGCACCAAGGGATGCACAGCCTTGTCAGCGAAGATGGCAGGGCCGAGGCGGACAATGCCATTGTTTGAGATGACCTCAGATGGTATCTGACCTGGAGGTCAGCGAGTACTGGAAACGTTGAAGACGTGATCGATGATATCACCTCTGGGAGAGCATCAATGAGCACCAACTTGGTGAGGCATTGGAAAACGATATTGGATGAATCGAAGGTTCGCACAGCTTTAGTGATGACAAGACTTTGCAGATACTGTCCACATTCGATAACAGAAGTACACTCATGACCAAGTGTCAGATCTATAACGCTCGGTGGAATGTGTCTGATAGGCCGATGGTACATCGATAGGTTCAGCTTGGTGAGTGATCGAGGAAGCACTGCAGCCAGGTCCAAGCCCAAATCGAGCCTCTCCAATGTAAGCTCCATGAGCGAGGGTGGTAGCACGCCATTGCCAATGGGTTGTAGAGTGCGGTACGCCCTAAGCTCCAGAGCGGTCAGAGTGTCCGGGAAGTAGTGAGCCTGAGGCGTCTCATTCATTTGAAGGATGCGCATCACTGTGAGCGGGACATGCTTCATTGACACCAATGGCGCTTCAGAGATCACCAGTATCTTGTCGTTCACTATCCGACCGAACAGCATATTGATGAACTCGCTCTGCTCGGCCCAAAACGACCACGGTAACATCTGGAAGTAGATAGAGTGGATGCATTGATTGTCCAACAGCTCTTTATAGAACCTTGGCAGATTGATTTTAAGTGGGCGGTCATAATAGTCGAGGTCATCTGTTGAGTACATGGATGTTAGAGTTAGGGTGTTGGATCAGCGAGTGTACGTACGTACAGATGCTAAAGTCAAGGTCATACATCTCGTACACGTTGGACGACTCATAGGTCAAATAGTCTCTTGCAGACCAACGCAAGCATGACACGATCGACTTTGCTCGGTATCCATCTCACTATCGCTCCTATCACTGTCAAAGGTAGTAGATGTATCATTGTTGCCTTTCACAAATGATATCAGATGATTATTTTGCACCCATAATATAATGGGAAGATCCCAAGTCATGGTCTTGTTATTGATCATTGGCTAGCCAATGAGGTCTTAATACATTCAGTGTCATATTTTATTATCGTTCCAATTATCTAGGATCTGGCCTCAAGACACACTTGGAACTGGTTGGGAGTTATTGTGAGACCAAACAACTCTTCCTCATTGACTGGCTTGCCATCAATAGAGTTCAGTTTGAATGTGTTTATAATGTTGGCACAGGCTACGAACATCTCCTCGACAGCAAGGTTCTGACCGACACAGTTGCGAGGACCTGAACTGAATGGTTGGAAGTAATCATTGTGCTTGTCGTCCTCCACCAGGAATCTCTCGGGCATGAATTGTTCGGGGTTGACCCAATGCTCGGTGTTGTGATGGAGTGCACGTTGATTGATGATCACCATCGTACCCTTGGGAATGAAGTACTTGTCGGCAACGATGATTGATTCCTTGGCCTGACGAGGTAGGCCGAGTGGGGCAACTGGCATGATCCTCATCACCTCCTTGATCACTGCGTTGGTGTAAGGGCATTTGGCACGATGGGTAACAGTGGCACGGTTGCCAAGACCAACAACACTAGCCAACTCACCAGCCATCTTCTCCTGAATCTCTGGATAGTTGATCATAAACATCATGAACATCTCCACTGTTGAAGCACTGGTCTCACTTCCTGCCAATATAAAGTCATTGCCAATCATGATAACAGACTCCTTATGTTGTCCCTTTGAGTCAATGATCAAGTTGTCCAACAAGTCTCTTGGGCTATAATTGTGAAATAATATGGATGGTTAGTGATTGATGATTGATTAAGTGATTGGATAGGATTAAACAGAACATACTTATTCTCATCAAGTGTCTCCAAATGTTCATTGTAGATCTCCTCGGTTATTTCGAATACCTTGTCCATCTCTGATCCGAATAGTTTGAACTTGAGAGTACGTAGTGGTCTCAAGAAATTGATGCAGTCACCCAAGTTGGCAGAGCCCAGTTCCTTCATAATGATATCCATTGGCTTGAACAAACGAGCCATCCTACCCTCATGCTCCTCCTCCTCAAAAGGTATCTCATCAGAGAACATTATACTAAATATAATATTGAGGGCAAACTTCTTCAAATGATTCCTTGGGTAGAACTATGATTGAACAGAGTTAGAGTGTTTGATAGATTGATTGGAATGATTCCAGTGATTGATTGAAACTTACAGGTTGTTTATTCTTCTCAAACTGAGTCATCTTGCGCATTAAGTTATCGATCTGCTCATCCATGACAGTGCTGACAGCACGCAACTTGGTCTTGGTGAAGGCATTGGCCACCAACTTTCTGATATGGTACCAATGTTGATCACGGGCCACAGCCAAGTTGACATAGTTTCTACTCATTACATCGAATGAGGGTGACATTGTGCGATTGGTAAAGATGTCAAACTTCTTGACGATGATGTCGCGGATGACCTCGGGGTCAGACACAACCACAGCATAGACATCGCCCATCCAGAATCTAAAGACATGTCCAAATTTCTTTGCCATGTTCTCAAGACCAATATGTGGAAGTGATCCAATCTGATGTAAATTACCAAGTAGTGGTAAGGCAGTAGCTCCTGGTGGATCATACTTTGATTGTTTCTTATTCTTTAGAATAAAGTCCAATACAAGGTAGACCACCAATAATAAAATTGATAAAGTTATAATATTCATTATTATTATTATTTATGTTGTTGTTAATTAATTTATAAGTTGTTGATATTGATAATGATAACTTGAACCATTGTCAGTATTTATCATGATCGATGGATGACCTGTTTGAATAGATTCAAATGGTAATCGTTGAAGGGTCACACACTGAGCAGTCATGTACAACTTAATTTTTGGCGATTTTTATCAAATGATTGGTTGTGAACCGACACAAAACGAACCACACATCTTGTTGTGAAAATTACCCAAAATGATCATTTTGCATAACTATTAATAGACAGGCAAGGCATTTTATTAAGCCAATCAGATCAATATCTGCAGAGTCCATGTTGGCCATGGCCAACAACATAACCTTCACTGACTGATACTAAGCATTAATGTTGAATTCGTACAACTACTATGTGTAAGTCGATAAGTGTTAAGGTCTTATTCCCTGAACCAGATCATATTTATGATCTTGATTGATATGATTCATTTATTATTATTACAATTACAATGCCTTGGTAGCAGCCTCATGAAGTTGGTCATACTTGTCGGCCATGCTAGCCTTGGTCAATTGTTGCTTGATCCACTTGATGGCCTTGGTGACAATGGCTTGCCATTGTGCCTTCTTGTCGGCGAATGACGACTCTAGTTTACAGATTACACATAGTGTGATCCAGACATCGGCTGGCAATGACTTGGCTATGCTGGCCACGGATGGCACCTTGAATGAGCCAACTGAGGACCAGCTTCCATTGGCCTTTTGTGAACGAATGAGCTCCATCATCTCGTTGGACTCCTTGACGGTCGGGATGATCCTCTCCTCCTCAACATACATTTGAGACTTGCACATTGAGTATGACACCTTGCAGTCATCCAGTGCCTCTCCTTCGCACATGTCAAGTTGGACTGGTGCTGATAGGATTTGAGACACGTTGTTCGAGGTAGTCCTCTTACGTGGCGAACCTGAACGGAGGATGCTTGGGGATGGTGGTGCGCACATTGTGGCAGAAACAGAGGGAATTGATGTGAATCCCTGAACCTGCTGACTCAAGAACATTGTTGGTGCATTGAAGGTAGTGTTCACATCCTCCTCCTGCTCTATGGGCTCAGGTTGCTTCACATTGACCACCTTTAGTGTGTCCTCCACTGGCTTGCCACTGGTGTTCTCGGCAACAACGACGAACGATGTGTGATTGGAGACCAGATGGTACTTCAATCCCAACGCGACGATCTTGTCCTTGTTCTTGGTATGTGATCCCTTGCGCTCCTCCTCCTCATAGTCACGAATGGCCATCAGTGCGGTGAGGGTGTGCAGCTTGTTCGAGGTGGTCTGGGCAGTGTCAAAGTGGACCTCGATGGGGTAAGCCAACTCCTTGCCGGTGGGACCGTCGGCAGTGATGGTGATGGTAACCGACGACTTTGATGGCTTCTTGTTGATCAACGCATAGATGAGCATGCGCTCCAGGTTGAAGACTGGACGGATCAACTTTGGTGCCTGGAGCACATCAAGTCCATGCCAGTCGACCTTGATGTTGGAGACGGTTGGCTCCAGTGCGACATTCATCAGAGTCATCACTCTCTCCTCCATATCACTCTCGTCCTGGATGAACTCGTAGTAACCCTTGCAGGCACGGGACATTCCGACAATCAACTCTCTATCCACACCTCCACCAATACCAAAGGTGAAGATCCTAGTTGTGTTGGCTTCCTTTCCAACAAAGTCCACCAACTCATCACGTTGACTGACCTCACCATCGGTAACTAATGTTGATTGATTGAGTGAGGCGTTAGCAAGGTTGTGTGATGTACTGGACGCTGATGGATGACTTACGAATGAACACTTGTCTTGGGTATTGTGGATCGTATGGGTTACCAAGGATGGCCTTCATTGGTGGCAACAATTCGGTACCTCCCAAGTTGGCATCAATGCCGACAATGTACTTGCTGGCTTGATCGAGGGTCTCATCATTGTAGAGCTTGGACTCTGGGAACAGAGACACAAAGTCCGAACCAAACAACCAGATGTTGAACTTTGAACGCTCGGTCAACGAACGCATCAGGATTTCCAATGCAAGCTTGGCCTGCTCAATGACAGAGCCAGACATTGAGCCTGAGCAGTCGACCAAAAAGATGTACTCGGCAGCCTGGTCGACCTCATCTGGAGTCACATGTAATCTTGGATAAAAGTTGAGGCCAAGTGCGTAGGTGTCGTCTGTTGGTCCCTTCTCAAGGAAGTATGATGGCTGTGCCACTGGCTGTGGCTTGATGTCCACAATGATGTTCTTTGGCACTCCCTCAGAGGTGGTGTAGGTGAGCTTGCCATTGTGTCCATCGACGGTGGTGTCCACTCCAGTGGAGTGATCCTTGAATGTGATCGACTCGATTGGCACGGACAACTGGACGTCCAGCTTGAGCACCAGGTCAAAGGGCGTCTGGATGAACATGAAGCGATGTAGACAGAAGTGCAGTCTGTCGAGATGGGTGCCAATCTCGCTTACCACGGTGAGCGACACGGTGACCTCGTCGGTTGGTGGCAGGTTGCCAATGAGCGTGGTGAACGAGCCACTGCTGTTCTTCTCGACCATGAATGCCTGGTTTCCACTGGCAATGGCGTCTGAGTACTCGTTCTGTGCCTGAGCCTTCTCCTTGATCTGGGCGACGAGCACCTTGTCATTGTAGGTGACGACAAAGTTGGAGACGGCGGCGTTTGGCGCCAAGGGCATCTCGTACTTGGCCTCGACCGGCTCGGTGAATCCGTTGCGATACTTTTGTGTGTAGACGGTTGTGACGCTGGCATCATTGACGACGGCATCGATCTGGAGCGAGGTCAGTTGGAACTTGTTGCCCAAGTGAATGGCAGTGTTGTTGCCCTTCAGACCGACAAAAGGTTGAACACGCTTTGAGTCCAGACGAGAGAAGAACAATGAATAACTTGGCTCCTGTTGTTTGGCCGAGTGATAAGTACTCTCATCTAAAGTCAAATCGCACAAGTCAGCTGCAACATTCTGTCCAGATGTATGCTTTGGTGATGTAGTTGGTTTGAAGAATGCTTTAATGGCCTTCATCTTTTACTTCTTCGTCTAATATATATATAATATTTGTTATGTATTTGTTATGTATCTGTTTGTGTTGTTAATGAATTAGAGACACTGACAAGTGTGTATTTATAAATATCATTATCTTTAATTTTTGGTTGATTGAGCTGCAGATCAAACGGGCGATGACGATGACATCCGCCAGGCCAAACCCTTTGAAAACAATCAAACAATCTCGATGATTTTTGGTGAATGGCCGATCTTTGAATCAATGACACTTGTAACCCTTCACAATGATGGATGGTAACAACTAAAGAATGATACAGAAGTTCATTTCAAACAAATAAAGTTATGATTACAACTCATCATTGTATTATATATTCGATAGAGGTAAAAAAACTTTGTTTAGATATCTCAGAATTCTAAAAATATGATAGTATTGCATTATGTATTATTTTAAGGAATGATCATTGGAAGTTATGTTGACTGATGTGTACTTGAGTAGTCCAGAGAAGGAATCGTCTACGATAACTATTCAAAAAACAAAGGCCTGATCGACCTATACTTACACAAACAAATATATACATCATCATCTTTATGTCAATGATTGATTATGTATTTGTCACCAAAAACACATAATGTTTGTGTGTTTATTTCTTTGACTCGCTTGTCAAAGCGACACACTGTTCCAAAAATGTAAAGATGGGGAGGGGTGCGCTGAATGAATAGACTTACCCTCGACTTGGAGGACCAAGACATAAATAGACTGAAATATCTCTTTTACCAAAATGGTCAGGTTATTTATAAATGGATAGATCGTTGACATTTATAATTGTAATAAGTCAATCAGATAGTTAGTCATATCTACACAAATAATAAATATCAATAGTAATAATAATAAAATGTCACAATCTTCTTCAACTTCAAAGAAGTAAGTATCATTGATGGATTGATTGATTGATGTCCCGACATTTACACTAATTCGTCTAATTTCATATTTAGATTCAAAGTAATGATTGCTGGAGCTGGTCTTGGTGGACTGGTGTTGGCCGGTGCATTGCAAAAGTATGCTCCAGACACTGTGGAGGTGGCAATATTTGAAAGGGATCCACATCCTACATCTAGAGTGCAGGGCTATCTTATTGGTATCAATAAGATTGGCACAGCTGCACTAAAGGATGCCTTGTCGCCAGAGAAGTTCCAGAGAATCCAGACCGAGTTGTTCAGAGTTGGCACACAGTTTATCATCACCAACAAGCAACTCGAACATCTCATGGGCCTACCTGCCGGCGCCACTGTCAACAGAGTCGAGTTGAGAAGAGTGCTCATGGAGGGTCTGGACATCACCTACAACAAACGTATTCAGTCCTACACCGAACATGAAGATGGTCGTGTCGAGGTGACCTTTGTCGACGGCACAAAGGACACTGGCGACTTTTTGGTTGGCGCCGGACGGTATCAAGTCGACCGTGAGGAAGCAGAAGCTGCCCAGACTTTGAGCTCGAGTGCTGCAACATATAACAAGATCGACATGCTCATCCCCAATGTGCCAAAGGACGATGCCGACGAGATCTTCACCAACTCTAGCAATGATATGATGATCGTCAAGATCATGGGCAACAAGAAGAACACGGCAATCATTGGCAGGAGTAACTCGTTGCAAGAGGCCGTCAACTTTGGTGTCAAGGAGGTGGACATCATCACACGTATCGTCGCTCAGAATGACTCGTCCATTGGCAACAACCTAGTGCTCATCTCCTACCAATATCGTCCAGAGGGTGCTCTTCCAGAGGGTCGCGCTGCCATGTTAGAGGTCGTTCGAAAGGGCATGGAAGACTGGCATCCGTTGTTGAGAAAGATGGTCAACGAGCTGGCCACACCAGAGCATGTGATGACCGATCAGGCCCACTCCTACTTCCAGGCCACGCCCACTCAGTATCCCAAGGTGTCAAGGGTCACACTGCTAGGCGATGCGGCACACGCCATGACGTCACACGCTGGTATGGGTGGCAACACTGCAATGAAGGATGGTCTTGACCTAGCCAAGGCTTTGATAGAGGTAGCCAAAGGTGGTGATCTCCAGACATTGATCGGGGCCTACGAGAAGGAGATGCTCAGACTTGGTTTCAAAGCGGTCAACATCAGTCGTGCCAACTCTGAACGAATGCATGCCAATGATGTTGGTTACATCGGTGAGGCCATCAGGAACAGATTCATGAAGATGTTCTACAAGCTTGTAGTATGGGGTGTAATAAAGCTTGAGTAGAGGTTGGGCTGTCTCTATCCTCTATCTTTGTTATAGGGTTGTACAAACTTGAAATGACCTTCGAAGGTTCATGCATGTTCATCCTCATTCATTCATTCATTGACATTGTAATGTAGTTATAGTATACTATACTTATATATAAATGTCTACTAGTCATCAGCAACAATCACAACAAAGACAACAACAACAGAGTAAACAACAGACAACATTGATATTGATAACAGTAATATTGTTCATTGCTGCTCAGTCATACTTCCCAATCAAGTACTACTACACCTATCTCACTCAGCCACAACAGTCATTGACAACAACAACACAACAGACTATTGACGCCACTCCTCTTGCCGAACTATTTGCACTACACGACGAACGATTCGTCTGGCGTATGTTCTCTCCCACGACTTCCAACACCAAGTGCTCAGCCACCTACTACTTCCAACACAATCAAACAAAGGTATATACATACTTCATCGCGATCATACACTATGTACACACTAGTCGACTAACATCAAGACCAAACAGATCGACACAGATAAACTATACACAAGACAATGGAGCGACAGAATAGAAATGTGCAGAGCACAAGTGATCGAGCGGATAGCAAGAGACCTGTGTCAAAGGAATCAACGCCAGGCGGTGTTGGTCAGCGTGACAAAGTACACGATCAGTTACGAGGACAATCAAAGAACAAAGTTGTTCACGACACATCGACAGGTGGACTGCTGAGTGAGTTCATCGTCGCATGGACGCCCTTCAACAGCTGCTTGCTCGTCCTGTTCCGATTCTGCTTCTACGCGATGCTGGCCATTGACTGCTGGTGTGAGATCCCACGCGCTGCCAACTACTGGCGCGAGATCACACCGTTTAACATCGGTCACCTACCCGCCGTGCTCGACGCGGTGGTCGCGCCACTCATCGACTGGCATACCTTCCTCGTGTCCCTTGGCGTGTGCGGAGTGTTTTCAATCCGCATTGCTCTTGGCGTCCATAATCACTTTGAACAATACCTGGTGGCCTTGATCAAGGCGTTCCTTGTGCTGTCAAGTCAGACCGACAACTTCCAGCATCACTACCTCATCGTACTCTTGTTGGCAATACTTTCCACCATCGACTGGAAAAGGATATCGGATGCAAGCGAGAGGAAAGAGTATGTCTACGTGTGGCAGATTAGATTGGTGTTGATCCAACTATCCATCGTTTATCTGTGGACTGTTGTGGCCAAGCTACATCCCAACTGGATACAAGGAGTGTCGTTGCAAAGGATGGTCGGACCCGATTTCAAAGAGCTGGTGCACTCGACATTCGCCGCCACTCTAGGTACCTCGGTGAATGCGATGGCCATCGTTTCCAACCTCACTATTGTGGCCGAGCTCTTCCTGGCCGTTGCACTACACGTCAACTTCCTGTTGCCACTGGCACCACTTGTCGGCATCCCAATGCACGTGTCAATGGGCATGTCTGGTCTGCGCATTGGTACCTTCTCGCAGTTCATGGTCATTCTCTACATGTTGGCAACGCCATCAATCATCACCAACAACATCATATCACCATTGATCAGTAGAGTCAACAGACTACATCGATCAATCTCATCAGGCACCAGCACCAGGAACATGAGTGACCTGATCAATATGGTACCAATCAATATCTTTATGTCAACAATCAGTGTCGGACTGATCTATCTGCTCATTGATCAATTGGCACCAATTGAGGCTGTTTCCACACTCAAACAAGTTCTACTCATCACATCGACCATCATCATCGGGCCATCACTCATATCCATTAACCGCAGCCTACAAATTGCCAAAGACTTTGTAATCCTCATCCTATGCTTCACAATCATCGTTGGAGCATCAATATCAACATCACATATCCGTAGACTCTATGTTGATATGTAAGTATCACAATATAATACTCATGGAATAGTTCCATTCACTCACTCATTCACTCACCAATCAATCAATCAAACATCGCTAGTGGAGCACTTGCAATCTCAGCATCCAATCAAGAACAATCACTTTATAACTATTCAATTGCAGAGAGAATGATACAGAGGGAAGTTATGAATGATCGATTGTTAAGTGATCACACTGAATACGAGTTCATTGGCGACATGGGACTGCTGATGGAGGTTGGCGGCGAGTGGACCAATGCACAACAACTCTACACACGATACATTTCAATCTTTCCAGAGCATCTCAAGCTTCATGCCGGTCTACTACGAACACTCAATCAATTTGGCAAAGGCGATGAGATATGTCCTCTATTGCCAAACATCATCGAGCGTGCTCAGCAAGCATCACAAGTGCACTGCCACAGCATAGATTGCCAACGTACCAAAGGACATGCCGAGTATCTAACAAAGATGTCTCGTGGGTTACTCACAACGTATAAATGCAGGAAATAATATTATCTATTCTCGTTATACTTTGCATTATTCAATCGACATAATCAAAAATACGTAACTTCCATTATTTGATTAAATAATTAAATTTATTATTTAAATTTCCTCAAGTCCGACTCCCTGATACTCTTTTTTTGAGTTTGGATAATCCCCAGGACTCATTGTGGATGTGGTGAGTGATTGGGTATTTATTTCTTCTTCAAGGCGATTCCTGACATAACCAAAGCGGCTATTGCCACTAAAGCGGTTATATAGGCCACTCCAGGAGCAAACCGAAGCAAAACTCTCCATATCCACCTTAACTAAAAATAGACTGTTAATATGTTAGTCAAAGTGATGGATTGGACATATTAAATGAGACATACCTCTTTCTTCACGTCGATCAGTGTGAAGTCACCAGCTGGATAGGGAGATGGAATACTATATGCTAGTGGCTGAGGAAGATGATTGACATCGGGGGCAGGAGGGTTTCTGGGTCGGAGAGCTGCTCTAACCAAATTTAATCGCTCTTTGATGTCCTGTAAAGTTGATCCTTGAGCAAGCTGGAGAACTGGACGCCGATCATTGTCTCTCCAGAAAACACGTACTGCTCGGAGTTAATGATAAACAAACAAACAACAAAGTTATTATCGAACATGAATACATACCAAGTGGTTCTGTGATGTAGACGTGGTTCATACCCACAGGGATCAGAGCATTGGAGTTGGCCACAGCAGCATTAACTGCAGCTGGACGGTACTCGATGACACAACCTTGGAGATTGCGCAAGTTATGCAAGTTGACACTATCAGGATTCTCGAGAATTCTTGCTCGGATGTCTCTGTACCTCGTGTTGCCGTTGACAGTAATGTCAAAGTCAATGTTAGCGTAGTGCACTGTTATCTGACGAGGGACAAGAGGGGCAGGTTTGGCTACGACCAGAGCACCGATAGGAGGACCACCAAGAGGAGCAGGAGCACCGAGGGGAGCATGCTTAGCAGGAGGGACTTCTGGAACTGGAGGAGCGGCAACAACAACCTCAACTAGAGGTGCACCAGCAAGCGGAGCATCGGCAGGGAGAGCACCAGCAGGGGCAACTATTTGGGCAGGTTGGTCAACTTGTTGATTATTCATTATCTGATATCTTGTTTGCTTGTTGAATGACCATCTTAAGCTGCGCATTAGAGTTTATATACTGACCAACAACAGTATTACTTTCAAGTTGAAGTTTGTTCAACATTTATGAATAACAATGTGTGAGATCATCAGTCAATCAAATGATTGACAGTCTTGGATGAGTGCAATCAAAAAATTATCTCCAATAGATTTAAGAATGCCAACATGTAAACATTAACACCAAAATGACCCGGAGTTCAGGGAGCAAAGCCTGAATTTGAAGTTGGTCGGATTATCACATTCTGTTCCGGGCTGTATGCTGGACCAATCCATGGTCTCAAAGTCAGCTTTTAAGGAACTCTTCATTCCTTGACTGTGCGGTCATTGTGGACTGGTGAGTTATCCTGGGCAACGATCAACTTCATTCCATGTAGTCGTTGACAGACTGATCTAAATCTCTCTCCTTGATTTCCACAAGGTCTCTGCTTCCAAACTTTCTGGGCAAAGTATCCAGGTCCATAGAATGTTAAGCATAGTATTTATATTCATTTTATTTACTATATGTGTATATGTATATTTGATCGTGGACTGCAACTGTTGGGTGTTATTGGTGTCAGTGCTGTTGTTGTTGTTGTTGTGTATGAATGTGTGACTGATTGCTATACATGGCACACTGTCAATCAATCAAACCACACTAATATATTTAAACTAACACTACAGATTGGTTGGTAATGAATGTGAGCCACACCAATTTGAAGAACATAGTTTCACCTTATCATTCATTCTTTCATTCATTCAATCATATTCCTCATCATCATCTCTTAAATTAATAGTTAATATCTCTAATTCTCTATATTTCTACACAAAAAATGAAGTTAATTGGAACTGTTCTCTTTCTCTTGGTAGTGTTGACCTCTGCCCATTCGATTTATGGTGACATATGGACTAGCTGTGGATCATCAAGTGACCACTTTGCCATTGATACCGTACTCATTGTACCAGACCCTCCAGTCAAAGGTCAAGTTGTCAATATTACCGCCTCTGGAACTTTGAGTAAGTATATGTTCTTGATGAGTCTTCAAATATAAAGATGACGCTAACTCGTTATTTCTTCATTAATTAGATGAACAGATCACAGACGGTACAGTTCATATAACTCTCAAGTATGGATTCATCACTATACTGAACCAGAATGAGCCACTGTGTAATGCAGACAACCCTCTTCCATGTCCAATTGCTGCTGGTTCCTACACAAGATCCTTTGCTACAATGATTCCATCGACAGTGCCATCTGGAAAGTACTCTGCCAACGTAGTGATCAACGATCAGAATGGACAAGAGGTAGCCTGTATCAATGTTGCTCTTCAACTTTAGATTGATGAGTCATCATTCATACATTCATTCTTTCTTTCCCTCATTCATCATCCAAGAAGTATATTACTCAATGAATAAAGTTGTTGTTGGGCCACCAAGACATGCAATGTCAGGTCGCAACCCACAAAGTCAAACAAGGTCATGTGACTTTCAATCGTGCAAACATGCAGATGTACAGTCATTGTTGCATTGTGATCAATTGATTGAATCATTGTTTAATGAATCATACAGATACTATACACACTTATACAACAACAACAATAACAATAACAGCTACAACAATAACTACAACATCTTAAGCTGTTATGGCCTCAGCAACAGCAATAGCACCAGTAGACTGGGGCAAGATGTTGAATGAGATGGCAATCAACTTGGTCTTCTTCACACCAGCATATGTAGTGCACATTACAAAGTGTCTGTCAATGCTTAGAGAGTATGACTTTCTTCGCAGACGACAGACTCCACACTTGATGCGCTTTGCCATCTACTTTGTTTCAGACTTTGTCAGTTCAACTCTATTCGCACTAATGCTTGGCGTCTCACCAAAGTGGCTACACAACAACGTGGCCCTAACAATCAACCTCACCATCTGGTTCATCTACTCACTCTTCCCTCCAATCATTCGTATCCTTGATACTCCATTAGGCAGGGTATGTATTATTGATCGATCGAATGACAACCATTCCAAAGCTAACTCAATCATTTAATCAATCAATTAGGCACTTGAACTAATATTCATGACAACAAAGGTTGCCGATGATATTATATCAATATATGATCTGCCAATGTCACCTAATCAACCTTGGCGTCAAGGTTCATATGGTTCACCGGTACTCCCACCATCACTCCTTGGCTCTTTATTCCTCTCGCTCACCAAGGCTGTATCTGGAAGTTTGATCAAGAATCTATTTCTCAATCACTACAAACCTGGCAAGAGGAGTCCTCTATCTGATCCATCAATGTATGTATAATGGTATCTCACTCTTGATCATATGCTCACTCACTCACTCAATCAATCCAGATCCTTCAAGACTGCGGCCATAATGTCAATACTCTACCACTTCCTCGCCAATCCACACGCCGGGATCATCTCGTCTGTGTTTGTTGTGCAGCTGATACAACCGTTGCAGGCAAAGTTTATTATGCATCTTGTCTATGGCCCTGTACTGGTCTACGAGTTCCTCACATCAAAGCCCAGCAACAGCCTGTCTCGTAGTGGTAGCTTCTACTCCAAGCCCAACAAAAAGCTGCCCGAGGACATGCTCTGACCCAACAACACAACAACAACACACATCAACAACAACACAAAGTGCGATCGAGGATTGGACCCAGTCAGTTTATTGCAGCGCATCATTAACATTATCCAACGATATGGGACAGCTGATACTTGGCGTCACATATGGACTCCATTGGACGCAGGTGTGGAAGAAGGAAGGCGGCTCCCTCCTGCTTGATGTTGCCATTGATGCTGTTGCGTCTGATGACTCCCATCGACAACTCCTGGCCATACGATGACATTGATGATGTTGATGACCGGAGGTCAAACTTCTCGGGTATCATCATTGCCGATGATCGACATGATGTCTGTTGCTGCTGCCACTGAAGACTAGTGTTCAATGCTTTGATCTGCTGCAGCATCACATTGATCTCCCTATTTACAGACTCAATCTCCAGTCTCACATCATTGTCATTCTCGATCAAGTAGTCAGTGATGTCTGCGTCTGTAAAAAGAGCGAGTAAGTAACATAATCATCATCACTCATTCACATGGATTAATAACTAATACATACCCATCTCCTCAGGACACTCATCCACGTCGGAATAGCTAAGTCTCAGTTTCTTGGATGACTGGCCATTCTCATCCGATGAATGCTTGTTCTTTGTTGGCGAAGTTGTCGAAGATGTGGATATCTTGGACTTGTCGCGCTGTGGCTTCTTGATGGTCCATGGATCAATGTCCATCTGAGGCTTCAGTCTCCAGAAGCCATTCTGTTTGAAGTGATCCGTTCCAGACTCAAACAGATTCTTGCTATGACTCAACATGTCTTGGACTTGCTTGCGCCAGTTATGTGACTCTGCGATCATTCAATGTTAGTCAACATCAACGTGGACTTGGACTTGGAAGAGTGCATTGAAATACTTACTATCTTTGGATGGCTGGCACAGGTAGTCCCAGTGATCACACATCCAGGAATAGACATCAGTGCGTAGATTGTAGTAGAGTCGGTCTGGCATACTCTTGGACAATGAGTAGAATACTACACGCATGATGGTGGACCATGTTGGACATTTCAACACGATTAAAGGTGGACCGCGTTGACACAGCAGGCACAGTGGATATTTACAGGGTCGTGGTGCAACTGGCAGTGAGAGAGGCGATGCGTCGAGGCTGGACGTCAGGGCATTGGCCGTGTTGAATGGTGGCGTCAAGGGTGGGCTGTTTTCGAGTGGCGAGCTCTTGACTGTTGGCACCTCGCTGAACGATGGCGGTGAATGTGGTGGCGATGGCGATTTTGTTATAAAGTTGATAGAGTGCGGTGATGATTTGATCGATGGTGGTGTCGTCAGAGGTGTTGGATTGACCGACGAGAGTGAAGGTGGTGAACTAGTCACCGGTGTTGTTTGGCCAACATGTTGTTGTGGCTTCATATATGGTGATATTGATTTAATTGATTGATTATTATTATTATTATTATTTATGTTTTCCTCATCAATTATATATGAGGGTGGTGAATTTGGTACTTCTCCATCTTCGGAGAGTGTCCTTAATGATAATAATAATTCAAGTGCTGATTGTTTCTTATTATTATTGGATTGTGATTGATTAATTGCCAACATTATTATTATTATTATTATTATTTGAAAAAAAAAAAGATAGGATATTATAATTAATTAATTAAAAAAAATATATATTTACAAAATGGAAGGATGGATGGAAATATTAACTATAGTTCCAGTTACAATGGAATAAAAATAAACTATCTATCGAAGGGGTACCTATTTACAATACTGTTGAGTGATTTGATTGAAATGCGTAATGAACTATCTCCAATAGCACCACCATCATCTAAGTACAAATAACTTTAATTTTAATGGAAGGTCATGCGGCCAACTGGTCAGTAAGTGTGTAGGTGAGTGATGATAGAGAGAGTGATTGAGTGATAGACTGATGGTCAGTAAAGTAGATATAACTAACCAGCCGGCCGCATTGCAGTAGCAACTGTAGTAGTAGCACCACTATGGGGCTGTTTTAAAGATGGATGGGTAGGATCAAACACAATACTTATCCCATTAGTCGATACCCAACCGCTGTCTCCACCCCTAAACACACAATCGTACTCGCCTCACACTCTCCATCACCAACCATCAATCACACACACACTATCAAACACATATATTAACACACACAATAGCACTCGCATTATCATCAAGCACATGATCAGACTCTGTTGTAATTGTCCACAAGGTCCATTCCATGTGCTGCCATAGGTGCTTCCAATTATTACTCCTAGCCATCAATCTCTGCCATTCCATACATCCATCCATCCATTTATAAATAGGAGGTCACTTGTGTGTGTGTGTGTGTTGGTGGGTGGTCGACCACCCACAGCCCTCAACACAGCCTCCAACCAACGAACCACTATGATGGATGATGTGTATTATCTGTATGTTGTGTCTGTGTTTGTGTGTGTGTGTTAGATATATACATGGTTGATCACATTTAAATAACACACACACATACAGATACAACTTAATCGTCTATCAACATCATCATCATCACATGTGGACTGGACTGGACTGGACAGGGCAACACATCTGCTCTCATCACGTGATGTGGTTCATGGCTTATGATAACTGTGGAGTGTTTTTAAGTGTGAAGTCAGTGCCAATTTGATGAGACTGCCAGTACTCTTAACCGTTATAATATAGATGATTTCTGATCATCATGTTCATTTGGGTGGATGAAGTGAGTGATTGATGGATGGATTGATGGTAGAAACGTTGTTAAACATAACACAAACACACAACAAACACACATAACAACGACAACGACACTGACAACAGTACGTTGGGATTGTCAACTTTAAAGTGAGTACCTACCTACCTAGCAACTCACGACTCTCTATCTCTTACTCCAACTCCAACTCCAACTCCAAACAACGAAACGGCGTAATTCTTTGAGAGAGTTGGTGGTGGCAACGGCCACCCTATCCATTGATTGTTTGTTTGATTGATTGATGGCAATACACCATCTACTACTCTCTCTCTGTAGATGATGAAATGATTATTGTTGTTGTTCTTGCCAACATCATCGTTGGTTTGTACATCATCACCATCATCAACAACATCATCATCATCATTATAATCTGGTCTCATTGTTAGTGCATCAATCTATCTCTTTTCTTTACACATACACACACTCTCTATCTACTCTCGACCTCCATTCAAATAGCATCACATTCAAACATGTTAACAGATCATATCTATCAAATTAATTGATTGATTGATAATAGATATAATAATGATGATGACTTGGCTTGACCTGACTGACTTATCCTTTAACAAAGGAGTAAAGTAGAAGTTCTCAGCGAACTTGGGTCATTCATGAACAATGATGTCAAACAACACACTTACAGACCAGCTCCCCATGAAGGTGCCGATGCTTTGGTGGCACAGTCGGAGCTACTGCAACCTAATCTAGATCTACACCAATGGAGATATTTTAAAGAGTGAGTGATGATGGCAAAATTAGCATGTTGGGCCATTGCAAAGCTATGTTTTGGGAGGGTAGGCCTGTTCCCATTATGAAACGTGTTGAATGGATGGCTGTGAGAGAGAGCAGAGAGTTTTGTGTTTGTTGGATGTATGATTGAATGATTGAATGGTCAATACGACATTGTTGTTGTTGTTATTGATGATGAACGAATATATATATAAACACAAATAAGATTCACAACAAGTTTAAGAAGTGAAGTTAAACAGATTAATAAGTTTGAATACAGAATAACGAAGAGATATATCCAAGGTAGGGAATTCGAAACGAACTAAATAATAACACATGATGGAAAAGGCGATCAATAACATCATCAACCAAACATGATGTATTGTTAGTGTTGGTGTTTTGGGTTCGAGATCCAGAGCCACGACGACAAACACCTTCGGGTTCGCAACCGATTTTATTTTCTTGTGTTGTGCTGTTTGTTGGTTTGTTTGTTTGTTGATGGAAGCAAAGCATCAATCATCACTCACTCACTCACTCATTCCCAATTCACAATCCTTCTTGGGTTTCAATCAAACAACAACAACAGTCGCGCACACAGTAACAATAACACCGTCTTTTCCCATTTTCAAACAATTCCATACACATTCACTCATACAGATAACATTAATGTAGATATATTTACAATCAATCAATCAATCAATTCAAACATCCCATCCAATCCAATCCAATCCAGTTCAATTCAAACAAACAATCAATCACACTAGGATAGACAGACAGACATACAGACAGACTGTCGGCAATAGCCACTTTCATAGTCATCACACAAACACATCATACATCACCACTCACACTCATTCACTCACTCTCTCACTCCCCTATCCTTAAAACAGCAACAGCAACAGCGTCTACCACACTCACTCACTTCTTCACTCACAACACCACGCACGCTACCAAAAGACAACGACTTGTTACATCATTCTACAACTCGATCATCTATTTATCGATAGCAATCCAATCCATTCTATATCTTCACACTTGCCCTATATGTAACTTTGCCCTGTATATATATTTATATTATTTATATTAACTCATAGCCAAAAGTATCCCAATCAATCAATCATCCAATCATCCAATCAATCAATCATTCATCCTCATCATTAGATAGTAGGAGGGAAGCAATCAATTCTACAAAGATTATAATAGAACACAGTAGTAATAGTAACAGAGTAGTAGAAGTAATACAAGTAGAGTAGCATCAGGAAGAGGACATTCAAATTCAAATCAAACAGATACAGGACATCAGTAATATCATCATTTATATATATATCTTACATAACAAGAAAGAGATTGATAGTGACCATCTGCGAGGCGCGAAAGGCCAGTAGAGAAGAGTAGCACCATCACTGGTACAATGGCATCAACAACTGTATCAAGCAATGGCAGTGGCAGTAGCAATGGCAACGGCAACAGCAACATGTCCAACAGTGGCAATGGCAATAGCAGTAGCAAAATGATTACACCATTTCCTTTTTACCAGGAGGATGACGATTCACAAATCATCTTCCTACAGAATATCAACAGAAAGGATGGCCTGTCAGCCATCAAGTGCTGCAAGCTCTCAAAGCTCATCGAGAAAATGACTCAGGCAATATCCTTTGGTACATATTATGGGATGTCATGGACGCTCGCGAGCGAGGTCGACTAGACTAACACCGAAACATACCAATCAATCAAACAGATTATTTCTTCTCGTCAGCCTTCTTCCTTACATTCCGAGACTTCACGACACCATTAGAGTTAATTCGTCTATTGATCACTAGATATACAGGTCCTCCAGTAGGCAGTAGCAAGGATCACTTGAGACTGTTTGAGATAGAGGTCGAGATTGTACAGGAAAAGTATGTTATCGAGGCTGGGCAACATCTTGGCGTGCGCCACATCCATTGACGCTAACACGGTACACCACTGCCACACAACAGCGTTATACACTTGTTTAGACAATTGATTGGAACACTAAATGAGAAGGATTTTCAGAATGCAGAGCTATGCAATGTGTCGATAGAGTTCCTTAATACACTGAGCGAGGATACAAAGAATGAGTTGTTCTTGATGTTCTTCAAGGCAAGGAAACTTACAAAGTTGGAGCCTCCACGCAATGGTGCACATCGTCCACACACCAGCACAAGCATCTCCAACGCTGCCTCAACGATGAGGTTCTCATTCAGTGTCAACACCAAGGAGGAGCCCGTGCAGAACGTGCTGACTGGCCTGCTCAATGGTGGCGCGCCACCCGGCACCACGTCGTCTGGCAGCGGCGTGCACTCGCCCACGCTCGATCATCCAAGCAGGAGCTCCAAGATGAGCAATCGCAGTGGATTCCGTTCAAAGACGGGCAGCAGCAGTGCGGTGAGTGGTGCGCACTCCCCGTCGCACTCCTTTGGCATCATGAGCAGCAACAATGGCAGCCAATATCAGAACAACGTGGACGAGGAAGGCTTGGAGAGGGCGGCCTTCCCACCAGAGATCATTGCTCGCGAGCTCACCATCATGGAGTACGAGCTGATAACATCGCTGACCACCAACGAGTTCTCCCAAAAGGCGTGGACCAAGGAGCATCAAGCAGCCAACATACAGAACTTTATCATTTGGTTCAATAGAGTAAGTAGACCTAGGAGGGAGGATGAGGAGGAGGACTGGACTGGCGACTGACAGTCTGCTGCCTGCTTATAACACAAACAGATAGTCAGTTGGGTATCGACCAAGATTGTATCGAAGGAGACACCTGAGGAGAGAGCAGTGATCATCGAGTCATTCATCAACATTGCCAATCACGCGAGAGAACTAAAGAACTACAACTGTGTCATGGAGATACTTGCCAGCTTACACAACTCTGCCATATCAAGATTGAAGAGCAGTTGGGCTGTATGTATCGCGTCGGTGGTTGGACTGGATGCCCTTGGACCACCTTCTTACCTTGACCCCTCACCCCTTTAGCTTGTCTCACCAAAGGCCAACGAACTATTCACACAGCTTAACCAGCTGATGAGCCCAGATATCAACTTCAAGGCATATAGGAAGCACTTGACATTGGTGTCGCCAAGCGAGCCATGTATACCTTACTTGGCATTGTTCCTCACGGACTACACCTATTTGGACGAGTCCAACCCATCACATCTCAACAATGGCACAATGGTCAACATCGAGAGGATCTACCTGATCGGCAACCGAGTCCAAGAGTTCTTCCAGTTGTTCACAAACTGCAACTACGCCTACCAGTCGAATGCCCTGGTGCGCGAGGCCATCCTCGGCGAGAAGGTCTGGGACGAGAACGAGTGTTTCCGCGTGTCAAAGATCCGCGAGGACACGTCTGGCAGCTCCAGTCCATCCTCACCAACGCCCTCATACACAAGCAGTAGCTCGAGCTCCATGTCGTCCTCGTCGTCCGTTCAGTCCAAGCGCAGGACGACCGCCACCAACAAGTACCGCATGTCGTTCACGGGCAATGACATTGCACCATCGATCGCTTCGTCGCTCAGTGAGCGCGACTGGCACATCCTCTCGACCAACGCCACGACACTTCGACACAAGAAGGGCAAGAAGATCCTGCACATGGGCGAGGTCAACCACAACCTGTATCGTGTGATGGCTGGTCGCATCAAGTTTGAGAACAACTCCCCAGAGGAGACACGTTATCTCGAGAGTGGCGACATCTTTGGCGAGGACAGCTTCCTGTTTGATCATCCAATGCTGTTCAATGTGTACAGTGACAGCGATGACTGTGAGATCATGGAGATTGAGAAGTCCTTCATCTTGTCGCTGTTTGCCAGTGAGCCAATCTTGGCGGCGACCTACTACAAGCACATTGCTGTCTTGATGGCGGATCGCGTCAAGTTTGTACTGTCCAGCAATGATTCTCCTGTGCTAAATGGAGCCAACGGTGTCGGCCTCCACCACCACCTGCCGTCGAGCTCGTTGGCCCAAGGCACATTCATCGCCAGTACCTCACCAAACACTCCTCAAGGCATCAGCCACTCGTCAAGTCAAAGCTCCCCCAACCTCGGCTCACCCAAGATCACGTCGTTGTCCTCTCAGTGGTCGACCACCAACCTCATGGGCGACAAGCAGCGTCGTTCCTCCGTCCTGATACCCGAGCCATCGTCGACGGACCTGCAGCGTCTTGGTGACGACTCCAAGTTCCGCTCGACCTTTGGCCTCGGACCCGAGGAGGTGATCATCAAGAGCTACTCAAGCAAACACAGCAACACCACCGGCACACTATACATTACCAAGCATCATCTATGCTATGAGGGCCGAGTGTTTGGCATCAACAAGACCAAGCTGCTGCCCTTTGGCAAGATTTCAAAGATCCTGCCCGAGAAGGGCCAGGTCAGTCTGACCATGAGCGACAAGATCAAGAAGTTCAGCTTCAAGAGCCAGGAGGAGCTAAGCGAGGCCTATGGCATCATGACCAAGATATGGAAGAATCACTTTGGAACGGGTGCAGTGCGCTCGCCACCTCCAAAGACCCAGCCACATCAGCAGCACCACGCGACACCTGGCGTGACGCCACCCACACCGCCTCGCGTTGCAAAAGCTGGTCAGCAGGCCGGCGAACTGTTTGCCGGCGTGCCCGACCTGCCGAGCAAGGAGGAGTGGGAGCAGATTCTAAAGGGCGCCAAGACGCTCAAGTTCAAGAAGGGCGAGATCCTGGTCGTGGAGGGCACTGAGTTCAACAAGATCTTCCAAATCGTCAAGGGCGAGTGTACAATTATCAAGGGTCTCAGTCTGACAGACATCAACGCCAACATGAACCCTCCAATGATCTCGTCAATTGGTCTCAACAAGAATCTTACGTCACTGGCCAAACTCTCTGCTGGACACATCTTTGGAGAGATGAGCTATCTGCTTCCCAATGGTTCAGCCATCTCTGTTGTTGCCAGCAGCGAAGAGCTGGAAGTTCACACAATCGAAGGTTACTTCCTCAACATTTTCCTCAAGTCCAAGCCACTATTGGCGCCCAAGTTCTACAAGTATCTAGCATGTGTACTTGAATCACGCGTCAAACAATATCGACAGGCAATTGTACTTTAGAGCACTCATTCATCCAATCAATCAATCAATCCTCCATCGACCATCATACACACCAACCACCTCTCCTCTCTCCTCTCCCTCTCTCTTTCGTCCGTCGTTACGGACACTGCCAACACAATACTAGGTAATGAACCATGGTATTGTCTCCAATAAACATATTTATTTTTAACATAATAATACTTAAGTTATATGTATCTGTTTTTGGATTAACTCCGATGGGCGTCATTCATCGAAAACACACACAATCATTCATCCAGAAATTAAATCGATTTTTAGTTTTTGGATTCTTTCTGACGTTTTTTGATCAACCACCTGATCAAACATAATCAAAAATGATCTGTCCAAACCATTCAATTCAATTTACAAACATCTCATTTATCAATCATTGTTGACATAAACCAAAACCATGTCTGACAACAATAACAACAATAACCAACCACCCAATAAGTTTAACTCAGTATTCGCTTATTGGGATGTAAAGGATAAGAGAGTACAACAATCCAATCTGTTGAAGAGGGCACCTCTGATCAATAGAGTACAGACACCCGTCCAGAAGCCACCTCCCACATCACCAGTCACCGTCACATTGGCACCAGCATCTGCACCAGCCACACCAATCACAGTCGTTCCAACAGCCCAGGTTGCGCAACCTGAGCCACACACCAATCAACCACATCACGACCAAGACCAAGCTGTGCCTGAGTCCGCACCCGCCACAGACAACACGACAACTACCACCACAACAGTTCCAAATGATCAAGTTGAGCCTAACACTGAAGTACACACACCAGATGTTGTCCATGTCCAAACAAACCAGACTCAGGAGGAGGATACTGATGAAAATGTTGTGGTTGGAGAGGAAACACCAACAACTACCAGCAACGTGAACACATCAAGTGGTGGCGGATCATCATCACAGTATGACAACTTTGATCCATCACGTCCAGTCACACAGGGCGCCAATCTGGACACAACAGAGTTTAACTCAGAGGTTGAGCGTGAGCTCACCATATCAAAGACTACATCAAACTACTCCTCAGTATATGGCAGCGTGGCTGACTACTCACTGTACTCTGGCTCCGACTACAAGATGGAGGACGATCAAGACTTTGTCAGCGATATATCAGAGGAGGCACTGTTGCGTCTCGAGGCTCTCATTAGTAACGAGCCACAGCAGCTGGACAACCTGAAGCAGTCGTCCACCCAGTTACAGACTTCCAATGCCAGCTACTATATTAGTGGTGCTAGCAAGACTGGATACTCGCATCCCAAGGTATTGGCCGGCAGTGGCACTACAGACATCAGTGGCCTTGGATCATCCAAGGAGACCATGACATGGAACAGCGAGTTCCAGAACCTGCTCGAGATGGACGACAGCTTGGATAAGTTTGAGCGATTGGCCAGTCTTGAGCACGACTTTGTCTACGCAGCTGAGGCCTACGGTCGTATCATTATCTCTGAGCATCTGTTGCCTAACGAGATGAAGACAATCAAGCCGGTGAGCGTTGGTGGTGTGGCCGGAGGTGACAAGTACATCGTCCAGGGCATCCTCTTCAAGTTCGCAGTCGAGAGCGATACATTTGGTCTGTACGGCTCAGACGAGAATGCCATGAAGGCTGCAGCGCACGAGTTGAACGGATGTACATCTATTCTCAACAGTGGCATCAAGGGTCTGCACGTACCCCTTATGGCTTACATCGATTACAGAGGCTTCCGTCTGATGGCACTCTCGCTGCTGCCTATCAACAAACTGTCTCTGGTCTATGGATCATGTGACGCTGGCCAGACCGTCCACACGTCAAACACAATGTTCAATCATCTCATGTCCACTACATCCAAGGTACTCAACATCAAGCCACACCGTGTGCAGGATAGTGCCGGAGATCTAAAGTCGATATGTGGACCCATTGACATTGAGGGTCACATTGGCAACGATAACCGCTTCTACTTGTTGGACTTTGCTCGTCTGGCACCACCCGAGCCACCCGTCAACCGTGGCGCATACCTGTACCGTCTGCTGCGTCTAGAGTTGGTCAGAAAGAATGAGGTGCCACTGTGCAGTGACTCATTCTCACCAATGCCCACCATTGACATTGAGACCCACAATGCAGAGGTGCGCGACGCCTATGACCACATGGTTACCAACATCATCCCCAAGTTTGCCAACGATCTTGAACACACTGCCGAGGGAGCGTTGACATGCGACCAGCTGTCCAAGCTGTTCCACAGTGAGGGTATCAACATGCGACACCTTGGACTTGTGCGTAGATGTTGCAGTCGCGATGCTATTCGTGAGGTCCTCCTTGTCGAGGCCATCTCCAGATGTCTCAAGAGTCTTACACGCGAGCTACTTCGCAGAGAGATGAAGAAGACCCATCTACCCTCAGATTATCCATATAGAAGTAAGTCACTCAATCAATCAATCACTCAATCGATCAATCACTTACTCAATCATTCAATCATCCAAACAGAGATTATCCTCAACTTTATCAACTTGGTGTTTGGAAGCGATAATGATGAGTTCCTGAAGGAGATATTGTTGCCAAAGATGGAGAAGAAGTTCAGACATATCAATGATACGAAGGATCCAAACAATGCAAATGAGTTCTTGACCGAGAATCAAGAGGAGTCGCCATTGTTCACCAAGGACTCGCCAATCTACCCAAGGATACTGCATCGATTCATCAACACAATTGGCGTTGTGATGAGTGCCGACTCTATCAAGGAATACTACAAACAAGAGTCTGGCATGTCCTTTGTCGACCCGGACATTGTGGAGCTAAAGACACAGATCACCAGACTGAACATCATTGATTACGCTGACGGTATGAGTCTTTATTACAAGGCTCTAGAGTCCAAGTCTGACGATCGCTCCAAACGTCGTCTGTTGGACATCTCGCAGTCGATGCTCAAGCGCTCACTTCACTCCATGAGTACCAACTATGGTGCCATCTTCCAGCTTGGAAACGTCCAGATGCTCATGGCCAAGTATGAGACCGATCACCACGTCAAGGCCAGGATGTACGACGAGGCTGCCGAGACCTACCTATCAATGGAGAAGTTTAGAATCGATCAGAACCTACTCTATCTGTATGTGTCTACTGGAATAATCCCAATCATTCGATCAGTCAATCACATACTTACCCTACCCTACCATTCCACTCACTTACACGCACAAAGATCCAAGTTCAACAGAGGCAAGGCAATGTTGGCTAAAGGAAAGCACTGCTATTTGGAAAAGGATGTGTTTAACACTTCACTTGAGGTGTTTAGGGATGCTGCTCAGAACACTCTGGACAAGGCCGATGCCAAGGCATTGGAGGTGGAGGCAATCTTTAGATGTAAGGGAGTAACTGAGCAGGAGATATTCGACCAACTTGTCAACATGCTCCAGGAGATCCTGCATGACTATCCCAATCACCCACGCACCAACCTCTTGATGGCCAAGGTGTTGTCTTACAGAAAGTTCCACACTCGTCCCATCTCAGAGGTGGCACACTACTTCCAGCTGTCGTCAGACAACCCCAACACCCTGAAGAAGCTCAAGACCTTGCTCAAGAGCGACCTGTGGAGGATATTCCCAATGGTTCGCGAATGCCCCAAGATGTTTGATGACATCAAGGAGCAAATCAAGTCCATGGCCGCCAAGCTCAAGGTGCCCGAGGATCTGGAGCTCATCGAGTCGGACGCACATTTCTTCTCAAGCCTCGACATGCCCACCACCAAGTTGTTGCTGGGCAACATCAGTCCAGAGTCATTCACCAAGTTTGTTAAGTTCTTCAATCACAGCATCATCACGATGTCTCTGATACAGTGCGACCTGGCTCAGCCACCGATCCTCACCGACCTCTCCAAGCTTCGCGCATTGCAATCAATCAACTTGGCCAAGTGCAAGGGACTGACCGACGAGGCCATGGGTGTGATCATGTCGCCCGTGCTCAGGAAACTAAAGATCTACGAAGTGGACGGTATCACCGACGCGACCTTTAATGTGATTGCCACTAGCGCGCCAGCATTGGAGGTGCTGGATGCAGGACAATGTCCCAACATCAGCGATGTCCATGCTGAGTCACTGGTGGCCGGCTGTCCAAACCTGCGCAAGTTGGCCATGCCCACCAAGGTCACTGGCGAATCGATCAGGACATGTCTGAGCGGTCTCACCAAGCTCGTGGCACTGGACCTCTATCAATGTGAGGACATTCCATCGGCCATCTACGGAGAGGCGTTCAAACTCTCTGAGAGCGTCAAGAAGGTCAGAGGATCAGATGGTTTCCCTCACTTTATCCTCAAGAACACGACATTCATTGCTACCTTCCGTGGACCAAACGCACAGGAGGCAATGATGAACATGCCGAGCGAGTCAAGATACTTTGTTAGGATTGTAAAGTCGATGGGAATGTCGATGTTCCAGGGCCAGGTGTTCTCGTTCTACTTTGATCCCAAGCATCCAGTGGTCAAGTTCAGAGATCTGGTGATCGATGGCTCGACGACCAACAACTCATGGCACAAGATCGGTCACTTCTCGGTGGTCAAGAAGCCGCAGTTCAGGATAACAATGGCCAAGAGGACACCATTCAACACGTGGGAGACCGACTTCCATCTGCAGATCCCGCCCACTGGACTGCTCACAAAGACCGAGTGCGACGTGCAGTACAATGGCATCAAGTACCGACTGTCACATCGACTCACACCAGTGTTCTCTGGTATGGCATTTGAGACGCAATTGTACCTCGATGGCAAGGTAGTTGCCTCTGCGTCCAACCTTCGATCCAACCGTATCAACACCATTGTTGATCTCAAGGAACTTCCATCAATATTCCTTCCAGTATTGTTGTCTTGCGGTCTTTCCGAGCAAGTGTAAATTCATCAAAGTAATAACTCTTCATTCATTCAATTCATTCATTCATTGTTGTTATTTTATACATTATCTCTTTGTTAATATGTGTGTGGTGTCAGCCAATATTAGATAGAGAGGTGTGTTTGTGTAGTGTGACGTGTGGGAACAGCAACACCTATAATAGGAAAGGGTGTATGAACGTCACTCGTGTTCATTATCTCTCAACCACTGCCACCCTATTGCTCATTGTTGAAGGCTCAGATGATATAACACATGTAACTAAGTAGTGAGTGTGGTAGAGTGTGAAGTGAAGTGAAGTGTGATTGACTGACTGACTGATTGATTGTCAGTTATACTAATCAATTTCATGTGATTACAACTCAACTCACTGTCTATATGTCGAATAGAATAGAATTTGATCGGTATGCTACTTGACTTGACTGTTGCTGATGTATTGTTAGTTGTAGAGTAGTGTGTGTTCATTGACTGTGTATGTCACCAACAACAAGTTGATCAATCTCAGAGCCTCTTCTTGACTATATTATTACCACCAAACTTTAAAGTTGTAATATTTATTCACTATAGTTTAATAGTTTACTACTCAAATTTAAAGTTAGAATTGACTGAACAGCGATACAGACTCAACTTGCAAACCCAATCCAACAACATTATATGGATTTGGTAATACAGGAATACAAGAAAATGAGTTATAAATGTAAGACAATTGAGTATTTATGTACTCTTTAATTATTATTATAGTTGGACTTGACTGGACCTCACTAGACTTGTCTCGACTTAATAATTGAAGAGAGACCATCTCGCACACACACACACACACTCCAGACTTTGAGTTCACTTGTCATTGCCAATACAAAGCCACCACAACTACAACTACCACACACACTACCGACCTACAAGTCTAATATGGCAAGTGTCCTAAGATATAGGAACACTAAATGTGGAAGAGAAAGATGCGCACAAAGGATAGAGTAGTGAGTGTGTCGGTCTAGTAGTGGAATGTATATCCAATGTCAATCATATTTATCTTACATATAAACAAACATAAACAAAGAGAGATAAAAATAAAGAACTAACAATATTTATCAATCAATCAATCAATCAATCAAATAACTTTATATAGTATTTAAACCAATAATGGACAACCCTATATTGTTGCCAACAACTCCAAATAGTAGTAGTAGTAGTAATGTCCAAAGTCGGATATCTAAATTCCAACAACAACAACAGGGAAACACTACAGAGAGCTCGAATAATGCAATAGGTTCAACCTTGGTCAATATGAAGAAACAACAGATATTATCAATAATGAATAATAATAATAGTAGCAACAAGAGTTCACAACCATCATCGGAAATGACAACTCCAGATCTCCAATCATCACCACCTTCTCCAACATTGTTATCTCTACAACATCATCTACCTGAGGGATACATACCATCCTCAAACATCCATAACAAATCATCAGTACAATCTTCAGCCACATCATCATTAGTACCATCTCCAGTACTATCTTCAATACCCGCCCCACCTCCACCTCCCTCACCTCAACAACATCTTCAGACCGAGCCAGAGAACTTAAGTGTTCTCTCAAAAGTCAAGATATTCGCAGAGAGAGAAGCAATCAATCATGAGCGACAGGGCATTCTAAATAAGCAAGCATCGAGCACTGGTTCCAAACCTCCTCTGACTCCTTCAAAGATGCGCCCACCCAAACAAGACTCATTCCAGTTCAAACCTCCCATCCCTCCTAGGAAGGATCTGGAACAAGGTACAACAAGTGGGGATACAACACCTGGCAAGCAACCAAGGCCGCAACAAGTTAGCACAGAGTATCCCAACTCAACAACAAGACTATCAGCCAACTTTGGATCATTGGTATCAATGTATGATCACAGCAGTTCGAATAGTAGTGAGATATCTTCAGATGATTCTCGCTCCCTGCCTCAGACACCTCGTCAAAGAAGTGGTAACTTACTGCCACTGATTGAGAAACTGAACACATTGTATGAAGGTGGAGGAGGAATACAAAAGAGTAATCCAGCTACACCCAACTTGGCATCGGCATCCAAGAAGGATAAGGATGGCAGTGAGGTAGTGTCCAAGCCACCTCCAATCTCTATCTCTCAACCAGCAGATCAGTCACAGACACCGCCAACTACCACAGGATCATCAACCCCCAGGAACGAATCCAATATAATGAGTATCATCAACGAGTTGATATCAACTGAAGGTGATTACCTTCGTGACCTTGACTTTATCATCCGTGAGGTGGACTCTCTTATGCAGAAGAAGACCAAGTATGCACGTACTCCCTTGGCCGCACTATTCTCGATCATTCAAATTATTCGAGGACTCAACGCCACCCTTGGATCAGACCTGACCTCCAATGGAACGCCAACCATCGAGACCACAACAAAGGTGTTCAAGAACATTGTAAGTTACACATTCATTCAATCATTATTTGAACGTATAACTAACATTGATGAACTACTACATAGCATGCATTCCTCAAGATGTATTCCCAATATTGCATCAACTATACCAAGGCCATTGTGAACATCAAGGAACTAGCCAAGTCCGATCATAACTTCAATCAGTTCCTAACCGAAGTGTCAAGTAATCCCTTGTCCAGAGGACTTGGTCTCCAAGACTATCTTATCAAACCAATCCAAAGGATATGGTAAGTTAACCACAAATTCAAAATGATAATCACTCATTAACAAGACAACGAATTCAGCAAGTACCCATTATTCTTCAAAGAGTTGATCAAGAACTCACCTGGAGAGAATGCAGAGTTGGAGGAGATTTATTCAAAGTTGAATGAGGTTGCTGATTATGTCAATGAATGTTTGAGGACATCTGGAAACACAGAGAGATTGTTGATGATCAAGGATGAGGTGGATAATGTACCATTCCAAGTGATAGAGTCTTCAAGACGTATAATACTTGACCTACCATGTAGAATCAACAAAACATACGATCACAATGATACTCGACACCTGTATATATTCAATGACATTGTGATGGTAGCACGTCCACGCAAACTATTTGGAGGCAATCAATTCTCAATCAGTTTCCCATTCCATCTGACATCGATTGTATCAAATGGTGATGCAACCAGCATCCTCATAAGCGCATCCGATAACAACTATCCATCAGTGACCATGGAAGTGATCTTCTCATCACTCACACAAAAGTTGGATGTATATAATCAATTGAATCAACTGATGTATGATTATAGAGTTAAACATCAGGTATGTATCCATAATCATATATACACTCTCATTCATTCTAACATCATAACGCCAACTTCCAGACTTTGAAAAGAGGATTAGATTCAGAATCAATGAGACTTTGGATTGATGAAGATGATCCTTCAGTACAAGTATTTAACAATAGTAATGGAAACAACAACAATGGTGGAGTCAATGGTGGCAATGCTGGAGTTGGTAATGGTGGAGATGAGTTTATGAATAGGATTCCAAAGAGTGGTATAGTCTCCATCATGTATTCACTTGATAATCTATCATTTGCACCTCGTGGCAAGATAACAACACCTGGCCTTATTAAGGCCAAATATGCCAGTTAATCCTTATCAATCCATCTATCGATCATGTCCTATATATGTATATATATATATTTATATTATTATATATTTATTTATTTTGTCCATCCTTCTCCCACCCATCGATATAATAAAATTGTCCATATATCCATCCATCATATATCCATCAATCAAATGTACTACCATCTTTGTTCAATACATATACTAACATACTCACTCAATAACATAGGATCAAGTAGCAGTTATTTCTGAACAAGACCAAGTGAACTCGTGAAGAACAAGGACACAACTACCCCAAAACCATAAATTAAACAAAATACATTTCCAAAAGTCACTTCATCAATTCATTGAATGAAAGTATCTCTTTAATCATAACCCAAACAACTACAACGTCAACCTATTATAAATATATATACTATACTACACATACAGATAAAAGAATGAGTCAACAAGAGAGTAAGATTAGATGATGATTGAATTCGTATAGCAGATACCTCGAAGACAATGACTAACTTGATTGATTGATTGATTGAATAGTTAAATCATTCGTTCAAAGTCTATTCCTTTATTATTATGAGAAGCCTGGTGATACACAACACTTGGATATTGCTACAAACTTGATATTGGCTGGTCATCTATCATTTGATACGGCACCTCTGTATATTGAATCACTCTATGTCACATTCCCATCAATCTACTCTCTAAAGAACAGGACACCCGAACACATCCTACAAAAGTACAAACAGCAACAGAATCAACTGCCGCCACACATTCAACTACAGATACAACAACATCATTCTATTCAATCTGGTGGTCAACATCCTCAACAGCCTCAGCCTCAACCTCAACAACACAAGATAACACCAACGACATCACCTTTGAAACAAACAACACCAACATCATCATCAACAACCGCACAACGATTTAGATATTACGATGAGGATAAACATCAGTTTGATAAGGAGGCGATTAGGACAAACATTACGAATGACACGGCGAGACAGTTTGTTAATGAGCTGTACACGGTGTTGATTGGACGTCTGGGCGACCCAGCCTCCACAAACTATCTGGTCACATCTCTGTTGGACGGCTCACTCACTCCACAGCAGGCAGAGTTCCACGTTCGTTTCTCAAAGGAGGCTAAGCAACACGCAGTCGTATTGAAACAACGAGAGGACAAGCGAGCCAAAGCCGAGGAGTATGTATTTGAGCTGTACAGAGTCTATTGTGGTGAGGACTACATCTGCTCAGCGGAGGAGGTGTTGGGCTTTGTCAAGCGCATCCTAGACACACCCAACGTCGACTATCAAGCTATTGAAGATGAGATCAAGCTAAAGGCCATTGGCAATGTCAAGGTACCAGGCAACAAACCATTCAACAAATACCTATAAACCCTCAATGTCCTTGTCATTGTCATTGTCCTTGACTTTGACATTGACTCTGGCTTGCCTCGAATCATATTTGTTCGGGCTGATACCTATAACCCAATCAATTTGATGATTGATTCAATCGTTGGCCGCAGCAGTTTACATTTTGGATAATGGGCTGGCTTTGCCCAATGAGAGGGCAATTGATTGGAGTCACCAGAGCGAGGGGTTGGATTGGATGTGTGTTGTGTTGTTGGAGAGTGGTCACCCTCTTACCTCCGCTACTCTCTCTCTCTTTAGATCCTTTCAGATCCTTGATTCCCTTTCATTCAATCATTCAATCAATCAATCATTTATATTTATATATAATGGAGATAAAGAATACAGTAAACACTCAGGCACAGAATGTACTTCAAGGTTTGATGTCCTTCTCAGACAAGTTGGCAAGAAAACAATCAAGACAAGAGGCTTTGGATAAGTTCCACAATGTTGCAAAGAAGTCTATCATCAAAGTTCCAATCATTGTTTCAATTAGAGGTATGCAATGTGTTCTATTCAAATCATATATATACAATCAATCTAATACATCATCAACAATTAGTGATCAAGACAACATTCAATACTCCAACAAACTTCCATCTATGGATCAATGTAGAGGGATCTCTTACATCTGCTCAATCATCTGAGTCTAGGACAAACAGCTTCTTAGCCTATTGGGATGAGGACCCTTCATTTCAATTGTATGTTTCATTGATTCATTCATTGATTGAGAATGTATGAAGACTAACAGACAATGATAATGTAGCATGTTGGATGAGGTATCATCAAAGGGATTGACATTGGATATCAAGGTTATCAATGATAAGTCTCTTAAGATACTCTGCGATAGTTTGAGAACATGTGCATCACTAAACTATGATGTAAGTATCTCACTCGATCACTCATCGTCACTTACTAACTCAATGATACAATAGATACAAGCTGGATTGATTGGAGATGGAATGGAGAGTAGTAGTACCAAGATGGTTAAACCATTCTTTGACTTTGACAACAAGGAAGTTGGACAAATTGAGTTTGAGTTGAACATCAATCCCATACCTCACTTTGGTCTAAAGTATTGGAAGAGACTGCCCGTCATGGATCCAGATACCAAGATACCAGAGATAGCAATGGTATGTACCACTTCACTCAATCAATCAATCATACTCACTCATTCAAACATACTCCCTCTTAGCCAAGCCCAAGCTTTGTACATCATGATGAGTTCAATGAGATGATAGTAGCCTTTGTAATTGTATATTGGTTGTTGCGAGGTGAGAAGCATGCATGGGATATGCTACCGCCAAACGTACAGACTCGAACAGATGCATCGATAACGGACTCCTTCTTTGTGTATCGTAGACTGAATGGCTGCAATCGACCTTATAACATATTCACAAAGGTCTCTGGACATCCATGGGACTACGAGCTACGTCTAAGCTTCACTGGCTGCGAGAAGAAGAAGGATGTGTGGATGCCCGACAAGACCTGTTGCAACTTCAAACTGATCGATGACGAGTTGGTCATTGTCAACATCCAATACCAAATGGAGCCTGATGGAGAAGTCTTCACCCAAGTGGCCGATGGCAGCGATGAGTGGAACCTATTCAAGATCAAGTACATGATGATCGAGTTCAACTATAACATCACGTAAGTGTGACACTGGCTCATCATGGAACCATTCCAATCATCTTACGCAATCACAATCAATCAATTACTTAGTTGGGCACATGTTGGCGTACACTTCATCGTTGAGATGTACTCGATGGCCTTTTACAGGAACATTGTAAAGAACCCTATTCAACAGCTGCTCTGGCCTCACTTTGATGGAGTGATATTTAACAATTGGCTGGTAGTCAGACCGATGTATAATGGCGTTGTCACGATGGCAGCGGCTCTGACATACGAGGGCCAGGTCAAGATGCTTGAGGACAAGTTCAAAGACGTCACATATCGATGGAAGCCCGAATCACTGCCCGAAAACATCAAGAACAACACCTATGATACGGCCAACAACGCATGCTGGCAGTTGATCAGCGAGTATGTCGATGAATTCTTTGCCGTACACAGCGCCAAGATCCAGGAACACTGGGACGAGATTGAGAATGTGTCCAGAGATCTGGTGGCGCACCAGCTCAACGACGATCCCAACGCCAACGCCATTAACAACATGCAGGACCTGCGCGACTGCTGCGTGTACATCATCTACCAGGCAGTATTCCAACATGCCTGGATCCATTGGAAGGCCTGGGACGATGAGGCTCAAGCTGTCATGTTCAACAAGGACGGCGAGACACCACTCAAGGACATCCTCTACGAGCAGAATCTAGGCAATGCGATTGAAGCAGGTGTACAATATCCCTCGGCCTACGTGCGTCACTATCCAATCCTGGATCACGAGTTTGGCGGTCCAGAAGGACTTCAACGAAGACTCTGGGAGCATGCACACAAGATCAATCCGGGAATATCAGTTGGATCACTTGTCATGAGTCCGAACATCTAAAGTGTACATTGACGGCGTCGTACTTCGGTCCACCAATCACAAAAGTCAATCTAAATATCTTTTTTTATAAATCTTGGCCCGACCTTAATATGGGGTGTGTCAAATTGAGCGACTGATTGATCATGGGCGGTCACTGATTGATGGCGTGGGTCATGGATTATCAATTGTTTTTTTTTAGTCTTGTTCTCAAGTCAAGACACTTACATTGTGGAGGTCAAATAGGACCTCGCGTCAATCATTCAAGTCAATCAATCAACTTTATACATCCATGTACATAATACAACTACTACTTCCACTACTACTGCTGTCAACTTGGTTGCCAACCTACCTTGCCATCACATGCCCCTACAACAACTATGATTACAATTTAATGGACTCTCCTGTCCAGGCCTCCGCTGGCTTTGCCTGTAATAATGTGGCCACATTGTCAACAGAGCTCGAACAGAAATGGGTATACGACAACTTGTTGAAGCCCAAGTCCATCAACCAGGTGTGGTTGGGCATTGACTCGGTAGACGGTGGCATAACCTTTGACTATATCTATTATGACTCGGCATCAACTCTTTATAGACAACAGATGTACAACACACGTTTGGACACATGCACACAATACTGTCCGTGGGCTGTCAATCGACCGGCGATGGGTGGCCGTCCGTATGGCCGCTGGCAAAATGATGTCTTCATCCTTGACACGCAGCCCGCTACCTCGAGTTTCCCCTACGTCTGTGTGGCGCCACCTCCTCGCATAGCATTGATGCTAAAGAACATTGTTGGCACATCTGGAGGCATTCTCCAGTTCACATTGGACACCATCAGCAACTCCTACAGCTCAACACAGAAGCTCACTCGTGTGAGCGACAACACCACAATCGAACTGGGATCCACCAACGACATGACCGCAAAGATACCTCCTGGAGCCGGAACCTATATCCTCACAGTAACTCATGTTGCTGGAACCTCCACATCAATCTTCCAATATGAAGGTATGGTTGTATGATCACCCACATCTGGAATCATTCCACCCACTCACTCACTCACAATCAATCAATCAAACAGCCCCTCATATATCTGATATCTGGCCAAGCTTTAATAAGAGCGACATTGTGTACTTGCGTGGAAAGAACTTTGGACCTGATGCCAGCAAGATTAGTGTAACTTTTGGCGATCAGACCAATGTTGTGAGATGCCTTGGCGTGTCCTTGTACACGATGATGATCAACACGACCACACCATATGAGTACTTGTCATGTCAACTGGAGAGGTCCATTCAGTATACATCAATGTTCCCAGTGACTATCGATGTGGATGGAGTATCCCATCTCACAAACAGATGTCGCTTCATAGACTCGTTGTCCACAACTACCAAGTATCCACCAGTGTTCTCCGTGTCCGACATACCCCTCAACTACACTAGTGCCATCGCGTTATACAACGATGGTAATCGATACCTTGGAGTCATAACAACAAAGTCTTCCTTTGACATTGTACGCCAAGTATATAGCTCTGCAGCCATGGTCGTGGAGGGCATGTACTATAATGGTACCAACATGGTCTACAGCGAAGGACCATTTAGCAAGCAGATTGTGGCACCATACACCTCATCCCAAGTACAAGGATCACAAAACACCTACTACACACTCAATCTTCTGGATGCCTCACTAGGAGTCTTGTCCATGTCCGACACGACCTACCCCTATCTTCTCCAGAACTCCACGATCACACCTGGTACCACATTCCTTGACTTCTTCCGAATCAACTGGAATACCACGGCCACGCCAACTACTGCCGGTGTCCTCACAATCGCCATATATGGCCTTGCATTACCATTGACCTCTTACCAAATCGAGATTATTAACAACACTGGTATCATCACCAACGGGCAGCCTCAAGATAACTACATATTTTTCAACATAAAACCAACTCTATCACCTATCAACATTGGAATACTCCTATCCAATACTCAAGGTCAATACAGTCTCAACTTCATCTATGGTATTCCACCTACACCATGTAAGTCACCCTTGGCCTCATCCAAACTCCCACCCCAACCCTAACCCTAACCCTAACCCTCGCCCTTGACCCAGACCCTGTGATCATAGATTACCATACCAATACTCAATATAATCAACCAGGAGAGGTAACAGTGATTGGATTGAACTTCATTGGAATAAGTTTGGTGACCATTGGCAATGTACAATGCAGTCCAGTACAACCTGTCAACTCAACTACGTTCATTTGTTACTTCCCAGCCAGTGTGACCATTGGCAACGAGGCACTACCCATCAATGTAACATGTGGTGGTCTCTCAAATGTAGCCTACATCTTTTATTACAAGCAGACGGTACAATGTCCTGGCACCCCAGCATGCAGTGGCAACGGACTGTGCAACACCAACAATGGACAATGTACATGTAATACCGGCTACTCTCTACAGAACTGCTCTCTCAAGGCTGAGGTCAACCCGACACCACCACATGCTGATGGCAATGGTACGGCAGTGTTGCCATCTGGCAACTCGAACAACGACCAATCATACTTGGTCAACATCAAATTCCTACGCGAGTCTGATGAACAAGGTCGCCAAATCAGATTGCTAAACATGTCCACGATCAAATGGAAGACCACCCCATCGATCAACAATATGTCGTACCAGTTCCAGGGCACGTTCGACAATGACAATTGTTCAGTCAACCTGCAAATGGACGTCTACAAGGACAACGCCACAATCAAGTTTGCCGGCGAGTCCATATTCATCCCGGCCAGTTCAATCAAGTTCACAGTGGAGATTAGCGACTGGAAGTTTGCCAACCAACTCAACATGCTTGAAGTGATCATGGCTACAACATCAACAGCGGCTGATCAACAATGCAGGCCACCAATGACCACTGACTCGGATGGTCCTCCAGGTAGTTCCTCATCAGCCTCATGGCTCGAGCTAAAGTCTGGAGGCACAGTGCTCTCGGCTCGCTACGCCAGGTATCTCTTGGTCAATGACAGAATCACTAGAAGCAAGGTCTTGCTTTTAGATCCAACAACAAACGCGATGCTATACGGTGCACTTGGCACAGCCGGTGACGCCAACTCAACATTGTTGACATCAATCCATGTACCATACTTCACCAAGACATGTACAATTGATCCAAGCTTCCAACTTTTGTTAACTGATGATGACAATAATCCTGGACAGCAATGTGGTGGCAAGAGCAGCACTCAATCAAATGATCGTTGGAAGCTACCTGTGATCGTAGTGTGTACAATTGTAGGAGCATCAATTCTGGCTGCAGTCATGGCAGTATTAATCAGAAGCAGACTCAAAGGAAGAAGATTACATGATGTCATATCATTCAAGATGAAGCCAAAGAGGAAAGTGTACAATGAATAAAGATTGATCAAAGAGATAGGTCAAGAGAGAGAGAGAGATCTCTTCTGTATTTATAAGGCCCTTAGTAGTGGGACTGGATCATGTTGGTTATTCCACCTGGGTTGGCACCATTGATGAAAGCAAGCTGCTTCTGGGTAACCTTGAAGTTCTTGAATAGGACGACACATGGGAAGAGATTTGGGAATGACATCCAGAGGTTGTTGGTACGGGCATCACTTGGCATGGCAACCATGTTGAAGATGGCATTTGGGAATTGAGCTGGGAGTGTCTCCAAGAAGCCATGGATCTGTTGGCATCCAATACAGTCATCAGTGCCAAAGTAGTAGACCAACTATATTGATTGAATAGGAGTAGGAGTTAGAGAGTGATGGGAGGGTTGGTAGGGTGGGAGTGAGTGGCGAGAACTTACCAGAGTAGTGGTTGGTGAGTTGTTCATCTGATCAGTGACGACAGCGGCAGAAGTAACGATGTTCCAGTTTTTAAGATGGCTGTTGACGTTGGACATTATGTGAAAGTGTATTAAAAGTAGTCGAAGTAGTAGTATTACTAAGTGTGAATATTTGATTGAATGATTGAATGATTGAATGAGAGGACCATGGTCCTTTTAAAGACTATGGAAGATGTGACTCCCTCCACCTGATCAATCAATATTGGAAATCTGAGTTGTTTCACAGAGGTCCTAATTAGGAACAAGTGTACGCCCCATCTATTGATAATAAGTCCAAGTCCCGAGTAGGTGAACACCTGATTGTCACTCAAGTTCTGAATCGGAACAGGGGTGGACAAGACACAGGGCATACAAGTGATGTTTTCCTTGATTCATCAACATCGCCCTGCGGGGGAGATGGTAAGTTGTAGCCTCGGATGTGGCCATGTTGCACATCTTATCCCTAATAATAGGACGACTGTTTCATTCATTCAATCATTACAACAGGTCAGTCATGTTTCATTGCCACCGCATGGGTGCCCATCCTGATTGGTGACGTGCCCCCAAAAAAAAAGTAGGGTGCTGGGCCTTGGTAGGCCCTTTGTTTGACAACACGTGATTGGGGTGTTGGGCTGTTGTCGGTGTCCGAGCGCGATACTTGCGCGTGGTGATCAATCACACACGTCCACCGTCCATCAGCTGCTTCATTTCAGTGAACCTTTCAATGAGGAGATTGTTGAACTCGTTGGGTATTTCGCTGCTCAGAGCAAAGAGAATCGTTCGCAGTATGACTATGGAGCGATCGATGAAACACTTGGTGAAGATTGCTATCCTTGCAAAGGCTGTCTGGCCATTCTCGCCCAACACTGGCTGCTCCTGCTTCGGCAGCTTCAACTCGAGCGTCGCACAAAGGCTCTCCAAGCTGAGCTTCACGGTCTGTGTCTGCTTGGCAATCGCTGAAAGTACTGTCTGTTGTTCCTTGTCCGCCTCCTTCCAACTCTGTTGTGCGTTCAATCTGTCTCGCTTCAGCTTCAATTGATCAATCATCACAAATGCTGTCTGACGGATAAGTTCATGTTGTTGTTGTTGTAGTACTAGTTGTTGCTGTTGTTGCTGATGTTGGTGGTGCAGTTGATGTTGCTCTGGCACGATGATGACTTCATCCTCTTCGACAAATACTTGAAGTTCTTGATTCTCACGTGACAACTCCATTGCGACCAGAGGTGTAGTCGCGGCGGAAGTACCAACCACATCAACATCCACGTCCAAACTCGAGATTTGTTCGTCGGCACTATCAATCTGTACCTCTTCCTCGAGGTTGGTGATGATGTTCTCGACTTCGTACTCGGCCTGCTTCATCAACTCTTGCTCCTGTATCAGTTGCTGTAGTTGTAGCAACACGTGCTCAGGTATGTAGCTGGTGGACATCTCGATGGTGCCATGGATCAACTTCTCCGACGCGTTGATATCGATATTGTTGTGCGACGATTGCAACACATCAGCTATGGACAGCAACTTGTTTCGACCAAAGAACTCCTGAGTGGCCTGCAACAGCTCGTTGCTGGTGCCCGACGCAATGACCATGCCGCCGAGGTAGCACAAGTAGTGGCTGGCGTGATTGACGACTGCCGTGAAGATGAGCAACCAGCGACGCAGCAGGTCGGGTATGCGCGCTACCAGCTCGGAAGGCACGAGGTTTGGTGTGGACGAAGGCACCTTGAAGTTGACGGCGGGTGGTGACGAGAAGTTGTTGCGCTCAATCTCGGCTTGCACGTCTTCGTAACTTGCGATGCCCAGGTTCGTGGTTACAAAGTCCTCGAGCCAGCGACAGAGCTTGACGATCGTGTAGGAGATGGTCATGGCGCAGTATGAAGTGGCTTCATTGATGGTGACGTCAAAGTACAGCTGGATCATCTGTGAGTGGAAGTCCTCAATCAGCTGCTTGACACACTCCTGGAGCAACATCGTCTCAAAGTGCTCGCTGTCGCCACTCTGTGTCGACAAGTCGCTCGACATTGATATGGGAGAGGGCAATACGGGTGACCCAGGTGGCGATCTTGGGGATCTTGGCGACAACGATGGGGGCGACACAGAGTTGTCTGAGCTAGAGATCTTGGCCTTGATGGACAGTGGTGACGAAGGCACGGGCGAGGAGGAAGCCGGTAGCAGGCTGTTGTTGAGTACGGGGCGCAATGGACTGCTGCCACTGGCACTGCTGCTGCTGTTGCTACTAAAGCTCTCCCTGCGACCCGCTGTAATATCGTCATCAATCGAGATAGATGGCACGTACTCGAGCATGAGCTTGACGACTGCGATCTCCTTGGAGAGGTTTCCCATCGCGTTGGTCAGCTCCATCGAGTTGGAGCGAATGAGTGATGGCGAGAAGACCGTGGCCAGGTTATCATGGTTCATCATTGTATGCTTGACATTGTCGGGGATGGCGCAAGTGCGCATGATGTCCAACACATATGACAACACGCGCTGGTTGATCGCAGGCATCTTGTTGAACTGGACGAGCAGCTCGTTGTGATTGTCTGCAGCGCCGAGGAACGAGTCGTACATGGCAAAGGGGATGAGGGGCTCGGGCATCTCGCGCACCCATAACTTGAGCAGCGAGGAGATGGTATGTACATTGTCCACGTGCTCCATGTCGAAGCTGCCGTCGTCCAGACGCTTCTTGAGCTGATCAATGTCGACTAGACGCGAGGGTACGCGGAACACGCCCTCTGTTGTAAACGCATCCAGCTTGATCATTCTTCTCTTGATCAATGCCAACACCAATGGGATCTCCAGATTGGGATGTGATTGCTTCTGGCTGGCCATCAACTGATCGAGTGCCACGCCAAACTGTGCCTGTGCCTGCTGTTGTTGCTTGTTTCCACTACCGCCACTACTGCCACCACCTGCTTTAAAGTTGATGCTGGTACTCCATCGCTTGAGATAACTTGGCTTCTTCTTGTGATCGCCCTTGGGCTCCTTTATCTCCCTCATCAGGTCCTTCTTGAGGTCCTCGGACGAGGACGAGTGATGGTGGTACTGAGAGAGAATGAGGGGGATGGACACGTGGTCGTCTCGTGACGACGCGTTGCTGCCAGGTGCGCGATTAAAGTCGACCACCTCGAATGGACGCGGGTTGGAGTCGAGGTTCACTGACAGTTTGATGCGGTGCACGTAGGCCGACACCTCGCTGTCGGCGTTGATTGTCTGTAGCTTGTCGCGCAACTGTGCCAGCTCGCCCTGGTACGTGGGCAGACTGACCATGTTGACAAATTTGCTAAAATACTGCTTGAGCATGTGTGATCGATACACCTCGATGCGATACAGGTCGGCAATGGCGTGCGGGATCACCTTGCCGTAGAGATTGGCCTGCACCTTGTTCGTCTCGCTGACCAACTCGCGGTGCTCTCTGTTGATCTTGATCGCGTCCTGGCTCTGCTTGAGCACGCGTCTATTGATCTTTTGTGTGTCGCCTGATGCCTGGCCCGCGCCTCCGCTGGTGGCCGCCGTGGCCGAGTCATTCATCATCTCTTTGATCGATCGCTCGCAGGCCTGGCGCGACTTCCGCAGCTTCCCAACGGCGTCGCTGTATGAGTGGAAGTTCTTGTGGACGTCGGTCATAAGCGTGTTGTTGCGTTTCTCGATGCTGGACAGCAGAGTGTCGATAGAGTCAACGATGGACTCGTTGATATTGTTGTACATTGTCTCGTGGTAGGTGGCCTCCCACGATGCCGACTGGCGTATATTTGTCCAGACGTCCATCACGGCGGCACTCATACATCCACTCTGGACACTTGGCTCAAACTTTGCCAAAGCTGCCAGTTTGCGTGAGTATTCCTCTTCCACTTGTGCTCGCATCTTAAAGTATCTCTTTATGTCTCGAAGTGAGCTCGCGCCCCTCTCTGATGCCTTGGCGAATTGTTCCAAGCCATCCTGGATTGATTGAATATGTGTGAGTGGGGGAGTGGGGTTAGGCCTTGATTGAGTCTGGAATAATCCCATTGTCTGGAAACATACGATTGAGGCAACTGTGTTACAGAGCTTCATTATCTCTTCGTTGGCAGTTTGGTTGGTTGCGGTCGCCATTTGTGATTATATTTATATATTTAGTATTGGTTGTTCAATCAAGGATATGAGTGATTGTGAGTAGTATTACAAGGGGGTTGAATGAATGATTGATTGATTGATTGATTGATTGTGATTGGATGATTGATTGTTTGATTGCTATATGGTACGAATATTATTATGATGTACTATGTAGTAATTGATTATTATTATAAGTAGGAGATAGATAGAAGATAGGTTGACGGGTATCCTTTACAATTCACTCGAATGATTGAATTGAGTAGTGATGTATGTGAGTGTGGGTGAGTAGTGATGTGATTGTAGGGGGTAAACCGAACGAAAAGGTATTGACTGCCTTGTGTATGATTGTGTGAGTGTGTATCTGTATGATTGATTATATATTTGTTTGGTAGTGATACAAAGAAAAAGGAGGGAGGGCTTTGGTTATTTGAATGTGACTACTTGTGTTGTTGTTGATGATGCTGACAATGACTGTGATGGTGCTGATTGAAGATGGACCGTATTGTTGTTGGTCCCAAGACAAGTTGTCTTGTCTTTTTTGTTGCGTTGTAAACACACCAAATGCACAATGACCCAATAACTCGTACAAAGTAATAAAGTATCTTTGTTGGGGATGAATGAAAGAATGAATGTTTTTTGATCAAAGTCTCTGTTGTTGACTTTGTTTTGTTTTGTTTTGGTGAGTCCACCCAACAAATGTTTGTTTGCATACACACACGCAGATCGAAACTTTGCAGATGAGCCTCAAGCTCCACAATTGGGGCATCTAATCAAAGGACCACAATGTTTTCCGGATCGACGATCTCATCAGACTTTGTTTGTTTCGATCGATTGATGAACTCAACACCATCATACCTATGGCCACTTCCAATCCATTAATACTCTAATAACTTATTATAATATTTATCTGTCGGTCATTCAAGTCACATAATATGTTTCCAAATCAATACAACACACCATGTGTGTATGTGTGTGTATGTGAGTCGTTATTATCTGTATGATTTGTGGTGTGGGATAGATAGAGATAATGAATATGTGTGTGTATGTGAGTGTATGTGAGTGTGTTCACACTTCACTGATATATCTTTGTAAATCCAACATGTCAACATGTCAATGTTCAAGAGTGTCACTTGTAGGACAATACATAGATTCCATATACATTGGTAACTACTTAAATACTATCTATTATCTATCTATTATAATATATAAATATTTTGAATGACAGATTAATATTATTATAATCAAATAATTATTATTATAATATTTACCTTAAATAATTTAGTGTCCAGCAAAGATGGGATTTGCGACTGCTCAGACTTCTGTTGGAAAACAGCCAGCTAGCTATAAATTATCAAATGGAATAATCCCATCCATATCGATAACACCTTCAAAGGTGTGGAGAAGAATAGTGATGATGGGAGGAATGGACTTGCGATCCATATCACTTTTTAGAGTACTGATGGCATTATGTGTCATTGGAGATAATATAGAGCGAATGACTGATTTGACAGTGCACTATACCGACGAAGGAGTATTCCCGCGAAAGTTATTGGTGTCACACTATGTCTCCAACTACTTCTTCCCAATCCATCTCATCAACTCGAGTTGGTATGGACAATTGGCATTGTTCCTAATCCACACGATGTTTGCATTCTTCATGCTGATTGGATATCGCACCAAGAGTATGTCTGCACTGACCTGGGCAATGACAGCGTCGCTTCAAGGTTATGTCGGTGTGATTGGTCACAGTGGCGATGTCTACTTCCGAATCATGTTGTTCTTTGCAATATTCTTGCCAACGGCCGAGTTCTTCTCTGTTGACAAATGGTCATTTATCAACACCAACCAACATAAGGATGAGGATCGCCAAGCTACCACCGCTGGCCCCGCTGCCGCTTCAGTTCGTTCATCTAGTGGCGATATTCAGACTTCGGACGCCACGATCCAGATTGACAGCAATGATGATCACGTTGGGAATCCACTTTTGGCACAACCGACGGTACATACACCGAGGAAGCAACATAATAATCCAGATCGATATCGATACATATCCATGGCAACGTGTTGTGTTCTCCTTCAAATGTCCTGCATGTACATTGCATCATTCTTCCACAAGTCGGGTGAGGAGTGGAAGACTGGTGATGCAACCTTCTACGCTATCAGTCTTGACTATTTCCAGACGGATATTGCTCGAATGGTTCTACCATGGAGGGCTACTCTTAGGTAATATTGGATGATTAACCAACTGTAGGCCTGCTAGTTAATTGAACTAATTCAATCAATCATTCATATATGCATAGGTTACTAACAGTATCAGTTGCAAAATGGGAGTTGATTGGTCCAATGTTGTACATATCACCATTCTACACTGACTACTGCCGCTTTCTTGGAGCACTTGGATTTATGGCAATGCATCTTGGATTCGTGTTGTTCTTGAAGCTTGGTCTATTCTTCTGGGTTACATTCTTTGCACAGGCAATCAACATGCCTCCATTCGTATGGGACACTGCATTTGGATGGATCGAGAACAAGTTGATGAAGGGACAACGTCCTTTGCATATCTATTTCAACACCCAGTCGCCACTTAGTCAGTACACTACTCTCATCATGAAGACGTTCTTTGTGTTGCCATCGTGTGCAACCTACTCTCCTCTGGAGCAGATCGCAACTGATGAGCCATCAATGACCGTTGGTGAGCAGAATACTGGTACATTTGGAGATGATTGGTTAGTGGCCATTGATCACAATGGTATCCGACGAAAGAACTTTTCCGCTTTGAACCTACTTATGAGCAAGTCTCCATTGTTGTTCTGGTTATCATGGACATGCTCTAGAGTACCACATACATTCTGTTCAGTAATGTCTCGCATTGTACAGTTCTTCAATCAACGTGGTAAGCAGACTCAGGCACTCTCCAGGAAACAATCGCTCTACATTCGTCGTCGAACATCCAATCGTGGATACTCTCGTGCCGGCTCAATCGTCTCCAATGTGATATGTGCACTACTCTTCTACTTGGTTCTTGGCTACAATCTGAATATCTTCTCACATCGTATCCCCTATTGGGGTGTGGCTTGGCAGAGAGCGGCATTCGTCATCCGCTTCGACCAAGGCTGGCACATGTTCAGTCCATCGCCGCCCAAGATGCATTGGTGGCACTCGATTCACGGTACCACCGACAATGGCACACATATAGAGTTGTTCAAGAACAATGCATTCCACAAGTTGCACACGGGTCACATCAACCACGATGTCAATCATGATAAGCCAAAGCCATTCGACACAACGTATGGCAACCATCGATGGTTCAAGTACTGGGAGAATGGATATAATCAAGTCAATTCTGATCCATTACGTCTGGAACTCGGTAGATATATATGTAGACAGTTCAACAGTGTACATCTTGGTCATATGCGATTATACACATTCAATGTATACTTTGACTATGAGTACATGAGTCTAGATGGAAGTGTTAAAGGTCCTGCTTCACAATCACTATGGCAACATAACTGTTATGAGAAGTAGTTATAAGTTAATGTCATTACATTTACTTACCAACTAATAATAAAGATATAAGTTATATTAGATAATGATAATGAATGAACGTATGTATACATCAATGCTATTGTTATCTCCTTCTATCTCTTTGTTCGCGCGAACAGATATTTCGACGAAGATGATGATGTGTGACACTTATTCCCACCTTTGGTGTCAAGGACCACACCAATCGCACTTTAGCCTTCACTTGTCAATCCGTTCAACATCATACAAAACACATATAACATATATATTTATATATATAATTACAATATATATAGAGACAGAGAGAAGAATGATCAAACATATATCACCACTACTACTATTCCTAGTGGCAACAACATTGCTACTACAAGTGATTGCTGCACAAAAGACTACACACTTTGTGTTGACAGCACCTTGTGTTGCAACACAGACCTGTCAACCATTCACAGATGCTAGTGTATGGGACGATCCCAATGCACTGACCAATCCAGAGCAGTATACATTCATTGTTGATCTGAGTGCCCTGACAACGCGTCTCGAACTTGAGATCCTCACCAACGTCACCGTCTCCAACTTTATATGCACGGGCATTTCAACCTCCATCCTCGCCTTCAACTCAAGCTCTTCGCTAACGTCCGATGCAGGCCAGATCACATTCAATTCGATTCAAGTCTCGCTTGCTGGCAACTCCTTCTTGGGTGCACCTACCATCAACGTCGAACAGGGCGCTTCAGTCGTATTGGGTGACAGCTCAATGATCAACTCGGTGATCAACGACACGCTAACAATTGGCACAGGCTCGACCGTGACACTATTCCACCAATCGTCACTGTTTGCTCTAAACATTAATTCAACAGGCACGCTTAATGTTGATGATTTCGCCACGTTGTTGGTACTAGGCACAGCCAATCTTACACAGATATCATTGGGATCGACGGGAAAGGGCAACTTCAACGTACTCTACCTCAATGGTACCAGCAACTCCATGCTTGGTTCAACCACAGTTGTCGACCTGTTCCTCCAAGAGTCGTCCCTACTCACCGTCGGTAATCTAGCCTGTAGCAACGCCAACATTGATGTATACTCCAAGATCACTGTGAACAATGGCCAATCATCGATCCGTTACCTGGCCGCGCCTGCCGATCCCACCCTCTCCTCGATCTTTATCGATAAAAACAGTACATTTACCATTGGTGGCTTCCTTAGCCAAACCATCACAACCCAACTCCTGATTGGATACGGAGACAACTTCCTCAACGTCAACAACGCAACCATCACAGCGATCAACACGACAGAGCCATACAACAAGATCGACACATTTGTCCTGCAGACTGGCGGCTTTGTAGTCTTTGCCAACTGGTTCGACTTCAACGGTCAGGTGGTTGTACTGCCTGGCGCCACACTCGACGTGCAACACCACCTCTCTCCAACACTCTGCATCGAAGCCTATGGACAGGTATACATCCATCGCAACCTCACCTGTGAGCAGGGCAACTACATCCAACATCCACACGAGGGATCGGTGCTCAACCTGGTCGAGAAGCCACTTCTCTTCATATGGAAGCTGTTCAATACCGGCCAGATTGTCGTCCAGACCAATGCAGTGATCAGAGGCAACGTTATCTCCAATGGTACCATTGAGATCCAGGCCGATCAGTCGTTGAACATTCAAGGTTACATCGACTTTATCGGCTACGACTCGCTGCTCCAGATCGATGGCATTGCCCCCAACACCAACCACTATGCGCTAACCGTGCTCAATGGCATTGCGATGAACGGAACGTTCAAGTACAACGTGTCCGCACCCCAACTCAACGACGCCGACGACCAGACTTACAAGCTGATGTCAACACAGATCGACTTTTATGGCAACTTCTCAACGATTGTTGCCGATCCATCTTTGAGCAATTTCACAACGCTAGAGTACAAGGAGGAGGCCTACTCCATCGAGCTGTTTATGAAGGGTCTTGGACACCCTTCTGGCGCTGGCAAGGACTTTATCATCTTGTTGGCCGTCATGATCCCCTTGCTGGTGGTCACCATCGTCCTAACCATCGTCTTTATCTACTACAGAAAGAACAAGCAATACAAGTTCTACTCAAGAATCCAGTAATCATCATACAATACATGTACAATAAACTTGGAGAGAGAACGGCACTCTCTACTCTCACTCTCTTACACGCTATACTCTTTTATATCTCTGTTAAATAATACATGACAATTGTCACCTCGAGGTCATTGCGGCGAACTGTCTCGGATACTCAACCGCCATTTGCTCTGCTGCAGACACAACAGAGCATTGATTATCATGAGATGGCCTGGCCAGAGTGATCAGGAGACTGATGGATCGGGTCCAATACATACACATCCATGTTACCCTTGCCCTTGATGTCCATACAGTACTTCTGGAATGAGCTCTTTCTCTTCAACAATGAGAAGGTTGACTCGCTTACGCATATCTTATTGGGGAAGCCAGAACTTTCCATTCGACCTAAGTAATGATTGATAGAGTTAGTGATTGAATGATTGAGTGGACTACCAATCCTATACTTACTGGCAATATTAACGGCATCTCCCCATATATCGAATGAATATCTCTTCTTACCAATGATGCCTGCTATAGCATCACCAGTGTGGATACCGATTCGAAGATGTAGATCGTATCCATATTTTTGATTAAAGTATTCCACCATCTCCAACAGTTTGGATGCAAATATAACAGCCTTGTTGGCGTGGAATATTGTACGCTGGTTTTCATCGTTCTCGTCCATGTCCTCCAGCAAGTCTGGAGACACAAACTTATAATCTACACAATGCCATTTAAGGCCGCTAACAATCATATCTAGTGGATTGATGTTGTTGTTTGTTAGTTAGTTGTGGATTCGATCCAAGTTGGTCGATTGATCTAACATACATGAATCACCTATTGTCTTGATCTTTTCCAGGTTCATCGATTCTGATAGATCATCAAACAGTGAGTATAGTCTATTCAACATGGTTACCAATTCCTTTGGAGTGAACTTTGGTGCCATTTGAGTAAAGTCTACAATGTCCGCGAATATAATTGTAATGCCAGGACATTCCTCTGCAATATGTATATCACCTTGTTTCATTCTTGATATGATTGCTAGTATATAATTGGATTAAGTATTAGTGATTGATCAATAGGTTGATTGATTGAATGGGCTTACCAGATGGGAAGATTGAGTTGATCAAAGAGTCTGACTTCATCTTCTCTTTGGTCAATGCTGATGATAACTTTAACAACTTGTCTTTAACTCTTTGGTGAGCAATCGATGTGACTCCAATTAGCAAGAAACATAATATCAAGCTGAACATTGATATACCCTGTGATTGACCAACAAATAAAAGAATGGGGATTAGTATTGGTATAAGTATTTCAATGGACAATGTAACACTTACAAATGCAATGAATAGATTACTGTTGCTTTTGTCGTAACCCATGTCCATGTAATGATATGTTACTGCAAACATTCCAGTGTAATGTAGAAGACATACGGCCATCGCCATGACCAGTGATGCCATGAGGTGCTGAACGTGGTTACTGGATGTTCCAAACAGTGATATGTACAGTGACAATGCAGACGCGATCCATGCGAATATGAAAGACAACACGATCATACCCATGTTGTAATGTGCCACAGCATTCATACGCATGGCAGACATGCCAGAGTAATGCATTGAGAAGATACCAATGGCCATGAAGAGTGCGCCGAATGTTAGACGAAGTACCAAGTTCCTATCGAATGCTCTATATGTTGCCCATTGTTGGTGTGGCTTTGGTATCAGCATAGTCTCCATCTCATCCCTGAACAAATCTATCGCAAAACTGTCTTCAATTAATGACTCTACATCAAGTGAAACAGTTTGTGAGTGAGTGCCGTCATCGTTTGATCCTGTGTCGGTTGTGTCGCGAAGTGGATTGAGATCGGACAGCTCTCTTTGGCGCTCACGTTCGCGGTCCGACTGAAGGAAGCGCATGGTGACCTCTTGTTCGGTGGAGAAGGGGTCGGGTGGGAGTGAGTTGGTGGACGTGTTGAGCTCGTGAGGCGACATGAAGTTGGACATGCTGATGCAATCTGGTGAGACCAGTGATGGTTGTTGTATCTCGGACGATGATGAATTCTTTAGTGATGAAGTCGGTGCCATATCCAATGGCTGTTGGAAATATATCAATGGTTTGCCAATACGAAGTGTGTTTGTAATGAATGCCGGCAAGTTATTGGTCAGCATCACTAATCCAAGACGTGCAGCAACAATAGCCGCCAATCCAGACAATACAGTAATAGTTATATCATAACTGATTGGAATAGGGAATCCACATGCCATCATTCCAATAAAGTGCATACTCCTAAATGTTGGTGTTAGTCACTGATTGATTGATTGAATGATTGAATGATTGAATGATTGAATGATTGAGGGAATGAGTGGAACATACCAAATTGCACAACCACCTAATGTTATTGATGCCAGAGCAAGATAGAGTTCTTTCATCATCCAGCCACGGGCAGTTGGATATTGATCCAACACTTGGAAGTAGGTATAGGAGCCCATTACACTGACCAAGTAAGAGGCCAAGATTAGGCCCCACGACCAAGTGGCTTCAATGAGCGTGCCAGGCTCAATGTCGGTCGTGTACTCTTGGCTCATCTATAATCTGTTGTTTTTTGTAAATAATATAAATTTATCAAACTGTATCTGTTTAAATATATCTGTATCTTTATCTGTTTGATATATATGATTGTTTGAATGTGATTGATTGATTAAATGAATGATCTTTGATGATGACGTGTCTGTTAAAATTTGATAAGATATATATTTGTTGGGTCTTTAGATCTATCTATCTATTATTCATGTTGTTTGAGTTATTACTTTAATCTCCTTAACCAGGGTCATGACCCCAAGCTGTACTTGTAGGTGTGAGTGTGGAGTCTAATCGAGGAATCCTTTGGAGGATCCGTTGTCTGGTCCTTTCTCTCTCTCTCTCAATCCAAATAAAACCCCTTGGTCTTCATCTTGTTTGTGTGTGTACACTCATCTCTCTTGTGTGTTGTGTATGCGGAGGTAGTGTGTGGGGTGGATGGTGGTCGGTCGGACAAAGGTTGGTGGTGTGTAGGGGTAGGGTAGGGAAGGGGTGGGGTGTGGATGAAGGCAGGTCTTGCATTGCAGACCAACCAAAAGACAACAAAGATGGTCAACATCGCGATGTTGTAAACACTAAAGCATTATTATAACAACAAAACAATAATATGAGTGTCAACAACAACAATCTATAAAATTGCCTAAAATGGTATCATTCTCAAGTCTAACTCTTTCTATCTCTGTTGTGTTCGACGACAAGTTTGGTGTCGTCATTGGTTCAGCGAGTCTGTACTGAACTGAGCTTATGCACTAATGACTGACCATGGTCAATGATGAATGTACTGCTTGTGTCTGTCTATGTAGTAGTTAATCATGTCTAGATCAAGGCCTAATCTACCAAACACATGGTTCGACACTATGATTGCATTCATTGATTCCTTCCTTCCTTCCTTCCTTTGTCCATGTTGCTACTACTGTTTATGATCTGTTTCTTCTTCTTCTTATTCTTATTCTTCGTGTATGTTGTCGTTAAACAGCATGACAATAATCAATCAATGAATGAATGAATGAATGTGTATGATTATCGCTATGCTGCTATAGTATGAGGTTTATTTGCCCATATATGCTTCCAATGGTTCCATCATGACGATTGAGTTGCCTCTGATCACCACCATACCAATGTTATGTGACTCTGTCGGTGACACTACCTCTACTGTATCCTTTAAAACAATGTTCATGAATGCATCAAATCCTCGCAGTATTCCAACAACCTGTCTATTTCCATTCAGTTTAACTATATGATTGATTGATTGAGTGTTAGTCGAGTTTGATCGCGATCGATAGTAATGCTGCTCGCTCCAATATATATATACCATTCATCTTCTTATCTAACAACCTAAAGGTAAGTTCATATCGTGTGTTAGTAAATGAGTGAAACGAGAGTGATCACATAATGTGATTAAACATACTTTGTCATATCAGGATCTTGAGGCTTGCCGAATACCATTCTTGTCTATATATGTGTATAATATATCAACTTGTAATTAGTTGATATGAATGCAAAGATTGTTTATATTATTATATGTACAAAGGCGGGAGGGATGTAATGAATCTGATCATTCAATGAGCCGAATGCAACTTCAAATATTAACGTGGGTTATGTGTTTGGACTCACGAATTTTGATCAAACATCCAAAGTTCCATGTCAACTGGAACACATGGATTAAGGTACCTAACTGAACTGATATAACATTGTTTAATTATTATTGTTATTATTTCTTTTTAGATGATGATGATGTACTAGTGGTGCTTGTCTTGCTGCTGCTTGACTTGCTGCTGCTGCTGCTTGGTTTGCTGCTGCTGCCACTTGGCTTGCTGCTACTTGGTTTGCTGCTGCTACTGCCAGTCTTGCTGCTGCTGCTGCTGGGCTTTGATGGTCTTGTAGCTGATGATGATGAGGAGCTGCTTGGCTTGGATGAGGAGGAGGAGGATGATGAAGGACCAGTGGTCTTCTTTGGTGGAGGAGGCAGATCTCTCTTTCTCTTGTTGTTGCTATCGACCACTCCACTGCCACCATTAACTGTTTCATAGTTTGAACGTCTGTCCTCGGCCGCAGCCTTTGATTCCAACACCTCCCAGTCGTCGCCAGATGACTCTGGCTCCTCCTCAGAGTAGTCTGATGATAGTGATGATTGAGAGGACAACTATATCGGTATAGCCAAGTGTTAGTGTTTGATTGATTTTGGGATTGATTGAAATACATACATAATCACTGGACACATCTGATTCATCTTCTGATGGAACATAGTCTTCGTCGTCATCATCTTCCTCATCGTCAGATGATCCATCGGGCTCAAGGAAAGACCATCCACCATCTTCATTCCATTGTCTGAGGTCTGCATTGATCTCTTGCATGATCTTCTTCCAGTTGAGATTCCTCTCGGACAGGTAGAACTTGATGTTGCACTGGTCAAGCCACTCCTTGATGTGCTCAAAGTACTCTCTGGGGATGGTGCTGATACGGATGGGCACACGTGTAAAGTCCTTAAAGACAAAGACCAGATCTAGGTTACGCAGGTTGCGGCTCACACGCTCAAAGCATGCAATCTCCAGCTCGTCCAGCGTAAGTACAAAGAAGGGCGTCTCTAGCAGGTTGACCAGACACTGGACACTGGGTTGCAGGAGGACGGTGGTGACGTTGGGCACACCGTAGAAGGCCAGGTCGCGGTAGGGTATGTCAAACTCAAAGCCACCGGGCACAATCTCCTCGACACGCTTGACAAATGCCTGGTACTCGTTGTTGAGCTTCTTCTTGAACTCGCGCTCTCTCACCTCCTCGTCCATCTCGTCGTTCATCGAGCGGCTGTTCATGTCGAGCGACTGCGACATCTCAGAGATCTCCGAGTAGAACTGGACGTCCTTGGACTTCTTCTTTCCGATCATCAGCGCATTATGCAGATGGAAGTGAACCAACACGGTGGACTCCTGGTCGGCCTGCTGGAAGAGCGCGTGCTTGATGTTCTTGTACAGGATGTCGATGGGTGTCTTGTCTTTGTTGCCAGTTGGGGTGAATCGCAGACCGTTCTCGTGAGCCTCAAGGTTGCCGAGCGAACGACGGCCCGAAAGAGTTGGACGCACTGATGTATCGGACAGCTTGGGGATGCGGCCCTTGGTCAGGATCAGCTTCTCCTGGGCAATCAGTGTGCTCTTCTCTCTGTTCTCAGACTCGCGCGATGTCACTCGCTTGCGCATCTCCTTGATGAGACGAAGGTAGTTGTTCAGCGACTTGGCGTCCAGGATACGGTAGGTGACCTCGCGGATGAACATAAGCTGATGGGGGATGGTCTCCCTCTGCTCGGGTGTGTACGAGTTGGGGTTGTTGAAGTTGATACGCAGGTACTCCTCCATCTTGGACACGTTCTTGATGGTCGAGATATGGAATGGCACAATGTAGCCGTAGATTGGAAGCAGGATTGAGTCCTTCTTCTGATCGATCGTGATCTTGTTCTTGACGACCTCGGCAGGGTAGCCTTGTGTGCCATTGGCGTAGAGCTCCAACTTGTTGTCCACGCTCGAGTAGTCGTCGAGGAAGGCCTGCTTTGAGCCTGTATTGTCACCCTTGTTCTCCATGGCCCTGATTCTGGCCTCTGTCTCTTCGAGCTTCTTCTGGGCCAGGTATGATTGATGGTCCTTTCTCTTCTCCTCCACCGTTCTCTTGATGTCTCTCTTCTTGCCAGAGATGGCCTTGAGGTCGTCGGTCATCTCGAGAATCAACGACGGGTCCTTGGTGCTGAGCTCGTCCACGTCGCCATTGGCCTCGTCCTCGATAAAGTAAAAGACGTCGGATGACTTCTTGCCAGACTCGCTCGTTAGCACTGACACCTTGGACTCCTCATCGATCGACACCGTATCGGACAACATCATTGAGTACACCTTTGACTTCTCGTCCTTGAACTTCTCGGCCTCAACATTCTGGAAGCCAACCACAATGTTAAAGACCATGCCTGCTTTGATAACCTTTTGGTTTGTTGCGCTGAATGCAGCAAATGACTCTTGGAACTCAAGACCAATCTATTCATTATCATCATCATCGTCGTTAGTATACTATTGTCGCGCTCCCTCGATCAATCATTCATACTTACACCATAACCACAGTTCTTTAGGAAGTACTTGAGCATTGAAGGCTTCTGTTGCTCGATAAACTGAGTGGCCTTCTCGTAGACCTGGTTGAACTTGACGCCAACCTTTAGGTTCTTGATGATGGTGTTGAGCACATTGAGGAGGAGTGCATAGTTGGACTGTTGCTCCTCGACGGGATCGATAAAGTAGGTACGGGCAATGTTGGAGCAGTAGCCCTTGTATCGCGAGCCCAGCGATACGACGATTGTTCCAAAGTGCAGAGTGTCGTCGTTGGACGTGGCGTTGAACTTGAGGTCGTAGACACCGCCACTCTGAATGATGGGCAGGTAGGCGTAATCGACTGTGTCTTTGGTGAGACGAGTGCTGATCTTCTCTGGTGTGTTGAATATGTCGAGCGTGTAGTTGGTCAGCTCAGAATGTGTTGCCTTCTCCTCCTTATCAATGATCGTCTCGATCCTTGGCAACAAGAATGACTTTAGCACCTTATCAGTGATCTTTGCCGAGTATATGATGTTTTTCTATGATGTCACGTGACATGATTGCGGTGTCAGTTGTCCTGTCGTCTTGTCATCACGTCGTCCTAATCAATTAGTCAATGAATCTTACAATCTCTAATGGGTCCTTTGTGGCAAGGAGTGAGGACAGTCCTTGAGTGATGTCGACCTTGTTCAAGCCTGAGCCATCCATGGCCTCCTCCCATAACCTGGCGAACTCACCAATGAACTTCTCCTTGAGTATGACACCTAGGTTCTTCTACGAAACATTCGAATGGTTAGTACGGACATTCATTCGTTCATCCATCTATCCATCTGATACCTACTCCTGACTTTGACTTCTTGACATCGTCCAATATAGCCTCAAAGTTGGCCTTGTTGTTGTCTGCTTTGTTTATCGTGTGGAAGTGGAATGGCTTGGCCTCGCCTGTCTCTGGTTTCTCAATTGCCTCAAAGATTGCAACTGATTGATTGGTCATTCGGGAAGTCAGTCAACATGTACAACACACTCGCTCACTCGTTCATTTAAACTGGGATGCTTACTCTTCTTCTGACTTGAAAGGAAGTGAACGCTCTTCTTGAGGAAGACAACGATGGTATCACGTAGCTCGTAGCCAAAGAGCCATGATTGGAGCATTACAACCTTTTGGTATGGGTTCTCGTCGTCTGGCTGACCGAGTGCCAACACCAGGGCATCGGCACCCTTCCAAAAGGGCTCATTCTCAGCATTGTCCCATGAGTCGTAGATGCACTTTAAACGAGCATGGAATACCTTGCTCTCTATCTTTGCGTTTGAAGCAGCCGTCGTTGAAGTTCCATTCGATGCTGCTCCTCCTGCTGCTGTCGATGTCGTCGATGATGTACTAGTTGATGTTGACTTTGTTTCAGACATGTTTCTTTGTCAGGTAACGTTACTCAATCAATGATGTTGACTTTCGTTTAAATGAATATATATATATAAAAGTATACTTATGTATGTAATAGGAGGCAACAACACAAATGATATTGAAAGTCAAGTGTTCGCGCCTAAATCAACTTCGTGAAGACATTCCTTCAATTTGAAATTAATTCAATTTATTGGAAATTGAAGTTCAATAATTTCATTGGTGTGGGACTAGTGATCGATTCCCGATTTGATCTTTATGTTCAAACTACGACGAAGAATATTAGATACCTCTTCCGGATTACTTTCAAAGTCAACATGTTGGTAGTGATTGACGAGAATATTATAAAGGTATTGTAATAGAGATAGAGGTGTACTGGAGAACCATCTAAGTCCTGACTTAGATGAGTGATCTTAAAATGGTTAAGTTGGACAAAAGTTCGAGGACAAGGATTGGAGCTAATCATTTTGCCATGTAAGGTGTTCATATCATCAAATTAGAGTGGTTTGAGGAGTTCACCAGGTGATCCAATTCCAGGGAAGAAGTTGGTGGACTTGGAGAGTGTCCCAGTTAGGAATAGGAGAATACAAACTCCTAGATCATGACAACTGGACATAATATAAGCCAACTCTGACATTTGATGGTATAGGTCTTCTCCGAAATCGTCAAATTGCATCGCTAGTACCAATGGACTCTCATGAGTAAAGTTGAACTTTCTTTGAATCAAAGACATCACTTTTCTAATGTGGAATGAATCAAGGTCGACTCCAACATGGCCAGGTGTATAGAGAAAGGGAAAGGCAACATTTGGCGGTTGACGAAAGAAGAAATGGGAGGCTATGTACAGACCCAGGTTGATTGCCATGTGGTAGTTATTACCATCACACATTGGATCACTTGTTGAAAGATTGAAGTGTATACTTGCAAAGTGAGGTGACCAGTTGAGTGATCTAATTCTTTCGCACAACTCGAGTCCTATCCTTGACTTGCCAATCCCCAATTGACCATGTATTACTGGACAGTTATAGAGTGTGTAATCTCTTTGGCAAACTTCAAAGTTGTTAAAGTTATATTCAGCATACTTTACCAAAGAGTCTAGAGTGTCTTGTCTTCCAAAGAATGGAAATTTTGTATCAATGTTTACAGAATCCCTCTGCTCCAGTACACATTTGTATTGAGGGTTGTTGAAGTATATTTGTTTAATCAACTCCTCAACTAATGTTTGAGAATGTAAGTAAGCATGTATGTATTGAGGAGATTGAGATACATACGAGATTGGCCACCTCCTTGAGAGATATTGGTAGTGGTAGACATTCGTATAGTAGTTGTTGTTGAAGTAGTTTGGTAGAGATAATAAGAAAGTTGAGTGAATGAAAGAATAAATGAGTAGCTGGAAATAAAGATAACAGATTGCAAGAGTGAGGAGTGAGTTGACAAGTGAATCCCACACTACCAACCAATCAATAAACATGTTACCAACCCTACAGACTAAGGTGAATGATGGATCTAATCTAATAACAAAACGAGAGTAGGGTGTTTATTAACATGGTGATAATAATAATAATAATAGGACGTGACGAGGGAGTGATTAGGACAGATGGAACGAGGACTGTCCCTCCTTCATGGCGTACAGCAACTTGGATTTCATAATGTCCCTGGACGAGTAGTCTGGCAGTTTGATGTAGTTGGTGCATGACATGACACTGAGCAGTGAGTCGTCGGCGGCTGCCAGTGTGTTCAGATGCTTCTTGACAATGGTAAGACGCGGGTTCAAGCCCTTGAAGCCTTGGATGGGGAGGTGCGGACTGCCCGTGATGAACAGCAGGAACTGCTTGCGCTCCTCGGTCGAGAACTCTGACATGATCTTGAAGAAGTTCTGAACAGCGATGCTCGAGTTAGTGTAGCCGTGGTCGCATTTGGTGCTCTCCATCAGCGCGTCCACGGTCCAGTCGCTGTCACTGCCGGTCAGCGCGCCACACAACAGTGACTCTACCTCGGCCACTGAGAATGGGAACAGACTGGTGATGGGGAAGATCTGGTTGAAGCCCTCCTTGAACGCATCCACCTGCTGGATCACTCCACTATATAAAAAGTTCATCACAATTAAGTTGAGATACTCTTCCAGGTTAAATATATTCACTGATATGTTTGATCCATTATCCTATTATGATTGATCGATTGAGTGGTTAGTATTTGGTTGATTGATTGATTGAATGATTGATGTCAATAACATACTTTGAGCTCCCATTGTGGATGACCTGGAAGTACAAAGTCTAGACAAAGGTCATCAACCTTGGCACCGTCGATCCTGAGTGCGGCTATATCTGTTTGCTTCTGCTGATCGTCTATACTCTTGGAAGACTTGATCGCTTTGATCTTGAGAACAAGGGCATAGAGGTTGTTCAATGATGACGCCATGGATGGAGCGATCACCGCCAGATCGCCAAACTCCAAGTCCTTGTTGGCCATATACTTGTAGAAGGGCTTGGAGAAGGGGAGGTCCACCAGCCTCTGGTCGTAGAAGGCCTTGGCAACAAAGGTGCCCAGGAACTTGAAGTAGTCCAACGTCTTCTTTGGCAGGGTACCTGGTCGCACAGGCTTGGGGAAGAGACCACCGGCGTTGAACACGTACGGTGATGCGTCGGTGGAGGCTGCGTTCGACTCTGTGTCGGAGTACCACAGGTTGAGGTCCTTTCGTCGAACCTCTCGCGAGACCAACGTAAAGAACTCCAGTGTTGGACCCAGACCAGTGCCGACCTCGCCAAAGTACTCGACCTCCAAGATCGACTTTGTCTTGCCGTACAGCTCCATCACCTTGATCGCCGAGTCCAGGATGCGGTTGCGATAGATCCTGACCTTCTGGCGAGGTATCCTACCAACTCTGACCTCTCCTGGATTGTTGTTGCCATTGCGAGAACTCTCGCTTGTCTGACGGATGAGGTCCTGGCGCTGCTGCAACGTGGAGAGTGCACGGGCAATGCCAAAGGATGTGGAATAGAAGAACAATCGCTTGCACTCGAATGGGAACAGGAAGGGGCAATAGGTAAGCAACTGTTTGCACCAGTCGGGCAGGGCGCCGCCACACAGGGCCAGCGGGTCTTGCAGCTGTCTCATGACCTTTGCCGTGAGCTTCTGCGAGATGAACTCTGTCTGGCCGACATGAGTCCTGTCTGCTCCATAGATCGCTTGGTAGCTCGAGTCCATGTTCAGCTTGTACAATATCCTCAGCAATGAGATGATCTCGTAAGTCGTATCATTTGAAGACAATGGGAATGAGTGTCCATCCTCCAGGAATCCAATGATGTTCTCATCGCCCAATCCTTTGACTATGGTTGTGGTGCAAGGTGGTTAGTCCATCATTGTTCAGGCCACAAGAGGATGACAACAATGATTATACATACTTGATGGCTTGGTTGTTGTTGTTGCCGATTGAGAGTTTGGTTGGTCCATTTCGGATGCAGTCAGGTATCTATACTTCAACGTGTGCGTGCCTTCCCACAATCGACTTGTTGGAACACTTCCTTCGTTCGATTGGTCAATTCCATAGTAGTTGTTTGCATTATTATTGTTGTTGTTGTTGTTGATGTTTGATACTAATGGTGATACGTTTGACTTGGCTATCTTCTGGACAGCCTGGAAGATGGTAAAGGTGGGAAGCAAACGTTGGCCATCCACGAATATGGCCAACTTCTGTTTGTTTGATGGTGCCTGTTGTTGCTGTTGTGAGGGTGGAGTGTGTGGCTGTGGAGGCGTGGTGTTGGTGGGCGACGACGACAATGGTTGCGTGGCCGACGTCGATGTCGCCAGAGATGATGATGAGGATGCCGATGTTGATGTCTGTGGTGGGATGGTGCCTGAGGAGGACAGGGAGTCACTGATCTTTACATCGTGCACTGGCTCTGTCTCGCCCTCTGCCTGGTCCTCCTGATTCTGAAGCAACTCATCGTCTTCATAGTCATCGTGGTACTCCTCCTCGTCGTCCTCTGTGTCTGTCTTTGTCTCCTTTCCGCTGCCAGACTTGGAGTCCTTCATCTCGGATGCGCTGTCTGAGTGTGCAGCAGTTGGTGACGTGGCCACATCCTTGTTGATCACTCTTGACAACAAGAACTCCTCAATCGCAGTGATAGTGGCCAGTGGCTCGATGAGTACGACGTTGGCGGCGTAGTCGCGCAGTGACTCGTCGCCTCCCTCTCTGGAGAGCTTGAGCTTAAATGGCTGTGCAAGATACTTGAGACCTGTGCTCGTACCGCCGACGTCGTTGATGTTGATGGCGAACCTCTCGACCTTGGTAAGTGCGTCGTGCAGCTTGTTGACCAGCAGCGACAAGAGGAGCAGGGAGTTGCCTGACTGCTGCTTGATCGATGTGGATGACACCATGGCTGAGCGCTCGTCCAGCTTGATTGGGACCAAGAAGACCTTGCAGAAACACTCCACGTGCTTCCTGACGTCGCCTCTTGTCAAGTACGAGAGGATGCTGGACACCAGTCCGCTGTGCAAGAACTCAAACGCAGACACACCCTCCTTGGTTGTGATGCACTTGCTGATCTCTTGCAACACCTCGATGCCAGCTTCGTTGTAGCAGCCATTCAATCTATCGCTGAGGTTCTTGAGTGTCTTCAATTCGTCAGTCGAGAGACTGTCGGTGGCACTGGTCGACTCTTTGGAGAAGTACTTGGTCTTGAAGCGACGTGCCTCCCTGCACACTGTAGACTTCATGTCATCGGTAGCAGTCTGTTGTGTGGGTGATGTTGGCGACGCGGTGGTGGTCGTCGACGAAGTTGGTGTTGATGGAGGGATCTGCATTGGCGAGCCAACAAAGAACGAGTTGGCAAATGGTGAACTAGCCAAGGGTGGAGGAATGCCAGCGCGCTGTGGGGTGCCTGGAATCGAAATTGGCGCACTGCCATGCGACTTGGTGGGCGAGGGAGTGGGCGAGGGCGATGTGGACGAAGACGATGCAGCGTCGTTGATGATGGGCTCCAGCTTGGAGAGACGATCAATCTCATAGATGACTCCCTCTCGCTTGAAATAGAGTGTGAATATCTCTGGCAGCTTGTCGAGCATCATCTCTGAGATCTTAAGGGCGTTGGACACGATGGTCATGTCACGTGAGCCGAGCAGGCCGGCCAGGAACGAGCTGAAGGCAAAGTTCTTCAGCAGCTCGGTGAGCATCGCCGGCGTCGAGAAGTAGAGCATCTTGCAGATGCAGCCCAAACACTTGTAGCGGACCACTGGATTCACAGTGGAGGTGAACATCTCGACTAGCACGCCAAACAGGCCCTGGCCCATCGCCAGCAGCAGGTCTGGATGTGCCTTGAACATCTCGATGCGCGGGTCGTCCTTCTCGCTCGTCTCCTTCTTGCGGCGGGACACTGATCGCTGATTGGGCAACAGAGCACTGAACTCTGCGGGCAGGGGTGGCAGCAGCTCGTTGATCAATGAGAGGATCTCGTAGCACTGCTGGCTCGAGCGGTTGAACGCGCTGGGATCCGAGTCGTTGGGTTGCAGGATCGCCTGTATAATCGATGAGATGCCCTCTTGCAAGAGAGTGAGCGTCAGGGGTGGGCAGCCATGACACAGACTCGACATGATCCTGATCACCTGTGTGTAGGTGGTGGGGCTGAGTGAGATCGAGCTATTGTTCATTCCAGACAGAATCCTAACCAGATTGGTTACCAATCCATCGCTGGTGATCGCCTGTAGCTTTGTATCCGAGTCATAGAAGCTGTCCACGAGCCTTGAAAAACATAAGCAAGCAAGTTCAACAACTAGAGTGATGTGTTTGTGTTAGAGAGACGCAATGACAGGCAGGAAGGGAGACTGAGGACATACCTTTTGAATCAGAGTATGTGAGGAGGTTGGTTAGGATGGGGACGCTGTCTTTGACCAACTCGAAACAATCTTGTGGCACTTGTCGACATATGTTGGCTGCGGTAGACACGGCCATTCGCTGGACGCCTGTTGAGAAGAAGTCGAGGTAGGAGAGCACGGCCATGAGACCACCTGCACGCAGGACTGCTGTGGGCTGCTCGATTGATATCTTCTCCAGTGTCTGCAGCGATTGCTCGGCCAGGTCGATGTACTCGATCGAGAGCAGTTTGGCGCATAAAACGCCAACAGCTCCGTGGTTGACGACGGCTGACACGGAGCCGGGAAGCGCTTCGATCATGTTGGACAGCGCTCGACAGGCCATCAGCATCATGTCTGGGTTGTGCTCGGCACCGAGCATGTTGACGAGTGCGGGTGCGAATAGATCGGAAGGGAAGCCTGCCATCGTCTCCTCGGTGGCAATGGCCAGCAGCTCGCTCAGCTCGATGAGAGACTCCATCTGGATCGACTCGTCCTCTGAGTTCATTCCTTGCAGGATCTGCTTGAGTCGCGCACGTCCCTCTATCAGTGTGTTGAGGAGGCCGTCGCGGGATCCACCTCTGAAGCCGCCCTGTGAGTGGGCCAGCTCATCCAGGAGCGCACCGGTCAGGCCCCGCATGAGGCCGTGCAAGGTGGAGCTCCCGGGAGAGGCGGCATTGTTGTTGTTATTGTTGTTGTTGTTGTCGGAGCTCGTGCTGGTCGTCGATGTTGCCGTTGCTGTCGTCGTTGTGGATGGCGGTGTTGTGGTGGAAGTTGTGGATGTCGAAGCGTTCTGATCGTCGTCCGACATGTCGGTGTTGCTGCTGCTGTTGATGCTGCTCTTCTTGGAAGTCATTCTTTTCTTTACAGGTTGTTGAGGAAGAGCTGGCTGTTTCTTCTTTCTCTTGTTATCTGTTGCTGATGCTGCTGTTGTTGTGGTTGTTGATGTAGTTGATGTTGCTGGTGCTGGCGCAGTTGAAGTTGTTGTTGTAGTTGTTGTAGTTGTAGTTCTACCCTTCTTCTGTCTGTTATTCATTGATTGATTGATTGAATGTTAGAGGACAAGTTGATGGACGGGCAAGGATGTAGACGGATGACTTACTTTTGCTTCTTGGTTGGGGGAGGAGTGTTCTCGATTATTGGTGTTATTACTTGTGGTGCTGATGCTGCTGCAAGTGAGGAGGTGCTGCTTCTTGTTCTTCTGATGCTGCCGCCGCTGCTGGTGGATGAAGTTGATGTTGTTGAAGTTGTTGATGTAGTTGATGATGATAACGTTGATAAGACCGGTGTTGTTCTGCTGGGTTCAGCTGCGGCTGCGAGTGCTGCAGCGGTCTGGGAACGAGTCCTGATTATAGAAGAGAATAGTGATTGTGGTGATGCTGGTACTGGTGCTGGTGAAGCTGGTGCTGTAAGGCTACTGCTGTCGGCAGAGACGGATAAGGAAGAGCTACTCTTTCGTTTTTTGTTAGGCTGTTTGTCCATGCACAACAGTGGCTACTGCTCACGACACAGGCTAATGGTAAGGACACTCAACACAACTTGGAACTGCTTCTTTGTTGTATAGTGTGTCGTCTCCCACTGTGTTTAAACAACATAAAGAAACAGATATATAGTTATTGAGTAGTTGTAGTAGATGTTGTTGTTGTTGATATAGAGGTGTTTGATTGATTGATTGATTGATTGAATGATTGAATGAATGATTGAACTATAACATCAAATCAAACAAACTAAATATACAAGTCAAGTTGAATGACTGACTAAACTATTGTTGTGTTCTTGAAGATAGAGAGAGTAGAGGAGGAATGTAGAGTATTGTTGATGTTGATGTTGTTGTTGATGTTGATGTTGGTGAAGTGAGTGAGCTCACGGATGTATATATATGTGTGTGTCGTTATATGTTATGTGTGTGTTCGTGATTGAATGAATGTATATGAGTATGTGTATGTGTGTGTGTATGAATGAATGAAAGAGAGGAAGTGTGAATAAGCCTGTTGTTGTTGTTGTTACTCAATCAATTGATTGCGTGTGTTCAACCAATATTTAATTAATTATTAATAATAAATAATTTCAATCTGATGGGACAGACAGTCTGTCAATCATTCTTTGTGAGCTTGCAAGCATTGATAAATGCTGTTGTTTGTTGGGTTGGACGACGGAGAGTATTATTCATCCCATCACAGTGACCCATATTCCAGGTCATCCCCACGCACACAAGCGGAAGTAGCAAGCACACTAACTAGGTGGGGCACGTCTTGTTTCCATTTGTGTCAATTTCCACAAGGAAGGACACTTCACATCGTCGAAGTGACTTTGGGACCCAAGGTGCGGTGCAGACGCGTTGGTCAATGTTGATAGAGAAGAGCCCTCTACTTGAATTCTTGAAGGAGATGTTGTTGACGTTGTTTTTGTCGTTGTTGTCGTTGTTGTCTAAGCTTGGCAGAGATGATTGGGGATATTGCGGCTTGACTAATGCGTCCAGCTCTCTTTGATCGTAGGATGTCCGAGAGTGTATGTGAGACCTTGGCCTTGGCAGTCGGATTGCCTACACCCTTATAATCGTTCTTTAGTCTGGTGGGAATGGGATCGAGTGCACCTTGATTCTCAACTCCTAGACCTTGTTCTTCCTCCCAGCCAAACTGATCCTTCATCATTCTATAACCCGGATTGTCCATTGGTATATGATAGTATTTCTTTGGAGTTATCGTGCTGGCTGACAACAAATGAACAGTAGATGATAGATGTTGCATTCTACATTGCATTGGTATTGATACATTGCATGAATCACATTCAAACATCTCTTGCAATTCTTCTTCGACTTCTTGATGTTGCTCCTCCTGAGGAGGTTGATGATGTTGTTGTTGTTGCTGTTGTTGACGAGCCTCTAGCGATTCAATACGATTCTTCACAAGCAATGAATGAGGTACTTGTTGCTTGCTGTTTGCAACATGGTCTCGGTAGAATGATGATGTATCTTGGCCTATCTTCTTCTGTTGCTGTTGCTGTTGCTGTTGTATTTGGCTGTTGTCATCTATATCATTTTGATACTGATCCTCTATGTCATATCCACCAAATACAAATCTCTTGTTGTTATTGTTATTGCAGTTATTATTACTTGTTGTTGTATTTGAGCTCATTGATTGAATGAAGAATATTCACTAAACCTTCCCACTTCATTTCTAGATATTATAATTTATTAATATTAATAAGTAGGAATGTTTTTTAAACTTCTTATTTTCTCTTGCTTTTTATGAAGATCTTTGATTCTTTGGTTGATATAGATGATCTTGTTCTCTACCTCCTCCTTGAGTTCCTTGTAGTAGGCTTGATCGGCAGGAGTATTTCCCTGGGGAATCCGGTTGAGTGATTGTCTAAGATCATCAAGCTCCTTGTTTTTTTGTTGAATTTCCTTCTCTACCAACTCTATCTCTTTGTCCAAATTTGCATTCCTTCTATCTTGATTTGTTTGTACTTGGTTTTGATTGTAATCTTGTGGAGTTTGATATCGATCAAAGAAAGGAGCAGAGTTTGGGATATTGACAAGATTGTTTTGATTATCTTTAATGAATGGATGGGTATGCAGGGGCACCAATATAATTACTGGATGCCACTGCAATCATGGCAACCAATAGGATGAACTTTGGGATAAGAATCATAGTAATATTGGTCGAATCATTCAAGTTTGTAATTTTTGTAATATTGTATACAATATTACAACTCTGGACGGATTTGTGATAATATAAATGTTTCCGGAATAACTCGTTAATAATTGTCCATAAAAGATAGAATAAAAGAAAATGGATTATTAATAGATCAACCAATAAGGTGGGGTTGTGTGACCATAGCAAACTTACATTCCACAAAGCAATGAATATATAATTAATGTATTTGTTTATATGTTGATTGTAAGTTTATTGTGATCACCAGGGCAGGCCTGGGATAGAGCAACATAACTACCGTTTCAGTTGCTGTTGCTGTTGCTGTTGCTGTTGCTGTTGCTGTTGCTGTTGCTGTTGCTGTTGCTGTTGCTGTTACTGTTGCTCTCTCTTGACGTAGATGGCCTCCTCATCCACTTCGTCATCCTCGTCGCAGTTGATTGCATCTTCGACTAGATTGGATGGCTCCCTTTTGATCGGTCTGTAGGGGCTGTCTTGAGCTCTGGGTTCCCTGTACTCCAATAGATAGTCCGAGATACGTGGACCCGTTGGCTCCTCCTGAACGCGGTAACCATCGATGTAGAGTTCGTTGGTCTTCTTGTCCCTCTGGGTCTTCGATCGATCAATGATGAGCGAATACAGGATCAAATTGACATCTACATTATTGGGGATGGGTGAGACAATGTAGTGCAACTGTTTGGACAACGTAAGCATCCGGTTGAGGTCATCGTTGTTGGCGGTACTACTCTCCAACAGTTCTTGAATCGACTTCGGTGTTAGGCACATCGGTGAGGTGGAAGTCGTGGACGTCGTGGACGAGCTCGAGGTGGACGTTGTGGAGGTGATGGGCGGGTTGATTGGTGACTCGCCTTGGGCCATTCTCCTCCTCATGTCTTCAATCGATGACCTGATCTGGGCATCCAGATTTCCAACATCGAGCATGTTGCTTAAGGCCTGGTTGACTCCAGGCGATATAGGTGAAGCCCTTATGCTATGAGCGAAATTGGTGATGTTCGCTATCGAATTGTATGAAACAAGAGTCAATATGTGTCAAATTCAGTCGACTGGTGACAATTGAGATTACTTACCGACTCTCTGGTTCTGGCGAGCAAGATTAATCTCTTTGGAGCTTTGTTGGTTCAACGAGGTCAACTTCTTGAGTTGAGCAGTGAGCTCATCTGCAACCTTGGTGAGAGCAATCTCACTTGGGTTGGGTTGAGCATTTGGAGACTTGCCGTGCTTGTTGGACTTGGTTGGTGGTTCAACATCAGACTCCTCATCTTCAGAGTAATCTCTACGACGTTTCTTATCCAACTGGCCTAACATAGTGGCTTGTCGGTCCACAGTGTCCATGGCCTTGGCTTGGGGTGTTTTGTGACTCTTGTGGTGACACTTCTTGCTTGACTTGGTGCATCTAAGATCGTGGTATACTAAATGCCTAGGTTGGTGGTTAAGAGAGGATTATTAAATAAATGTTATTAATATCCATGCACCATTTGTTGTTATTTAATTTTTTAAATTTGAATCTTATTTATAATAATGTTGACTATTCGTAAATAAAGTAATAATATTCAAATTTACAAAAAAATTACAAACTTGAATGATTCGACCAATAATAGTATTATTATTAATAATAAAGATATTAAGAAGTGATTAATTGAATGATAGATAATATAAATTATTTGATTAAATACTTTTTGTTGATTTTAATTGAGTATATTCTATTGATAATTGAATCTACATAAAATTGGAACTAATTATACTAGAGTGTAAATCAATTCCTATAAACTTTTTAATTTATTTTAAAAATAAAGTAAACTATCACTGGAATATTCTGATGGATAACTCCCTACCAATTGCAAACTTACAATTCCCTTCAAATGTCTCTTTTCGCCCACTTTATTCGCACTACTCTATCATACATGTACTAAAGTAGAATACATTTAACTAGATAACAATATGGATAATAATAAACGCATTGAATTACAACATATAACAATTTTTTTTAAAGTTGTCTCTAATCAAAGGAATTATGGAATAGGGACAGGATTAAGAATTAGCAATAGATATGTATTGTCAACCTACAAAGTTGTTTATCCAAAGGAATATGAAAGATATAGAAATAGATGGATATGTCCGGACAAGACTCCAATATTATATTATATTGGCCTAAACTATACTATGATTAATTGGTCACCTGCAAGAATAATCAGTGAGAAAGGCAAAGAAGAATATGACCTTGCATTGTTGGAAATAGAGAATGAGTTGGTTCAAGATGTTCCGACAATAGTCATTGCAAACCAAGATGAACGCCTGACATTGAACAACATAATGATGAGTGGATACCCTCCATCAAGAGTGTCAAATGAGTTGAGGTGCCAACTTCATACAAGTAGATCACTAGATCCTCCAATACCATTGATACAAAGAGGCTACGTATCATGCTCTACCAACGATATTCTAGAGGTTGTCTTGACAGACTTAAAAGCTCAACAAGGTCTTGCATCATACCATGAAGGTGAATTTGTAATTGACCGTCAAGGTAGATTATGTGGAATGATCAAATATCAAACGGATGAAGATCCAAACATGTATCAATGTGTGACACAAGGCCACATTGCCACTTGGGTCAATCGAACACTTAGAAGTATGACGCCACCTAGAGATATCCTTTGGCAATAACTTCTCGACACTCGACAACATCGCAGCACCTAGTTACTGGTGATGGTTTATTGGAAGTGATTGATTGCTAATACTTTACAGTCTTGTGCCATAGTTACCTGTGATGTGATGGACGAGATGGAGGGATGTTGCATTAGTATCGTTGCCAAACAAATAAACAAGCAGACAGGCCTCTCGCCGGCCCGCCCGCCCGCCCTAGTATCTCATACCTTTGGACTCATCAACAGCGTCACTCGACGATGATGGTGATGGCAACACCAACTGTGATGGGTCTTTGTTGTCAATGAGCACGCTGTTCAATATATAATCGACACGCTTCTTGACTGTAGCCTCGTCTTCGGACGATGATGATGTGTTGCCACTTTGATTGCGACCATCTACTATTGCTTGGGTCAGAGCATTAATCAGTGACTCCTTGCTCTGCTTCAGTTCGTCACGTTGCTCGACCAGCTGACGAAGACGCTCCCACTCGCCGTCAAACTCCTTCTGTGCCTGTTGCTTGCGCCAGTAGTCGCGTGCGAATACGATGCCGCCCAGCAAAGCGCAGATACCAACCAGCAGTATAGTCTTGCGCTCACCAGCCTGATGTTCCTCAAACTCCTCTCTCTGACGACGCATGTTCTCCTCTGTGATCTTGATCTGTTCTTGCAGCGACTCCTCGCTCATGCCCTGTGTCATCTTTCTAAGTTTCTCCTCAGTGTCTCGCAGATGTTCTTGCTCTTGTCTAACGTCTTTATGCTTTGATGATGATGATGATGTGGAGGAGTATGATAGAGACTTGTGTAGCAAGGGTCTGGCGATAGACATTGCTCCTGTTGATGATATCGATTGCCACATCAGAGGGCATGTTTGTTTCAATGATCTACCCAATGTCAGCATTGTTCTCTATCTGTATCTGTATATATTTTGTGTAGGGCTGATTGATTAATGATTAATTGCTGGATTGATCATCAATTTCTTCAGAAATATGCGAATGCGTGTGCCAGGGCGAGGGCAAGGGCAAGGGCGAGGGTTGAGGGCGAGGGTTGAAGGTACTCCTCAATCATATTTAATACAACTTATTTAACTTTAGTAAGGCCTTGTTGGCATTGTCTAATACTTGATCTTGCTTGCAGAAGGTGAAGCGAGCGTAGTTGGCAGCTTCGTGAGCATGCTCGTCACTGTAGAAGGCGGATGGAGGGATGGCCGTCACTCCAATGTCGGTGGTCAGCCAACGACAGACATTCCAATCACGCAAATGCTTGCCAATGCCTGTGATCGATGTGTTCTGACCTTGATCACCCTTGAGTTTGATCTTGGAAGTGTCGGCCAAGATGAAATAGGTGCCCTGAGGACACACCGGGTCCAGACCAGCTTCAGTCAGTCCCTTGAAAAGTCGGTCGCGCTTGCCCTGGTACATCTCGCGCAACTTCTCATAGTAGCCTTGCTTGCCGGCGTTCTCAAATGCAACGGCAACTGCCTCCTGGCTCATCGTGGACACGCTGAACGGGATGTACTGATGGGTGTTGGCAATCGCTGTGATGATGGGCTTGGGGCCAATGACCCAGCCGATCTTCCAGCCGGTCGAGCTGAATGTCTTACCCGAGCTGCACACGGTGACCGTGCGCTCAAACATGCCAGGCAGTGTGGCGACACGCGTGTGCTTGGCATCGTCGAATGTCATGAACTCGTAGACCTCATCACTGACGAGGACGATGTTGGGGTGTCGCTTTACAATGTCGCATAGACGCATCAGCTCCTCGCGAGACCATACCTTGCCCGTTGGGTTGTGCGGGTTGTTGATGAGGATCATCTTGGTCTTGGGAGTGATTGCGCGTTCCAGCTCGCTCCAGTCGATCTGCCACTGTGAAGCAAGACGCGCACCATCTGCTCCGCGTGCACCGCGCTCCTTGAGTGACACGTATCGCAGCTCGCCACCAGCCATCAGCACGGCACCCGTGTAGATGTCAAAGAATGGCTCCATCAAGATGACCTCATCGCCACGGTTGACAATCGATTGGATCGTCGCAAACAGACCTTCTGACGCGCCTACAGTAGTGGCGATCTCTGTCAATGGGTCGAGCTGACGATCAAAGAGTGACGAGTATGTGTTGGCCAGTGCATTCACTAGTCTCATATGTCCAGCACTACGTGTGTACTGATGGAAGCCACCTTGATCCAGAGTCCTACGCAGGGCATTGATCAATAGCTCAGGTGGGTCAAAGTCAGGGAAGCCCTGTCCCAAGTTGATGGACTTGTGTTTCATGGCCAATGGTGAGAACTCTATTGATTGATTGATTAATTGGTGAGGGAATGAGTGATGGTCATGGGATCATTCCATCTTCATCGTCATACTTACCTGACCATACTGAGGGCGCGAATGAACTCACTTGCACACTTGGCTTAAAGACAAAGTTGGACAATGGTGTTAATGACTTCCTGATCATGATGGATGTTGTATATGTATAAAGTTTGAACTTGATGTTCTACATCTAAATGACAAAGTTGATGATGAATATTCTTTCATCCACTCAATCAAAAAGTTGGGACTGTGCCAGTTCCAAGGCCAACCACATCCCATCACTCATTCAATCAAAATTGATCAATTAATCCATTAGACAGATACAATACTTATAAGTATACTATAGTGATAATCATAGCTTATTCAATCAGTGAGTAGCAAGTATGTATAAGTGATAAGCCATCATCCAGGTTTAACTTGTGGGCGTGCCTGTACATTGATTGGAAGGCAACTTACAAGGTGTATCGAGACTTGAGCCATGTACTTTGGTGCATGGACAGAGAGTATGTGTACTCTGAACTTACAAGTTGTGTTCCGTACCATACCCAACAAACACATCTGCAGCATACCCCAACAATATTATCGATATAGATTGATAGATACCAATTGATCGCCCAATAATCAATGATTACCAAGGCCTTGGTATGTTGGCTGGTGTTCCCCATTTGATTGATGGATGGGTACCTTCCAAAGTTCAAATGCATTATTGCATTCATGCATTCCCTTTGTTTGTTTGTATGAATGAGTGATTGATGGGGAAAGTGAATGATGGATGATGGAGCGAGTATCTGTTCAAAGTTATCCAATCAGAGTAGATGTTGAAGTATGTTGAAAAATTATTTGAACAGAGCTAGGTCCAAGTGGCCTTGGCCAATCACTCTGCAAAGATTGGACCTCCGATTCCCACTTGGCAATGATCACTGTGTGTTTGAGGGTTGTTGAGTGTGTTTGATGATACCCCACTGATTGATCAATCACTCAATAAACAGATCCATTTACATAGCCAATGATCATTGAATATCATGAGTCCATGAATGAGTGAATGTTAATGATCATCAGTCCAGCGCTAAACTACCAACCATTCTATCAATCAATCACTCAAACAAACATTCATTCACATTCAATCAAAGAGATACAGCCAGGCCAGTCACTTCACCCACTCAATCAATCAATCAAACAATCAATCAATGATGTCAACAGACACTGGCAGTAGCTCAAGGAGCTTGGTCAAGTTAAACATTGGCGGCACAAAGTATCTTACAACACGCGACACTCTGTTGAGTGCACAGAGCACATTCTTTACAGCTTTGTTGAGTGGAAGTTGTGGAAATGCGATGGACAGCGACGGCCACTACTTTATCGATAGAGATGGAGACATCTTTGCACATATATTGAGCTACATGCGCACGGGATACTTCAACGCCAGCGATCACATACAACAGAGACGCGCACTGATATACCGCGAAGCAGACTTTTACGGAATACGTTCACTAATCTCGTTGCTGGAACCGGCAACATGTTCAGCCGGCGGTCATCACTTTGTGGCCTCCATCACCACACGCGAGAATCGCTCGCCCATAACCAACGCCATCACCAAGGCCAACTTCCTAATCATAACCTATGCCGATGGTGCCATTGAATGTTGGGTGTAAGTATCTCAATGCTCCAGTCACGTGATTGATCCCAACCCTTACCTTGCCCTCCATCTCTTCCCTCTACCGTCCATTCTTCCGATGACCCTCAGGTACAAAGGACTATCTTATCACTGGGCTCTGTTCTTCACGCTGCATAGCAAGCTGCCACACCTCAATGGACTGGTGCTGTCAATCACAAAGAACAAATACAATGAAGTTGCCAATCTGATACTTTGTGGATTCACCAAAGACAAGCAAGTGGCACTCTGGAAGATCAAAGTGGAATACATTCAGTTCCAGGCTATGATTGTAAGTACCCATCACTCCACTCCTTGATCATGGTCTAGTGTACCAACCCTCCATCACTGGTATAGATCAGGGAACATGTATTTAGCGTCGAGCATTACATCCACTTCATTCATTTCTTGGTCAATGGTTACTTCTTAGCCATCGTATCAAAGCTTGGCAAGTTGACAATTGTGGACATTGCCAATGATCAACAGACACCAACTCCTGGAGTGGCGCCACTCCTACAAGCTCTACAGCCACAGACAACTCAGACAACACAGTCCCAACAACAACAACAATTGCCTCCACTTCAGATGAAGACATTGACAATCGATCATCAGGTGACAGCCATCGCAGACATTGAGTACTCTTTGTACTTGGGATGTAGTAATGGCACGGTCATTGAGCTCAAACAGAACATTAGGGACAACTGGGACTGGAAACTCGAGGAAGTTTACAAGCTCAACAACGTCGAGTATCTTCACAACCCGATGTTTGCATCGCCCGCCAACTCTGAGGGCATGATCATTGGCCAGAAACTGCGCAACTTGGACTTAGGCCTTGACGATCATTCATCTGGCGGCCCGCCAATCCCTCACACACGCACCGCCTCCATGCCCGACGACGGCGAGCTTGTCAGCGCAGAGTCACTGCTGCGCACATTCGATCATTCCTCACCCGACAAGATCATCACGTGCATCTCAATCGCCAACATTCAGCTGGGCGCCGTAGGTAACGGCCGCGCAGCAATGGTCATTGGCACACTTGAGGGCACAGCCCACCTTTGTTTCCGAGCGACACGCGGCCGCACCGACCCCTACATGCCAGGCGCCAAGATGGTCATCACCGATGCCGGTGCCAAGCTGCATGGCACCACACACCAACTCGACCCGATCACCAGCGTCGTCGTATCTGGCGGCAACGAGGGCGTGTTCATCACCGCACACACACAACAGCGACTCACCAAGTCATGGCAGTACAAGTACACCAACCCCACCTACCCTCACATGATCAAGTGTCTGAGCGTGCACTCATTGGTCGCCAGCAACGGCTTTGCAGCCCCCGCCTACGCCGACATTGCCAAGTTCAAGTGCTTCCACCACCTGCACTACGCGACGCCCAAGTCACAGGGCATACATGTGCCGCTGCTCAATCACACCAACTCATTCCAGTCGTCCACTGTCTCGCAGGATGGATCGTCATCTGGTTCGCCCACCAACGGTGGCCACCATCACTTCATCAATGGCACAATCAAGAAGAACTCATTGGCTTCACAACATCGATCGTCGTCGGGCAGCCACAACACTGGCGGGGGGACGACAGGAGGCAGCGGCGGGTCCAGTCCCCAAATCACACCCAACTTCACACCAGAAGAGCCGGACAATCCGCGATTGAGTGTTTCGCCCTACAACCAGGTGTATCTGAGTACGGGCGAACCAGGTGGCAGTCGCGAGTTGGTCGTCTACGCGCAGAGCCATCGAAGACTAGGTGAAGCGTTGCCAACCAATGTCGAGCTGGGCACGGCAATGACCATGCCACTGGCACGTATCCCACTGATTGACAGCACGCCCATCATCAAGGTGCTCACCGTCACGTTTGGTGGCGTCGACCCTGTGCTCAGCGACCTAGCCTACCTCATGTTGACCATCCACGAGTCCAATGGTGTCTACTGTTGGGATCTGCGAGATATCGATGACTCATTCGCAAAGTGATTATAAAAGATACATGTATTATTATTATTATTATTGATTGATACTTTGACCAAGTTTGTTGTTGTTGTCATTGAAGGGTTGGCGTCGTCTCTCCCAGAGACCTTTGGCGATCGCCAAAGTATTCGCCAAAGTATACTTTGGTGAGTGACAAAGTAATCGACAGGAACAACAAACGATGTCATAGACCACTGCCATTGACAACCCTGGAGAAGAAATATTACATCCACCGACCAAGGGTATATTTGGATCATGGTAACACCATTGAGACAAGGCAATAACCCATTTCTTATTGATTAATGGTTAATCCAACAACATTGTTGTTGTTGTCAACATCTTTGAAGAGTTCAGAGAGCAGCACTATGATCACCAACAATCCAAAGAGAGAGAGATAGAGTTAAAGTTAGAGTGTGTTCACAATATTTGAATGAATGAGCGAGTGAATGAATGAGAGTATGAAGGTGAGATAGTATGAAAGGACGCGTTCAAATACTAATGACTATTGTACAACTTGACCAACCAAATAGGTAGGTGTACATGTCTGAACTTGATATTATCACTTTTGGGCTTGCAGCAGCAACAGCTGACTCCCATTAGTCAAGGTGCACTGCCCATCCCATGGTAAGCAAAAGGCAAATAGAAGAGTGAGCTGCTCTCTGACGCAACCTTCGTGTGTGTGTGTTTGTGGATTCAACTTCCAGCTCCATTCCATGTTATAACTCTCTCCTCTCTTTCTCTCTAACTGAATGAATCACAACAACACATAATAATGATCGTGCGACCAACTTAAGGTCACTTTAAGATCTGAGATTCGGACAATCTACAGGGCGTTCAATGAAAAAATCCATCATCACGGTGCACTGTAAATTATGATATGATGGGTGTGTTTGTGGTAGGATTGATCAATCAATTCAAGTTTACCCAACACACAAGCCTTGCGAAGTGGGCAGGGCATAGGTGGGAGTTAGTTTCTTGTTTGGTCTTTGATGAGCTAAGGAATGCAAGCTGCTTCGACTCAAAGGTGGTGATATTTTAGACATGTGTGGTCCCAAAACAATTGATTTGAATTAAATGTTCACTTAAAGTACTCCAAGGAATGATCAAATGAATGACGACCAACTGATATTTAACATCATCAAGTCAAACAGTCACTAATCATATCAAACATATCCAAATTATAACTAATATATACACTTTTAAAGAATGGTAAGTTGTGTTATCTTTATTTCCAATTACCTCAATCAATCATATCACTAACATTCAATGATGGATCATCCAACTACTACTTAGACTCACCACTACGTTACTTACTGGCACCACGACGGCCGTCTCCACCACCAGACTCATCACCATGAGCATGATGCCCACAAGGAGTACGAGCACAAGAGAGCCCACGGACACTCATGCGCTGTCCTGCATCACGGCAACGTCGTCCACATCCACCACGGTCATCATGGTCACCAGTTCGAGCATGAGATCAAGCACCACTTCAGCCACCACGGCTGGTAAACCACCAGTCTACTAGTCTAGTCTCTGTCTCGCCACACAGACAACAAGACAATAAACACCAAAAGTACACATCTCTGTTGCAGCAGAAAGTGTGCATATTTGGTCAGTTGTACAACTAAACTAAAAAGTTTGATTGATTGATTGATTGCAGCACATGGATGGATAGGAGTAACAATCACTTCCCAATCGGGATAGGGGTACATGTTCAACTCACACACTGGCATCCTTCATTCATTCATTCTCCCACTCACTCACTTCACTCTTTCATTCACTCACTTCATTCATTCATTCACACTTTGACTTGTTATTACAACAAGGTAGAGATAGGTATTACATTATAATCAATCAATCAAACAAATAATAATGTTAAATATTGGCTTTGGCTGGGCCTCTTTGGTCTTGGTCGGTGTTGTATGTATAGAACGAACGAATGAGCCCATTACATATGGTCGGGCCGGACAACCTTACAGGTTCAATCATTAATTAATAAATTAATATATATATATTGACTAACACAACACTAACATATAACATTAGTTTACAGTATTATTGAATATATTCATTGTGAAGTACTACTCGGATAGACATCAATCAGAGACACTCACTACTGTTGTAACAGTGATTGCATTATCCATCACACTGTTATGTGTGTTGGTCATCCCAGTAGACATACTCAATGTCTCCACAATGTCAAATGCAGCAGGCAATCATACAATCAATCAACATGATATTGATCAACGCAATCTATCAATTGCAGTCACCTACTATAGTAAGTAACTGTAATCAATCTTATTACTACTCCTTCATTCATTCACTGACTCCAAACAATCTACAGTACTATACTCATTGATCATACTGTTTGCATTGATCATCATACCATTCGTTTACTTCTATTATGAAGAGGATGATGTAGACGTATCGATAAGGGATAGGGTGGTTGGTGCGTGTAAGTACACTGCCTTCCTTGTGGTCTTCACCGTTGTGATGCTTGTCGTGGGCATCTTCATCAGACCGGGCTCGAGCAAGCCTGTTGGCAATGAGAATGTAAAGGATTGGATCCAAACAGAGATACTTAGTCAGAACGCTGCACAAGGCTCACTCATGTTCTCCGTGGCTATCCTCACACTGCTCGGCTTTGTCGTGTGGATGGTGTACACTGCCTATGGCCTGGCGGCCATGCCCATCGACATGATCAAAGGCATGCGTCGCCTCTCTGACGATCGTCGACAGATCAGCGAGAGTCTCTACGACACGCGCTCACAAGCCAGCTACTACTCGTCCAAGTACGCAAGCGGCAAGACCATGTCGGCCAAGGAGGAGCACACACTCAGCTTGCTCCGATCCAAAGAGAGAGCGTTGGAGAAGCACTCAGAGAGGATGGAGGCCTCCCACTCGGGTCTGCGAAGAATATTGATCGTCTTCAAACCATTCACATTCATCTTTGGATTCTTCTTCCTCTTGGTCTCCATTCTCATTGTCATTTCAATCATGCTCTCACTGATTGACAAGGTCACCAACTCAATCTGTGGATCGTCCTGTGGCTTCCTCACCGACTATCCAAAGCTCAAGAACCCAATCGATCTCTTGCTACAGTCCACCGCACCAGTATGTTACCCACGCTCATTCATTCTATCAATCAATCATACTAACCTCTGCTCTTAGTATTTCCCACTGGATTATATCATCTTGGGATTGTTCATTGTGTATATCTATGCAGTGACAGTGTCTGGCGTCGTGAAGATTGGTATTAGATTCCTCTGGATCAAGTTATATGAGTTCAATGCACAAAAGACAATGCCACAGGGCTTGCTACTGTGCTCCATACTCTTAATGCTGTCCAACCTCTGCCTCAACCTGCAGATTGTTCAGCTTGCCCCTCAGTACTCAATGTTTGGCACACAAGTCTGGTACAACGCCACCAGCGACTCAATCGAGCCCTGCTCAATCAATGCGCCAGCAGACTCGTGTGTCATGACTCAGATCGGCCTGATCACCTCGCGCATCGTGATGGGCACCAACTTCTTTGGCATCATCTACTACTATGCCACTTGGGCAATCATTGGCGCATTCCTCATTGGCTCAATCATAGCTGTTGTCAAACGTCGTCGATCAAACATCGTATCATACGCAGATGATAGTGATGAGGAGATATAGATGGATAGATTGATGGATAGACCCCTTACAGATTAGATGAATGGCATGTCTCGTGTGTCCAACCTTCCATCAACACTCAACTAAATGTATATAACAAATTATTTAATATTGAATATTGTCCGCCCCCAACGAATGATATCTCCATTATCTTTTCATTACTTCCACCAATCAGATGTCATCGTTCCATTGGACCGGTCTACGACAACTTCAGTGTGCGCCACGAACAGTGTGGCGATCGATCGATTCATATCAAATGGAGTGCCAAAGGTTGGTCATCCATCCACATTCAAATCCGGCGATGTCATCCGCAGCGACCTACCAATGTCTTCTGATGGCACGTCAATCACCACCTCACACTCAGGCGCATTCACCATCATTCACTTTGTGATTGCGAACACACACACACACATGATCACTTCAACATGGACGACATCAACACAAAACACACACATACACACTGTCTGACTTTGGGTTGTAGTTGACCAGACAACCATCATGTCAATCACCCACAACCCTGGGTGATCACTGTCTTGACTGACTATCGACATGGAGCATACATCAGTCAATCCCATCCATCTATACAACTGCCACTACTACCCACCACCTCCATTCAACGACCAACACAGCTGATTGACACTACTACCTACTGCTACAGTAAGTGTGTTTGGTTAGCAAGAGATTAGATCATAGGGAAATCATTGGTAGTGGAAATCAATCAATCAATCATTCAATCAACTCAAACAGACTCAACAAGGATGTCAATCAACACAACACATCATAATACTTTGATGCTACATAAGCCTGGATCAAAGGGCGAGTCATATTCACCGTATATAGAGATTGTTGAACAAGAGTGTATATCAGTGGAGAGCGCAATATTGAACAATCGCAATGCCAATGTACATATAGTAGTGAAGAACACATCGTTCGTACTAAGGTTGCGAAGTGTGGACATGTCCGTTGTCAACTTTAGCACGTTCCATGTCAAGGCAGGCTTGTACTACGCCAACGAGCCCATGAAAGAGGTCAGCTTCATCCAGACACCGCCCATCACCTACGTCGGCAGCAGCTGTTCGACTGGCGAGTACTTCACCCTGGACGTCAAGATATCGATCCTGTCCAGCCAGCATCAGGGCAACCTGTTCTACCTTATGTTGCACACGACTGACACTGCGGCCAAGCATGCGCCCGGCCACGTGTACTTGTCGCACCCGATACGAGTCGTGTCCAAAGTGGACCACATCAAGAAGGACCCGAATGGCATGATCGAGAAGAAGCAGACATTCATCGATATACTCACAGAGAGGTTCAGCATACTAGAGAGAATGTACAGCTCACAACAGAACATCCTCACTTCGATGTACCGAGATCGTGACCTCGAGGGAGGCACAGCTGTGGCGTATGATGGCGATGTGAAGGAGGAAGACTCACACAATTCACCATCACACTCTCGCTCATCCTCTCCTCCATCATCCCCGCGCGATGCTCAAGGCAAACATCTCAAACGTCACAAGGTAAAGCATCATCCTGACGAGTCCTCATCTTCTGCCGATCAGCAGATGAGGGTAGAGAATGGCGGTGGTGGCACCAAGAAGAGTCGAGCCGAGATGTTCCTGGACAGCTTCAACAAAGTGATCAACTTGTATAAGGAGGAGTATAGCGCAGTTGATCAATCATCCGGTGGTCATCAGGACACAAAACAAGCTGCGCCCAGGTCATTACAACTCGCAAGCCTCTTTGCCAGCCTGTCAACCGACGAGAAGTCTACTCTGCGAGACCTTTTGGATGCATTCACATTCGATGACACTATTGTCAAACATCAACAACACCAATATCAGCAACAACAACATCATCAACATCAGTCACCAATGTACCAGTCGTCGACAGCATCCTCATTCAACTTGGCATCAGTCAATCATGAGACGACACATTGTGGATGTCCAGACTGTCCGTACAGGAAGCAGGCGGAACAATTCATGTTACTCTCACCGATAATGATGCCATCACCTTCACCTGCATCAGTGGAAATATTGATCACACCTCACGACTCTCCATTGATCTCACCAGACTTTGCTCCAGTCGTATCCAAACACTCATTATACGAATTGACCATGGAGACCATCACTGAGTGATTGAGTGAGTGTGAGTGATCGAGCGAAGCCAATGTGTAATATTCGTATTGACCAATAAATAGTGTACTAACTCAGAAGTATGAGAGTTGATTGTAGTGTTACAGTGATTGAGTGGGTCACCCCATCACATCTGAGATATACAATCGCTGGGCCCTCTCTCATCAGATAATGTAGTGGGGGAGTCAGGGCAGGTAGATGTATTACCACTTACAACTAAGTATACACCATGTTAATGGATTACACTACATTTATAATTGAAGTAATATATGCAAACATCAATATCACTTCATATGATTATATTATACTTATAAGTATAACATAGGAATTTCTATTCTTAAAAATGATTGGGCTTGAATCCTTGAGATCAAGATATATCTTTATATTATTATTTGTTGGATTAGTTCTAGCCAATGACCCGAATGTACAACAACTACAACAACCACAACAACCACAACTATATCCACAGGATCAACTACAGGGACCTCTTTTGAACATTCATATCATATGTCATTCACATGATGATGCTGGATGGAAGGATACCATTGAGGCATGTATAAATATCCTTGTCAATTTATAAATACTTACCTGTATTCCTTCAATATTATTTAGGGATACTATGATATCTATGTTCACAGAATACTTTCATCATTGACAGACGCTCTTCCTTTAAAGCCAAAGAGGAAGTTTGTTTGGTCAGACATGTAAGTTTAAATGAATATAATAATATTGTTAAATATTAAAATTATTTCTTTTATAAGTGGATTCCTTGAGAGATGGTGGATAGATCAAGATAATAACACCAGGAGTATATTCACAGGTTTGGTTCAATCTGGAAAGATTGAATTTGTTAATGGTGGATATGTTATGAGTGATGAAGCATGTACCACAGCTGATTCATTCATCAATAATCTTCACCAAGGAAACAAGTTTATTGCCAATACCTTTGGTGAACTATATGTAGCAAAGAAGTATGTATCAATATAATTATCTAATCAATCAAAATAACAATGATCTAATATAATATTCGGGAAATTAGTGGATGGCAGATAGACCCATTCGGACATGCAGGAAAGACAGCTGCTTTGGAATCATTCGCTGGATATGAGAATATTGTGCTACATAGGGTGGATGAGAGGACAAGAGATCTGTTGGGATCGACCAGGGATTTGGAATTCATTTGGCGTGGATCAAATGGTTTGAACTCAGAGTTGTTTGCACATATCTTGGATGATATTTATTACAAACCTGATGATGTCGATCTTGATTGGACTGATCCCATCACTGGAGTTCCTAGATTCCGAGATGAAGTCATTCGTTTAGCATCGAAGAAAGGACGTCACTATCGATCACCTCATATATTATTACCACTTGGTGCAGATTTCAAATATGTCAACTCTTTAAACGCTTTGGAGTTTATGGATAATCTCATCGATCATTTCAATTCCAACCCTCAATATGGATTCACTGCACACTACAGTACACTCAGCGAGTATTTCTCCGCCACCAGGCAGTGGTACTCACAAACCCAGACACCAATCAATCACATGTACTCTGACTTCATTCCATACGTCTGGAATCACTTTGGTACCAATGATCTATGGGTTGTAAGTAACACAAACAACATAATTAAGATTTAATATTGACGATGTATCCAACCAAATAGGGATACTATGCTTCGAGACCAGAACTCAAGATGTTGAGCCGAAAAGCTGACTCTACCCTTCGCATGGCCAGGGTATTCAATGCCCTTGAGAGAATTCCAAAGGATCAACAAGAACTCCTAGACCAGGCCCAGAATGTAAGTGATTGATTGCATGAACTTTGGTCATTTATTCAACTAACCTTGTTAAAAAACGAAGCAATGCTCATTCATCATGCACCACGATGCGATAACTGGAACAAGTCAACAATTCGTGGTCAATGATTATTTTGTTAGACTTGGTCAAGCTATCCAGTTGTCTAAACAAGTGATCAATGAAGCTATCCAGAACTCACCAGTTGGTGCATTCCCTGGTGATCTAATTGATACACCAATATTGGATATAGTCGATAATATGTATACACCAGTTATAGTTATCAACTCATTGGCATGGAGAAGGAATGAGATATATACTGTCAAGGTACCACATTGTGCAGTACAAGTCTTTGATGGAACAGTGTTGATGAAATCAGATTGTAACAATATCAAGATGGAGCCATTTGGATATGAACTATCATTCTTGGTTGATGTTGGATCAATTGGATTCCATGTCTATCATGTTTTGGGAGTGCCCATTCCTTCAAACGTCAAGAGTTCAGCCAACTCAGTTCTTCATGTCACCGATGGTACCCAATCATTATGGAACCATCATTTCAATCTTCATATGTCCAACTCTGGTTTGATGGGTTCAATTGACATCAGGAATCTGACCATCATACTCAAACAAAAGGTGAGTGATTGACCTGTCTTTGTTGGTTGATATTCAATCATACTAACAAAATGAATCCAAGTTGGTGGAATATGAGGCTATTTATCCAAGTGGAGCATATATTATGACAACAAGATATCCAACACCAGTGGAGGTTACATCGAGATCATCGATAGTATGGACTGATGGTACTTTGTCAAAGTCGATAAAGGTTACAACTGGATTGGACTTTGATGCTACGATTAGAATATACCAAACGAATATCTCAAGTATAGACCAATTCATCGATATAGAATATGATGTAGTTGGAAAGGATGACACTGAACGTGTTGTCCAATTCGAGACATCATTGAACTCTGACACTCTATACTCTGACGACGGATATGAAGTTCGAAGCAGACCAATCATTGACGATTACACTGGACATCTTGAATCATCATTATTCCCATCAGTATACATGTCCTACATTATTGACTCAATCACAAAAGAATCATTAATAGTAAGTACCCCTTACATTGACATATGGAATCATTCCAGAATATTAATATTTTTCTGATCACTTGATTCAGTGTTATGGAGATAGGAGTAAGGGTACAGCGGCAAGAAGAGGAGGAATGGAGATGCCATTACATAGGAGTCATACTAGAGATGATCATGCAGGTTTGGACCAACCTCCAATCAATCATGCAAGAATCAATGTCAAACATAGATGCAAGATTGATCAACTTAAGAATATTCAAGACTCATCAAACAGAGACTCAATACTCTTTGATAATCCATTGGTACACCTAACATCCACTCCTGTCTTTTCATCTCACAGATTCGTTCTTAATGGATTATGTATGTAGTTTGATTGAACTCAATATTTGTTTGACACATGGATTAGACTAACACTTATTATTCTTAGATTCGGCACCAGACAATATACATGTTATGACTTTCACTAGGATAGGAGGGGAGTATCTCTTGAGATTGGCAAACATAAGATCAAATGGTCCAGCAACTTCAATTGATCTCACTAGATTATTACCATCATATATTTTTCCAGGATCTATCCGTGAGACCAATATTCATGGTTTTGGAAGTATGTTAAATTTATGACAATATTGATTAATTGATCACTACTAACAATATTGTTGATGGCATATATCTAGGACCAAACTATTCAGCACCGAAGGATGAATGTAATAATGGATTTGTTTGCACACATCAATCAATCAACTTTATACTCAAGGACAAAATTGTAAACTCAACTGCTAGAACATTGGGTCCAAATCCAGTCCCACTCAAAGGGACTTTAGTAACATTGAATCCAATGGAAATCAAGACAATAAGATTCGTCAACAACAATAAGTTTAATTAAATATAAGTAATGGAACTCCCAAAACAAAATGTAAAATTTGGCGCCTTAAAGTTGATCATCAATCACTCAATGCCATATTCTTCAATACTTGTATTACTATGTACACAGATAATAACAGATCAAAGGGTGGAGTACCAACACTGGACTCTTTAAAGATTGATGGAGCAAAATATATTATCTCTGTTTGTTCTTTGGAGAGGGAGTATCCCTATCTGGTCAAGCTTGGTTGCATGATTGGATATTCACCAGCTGGGAGACATTGACAAGTTCGTTGGCACTCAGATTCTGAACAATCAACCTTGGCAAAGCAGGAACTACTACACAATCATTGGCAACACTGGAAAGATAGTTGGATTGCAAGTCCATGATCAAGATGATCCCGCACCCTACAACAAGAGAACAATCAGAAGAATCGAATATTGGTACGAATCAACAGAGGACTGCGATGGTGGTCACGATATATGGTATATGTTGCCAGTGCAGGCATTCAAATCTGCCCTCGCAGCTCGTGAGGTGGACTATGATGAGCTGGATCGTTACAAAGTTAAGTTATAATACACTCACTTATTCAATCAATCAATGAAACAATCAAACAATCAACTTAATATACCATATGCCAACATCTTAATGTACCTTGGTAACGTTGCATCACTCCAGGAGTTGGCTGCAATGAATGAGATCACTGCACTGCGATCACATAGACTGGCCTCCAGAATGTTCTTAACTTACACACATGCTCTACAAGTGTACCTTATTATGTAGCCTGTGGTCACAATGTGTGTGTGGATAATCAAGTTGTATTGGGTTGTTGGGAGGTATATATATCAAGCAAACAGGGGCTGGTGGATAAGTTCCAGCAAAACAAACAGTCAACCCACAACTTGTTGATCACAGACCCACCACTACCACCATCATCATCATCACTACTCAAGTGAATTACTTACAGCGGGCATCAAATGAACATGAATGAACACAAGCCCTGTTTACCTGCCATCTATACCTCCATCATAATACAGGATATGTTCCAGCCCCATCATGTTCCAATCCAATATCAGTGAGAGAGTGTGTAATTTTAATAGTGATTGTATGTATCAACAACATTACACCAATAATACACGTTCACTTCATTTATTACATTCTACATAATATTGGTCTAATATAATTATTATTATTATTATTATTAATAGAATGAATAAATTATTCATATCTATATTATTGGTTTTATTACTCTTAGGAGAAACAACTAATTCTGTTTATGGTAAGTATAATGAATCAATCAATCAAGGTAAAGGGTTAGTTCTATTATTATAGAACTAAGTTCAACTTAATTAATTAAATTATAATATTGTACATTAAAGCACAACTCCTTGTGGACTTGGAGTTTGTGATGATAATACTCAAGTTTGTTGTGGAAAGGAGTTTGGACCAGGGTTCACTCCAAAATGTCTCCACAAATGTACTTTCTTGAGATGCCATGGTAACCTAGTTTGTGCAATATCCAATGCTCAACCAATTTGTATCCCCTTTGCCAACTACCGGCACAACTGCAACATCTGCAACAACAACTTCTGCCACGGCCTCCACAACGGTCTCAACTCAATCAACTGTTGCTAGTACTGTGGCTTCAACTGTATCACAGGCTACTGCCACCACGGCTACAACCACTGCTTCGCCCACGGTAACGACAACAGTGTCAACTCAGTCAACAGTTGCATCAACGGTATCCCAAGCTACTGCTACAACTGCCACTGCATCTACTGTTGCTACTAACACTGCTTCGACCACAGTGTCTACTACCTCCCCCGCGTCCACCATCACCCAGACTACCACTGCCACCACCACAGTGTCGAGTATTGCCACTGCCACAGGTCCAGTAACATCAACAGTAGCTTCCACAACTGGTCATCATTCAGTTTGAGACTATCAACATCATGACCAGCGGTTGGTGAGCAGATAGTGCTGCCAATGAACTCCTCGATAGACGTACACGATTTGATGATAATCTAAAGATCTTTAGATTATCAATATCTAGATCAGTTGTTATTGTTGCTGCTGCTGCAGTGTTTGTGGAGATTGTAGTATTCTCCTCACATTATTATCTCTTTTAGTATTTATCTCTTATAACTCTTGAGACATAATGAGTGAGTGAAACAACCGAACTTTAACTTAAATAATTGCGCGGGAAGAACTTAGATTCAAAAGTGTTGATTTCGATGAAGTTCAAAACCCATAAAAGGTGTGTGTTTGGTGAATGATGTGGGGGTTGAACATCCATGTGATAGCACTAGCTCATCTTATCACTACCATTCATTCTTTCATTCACACCATACTCATACACACACACACAACCATTGAGCCAGTATAAGTCACAGAAGAGTATAAACAAACGACAACGAGTGTTAGAGTTTGGTTAGGTTGATCACTTATCTCACTGCTTCAACTATCATTCCCATTCATTCTTTCAATTGATACAATGATTGATAGACTGACTGACTGACATCATCATAATCATAATCATTCATAATCATAATCATTATCACTTCATTCATTATTAATCAAGAGTTATAAAAAGATAATATTATTATTATTATTATTATTATAAGATGTCCAAAACTACAACAAGTACAACAACAACTTCAAAGTCTTCAAAAGAGACTTTTGAATATAATGAAGATGAGTTATATCCACCTCTGGATCATAGTGCCCGCTATGCATCGGATCTGGATGAATCCGTTTTAAAGACCTTGGGAATGTTGCCCGACGAGATTGCAGCCTTTGTCAAACAACGCCACATGTACATAAACAAGGATGTTATCCTTAAGGACCAGGTCAAGACTCCGGACAAGTCGTCATTCGTCGACTACAAGCAGTTGCACATCAAGTCCCCGGTAAACAACGCACGTGCCATCGAACTACTCAAGAAGTTGGTCATTGTAAAGTTGAATGGAGGCCTTGGCAGCAGCATGGGTTGCAAGGGCGCCAAGTCCTCGATCGAGGTTGCACCCGGAGTCACCTTCCTTGACATGGCCGTCGCACATATTGAGCAGATCAACCAAGACTATAATGTTGACGTGCCATTGGTCTTGATGAACTCATTCAAGACAGACACCCAGACCACAAAGATCATTGAGAAGTACAAGACACACCGCGTGACCATCAAGACATTCGTCCAATCCAAGTTCCCAAGAATGTACAAGGACACCCTAAACGTTGTTCCAAAGCCCAGTAACGAGGCCAACCTAAAGGACTGGTACCCACCAGGAAGTGGTGATGTCTTTAGAAGTCTCCACCGTTGTGGACTTCTTGATGAGTTCATCGCTCAAGGCAAAGAGTACATCTTCATCTCCAATGTTGAGAACTTGGGAGCAGTCACTGATTTGCGTATGTATAATTACCCAACATCCCTCGCCTGATTAGTCCTCTAACAAACAAACAATCAATCAATCAAATAGATATCCTTAACCATATGGACAATGAGAAGATTGAGTTTGGTTTGGAGGTGACAACAAGGATCAGCACAGATACAAGCGGTGGTGTGTTGATGTCCTACTTGGACAGACTACACTTGTTAGAGCTCTCACAGATCAAGCACGACAAGCTAAAGATGTTCAAGGACTTTAAGTTCTGGAACACCAACAACATTTGGGTCAGTCTCAGGTCCTTGAGTCCATTGATCAAGAGTGATAAGCTAGTCCTTGATTGGATTGTCTCATTCCATGTATGTTATTTCCATGATGTGTTTACATACGTATATCTTTCTAACCTGTACATTAATCAACTAGAATGAGAACCACAAGGCATTAGTTCAATTGGAAACACCAGCTGGAATGGGTATCCAGAACTTTAGCAACTCAATTGCCTTCCTTGTCCCAAGAGGAAGGTACAGACCGATAAAGTCCACAAGCCAGCTGTTGATCTCACAGTCTAACCTGTTCCAATTCGAGCATGGCAAGATGTCGATCAATCCAAAGCGTGACTCATCCGACATTCCTCTTGTAAAGCTTGGCGAGGAGTTCACAAGCGTGTCTGAGTACGAGAAACGTTTCAAGTCCATTCCAGACCTGCTCGAACTCGATCATCTGACAGTGTCGGGTGATGTCTACTTTGGTGTCAACACCAAACTAAAGGGCACCGTCATCATCGTTGCCAATCACGGTGAGCGCATAGAGATACCCGATGGTGTTACGCTAGAGAACAAGATCATCTCTGGCACTCTTAGGATTATGGATCACTAAGACCCTCCACTAATCCATCAAATAAGTCTTTTGTCTAGACATAATGTACCATTCATTCATTCATTCAATCATTCAATGTAATCGCCAGTTTATACACGGTCTTTGTTGTTGTTATTTATTGAGTCTTGATCTTGTTGCTGCCACTGCTGCTGCTACTGCTACTGCTGGTGATGACCAACTTCAATGTTAGGATATTAAGTGGTATGTATATCAAAGTTAGGAATGGTAGCCAGAGTGTGGAGTAGAGCTGGTATTGTCGAATGAGTGTGCCGATCAGTGTATAGACATTCTGGTTGAGGTACAGTCTCGCCAGAAGATATAAAACGATTGGTGGAGAGATGGCCAGTGTAACCAACGCCTGGAAAATTCGCAATATCGGCCAAGAGGAGCGCATTGGGAGTATACATAGAGGGACGACGAGAATGGCTGCAATCGTCGAAAAGGAGAAGTTGAGCAGTGACATGGTGGTGATGAACAGTAACACTGGGAGGCATGTGAACACCTTGAAACTGGATCCGCCTCGGGGCGTGGTTGGGAGTGGTCCTGTTCCTGATTCCGTTGATGATAATGTTGATATTGATGACGGATAAAAATAGCTATCCAATCGAGGATAGACGAGCGTGAAGATTATAAGGTAGACGGTGGCGAATGAGACAAAGAGCACAGCGTCGCTGACCAGGCTATTGGAGTGTGTCGACAGGTCTTGGAGTAGGGAGAGTGTGGCGCGAGGGAACGTCAATGGAACCAAAAAGAAGAGAAGGCCAATTGTGAGTGTCACACCAACCATTGTGGCTGAGTACAATATATCGATTGGCGTGTCTGTCACTGTGATTGGCTGTTGTTGTTGTTGTTTTTGTTGTTGTGGTTGCTGCTGATCAACCAGATCAGCATTGGGTTGCTGTTGTCGTTGTTTGATCAGCTTCATCGAGGGAGGTTTGAATGTGGTGGACAAGGAGAAGAGGAGCAGGAGCACTAGGATGATCAACGGACCGACGATGGCACCGAGTGAGATCATGTACTCGCCAATCGACACGTATCTGAATGGTGAGGGCAACAGATAATAATAGAACGACTGATGCAGATGCTCCAGCAGGTTATTGAGACTGCGTATCGTTCCAATGACCATCACAGAGTTCTGATGGATGGTGTGGCGCTGCTGTTGTGTCGGCAGCGCAATGGTGACGGCGTCGATGTGATAGTCGTTGAACAGACCGTGGTCGCCCGTCGGCACGCCCATCGCCTGGTTGTACATGAATGTGGCCAGAGTGGCCATGTCGGAGGGAAGATGACGGTTGATAGGCGATTCATTCAGAGCGAGCTGAACAGTGTCAGTGACGCGCTCCTTCGCTGCCATGCGAGCAATCGTGTTGATGAGGTCGAGGTTTGGCAGCTGGCCATTGGAGCCCTCCGCCAGGATATTGAATCGATTTGTACGATATGTTTCATTGATGTCAATGTTGAGCGCTGCCTGGATCATGCCAGCGCGACGGAAATAGCTCTGAGCCGAGCGTGCGTCGTTCTCCCCACTCGAGTGATAGTCTGACAGCCAAGCCTTCATTCCCAATCCGCCAAAGTGGCCATCAGTGATCACAATGATAATATCCTTTGCCATCCAAGTCCTAGCTCTCCTCTGCAAATTGGATGCCATCGCCAATATCCATCCTACACCAGTAACATCGCCTTCCTGTAGTCTAATCGCTTTAACTTTATGAGGTCATTCGAATGAGTGAGTGAGTTGATACCAGGCACGCGCGGCACTGACTACAACCTACCGTTAAACTTGGTCGTCAGAGCCAATGACTCGGTGCCATCTGACTTGGGCGCACGGATAACACTGTACAGGTTGTAACCCTTTTGTTCGCTAACATCACCATCGTCGTGGCCAGCGATGGAGAATACATGTGTATATGTCTCAAGTCCAATGTCTCGCAGTTGTTCTTCAATCCATTTGGAAGCCTCTACTCTACAATTCTCCACGCTATCCTTCTTATTGCACTTTGCTATATATTGATTCCATTGTTGTGAGTATCTAATGGCTGCATCTACATCAGATCTATCAAACTCTACGTTTGCTGCACCCGGTAACAATGCATTCTCCGACATATAAGTCTTGTGTGACTGTGCCGGGAAGTATGATATTGATACGATGCCTCCAAAGTACATCACCAATCTGTTTGTTGAGTTGATTGAGCGATTGAGTGATTGGGAGTTGAGTGAGTTGAGTGATCAATCAATCACCTCTTCTGATGAGTCATACCCTACAATCACAAGGAGTAACCTCGTCTTTTTGTTATTGATGTCAATCATCGCATCAACTTCCAGCCCCAGTAATCGCTTCTGTTGCTTTCTAGTGTATAAGTATATGTATAATATATAAATTATGATCAATTAATTTAACAAATGATGATGTGGGATTGAATAAAAGTGATCATCACTTTCTCTCACTTTTTCCATAATTCACTGATTGGGCAAATCAACCAATCAATCAATCAATCACTGATTGATACATTTATATAATACGAATATCTAGGATTGTCCAAGAATCTTTAGATTCTTCAATATTCGGTTATACTTTTGTACTGATTCTTGATCATCACCAAGCATATCCATTAGCCAAATGCAGAAGGAAAAGGCATAGAACTTGATCATTGCCTTTTGTTCCTCTGTGAATGCTCCACAGCGACCGTCGTCAACACTGTTATTACAATATCTCTCTTCAATAGCCTCGACGAATCGCCAGTCTCCATAACAATGTGATAGTATTCTTCCAATGTCATAGAGTCCATCGCCTGCAAGACAGTCGGCAAAGTCAATGATGCCAACCACAGTTACCGACTGATTGTTGTCTTCTTCCTCCTTGGTCTTTACACGTATGTTTCCACTGCACATATCGGCATGTACAATGCATGGACGATCGAACTTCTTGAGATATTCTTTGACGCTCTCAAAGTATTTGGTGAGTGTGATGGCCGCCTCATCCTGGCTGCTCAGGCCATGCAGAGCCAGGTCAAAGAGCCCTCGAGACTGACAGCTCGCTATCTGATTGGGAATGTCCCTGTCAAAGAATGTCAACCAGTCTGGGAGTGCGCCTTGAAACTGCTCGTTGATGAGCTCGCCATAGCCTGTTGCGCTAGACGGACGCGGGACACAATGAAACTGCCGCAGTATCTCTCCAACACGGTTGAATACACTCTTGATGGCATGCGTCGGCATGTCCAACGGAGTCGTGTATATATCTGACAGGTCGCAACTTTCGATAAATGACTCGATCACATAGTTCTCTGTCTCTGCCAACAGTCGTGGCACTGGCAACATATGTTTGTTTAGCAATGAAAGCATTGCGGCTTGCATTCTAGCAGTATGCATTGCAGGGCCTTCAGAGCAATCTCTAGGCAATCTTAGTACTACTCTATCGTAGTCTGGTTCATTGGGAATGCCATATGATACGATATATACATCATTGTCATAACCCTTTGAACTATCTTTAATCGATATTCTTGTAGCATAATCAACATTATCACCATCATTGATTGCTACTTGTTTCCAAGGCTCTGTAGTCAAATGCTTTCTTATTATCCCAATGATACAATTAGATCGATCTGGTTCATTTGATGGAAGTCTAGTAGTTTGATTATTATTATTATTCATTGTATATTATCACTTGTTAATATTGTGAATGATTCAGTCTCGAAGAGAATGGTGAATCATGATTAAATAATGTAAACGAGTGAAGCCTATTACTTGGTTGGCTCAACATGAGAGCTGCAATTTCTCTGTCTTGTGGTTTTGGGAAGTTCATTCTTTTGAATCCTCTCCTCCCCATTCACCTCATTATTCACAATTAATTAATTAATAGTGTGTGGTGCACGTTCAGATTGTTCGAGATTAGATCTTGTTCTTGTCATTTGACGACATCATTTGCTAGCAAATCTGTGTTGATTATGTACGATCACATATTCTTTTAACCGGTTACAATAATAAATAGTCTGTCCTCAGGATTTTAAAAAAATTTTAAAATTAATGATCGTATTTTTAGAGACATCCATGGGACATATCCAAACTTTTTAAATGTGGTAGGTTGCAATCTACAGATTTGGGTGTGAGTTTGTAGACTGACCAGTCGCGTGACCTCGAACCATTTTGTGGGGACCTGATCATTAAATTCCAAATGTGTGGACACGGGACGTCCGTGTTCTACAGCATCATGTCTCAAAGTTACAGTGAGACAGCCACTGGAACTAGAACGACTATTTATAAGCGAGAGGGAAAGTATGGATGTTCTATCAAATCAACCAAGGTATTATTCCCTAGTACAGCTACTCCTTCATATGATACATACATATATATATATAGTTATTATAACATATAATTAATTATTATTATTATTACTATTAAAATTATTTTTATTATTAAATGCCAGTTGAAATAACAACAAAGACATCATCACAGCCACAACCATCACTCCTCAATCTGTACAGATTGTGGCAGAGTATTTGGTTGTCTAGGCCAGATGTCATAACAAACTACACCTACACCAACTCACAAACAAAGAATGATAATATAATGAGTGTGGAGGAGTTGTCCAAACAGCTCAGACAAGATACCCCACATAATCTACAGATGCTTGATCATAAACATTGGGAGAATGTTGTTGACTCACTTTGTCATCACCTTCAAACTGGTCAACTGTCTATAGGCCCATCCGCTCCAACTTGCCCCGACACTGATCTTGTAGGTCCATACAATCCCCGCACTGGCAAGTGCACGTGCAAGTGGGACTCCATCCCCAACGACCCCAGTATCTCGGATATTCAGGTCCACTCAGGATGCACTGCCATCAAGAAAGTTCTCGACTCACTCGAGTCGGTGGCCTCAAGAGATAATGAATGGCTAACAGACATCTTCACAGTTGACGACCTTCGTGTGGCCGTTGATGAGGTGTTACTCTCCAATACAGACATCCAGCCAGCACCCACTACATGCCAGGGTGCCATCACCAACACTGTCGCTCTACCAATCGAGGCCCCCAATTGCAAATGTTGACCCACAGAACGACACCAACATATCAATTTACAATGAGTTGTACCCTACAGCCGAACAGATCAAGATGTTTGCCGATGCCAAGTACTTCCATTCCATCGCTTGTTGTGCAAGTCAGTGTGATGATGGCCTTGCACGGGCAATTGCCTACTGTGGCAATGACATTCTGATGGCTGACTACTGTGAGGCCGCCGACGACAAGACCCTGGCACTCTGCCAGAGATTGAGTGGCGCCTCAATGGCCTTCCTCAAACTTTGCAACCTAGCTGGTATCGTCTCGGACTGGCAACTGGGCAACATGGCTGCTGGTATAGTCCTCTTCCGTGTACTTGGATAATACCGCGATCACTCACGCTCCACAATGCCAGAGGGAATATATGGCAGCCGAATGACAGGAATCACCGTCCAGAGATACGTTGATATTGGAATATTCAATGGTGTAATCTCAGCCTCACTATCATCCGGTGGAGAGCAGATCACCCGTGATCAGTTCCGTGCGCTGTCCGAGTCGACGACTTTGATCAACGACCTGATCGACCTACGCAGTGACACCATGCGCAAGACCCGTGAGAACCCAGTACTACGTGGCGCGCGCGGCAATCTCTGCACCTACCTTGACAACATGATCAGTCGTAGTGTCCTTGTCGTTGCCAAGACCATTGCCGACAGTCGAGTTTGTGCACTGGTGATCATGGCACATTGCAACTGGGTCCTGATGGCCTCGCACCACAAGTTGCATGAGTTGGCCATGCAGACCAAGGAGGTTACACTCTACCCCACATGCACATACAAGTCACTGGTCAATCATAATGAGTACGAGCAGTTGCTGGTGGCCCTGAAGCCTTATGGTACTCTTGGCAAGAAGGTCGGCCCATGTCTGACCAAGACTCGTAAGGAGTTGGACATGCTCTACCACACTCAAAGAACTGATCCAAAGACCCATATGGCTTGGATAGCAGATGCAACAAGAATAATTCTCGACCCAATCAATATGAGAAAGTGGATTGATGTGGTTCATTACAAGTGGGAGGGTAACACTGGAGATGTTGACTATTGTCCGTAATGTTTTAAAAGCGACAATCATTATTAAATTGACCCTCTATCATTGATATCAACATTATAAATAATAAATTACAATCGTTCAACTTAGTGGCCCACGACCTCTACCTCAATAGTTGGCTAATTATCCAAAACGATTCAACAACTATTGGTAATATAAAAGTGACAAATAATTGATTGATTGATTGATTTAAATCTATATATATATTTTTGATAATTGCCAACAATTCGAAATAATTATTTCTCCAATAAGAAATTTACATTTCTTTGTAAATAAGGATAATCCAGATAATATTAAACTCTCGTCCCATATTACAATATATTCCAAATTGTAAGATCAACACAACACTCAAACAAAATCCGGAATGATTTGATTCCAAACAACCTTTGATCAAATTGAATTATAATTATTAATTACAATGTGACAGACAGAGATAAGCAAAGATATTAAATTAACTGTTAAGTTAATAACATCAATGTGGTGATCATTCCAAAAAAAAAGAATTGAGACAAGGACAAGATTGACCAACTTCTTCTTGGGATTTTTGAAAGAATGAGTGGATCACAACCTTAGATTTGATCAGGGCACTAACATTCATTCATTATAAATTAATGTAACTTTCAAATATATGTTTAAACAGATAACAACACAAAGATACATACATACTACAATATACAATACATTTAATACACCTAAAGTACAAAGAATGACAAAGGATATTATAAACTTTTACAGAGAGAGAGATGATTATGGATGCTTCAGTAACTTCTCACATCACGTAGTCAACTACAATGGTGATGATTGGCTGACCAGCGAGCATTACTTCCAAGCAATGAAGTTTGAGAAAACACCATTGTACAATCAGATTAGAGACGCAGAGTCTGCCGCAGTCGCCAAGAAGCTGGGTGGCTCTAGAGAATACCCACTGCGACCAGACTGGGAGAGAATCAAAGACCGCGTCATGTATGACATTGTTCTGGCCAAGTTCAAACAACATCTAGACATCAAAAAGGTTTTGCTGGGAACTGGAGACGCCAAGATTGTAGAGCATACTAGAAATGATAGTTACTGGGGCGATGGTGGAGATGGAAGGTAAGTAATAATGTAGTTGGTTGGTACGTTGATTGGAATACTAACATATTGTTGTATGATTGAATGATTGAATAGTGGAAGGAATCAACTTGGTCTTACTCTAATGGAAGTTAGAACTCACCTCCGCGCTGAACAACAACAACAACAAGAACAACAGCAACAACAACAACCAGATAATAATTAAACTTCTTATCTCTAGTAGTCCTGTGTTTGAGATGGTGGAGAGGCCTCGAGGCCAACTCCTTATCCTTGGGCAAAGGATTTATTATGTCAACTATAACAACAACAACGACATGACAATCCACGTTCCTCCACGTCTTTGATTGAGACGACATGGATGTCATCCACAACACTCTGAAGGATTGGATAGTTTGAAAGACATTTCCAAAGGTGTAGCTAGCTCACCATAATCAGTGAGCGCTCTTAATGATGGAGAATGAATGTGATCGATCAATCCATCCAGTCTCCTTCCTCTTTCTCCTCTTGCTGTTTTTGGAGTGAGCCTAGGCTGCGAAGCCATGCTCACTCATAGATGTGCGGCGTCCATCCACGATAGAGATTGAGAGGTTATTCCTACATTTTCCAAATCTTGATGGTTGGGTCCGAGTCGATGGCACCTGATGCGATGATGTTCTCTGTAGGGTGGCAGGCAACAGCCAGCACCACATCGGTGTGTCCTTCCAGCTTCTGTACGATCTCCTTGGTCTGCAGATCCCAGATGTAGAGGCAGTTGTCCTCCGATCCAGAGATGACCCATTTTCCATTGGAGAAGGCAGAGAATACACAGTACTTGGTGTTCACGTGACCGTCGTATGTCTTCATCACTTTGTTGTCGCTGTAGTTCCACAACCGCAGCTTTGAGTCCAGTGTGCCCGCCAGCACATACTTGCCATTGGGTGAGAATGACGAGTATGATACCATTGGTGGTTTTACATCAGTTGGCAACAATGTCGCTAAGATATCCGCTGTTGCTGTGTCCCATATACGTCTATATGAAGGTGGGAAGAGGATAAGCTTGTTAGTAAAGTACATTAATCATTCATTCAATGAAGGGATATGATTCATACATTGATCCATCGTGGCTGCTAGAGACAAGCATGTTTCCCTCACGGTTAAAGTGGACGGATGATACTGGCTCGGTGTGTGCCTCGATCTTGCGCTGCATTTTGCCAGTCTTGACATCCCACAGGATGATGTCCTCGTCAAAGGAGCCACTGGCAATCAGGTTGGACTGCGGGTTGAAGTTGCAACAGAACACAAAGTTCTTGTGGCCTCGCAGAACCTTTAGTTGATCGCCTGACGTGGCATCCCATATACGCACAGTCTTATCATCCGATCCCGAACAAATATACTTTGAGTCATGACTCCAGCTTGCATCCGATATTCCCTTCTTATGTCCAGTCAATGATCTTTGATATCTTCCATTCCTAGCATCCCAAATCTTTATAATATTATCGGCGGCTAAATAGTTGTATAAGAGTATGAGTATGATTATGAGTATATGAATGAAGAGGGGAAGGGAGGGGAGAGATACTTACATGCACTTAATAACCATTTACCATCTGGAGAGAACTTTACACATGATATTGATTGAGAATGACCTTGCAGAGTGTACTTTAATCGGTAGTTTGGTGTATTGTTTGGCTTTGGACGTGGAGCGCCCTCTGGTGACAAAGCAGGTCCACCTCCAGCACCAGATGATGTTGATGAATAAAGTATTGATTCAGTCTCCATTGAATATTTAATAGTATATTATTATTATTATATAGTATATTATAATATATAATATTAAACAAATAATAAAAGAGATAGAGATAAATGAACAAATGACAATGTTATCGTGAGCATTTTAACAAACATTGCGCAACTCTCACTCGTCTCTTGTTCAAAAACACACACAAACAACAAACTTTAAAGTAAAAATTAAATTCAAGAAGACGAAAGAGTGAATGAGTAGTTTTTTGACGAGTTGAAGGGTGTGATCATACTCGTTTCAACACACACACATACACAATAACATACATATAAACAAACAAGTTAACATCTTATACATATATAGATATAATGTCGGAAAGTTTACCAGCAGACTTGGAGAGCGATATTGGAGAGTTTGAAGGATTGCTAGACAAGATTGAGAATCAACTAGAGCCATATTTCAAGCATTCGTTAAAGGACCATCAGGATGAATTATCACCTCTACAAGCAGCTCAACTAGATATCTCTGTTGCCTATGCACTCAACTCATTGTTCTATAGTATGTGTCCATGCTAACATTCATTGATATTGGACATTGGCCCTGCATCCTTACTAACTAATCACAAATATTACCTCAGTGTACTTACAGACTCAAGGTGTGTCACCGCATGGACATCAGGTCAAAGGCGAGCTGGACAGGATCAAACATTATATCGTCAAGCTGCAAGGAATGAACACACAACAAGAGATTGATAAACGTATGATTATGACTGAGTCGGATAGGTGGATAAAAATGATGGCCATGGCTTGATGTGGGATGGATACTGACTTATACTAATTATACAACCAATCAAATGTAGCCAAGATGACTGTAGACACAGAAGCAAGCAAAAGAATGATAAACCACTCATTGAACGCCAATCAACCATCAAACAGTATGATAAATACATTGAATGACACTCAGATATCGAGTCCAGCTATACTAACTCAATAACAATCACTTTCACAATATGACAGAGGAGAAGGAACAGAAGAAGAGAAAGAAATAAATAGATATATTATGTACAAAATATCGATTATATCAATCAACCAAACAGGCCTGTCACATACTCCAAACATGTACATGTTTGGTTGTCAATATATGCACTCACATTCATCCCGACCCCGTGTCTGTCTTGGTCCGACGACTCTAGACATCCATTACATTTCCTCATTGTTTCCAGCAGCCAACAACAACATTCAATTATTGGTAATGAATGGTTACGATACTGACATGGACATTTCAAAGATTGCCTTGCCAACAATGATTCACCACGAAGTTATATTGCTGACAAGTTTGGTTGGCAGGCGGAAGGACCTGTCAATATCCGTCCAACAGGAGGAATGATTGGTAGTGACCAGTAGTTTCATTCAGTTCTTCGTCAATCGATGCGTCGTCGATGTCGTCAACGACTCTATTGCTCGATGTGGATGTGTGGTTGCACCATTAGTAAGTGCAAAGGTCACCCCACAGAAACAACTTTGAAATTGATGTGTGATGGATATTTGATCGGATTTATTTCGTGTTTTACATCTTTCATCACGACTTTAAATCTTTTTTTGACGTGTGAGTGTGTCAGATGTCCAAGCTACACACTCATGGGACCTGTCTGTCTATTTGCCTGCCCATCTTCTTACTCTACCTGATTAATTTCTGATTCGATGTACACATCATCAGTCAGGTCAGTCCTTTCATGTTTGTCTGTCAAACTGTTTGGATCGTGGTTGGATTCCTGTCCTAAAAATATCCGAAATAATATATTATTGATTTAGTTTCTGTTTATGTTTAGATTAATGTGTTCATTTTGGTGGATCATGAGGTGGAGTGATGATGATGAATTATGATGACTTACCTACCAATATAAATTGCACTCCGGAGTCATCCAATCATTCCATCATCACAAATCAAAGTGTTAATATAACAATCAATCAATCAAACAACCACCTAGTATTTTAATTTACTACTCCCCTCCAATATATAATCAATAATGCCACTTCCATTGACCATCAGAAAGAGCCTCAGAGGTAAGTTTTGGAATAATAATCCAACAATGACATGTCCAACCTTACTGATCAATCAAATATAATATTAGACAATGAGGAGCACTTGACCCAAGCCGTCGAGAACTTGAAGGCCACCACAGGACAGGACTGGACCTTTGAGTTTGACTTTGAGACCATCTACGAGAAGTTGGCCAAGGACTGCGACTACCCAAGAAACAACGCCGGTGACTTCTTCTACAAGACCATCGCCCTCAACGTTGCCGACTGCATCAAGTCGACCTGTGCCAAGGACGAGATTGCCAAGGAGGCTCTGATTGAGGCCAACTCCAACAACAAGGTCATCGTCCGTGTCAACGAGGAGAAGAAGAACGTGCCATACTGGAAGTACATCTTTGAGAACAACTCCCTCGTCCTGTTGTTCAACCCAAGCGTTGCCAACACTAGCGACATCTCCTACTTTGACCTTGCCGCCATCATCCCATCCCCAGGCGTCATGTCATTGAAGGCTCGCATGGACATTCGTGAGAACACCGAGGCCATCAACGAGGAGTTGGAGAAGATCAAGGCCGTCACCAAGCGTGACTGGACCTACGACGAGGCTTCCCTCGAGCAGTGCTACGCCACCTTTGGCGACTACCAGGAGCGCATTGGTTCCATCCTCAAGGACATCATTACCAACGTCTCCTACAACATTTGCAACCGTTGCAAGGACGAGATGATCCTCGAGGCCTTTGACGAGGTCACCCAGAACTCCAAGATCGTTCTCCGTGTCGTTCCAAAGCAGAGCGAGTACTGGGTCTGGTCTTTCGAGTCTGGCAACGTCGTCGTCTCCTTCAAGTCCATCTGCAACGTCGGTGACATCAGCTACTTGGACTTTGAGAAGTTGTTGTAAATTATCATCACAGTCTTGCTTCGTCCGTCAACCCAATATCATCAATCACACATGTCATCATTAATTGATTGATCGATTGAGTTGACTAACTTGTTTGATAAATAGATCAATACACTAATAAACATAATGATGTTGATCGACATAATATAGCAAAGAGTACTTAATTGACATGACAGATTCAGATGGCAAGGGCAAGGGCAAGGGTTAGGGTAAGGTAAGGGTTAGTTCATTATTCAGATGGACTTGTGCTTGAAGTGAACAAGAAGATGGGTGGTGGATCTGGATTAGTTTGAAAAGAAAACAGGGTGTAGTGTGCATTCATGAGGGGGTTGTGTTCAAATGATCTGAGCTCAAAATATTGGGGTAGTGCTTTTGGTAAGACGTTTGCAAAAACCAAAGCAAAACAGTGTTGAGGTAATAGTGTGGGTTGGTGGTAGATGGCAGTCGACTGAGTTAGTGTGTGTGTGTATGTGCCCACTATTGTGAGAATAACAAATAATAGACAGGCTCTAGCCACTTTGGTCTACTCAACACAAAGGATCTCTCAATCTCTATTCTCTCTCTCTCACTCCCACCCATTCATTCATTCATTTATTCATCCATTCCCATTCAAACCTAGCACTTTAACATCTTCTTACTTATTCAATATTCAAAGATTGTTGTTTAGTCGTTCGCGTGACAACATTAATTTAGAAATCAGATAGACAGACATATACAGACACACATACTCAATCAATCAATCAATCAATCAACCAACACATTATAACAAGGAATCAAATATACATAATGAAGGACCCTGTTGTTGTGTCTACCCCAATGTCCCCAGAAATAGACATCTGTGGACTTGATGAACCAAACAGCAACAATAACAATGGTAGTAATGGTAGCAATAGTATGGCCATTACACCATCATCAACATCTACGAGTGCACCAATGAATATAGAGTCATCACCATTGAGCACATTCTTTAACAAGTCTGTGTTTGACTCACCGTCCAGACCGTTTGGTGACGGGTTGGTGGGCACGCCTGGCAGCTTTGGCACAAGCGCCGGAAACACATTCTCCTACTTCAAGATGGAGGGCATGGGCGGTGGCAACAACATGAACAGCTTCTCGCCCAGCAAGCTGCTGCTGCACTCATACGATCTGCAGAGTATCTACTCCAAGTCGCCCCTGCTCTTCCCTCTCAACACCTCACTGCTCACACCGCCACAACATGGCAACATGTTTCCAACAGTATCACCTCGTAATCATATCATTAGTTCACATAGTTATAATAACAAAACAGATAATAGTAATAATAATAACAATAGTAATAATAATAATAGTACATCAACAACATCATCATCTTCAACATCATCATCCAATGTAATCAATATAACAAATATCCATTCGAATGGTAACAGTAACAACTCAACACCCGAGAACTTGGTAATGCGTATCAATAGTGGACTGCAGCCACAGTCAAACTCGCACCTGACCTCAGCCAACACATTGATGAACATCAACACGGCCAACCACTTGTTGCCAAGTGTCGATCGCCATGCAGGCCATCGCCCAAGATGGCAGCGATACGACACGTCCGATGAAGAGGACGACGAATCATCCGACGAGTACTCCTCCGACATGCGCATACATCACGTGCACATCGAATCGGATTTGTCCATGTCCGAGGACGACATGTCTGTGTCATCGTCGACGCCGTCCTCCTCCTCCCACGCCGGCGTCCACTCCTCCTCGAGTGAGATGATGCTGGCATCGGCATTCCCCACGATCAACGGGTCGCTGCCCAGCGTGCCACCCGCGTCCTACTCCCTGTCGTCCAACTCTAGCCACCAGCCATCACTCGAGCGTCAGATCGACCAGGCGATGGCACAACACGGCATGGTGGACGTTGGCGGTGGTCACCAAGAATCGGACCAATCAACTGGCAACGACACGCCAACTACATCATCGCGAGCCAATAACAAGGGACAATCAAACAACAACAATCAATCGACCAACTCCAACACCAACGCAAACAACAAAAACATCAACAACAACAACAATGACGTTGCTGTCAAGAAGCGCAAGAAGAACAATGCAGATGCAGGTCGCTGGTGTCACCAATGCAAGGCTCTCAAACAAGAGTATATTCAATGTCAGGCGGCACAGGCTGGACGTCTAAAGTGCAACAAACGCTTTTGTTCCACCTGTCTCACCAAGCATTACAACAAAGAGATTCCGGCACTAAAGGCACGCACCAAGCCCTGGGTGTGTCCATTCTGCAAGGGCACCTGTTACTGTGCTGCATGCAAGAGGAAGAGGGTAAGTGGTACAACGTTGGCGCGAGAGAGTGTTGACACTTTGGAGACTAACAATAACACAAACACAGGAAACTCCACCATCTAATTAGTGAATGACTTGGCTTTGCTTGGCATGGAATGGCATAGCTTGGCATTCATTCAAACTTATACATTATTGTTATTACTATTCACATTGATTGGATATCATCCAATCTCAACCTGCACCCTGCAAGGGTACACTCCCTTTGTCAACAACAAACAATGTCATTCATTCATTCATTTATCTCATTCGCTCAATCAATCATCAACCAACAACAAAATTATCAACATCAAGGAAGCCAACAAGATGGACCAATCACCTAACTTGAACAAACAAGTAGCATCCTTCAAGATAGTGATGTTCACGCGACTTGGGCCTTGGCACAGTGACTTGGTTCACGTGCGACCCCATTTGCCTCTCTACTCGGCTCAATCAACGTGCTTGGCCCTCAGGAGGATAATAATATTATCCTGAACAGGTGATTGGGCGATGTATACTCCCCATCACACCTGGATCAGGAACAGGCCAAGCAGGAGCAAACGAACGAAGGAAAGAGTAGCTCCCAGGAGGGAGGTGGAACTATATGGTTGACCCCAGAGTCCACTCGTATCACTCATACTTCCCTCGGCTTCCGCAAAGGATCTAGGAATGTTCTCGCCCTCACCCACAAACAGTAACACACTTCATCCTTGGTTGCAAAGTAGGTAGTCGCCACAACTTCCTCATAAGGTATTTGTCATCAACAACAACAACAAAACGATGGAACGACGAACGAATGTATGAATGAATCAATAAATCTGAAATGATTCAATCAATCAATCAGTGCACTGAAGGCTGATCGTTAAGGCCACAAACCAATTGGTGATGCTCCAAGAGTCGCAGCGCACGACGAGCTGATGGGATAATCATACCAACAACGATCAGGGCACTCGGACAGACGATCACATGACATCGAATTGATTGAATGAAGGGTGGTGGGAGTACCATCTCAAAATTTGAGTTTTGGCAATGACAGGCCATCATTGATTGGATGGAGGGCCAACTTGAGCTGAGGACAATGGACGAAGAGTGTGATGCAGGGGGTTAGTCCGAAGTGAGGACCAACCTGAACTAGATATTTACAGATGGCCCAATCCCAATCATCGAATTAACTTGTTGTGGTTGTGAAGGTTGGGGGAGAGACACTAACTAATGAATTGAATTGAATGAATGAATGAATGTGAAATACCCGTTGACCGCCAATCAGTTATCTAATATCAACTCTTAATATATACTATTACACATACATATAATAACTAATGTACAATTATAAGTTTGTTGTTGCCACTACATTGGTGGCAATGATTGCGATGATGAGCATTGCTTCAGTCAGTGGTGGTGCTGCTGGCCCAGCCCCAAGCGCACTTGAGGACTTTATCTACGCCCCCGACTCGGGCTACTCATACTCCCTCCATCACTCTGTTCAAGGCAACGGCTACACACAATACACGCTGAACCTGACCTCGGGCAACTGGCTCGATGCCAACCGCACCAGCAACCCAGTCTGGTGGCACTTGCTCCAGGTCTGCATCCCAGACTACCCACTCGCCACCAACACTGCCTTCCTCTGGAATGAGGGCGGCTACTTCACCACATCGACAAACGTGTCGCTCAGCCCACTCATCGCCAGCATGTGCGCCAACTCCAATACTGTGGTCGCGTCGCTGCTGCAGAACCCCAACCAGTACATTGTGTTCAATAACAATGGCACACCAAAGAACGTGAGCGAGGACGGTATCCTGGCCTACTCGTGGCGCCAGTTCATCGCCAACAACACCGATCCATCGCAGCTCGCCAACTTCCCAATGGCTCGCGCCGTCGTCCGTGCTATGGACGCCGTGCAGTCGTTCGTCGCTCAGCGCTCATACTACATCCGCGTCAAGAACTTTGTCATCTCGGGTGCCAGCAAGCGTGGATGGGCCGCCTGGCTCGCCGCCGCCGTCGACGACCGTGTCAAGGCCGTCATCCCCGTCGTCATGCCAATCGGTGCGCTCGAGCAGCAGATGAACAACCACTTCCGCGCCTACGGTGGGTTTCTCCTACGCCTTTGGCAACTACTACTCCGAGGGCCTCATGGTCAACGTCAACCAGCCCGGCTTCTCCTACCTGGCCAAGCAGCTCGACCCATTGATGTACGTGTCCGGCCTCACCATGCCCAAGTACATCGTCACCGCCGTCTCGGACCAGTTCTTCATCCCCGACTCTAGCGTTTACTTCTTCAACGGTCTGCTCGGCGCCAAGCACCAGCGCATCCTCCCCAACGAGGACCACTCTCTGAGCCACAACTTCCCCCAGGTCATCGCCGACATCACCACATACTACAACATGATCGTCTTCAACCAGAAGCTTCCCCAGTTCCAGTGGTCCGTCGTGCCCGACCCCTCGACCAACACCACATCAGTCACAGTTGTGATTGGCGGTCAGGGATTCCAGGCCCAGCCACTCAACGTCGTGCTGTGGACCGGTAACTCGGTGACCACATCGATCAAGCGCGACTGGCGTCTGATTGCCGGCCCTGGCAACGTCCGCCAGAACATCACGTTCACCCCAGCCACCCTCGAGCCTGTCTCTGCCGGTCTCTATCAAGCCACCATTACCGCACCACCCACCGGATACATTGGAGGCTTTGTCGAGCTTACCTTCTTCTCATTCTATGGCGAGCAAAAGTACACCACCGAGTTCTTCTGGGCTCCCTACACCTTCCCATTCAAGTCATGCGTTGGTGTCGCCTGTACCCAGGTTCCATTCCCTCAATAACTTATAATATTATATTATTATTATTACGTACACATGATCTTCCATTAATAAATCGAACGATCGATTCCCATTACATTACATTACGATTGATTGATTGGCAAACTCTGGATTGACCTGGATCAACTTGATTGATTGAGTGAGTGGACATATTGAAATTCTAATGAAATTTCGTTTGGAATTATCATTCATATTTCTTCAAGTTCCACGTGATGACCAAACACTCAAGGACCTTGAGATGGGCATGACCAACCTTTGTTCTTCAATCAAACCTTTGAGTGTTCATAACTATCTCTTGATACTTGTACATACATATATACACACATACATCGATACTTTATTATTATTATCAATCATGTCTCAACAACAAGTATGTAATTGATTGATTGATTGAATGAATGAATGATTGAATGAATGAGACATGAGAGTACTAACTCTTTGAATGAACGAACGAACATATAGGCATTGGAAGCAAAGAACAAGGGAAATGCAGCATTCACTGCAAAGAAGTTTGAAGAGGCTGTTGGACACTTTACCGATGCTATTGCTTTGGACCCATCAAATCATATCTTGTACAGCAACAGATCGGCATGCTTCAATAATATGAAGCAGTTTGAGAAGGCATTGGAGGACGCCAACAAGACTGTCGAGCTGAAGCCTGACTGGGCCAAGTCTTACCTGCGTCTGGCCAACGCCTTTGTCGGTCTCACCCAGTACGACGACGCTGACAAGGCCGTCAAGAAGGGACTCGAGCTCGAGCCAGAGAACGAGCAGCTGATCGACCTGCAGATCGATGTGGTCAACTTCCTCAACCCAACGCCACCTGGACAGGTCAAGAACATGTTTGGACCAGAGGGAATGACCAAGTTGATGTTCGACTCACGCACCAAGGACTTTTTGAAGCAGCCAGACTTCATGGCCAAGATGCAGGATCTCGCCAAGACACCAGGCAACATTACCAAGTACATGGGCGACAAGCGAATGGTGACTGCACTGAGCGTCATCATGGGCATCGACCTCTCGAACGCCACCTTTGACAATGACCCCAACGCCGACCCATTCAAGGATGACGACGAATCAGAGGCACCCATGCCATCCAAGCCAGCCCCACAGCAGCAGCCACCACAACAACCACCACAACAACAACAGGCACCACAACAGGAGAAGCCAAAGCAGCCAGAGCCCACCAAGGCCAAACCCGCTGCACCAGAGCTCCCAGAGTCTCAGAAGGAGCGCGAGCTCGGCAACCAGTTCTACAAGGAGAAGAACTTTGACGCAGCCATCAAGCACTATGAGCGCGCCTTTGAGCTGGATCCAAATGACCTGTTGGCTTTGAACAACAAGGCAGCAGTATTCATGGAGCAGCAGCGATACGACGAGTGCATCGAGCTCTGCACCTCAGCCATTGAGAAGGCGCGTGAGATTCGCGCCGACTACAAGATCCGCGCCAAGATCTACACACGTCTGGGTAACGCCTACATGAAGAAGGACGACCTTGACAACGCACTCAAGAACTACAACCACGCCATTGTCGAGGACAAGACCGCCGACACCATCGCCAACCTGAGCCGCGCCGAGAAGTTGAAGAAGGAGCGCACTGAGAAGGCCTATCTCAGCACTGAGCTGTCGCTCGTCGCCAAGAACCAAGGTAACGAGCACTTCAAGAAGGGCGAGTACCCCGAGGCCATCAAGTCGTTCGACGAGGCCGTCCGCCGCAACCCCACCGACCACACAATCTACAGCAACCGTTCGGCCACCTACGCCAAGCTGACCGAGTACCCACGCGCTATCAAGGACGCCGAGAAGTGCATGGAGCTTGCACCAAACTTTGTCAAGGGATACATCCGCAAGGCCAACGCACTGTTTGCCATGCGCGAGTATCAAAACTCTCTGCAGATCTGTGACCAAGGTCTGAGAGTCGAGGAGAACAACCCAGAGCTGGTCGATCTCTCCCAGAGAAACCTGCTTGCACTCAACAAGCAACAGAGCTCAATGACTGACGAGGAGCGTCTTGCCGAGGCCGCCAAGAATCCAGAGATCTTGGAGATCCTCCAGGACCCAGTCATGAATCAAATCTTGAAGGATATGTCCACCAACCCAGGTGCAGCTCAAGAGTAAGTGTTACACTTTAATGATGTATGATTGATTGATTGAATGGAACTTATACTAACTTGTTTGTTCGCACTACCATTCATTCACAGTCATTTGAAGAACCCATTGGTTAGAGAGAAGTTTGAGAAGCTTGTCAAGGCCGGTGTTGTCAAGATTGGTGGAAGATAAGAAGATGCATTAATTATTCGAAACAAAGTCATCCATCAGGGAGCCAAGCAAGCCTTCAGAGGCAACCCTTGTCTCTCTGTATGTCTATCAATTCAACTCATCTGGTTTAGTCATGTATGTTGTCAGTTTATTACATCGATTCGACAAGGGCACGGATGTTGTTAAGGTGATCCTGGACCTGCTGGATCTCCTGGAGCAAGGCAGCTTTGGTTGGGTTGGTGGTGGAGCCAGTGGTAGTGGCGCCAGTTGTGGTTGTCGCTCCAGTGGTGGTAGTGGCAGGGGCAGTTGTTGTTGCCGTTGTGGCGCCAGTGGTGGTAGTAGTAGCAGGGGCAGTGGTAGTAGTGGTAGTGGCAGGGGCAGTTGTGGTAGTTGTTTGGGTACCGGTTGTCGGGGTATTTCCATTGCAAGTGGCTTGCACACCGTTTGGTCTGTAAGCAACCCACATGTTGTTAGAGAAGTCTGAGACGTATCCACCAGTGTTGGCAGCGGTGCCATGGAACTGAGGGAATCTTCCACCTCCTGGTGCAGCAACAGTGTGTTGGATAGTCCAATGGTCAGGTTGAGACCAGTATCCAAAGTTTACCCAACGATCAACATAGTCCATGAACAATGGAGCTGAGTTTGTGTTAGTTAGTGATTCATTCTATAAATCAATATCTTTCCAAAAGTGAACATACAGTTAAAGATACATTGGAGTTGTGGAGCCAATCTGATGGAGAGGGCTGTTGCCTTCCAGGCCATTGATGTGCAACATTGTTGGTAATTGTTGGAGATCCAACCTCCATCAATCCACCCATCTGGATCACGGCAAACATAGTTTGATTCATCGACTGATCCAGTCTTCCAGTAGTCTCCATCTTCACAAAGTTGACCCCAGAGTGCTCTCTTGGCATTTGTTCCATAGAATATTTGACCATCCTCTTGGAATGTGTTGTAAGGTGCTAATCTAACTAGATCGGCCATCTTTGTATCACCAAGCAAGGCTGCGGCGAATACAATTGGAAGCTTACGACCAGAGAAGATACCACCGTTGGCACCCCATGTCACACCATTGTCCAACATACCTGCAAAGTCTATTCCTGCTTGGATGTAGGCGATCAAAAGGGGCATCTTTGATGCCAAGGGATCATTGAGCATCAGACGAAGGACTGCGTCTCCACTGTCACTCGCAAACTGTGCACCATAGAATGCCATGTTGTTCAGTGGATGGAGATGGGAGACTGGCCAATCAGCCAGATAGTCGATCTGGACACGCTGGAATTTGAGCAACATTTCACTTAGTGATGGAGTTCCGGTGACTGGCGCAAGACTCTGGAGCAATCCAGTGTTCAAGTTGTTGGTTGATTGGAACTTCTTCTTAGACCAAGCACCAAAGTATGCAGGACGGAATGAGTTGGCGGGTGGAGGGGAGGCTAGCACGGTTAGGACACCAGCAGTTTGCAATGCTCCATAATGTTGCTGACCACGGTTTGGTCCAAGCAATGAGATACACTTGACAATTGAAGTGTTTGGTGCGGCAAGGTAGGGAAGGGCAGGGACGAGTGCTGGGCTGAACGAGTAGCTAAGTGATCCGAATTGATCAGCACTGTTGGTGCCATTGTCAAGACCTTGCTGGGTGAATGAGATGGGGTTGGCCTGCCATCCATTGGTACCATTAGATGCGATGTAAGGTGGATTGATCTGAGTTATCTTGACCTTTCCGCCAGAGGTAGTGGTCGGAGTTACCCAGAAGTCACCATTTGCAAAAGTACCACAAGGGTAGGCTCGATCAAAAGTGTATGTTATTCCCCATTGGGAGATTGAGCTGGCAGAGCCACTAGAGCACTGTGCCGATGCCAAGTGCATTTGAGCAGCACATATTGATAGTGCTACCAATGTAAAGAGTATCTTCATTCTTTGTATAATTGATTGATTGGTTGTTCAAAGTCGAATGAAGTGAACTTGTAATGTTAGGACTCCAAAAGGGATGACCCGTCGCCTCCATGTTGGGTTTGAGGAGAGAGTGTCGGTGGGTCGGTTGTCCCACCAAGACTGTCTACCAATCATCCGGCTGACGCGAATAGTAGTAGATATTTAAGAGAATTCAAGTTGATCTTTATTATTATAATAATAACCTTCAAAGACTCCTGTTTGACCAAACACGCGACCAAAACGAAACGACGTGGTATGGTCAACGAGGCGTCGTTTGATTAAAATATCTTGGTGTCCAAATATGGGTTCTGATGGAAAGATCTTGAAAGTGAACTGGGTGGGTGACTGATTGATTGAACGAGATTAATTACGTCTTTCAACGGCAATCACACCTGCAAAGATAGTGAGCATCACCTTTGCCTTGACCTCAACAATGTCCTCTGGGAAGGCGTAGACAATGGCGCCAATCTTTCTGGCACAGGAGATGGCTAGCTTGGCGTTGAGAAGGTTGTCCTCGGCGCTGCCCGACGAGGTCACCAGCGATTGATCAACGGAGCCAGGACGGATGGCCTCGATAAGCTCCAGTAGGGCACGGCCAGTGCAGAGACCAGTGTCGTTGAAGCCCGAGATCTTGGCCTTCAACTTCTGGTTGACCATCTCCAGGATACCTTCTTCGTTCGGTACCTTGACTCCCTCCATCAGTGGAACGATATAATACGATCTCATCAATTGCATGACAATTGACAATAGTGTATATATGTTCTTGTTGTAGATATCTGGGCCTAATAATCCTATAACCGAGTACTTCACCATCTTTGTGAGTGAGATCAGATAGTCGCAGTTCTCAATCATTTTGGCCTCGCTCCTGAATGGTGGATAGCTCACTTTCTTCTGGTCAACCAGGCCCGGGAAGATACGGTCTACAATGTTGATCGGTGCAATAGCATCGCGGCAACCTTCGTGGAGGTTGTTGATGACAGGCTTGGTGTTGAGTGAGTTCATCCAGTTGCGGTAGATCCTCTCCTGGCGAGTCTCTGGGGTGATCGCTGCCTGATCAACGGGCTCGAGAGCTGGGTACTTGTTGAACAAGTTGGCAACAAAGGCAAGGTTGAGCTTCAAGCTTCCACTGACAATGTCGCGGGGACGAAGGAATTGGCGGCATCCGATCTTCTCGGCATTCTCCAGAACGAGCTCAGCCCTGCGCTCGGGGAGGAGCTCAAGGGTCTTGTTGAGATTGACGTCCTTTGGTGCGATTTGCTTCAAAAGGATGGTGTAGCACTCGCTGTCCTTGATGTCGTGAGTGAAGTTGTTGACCTTGCGCAAGTGACCGGCCGCATGGAGGTGGAAGTTGAACCAACGTAGCAAGATATCCTCAGTGGACCTGAGCAATACATCATTGGTCTCACCATCCTTTAGCAAACGGCGGAGCTCTGGATGGTTGATCAAGTTGATCTTTTCAAACAGACCAATCTGAATGATCTGCCAAGCAAGGCCCAAGATTACTTGCTGTCAATGTTTGATGATAGTCAATACATGTTAGCGAGATGAACCTTCTGTCCGTCTGTGACATCAATCAATATATTACTTACAGAATTACCTTGAATAAGATCAGTGGCTTTGATTTCATCGACGCAACAGCCGATGGCGCGGGCAGAGTAGATACAGAGCACGTTGTTCTCTTTGATTCTGACGTCGGTCAGGTCTTGCTTGTTGAGGACACGCTCCTCAATGGTGTTGGGCACGACGATGTTGATAAGCTTGCAGAGAAGGAGACCGTCGTGGCAGGCCGTGACAAAGGCATCGCTCTCGGTGGAGACTGGTAGCCTGTCCTTAAGGTCGGTGTCGTTGGCCAAAACAGTGTTGATCCAGTTGATAATGGCAAACCTCACATCCTCCTTGACAGTGTTATCTCTGAGGAGGGTGGCCCTCTCGACCATCTCGACGACGCTGGCAAAGCCGGTGTTGGTGCCCGACTGCTTGGCATTCTCCATCACCTTGAGGAGCTCGTCAAACTCGATTGAGCCATCATGGTTGGTGTCGACTTCTTTCATAAGGGTGGTGGCAGACAAGCCACTGACGACCTCTCCCCAATTCTCCAAAGAGGTCATTGTCATTGCCAAGTCGATCATATCAATCTTTCCATCTCCTCTCCTATCAAATACATTGAACAAAGTTCTGAACTTCTCTGTCTCGGCTTCAGTCAAAGATGATGACATCATCTAAGTTTCAAAGGTTAGTCATTCATTCATTCATTCATTCAATCAATCAATCAAATCAATTCAACTTACATTGTTATTTGTTATATTACTAGTAGTATTAACAAGTTAATGTTTAATATAATGATCACATGTTTGATTGTAATTTATATATATATTAGGTAGTCATACAACTTTGATACTTTATGTAATATAAAGGTCTAAAATACAAGATATCTTGTGGTCATTCTACAAATCATTTTGTTTGCCCCTTAACGAAAGGGCAAAAGGGTGACTTTACAGTTGAGTTGGACGGTGTAGTTCCAATTTGTAGTTTGGTCATAATCGACCACTTATTACATGTAATAATATCTTTAGTGTTATACACAGAAATGTGATAAATTGATTAATTCATTGATCGCGAATGATAACTTAACACAAACAAACATAGTATTAATATATAACATTAAATAAGTGACTCATGAGTCACTAGAGAATATATCAAACAACAGTACAGCAATGAACTTGTTTATAAGACAAAGTTGTGTTTGTGTACTTATGTTTATCAGATGAAAGTCTAAAGTGTTGGGTTGTGTATCTATATTTACTCAATCAATCATTCAATCATTCAATCAATCAATCAATCAATCAACAAGACAAACATGTTCATTCAACTTGCAAGCCAAAGGATGTTGTGAGTTTGCAAATGTTTCAAACATAGATGTGAAGGAAGTTTGCAAAAAGTGATTGGCCTAAAAGTCAAATGTTGTATCAACAATAATAACTTTGTAAGATCATATTGTCATATCTACAAACTTGTATTATCTTTAGAATGAATCAACTTAGAACATTTAGTATTGTTATCTTTTTGGCCACTTGTTTGGTAAATACCAATGCTCAGTGCGACTATATTGGTAGTACTCCACCACCTTTAGGTGCTTGTAAAGGACCCGAAGAAAGAGCATTGGCTAAACAGGATAGTCAAGTGTTAGACAGTGGTTGTCCACCCAACTTAGTTCCATTCTATCGAGACAACGTATCCAACTCAACAAAGATTGTAAGTTTGAATGATCTAGCACTTCAATCAATCAATCTTACTAACTAAATATACATTTGTTGATAGTGTGGCCAATGTATTCCAGGAACATATGGATATGATAGGTCTGATTGGTGCGCACTTAATGACTATTGCAATGATAATGGCAAGTGTGTACCTTTAAAGGGTTCACCAAGATTCCTTAGACAATGTCAAATTAATGATCAATGTGGTCAAGGACTCATCTGTGTACAGCATCAATGTCAAATATGTTATGAGTACACTGTAGACTCTAATGGAAGAATGTGTATTCATGGACAATGGTATGTTTATCTTTGATTCCAAACTCATTCATTCACTCATACGTCAAACAAATTCAGGACATCATCAAATTGGGATATCTACTTTTATAATTATACACCAACAACTATAATGTTGTTGATTATAATTGTATTGAGTGTTGCAGTATTGTTTGTTGTGGCTTGGAATCATTATGGACCATTCGTTCAACAGATTGTTGTTCGTAGGTTTAGGAAATCAAAAGGAAATAAGAAAGCACAACATGTAAATGGAGAAATTGAAATGCATAACATTGGTAACAACAACAATAATAATATTTAGTTCAATCAAATACAAACCCTACCCTTACCCTACACTTACCCTAACCTTATCTTTCCAACCTTTGCCATCCTTTGATTATGTTGTTGGGTTATGCCAAAAAGTTATTCTTTGTTGTTATAAATACATGAATACCATGGTATTAACATATTCATCGTTCATTTTGGTATTGACCCTTTTGGCGCTCCCTGAACTCCGGGTCTGATTGATAGTGATGTTTGATTGATGGACTTTCTTATATCTTTTGGAGAGAAATTAAATAAATAAATAAACTTTGGGGTGTTGAGTCAATCTTCTTATTGACACCAGTCAATCATTCGCCATTAGTCAATCAAGCTAAATATGTACAACAATGCAATGAGCATTGCTTTATAAGGTGACAGACCAACCAATGAACAAAGGCAGTCATTCAACAACTAATACCCTTTAGAGTAATGCATTTACCCGCTCACCTCAGACTCTTTTGTACTATCAACCGTATGTATTTGTTTCACTCCTTTTCATGCATAAACAATGACAGATTCTGACAGCGAATGTGACGAAGATCCTGTCACTATGACAGTGAGATTCAATGGCAGTGCCTTGAACAATGCTCAGAGACTCAATGTATTGAATGTCTTCTATCGCTTCGTGAAGTCAAGATTGCAAGATGTTCTGGACCTATTGGGAAGGCGCCTAGTCCCTTTCGTGCCCCCTGGACATTACAACGATGTAGCTATTGTAGCAGCTGATGAGACAACAGAGTTTCTGTACAGATCAGGCCACGCTTTGGATGAGGTACTTGCATACCTGCACCTCTATCACGGTAAGAGATTTAGAGATGTAAGACAGTCTTCATCTTCATCTAACATCACAAAAAAGGTCTCCCTGCAGGAATCCGACTCTTCGAGTATCAAAGGAAACCTATTCCTCATATTGACGATTGGATTGTCTTTATCTCACATCCTTGAGTTGTCAATAAAGATCCTTACCATTGCCAAACATGGCAATCACTCCCCTCATCCTCTCAGGGAATCGGCGCAGCCGATGTAATGTTGGAAAGGGCCCCCTGAGTTATACACACACCATTGGCAGCTTTTCAAATGCCAACAACATGATTGGACGTATGATAATGATCAGATCATTGAGAGATGATGGTAAGAACATTGACCAGGGTGGCGACTTCATCCTGTTGGGTAAGGCTCACAACTGAGTATCAGTTCAGTCAGTTAACTGAGTGACTGACCAGTCTGAGGAGTCGAATATTACAACTGAGCCTATAACTGAATACGGATCGGACAGAAACTGAGACTGAGCGTTCAGTTTAACTGAACTGAACTGAGATGCTCTGTCATCAGTTGTGAGCCTTACTGTTGGGCACCATTGGTCTAACAAACAATTCAATACCATTTACTATTCCCAACGATCTTGTCTTATCAGTGTGCAATCAATCTATGATAACAACCACAACAAATAAATTAACTACCTCCTCCTCAACTACTACCTCTCCGACCTCAACCATACCTACATTAACAACTTCCTCAACTTCATCAACTTCCACAACAACATCAATCACAACTACTACAACCGGGATTATACCAAACTCCGCTATTCAAAGACAATATCACTTTTTATTGTCTTTGTTTGTTCCTTACTTATTAAATCATTCTAATAAATAATCAAACATTTATTTGATTCCCGTATTAATAATACCTTATGATCATTTTAAAAGAATCCTTTTTGGGAATGGGTGGGTCACCCTGACACGTGACATCCATCTAATCATGGGCACCTTCCATCATCATAATTCTAGTCTACATCAATTTATGATTCATTAGTTCATTCTATTCTATTATTGTAATAATAAATAAACAATGACACCTAATATACTATCAACTTTACTTAAAATAGTTGTACTTTATCTTTCAATCAATGTGATTGCATGTGACCCATCATGGTCGGATGATGGCGAGTATTATGGATACTGCGCCACAACACCAAGGGATCCAAATCAAGATGTATACGCATCAATCCTTGTAAACTACACAGTATGTACCATATTCAATCATTCAATCATTCAATCATTCAATCAAACTGACTATTGTGACGAGTAGGTATCTGGATCAAAACCATCAATGTACTTTAGATATGATGTATCAGCTACAAACTTGAAACAAGGTACTACTTATGGAGTTACTCTTAGAGAGACAGGTGATATATCTACAAACACATCTTCTGGCAATGTAATAGTTGCTTTTGGTGCCGATCCCAACAAATGTCCTGTTGGTGCTTTGGGCAACATCACTGGAGATCTTAATGGCAATGGATACGTATCAAACACAATCTTTATGGAGCCAGAGCTTCAAATGGACTTTGAACAATCATTAATTGGTAGAACAATGGCCATCATCGACACTCAAGCATGTGATCCCAAAGGCAAGATGTATGTATACTATATTTTGATTGAATGATTGATTGATAGAGTTATACTAACTACTGAATAGTATTGGGCAATGTGTAATGTCAGTGTTTAAGGATGTGGATAAACCGAATAAGGCAAAGTATAGGGCTTTGATTAATTATAATCAAACTGCATTGGCAGTGTTGTCTACACATCCAAAGAAGGGACATTGGACAAATTATGTTAATGTTACCGGATATGTATTCGTTCAAATGAATAAGTCATCATCTGGTGCTACAAGCCTAACATTCACAGCAATGTTCAGAGGACTAAACAACTCAATGGCATATGGTATTCAAATACTTCAAAACAATCAAGCACTCATATATCTTGATTCAAATGCTACTCATTGGTCAAATGTCAATCAGACACATGGGCTGCCTGAAGTACAGTCCCGCCACTGGGGTGACTTGGGCAACTTGTGCTCATACTCTGACGATGGTACTGGATACTATCAGTATACAACCAACTATTCTCAGAGTCTAACAACTGATGAGAATTTAATTGGTAGAGTGATTGTCATCCGATCAATTAGAGACAGTGGAGACTCTAGCAACTATGGTGACATCATGGTTATGGGCACTATTGGTATCACGACCAATCCCATCCCATTTATAATCCCAAACACTGTCATGATCTCTGACCCCATGTGCTCGTCCAACTCTTCTACCTCCTCCACAACTATCTCTACAACCTCAACAACTTCGCCCACAACATCTACATCCACTGCTACTACTTCATCACTAACCACCTCAGTATCATCCACATCCTCTACGACGTCCTCGACCCCAACTATAACTACAACTACAACTACAACATCAAAGCCCAGCTCGGCTCAATCACTTAAGACATCATTAGTTATTGTTTTAATGGCAGTGATTGGGATTCTCTTGATTTGAACCTAATAAACAGTCATAAGATATGATTAAACTTGATGAGTCAAAGTCGTTCGGCTATATTCTTTGAATCTTGTTTGATTGATTCTTATTGTTGACCTAAATTCCCCAGGCATATATTCCAAAAATAGTCTCCAGGGCTGTGGACCACATTGAAAATCCTTGGAAAGACACGTGATCCATCTTCGTTGTTTGATCGTGACTTCAAATCGGTAATGGATTTGATTTGAAAGGTCGCCGGAGATAAGAAATAGACATGTTGTTGGGTTGGTAATGGCTGACAATAATGGGGAGAACTCCAAAGACGGTCTATGAGCTTGATTTATCAATTGTCTGAGGACTTGTTGAGTGAGACTGTGACATTTAAAAAAGATTATAAATAAAGTCCAATTATTGACATTAGATTTTTGGGAATGTGCAATGTTGTCAAGAGGATTTATTGTGAGTCACCAATCAATCCTTTGTCCATCTGATGCCTTCACAATGGTGAAGGCGCGGCAGTTGACTGCTGTGTCATACGGATTCATAACCTTATCTTTGAAGGTGAAAGCAAAGTTGATAACGACTTGGTACTCCACCTCCTTCTTTGTCAACCACTCTTTATGTCTGCCAACAATCTTCTTCATTGAGTCACTTAGCGTCAGAAGGGGGTTGCCAATGTACACTGTGAACGAGATGGAGCTATCAGCCACAACTTTTGACGAAAAGGACTTGAATGGGGACCCGAGTATCACCAGAAGTTGCTCACCACAATCAACAAGTAGGAGATCTCGGAAGCATAAGGTTGGATAGACGAACTCGATTACGAGTTCATTGGGGGACTTCTGTTGGAGTGGGTCAACAACTGGTTCATCCTTGGTTTGAATGACGAGCTTATCCGCCTTTCTCTTCTTGATTGGTGCTGAACGGAAATTATGGTTAGACAAATGAGATAAGATAAGTGTACATCGTGACCATTAAAAATGAACACAACCAACAATTACAAACAAATTCAATTACATAGATGATACCTGCATTGGACGTACCTTTGAGTGATGCAGTTACGTCTTGTATCGTAGACGATTTTCTCGTTAACATGGTATTAAGATTATGTACAGTTAAAGTTTTAATTGTAAAGGAGTAAAGAAGTGAAGTGATTCATTAATAGATGCTTGATTGTATTGTTGTCCAAAGACAACATGGTGTCTTAGTACATAGACATTGTACACGTGTCATAGTGTTGCGTGTATGGTGTTGTTGTTGTTTGTTGTTGTTGGTACGTACTAGGTGACAAAACGGAAGGATTGTGTTATGATAACAAACTATCGACCTACTATCATTCTGTTAATCTAAAAGTTATAAGTTAATCAATGATAGCACTCAATGCTTTTCTAAATAGAGTAGTAGTTTACTGAAAACTAAAGTAGTCCTTAAAAGGATAAATAAAAACATACTTGATTGGGAAGTGCATCAATAAAGATAAACTGAGTGTTGTTGAACAATGATCATCACAAACGATCACCCACCTTCGAAWATCTATTTTTGTGAAGTCTCTTAGAACTTGAAGGTGTGTTTTTTCCAAACATGGTAAAGTTCCCAAAACTATGAGTGTGTATTGTTGTTTGATCAATTCCCAACTTTGGAAACAATCAAAATATTTCCCTGGACAACCCCTAATCCCGGCACTGGTCGTAACATGATCTTTAGACATTAATTATTATGTATTTTCCTTTGAATTTGACACAAATGGGAACAATGATGTTGAAGTGAAACTCTGAATGAATTGAAGTTTACCTCAATAATTTGTGTGGATTTCCCTCTTCTATTTAAAGAGTTGGGAAAATTGACGTACTGCTTGAACTAAGTAATAATTGATCGGAACAATGAACAACAATAATTCCCAAGACTACTTCAAAGACGTGTCATTGGTAGAAATGAACACCATCTATGGGTGGGCTAAACAATCAATCAACACTTTCTTTATTCTTTATTTATTACCTCATCAAATTAAACCCGTCCACTTTCTCTATCTATGTTATTATATGAAACACTACCCCTTGATCTCGGTTATAGAATATCATTTTCGAATCGATCACAAGACATTCTTCAAACATTTGTTTGAGGTACTTGAGACCATCAATGTCTATGTCCCAATGGTAACTATTTTGGAAGCCCGAATCACCTCAACCACTACCAATATTGACTTCAACGTTCAACAGTTTGATATGGATAGAAGATTGGAAGCATATGAGGATTCCTTTTTACAGATAGCACCAATTATTGACTATCCCCCCGATATCTTCAACAGATATTCGATTGTGGACACCAGTTCAATCAACATCTCTGAACATGTGGAGGGGTTCCCTCGAGAGGTGACCACCTGTCGAATGATTATCGACACCACCATTGTTAAGATAAGAAGACCCTCACCAGGACCAAACAATCAAGATCTCCAAAGGTCCTTCTACAGCGGTATGTTTCTGTTTGTTTTTAAAATAATGCAGCGCTATCAAGTTAACTCACCGACAACAACTAATGTGTCGTCAGGCAAACACAAATTTCATGGCATCAAGTTTGAAGTAGGAATCCGACTGGATGGCTACATCGTTTGGGTTGGCCCTCCTCAACCAGGAAGCAAGCATGATTTAACCATCTTTGACGATGGAGAGTTGGCCAATGAGTTACTGCCTGGTGAGAAGATTTTGGCCGACTCAGCCTACGTCTCAAAGAACCACCCATTCGTTACACCAATTAAGAAACAGAGGAATACCAGAACAGTCACCAAGTTCCTCACAGTTGAACAACGCATCTATAATTTCCAGATCTCAAGATTGCGTATCAAGATTGAACACTGCTTTCCAAAGGTCAAGGCTCTCACGATGTTTGGCTCCACCCTATGGATCACAGCGCCACCACCTCGATCTATACTTCCGCGCAGCATGTGCCCTCATTAACTTTCAAAGCTTTGGAGTATGTTGAGCGATTGGTATGTTACCAAAATGAATGTAAATAAATGTTTGTTCTAGTCTTCAAGTCAAGTACCAGTGATGAATGTTTGAATGTTTGATCAACAGAGGAATACGTGTATTCCCAAAAATCTATTATTTATAATCAATTTACTATTTGAATGTTTATACGATCGTATAATTAATCTAGTATTTAACAAATATAATCCAAACCTTAAAATGTCTTCAGATTCTTTCCTTACTATTGTTTGTATGTTGTGGCACGCAGCCTGCTTTGTCGAGTGGGCAGGAGGTAGCCAAGCCCAGAGAGCCCAGAAACATGCCATGAGAGACGCCATTAGAGTATTCTACGAGTCCCTCCCTGCTGGCCCCATCAAGGATATTGCCTTCAGACATTTGCAGAGAGCCGAGCAAGTGATGACCACCAACTATAAAAACGAGGGGCAGCACCGTGACCGCATGTCCGACGTCTACTGCGCAATGGTCGGTGATATCGCCAACCTTGGAGGTGTTGCCGTTCCACCACTCCGAAGAGACTGTACGGACAACCCCTCCTATGGAAAGATTGAAGGAGGGTGGTTCCGTGAAGGCAAGGTCACAGAGTTGGTTGGCAAAATCGTTCCAATTGTCATTAAGATATACACTGGAGGTCAGTAGTATGTACATCAATGGTTGCGAAATTCCTTCATACAATCATTTCAAATAAAGCTCAAATGATACATTATACAAACAAATATTATTCTTCTTCTTCTTCGTCTTCTTCTTCTTCTTCTTCTTCTTATTCTAGTGTTATTATTAATATACTATTACTAATAGAATAATATTATCTGTACAGATAAGTATGTAAAATGAAATGAAATGTAGTGACTTGTGTTGAAGTAACACTCTGTGTGAAACAAACGAGTCGCATTATTACCATCCTTGGACGAACAGATCCACACACACACACACAACAGACACAGATACAGATACAGATAATGCTTACAACAGGGTCACGCTTACTTAATGCGAGCAAGCTGGTGACACAACTTCCTGTCGCAACATCAACATCAACATCAACATCATTGAACAGACTTATAGTTCAGCAATCTATAAGCTCAAATAGGATACATCAACAGCTACAACATACACTGCTGCTGACACATAGTCTTTGTGGACTGTTTGTAGACAACAACAATAATGGTCGCATTCGACATTGCTATTCAACAACAAAGAGTGGACAAGATTCAGCACTTCATAGTGCCATCCAAGACATTACAAAGGGCCATGATAACGCACGACGACACAAAGGCAAAGAGACCTCCTCGATGACGCCAGATGAGCTGATCTCATTGATCTCCAGCAATACATACAGCAAAGAACAACTTGGCAACAAGTATGTATCGATTGTTTGATTGATTGATTGATTGAATGATTGATCGAATGAACTAACATCACAATCATTCACTCTTAGACTCCACACTTACTTGAAGAAACGAATGGGAAAGATAGCCAATCAGCCAGAGGTTGACGAGCTGTTCAAATGGTACAAGGCACTGCCGATTGAGTTCTTGGATCACGTGCGAATCAATCACTTTGTTGAATACTTTGGACAACTTCAGTTACATAGTCAAGTGCGTGAGGCCAACGCCCTGTTTGATACACACAAGATACAGCGCAGCATCAAGACATACATGCATATGTTCAATTACTTTGCGACAATCGACAAACCCGAACCAGAGGACTTGGAAACAGTGCGCAACTATCTACGCTTAGTGGAGAGTTCATTCACAGAGACATTCATTGCAATGGAGTTGTACAATGAGTACAACGAGCCACTGCTTCAGTCCTTGGTTGGGGCCTACCTGATGGTGGGCGTGTCCACACAGGCCATCACACACTACGACACTGTGCTCATGAAGGATGGTCTGATCAACGTTCGACGATTCAATCCCAAAACAATCGCACAGCTGTTCCACCTCAGTCTGCTGGAGGGCAATGAGCCGCGCGCAACTCAGATCATCAACTCATACTGTCTCGGTCGTCCCTTGGATTTCCTTCGCGAGGAGCTCGATTTGATCAGCCAGGTCGACACTGATGTGCGCACCGTGGAAACATTCAATCATATTGTGGGTACTGTGTACCAGATGCCCAACCTCTCGCCTCACGATCGCTCATCATTCATCATCGACTATGCCAACTGGGTCGGCGTGGACAAGTCAATGTTGTTTAGAATATATGATCAGTGGTCACGCGGAGAACACAAGTTCCCCACGCACAAGCTCCTGTTGAAGGCACGATCCACTGGCAACACATCAATCGCCTCAGTGTTCTTTGCCATGATCGTCGAGAAAAAGACTACCATCCCCATCGGCAGCACACAGCTGTTGCTGCAGTTGTTCACCGACCACGACATGAAAGAGGATGTCGAGCGAGTACTCAACTACATCACTGCCTACGACTCGCCCTTACTTATGTACGACGCCGCGCAACTGGTTGTCTACAACGACAGCGTGGGCAACACAAAGCTGTTGGGCATGCTCGAGGAGCACCTCACCCTGCTCACGCCCTTTGGCATGGACCTCAAGTCCAACCACATCATCGAGGTGTTCCTGCACTTTGACCTGTACCACCGTTCACTCGACTGGCTTAGCAGGCGCCTGCTGCGACTGCATCTGCCCATGCACAACCATACCACCTCCCTGTTTGAAATATACCATACCCACCAGGAGAAGAAGCTGCGAGCCAAGCTGTCCACGCTGGAGCCAAACTCTCCAGATCACGCGCTTACTAAACGTGAGCTGGACTGGCAGACCAGACTCGCGCAATATTGGGGCACGTCTGGACTGGGCGTAAACAGTGTGCCCATGGCGAGGCGCTACGAGAAGTACCAAGACAAGCGCGCAATCTCTCACAAATCGCACATCCATCAGATGTTGACGGGCAACGAAATGCCGTCCAAGCCAACAGATCCCAATGACACACGACTGCGCGACATCATCAACAATGATAAAACATCATATCAGAGCATCATTGAGCATCTCGACAAGCACTATAAAGATGGTCATCTGCCGGCTGGCGACCTCTTGATCCGGGCGCACTTGACATTGGTTCAGCGCATGCCCCCATTCGACTACCTGGGGTACAGGAACAGACTCCCGCGAAACGTGCGCGCACTCACAATGTTTGCCCGTCCATACCACGCGGCGATACTGTCCGACTTTAACAAAGCGTTCGCCTACCTGCAAAAGGAAGAGTTCCTGTTGGTCTACCACACACGCAGGATATGGGAGTCTTTGATCGAGGGCATGATCACCACTGGGCGCACTAAAGAGGCCCAGTCCATCTTTTACAACATGATCGATGACAAGAAGATGGTCCCATCAATTGCCCTGCGAAACAAACTGGCGCTGCACCTGCTGGAATGTGGGCAACACGCTGAGGCACTGCAGCGCCCCGGTCTGTACGATCAGAGCAACGAGTACCTCAACTGCCAGCTGGCCAACTTGATCCACACGGGCCAGCTGGACGAGGCCGAGACGCTGCTGGCCACAATGGACAAGAGGCCGCATCACACACTGGTCAACGGCATCCACCTGCTGTCCAAGAAGTATGGCGTCGAGCAGGGCGCCGAGCGCATCCATCAGATGTTCTCCAAGGTGCACGCGCACCGCATCAAGTTCAACCTGCCATTCATGCGCTGGCTGACCGTCGCTGGAACAAAGGAATTGTTGCGCAAGTATGTCGAGAAGGATCCAGAGCTGTTGCAAAAGAACACGGACGAGCGATACATCAACGAGTTGGTCGCTGCCAACAGAGCGGCAAGACAAGAGTCAGTCGACAATGACAAGCTGATACAAGAGCTGTTCAGTCTCAAGCCAGGCAACAACGGTCCTGTCCTTGGCGACCAAACCAGTCGATCCAAGCGCATCACAGAGAACAACCTCACCTTTATCAGGAGGTACTTCCAACCACAGATAGAGTCAAAGAATTGAGTGAAGTAGCGGATCAGAGTAGAGTGAAGTGGAACGGATGATCACATGTCGTCATAGGATGTTCGATGTCAATGTCGATGACGATGACTGTCTGTGTGTGTGTGTTCATGTCCTGCAATGCTACCCTGTTACAATAAAGTGAGCTACCTTCTTTCTTCTTCCCAACAACCATCTTCCCAACATACACGCACTCACTCTCAACAACAGCGCAACAACATCAGCAAACAGCAAGGAACGGGTACGGGTATGGGAGATGGTTGTCCATGCGCGTGTCCAATCCTACCCATACATTCAGTATGGTGCGCCATAAACTACACTAGGCCAAAGCCCAAGTCCTGATCAAGATGGGCCATCAGAGGTCCAAAGATCTTTTCTTCTTTCTGTTTTTCACGCAAATTAAATCCATCAAATGTGTGATAGTGTGTGTTTGACCTGATTGATCAGTGAACCCAATGGATGGATGGACCCTGAAGGTCCCTCTTGTCATCACTTTGTTGGAACACACACATACACACACCCCGAACAGCAATGGTCACAGCTATACCATGCGACACACACTTGGTGGGGGGAGTCGCCACAAGGTGACTGATAGAGTAATAGAGAGAATGAGTGAATGAGAGAATGACGCTTACCCATCAAGAGGCTTTGAGGATATTGGAGGGTCACCATGTACACCTCACTACATTGACACTATCTCAAGTGTTGATTGATTGATGTCATAAACAACATATATTACAGATACTATATATCCTATACTTATATTTATACATATTTGTGAATCATCGACCGCCAGTTGATCGAAGGAACCAACGGCAAAGACAACGGCTACGACGGCAACACAGCCTGCAAAGCACACCACATCTTTCTTCGCGAAGAAATGAACGGAAAACACACAACTACCACGACCACGACTACTCCCGCGACCAAGAATACTACTCCCGCGACCACGACATCAACAACGACAAAGTCATCGCGAACACCTCAACAGAGGTCAGATGAGATATTGAAGAATGTTACGAGGTTGTATTACTCGGTCACTGTGGACAACTTTAAGCGCGAGCAAGAGTTGGAGGGTTTGAAGAGACAGCAGAGGGATGTCCAGACAAAGATTGATGCGTTGGAGCGCACCACAACACAGTACAAACACAATAGCGATGCGGAACTGGACGCGCTCAAACGTATGATAGCCAAAGAGAGCGCCAGACATATCTTCATGGAGACAATGATCAAACGGCTGCGGGATGTCGCAGGGCCGAGCAAACAGCAGCAGCAGCAGGGCGTGAATGGGCAGTACAACAGTCAACTTCGCGAGCTACTCGACTTTCAGAGCCAGATAAACGCGACTCAGAAGAGCATGGCCGAGTTGATCAAGACATCGACGGCCAAGGAGGAGCATCTCGACAACTTTATACGCGACCTGGAGAGCAGGGTGAGCGAGCTGGCAAAGCGACGCGAAGAGATGGACCGCGCGGCAAAGAACAAGAAGGAGGTTGACCTGCTGATACAACGTCTGGAGAAGGACAGCTCGACCATGTCGCTCAAGGCCAGCGACATCATCGTCAACATACAACGCTCGTATGAGCGCACACAGGCGCCAGACGACCTCGAGCTGTCCGACCTCAAGCGCAAGCATGCCGTGCACAACAACGTCGTTCAGCTGCTGCCCGGCTCGCCAGGGTCCCCGTCGTCGCGCCCGACTGTCGTGTCCCCCAGCCGCGACACTGGCTCCCCGACCAAGGACTTCCGGTCGATCCTCCAGAGCCAAAAATCCTCGCCAAACCAGACACATCGATCATCGCCCAACCTGCACAATGTAGTCGTCAGCTCAAACAACAAGACGCCATTGTCCTCGAGTGGCGGCATCAGTGCCAGTGCCAAGGACTCGGGCGTCAAAGTTGCCAATGTTGGTGGCGGTGGCGCCAGCAACAGCAGCGAGAATCTAAAGACCTCGAGCGCAGTTGGCTCCAAGGGCAGTGGCAAGCCTCAATCGCCAGACATTACAGCCGAGCGATCAACACTATCTCAATCAATCACCATCCAGACCAATCAATACCCCATCACACTGGATATTCAAGGCGAGCTACACTACAGCACATACAGTCTGGCGCAAGACATGATTGGCTCGCTTCGCCAACGCTTCTTTGAGCAGCTTGGCCGCGCCATCCTCGACCCCCTGGACATCCGCACCGTGGACGACCTCTCCATCAAGACATCATCACATATTTATTTCTCCGACGAGAAGGCCTATGTGTAAGTTGTGTTGGGTCCATCGCGTAGCCAACTGATCACTCACTCACGCACTATCCAATCCATCAATCACAGCAAGTACATACCTTACTTCGCGGACCAAATCAACCAGACAGACGACAAGTCACTCAATCCTGTACTTTACATTGTATCAAAGAAACATGTAAGTTAGGCCATCACACTTTGGAATCATTCCAATCACTCAATCAATCATACTCACTCTCCACTCTCTCTACCATTGTCATGATCCAGGAAACACTATTTAACCATCAGATCAATCAGATCCTGGAGAACTACAACGAATCAATCAAGACAACCAACGAGGAGTCTATTTACTTTAGGAACAAGATGATAAGGTATGATCCCACTCCCTTTGGAATCATTCCAGTCTATCACTCACTCACTCACACACTGGAATAATCCCAATCCAATCACTTAGCTTCCTAGACTCGATAAACAAACAGAGAAAGAAACAGGATGGCGAGATCAAGTCATTCAGAGGCCCAATGCTCAATCTTATTAGCAAGCTGCGAACAGAGACACAGGCATCCAACTCATTGAGCAACAGTGGCAATTACTCAAAGACCATGCCAAACCTGACATCACAGGCACAGCAGCAGATCATACAGATGGCCAATCAGCTGTCACCGCGAGGTGCCGGCTCTGGTCAAACACTGAGCAGCTCCACCGAGATATCAAACGCAACATTCAACGACCTGAGCGGGTGGAAGTCATGCTCGCCGTCCAATCGCCAGACAAGCACTGCGTCACACGCAGGCATCTGCACGATCCGCATATTCATAAGTCACGACATCATCAAGACATTCCAGTGCCACGTGCAGACATCTGTGGGCGACCTCATCGACAGCATATACTCCAAGTTTGCCAAGATCATCCAGATGTCGCACAAGGTGTCGGCGACTCTGCCATTACACGAACTCAAGACGATGTTTGTGTACAAGATCCGAGGCCTTGAGATCTTCCTGCTCAATCAATCGATGCCGCTGTCGTCCATCGACTTTATCAACACAAAGTCGCGTCGTCAGAAGAAGATCGACCTGCTGCTCATCCCCAAGAGCTCGATGGACGCCGTGCAGCAGCAGACGCTGGCCGCGGCCAACTTTGACTACCTCCAGATGAACAAGCCACACTCGCGCGAGTCGCTCGAGATGGACCTAGACGACTATGCGCTCGACCCCTCCACGCCCAACCTCTCGCACTCAGTCACAAAGCGATTCCGTCTACGCATTGGCGGCCTCAAGAACTTCTACACTGAGAAGAACCCCGGCCTGTCGCCGGCGCGCTCGCCACGCCTCTACATCTGCTGCCAGATGTACCACTGCGGCTATCCGATTGGCGAAGAGATGCAGTCCACACAACTGCCACTCACGTCCAACCCGTCTTGGCTCACATGGGTGGAGAACGGACCTTCGTACAACAACATCCCCTCCAACACGACCATGTGCCTGCAGATCAAGGCCAAGCAGTCAGGCGTGCGCGAGGACGTTGTGGTGGGCTGGGTCAACTTCCGCGTGTGGAACTACCAGAACCGTCTCAACTCGGGCTTCCACTGCCTCAGCACGTGGGACACCAAGCCAGACCCGATCGGCACGCTTCATGAGAACCACACTAAGCCCGACGCCATCACGCTCTCCTTTGAGATCGAGATGACGGCGCCGCCCATCATATATGCGCCTCTGCCCAGTCCCACGGCGTCCCTATCGAGCGCGATGGCGTCCAAGCAGCAGCAACTCACCAACAACATCAACAACAGCAACCTCCAGCTGTCGTTTAGCGAGATGCAAGCGCTGACGGCCATCATTGAGAAGGACCCGCTGTCGGACCTGACGCAGGAAGAGCAGGACCTGTGTTGGAAGCATCGATTCTATTGCAAACACATACCAAAGTCCACGGCCAAGGTTATCCTGTCTGTGCCCTGGAACACGCCGGCGTGTGTGCAAGAGCTGTACCATCTGCTTGCCGACTGGTCGGCCATGGAGCCCGTCGACTGCCTCGAGCTCCTGAGCTCCAAGTTCCTCGACACCGAGGTGCGTCGCTTCGCCATCCGCAACCTGCGCCGCATCACTGATGCCGAGCTGTCGCTCTACCTTCCCCAGCTGGTGCAGGCGCTCAAACATGAGCCCAACCACTACTCCATCCTGGCACGCTTCCTACTTCGTCGCGTGCTACTCAATCGCCAGCAGATTGGACACGTCTTCTTCTGGCAGATCAAGGCCGAGATCTCCAATCTGAACCAGGCCACTCACTCTGAGTGGGTAGAGCGCTACTCCCTGATCCTGGAGGCATTCCTCAAGGGCAGTACCACACGCATGGGCGACATATTCAAACAGTTTGAGTTCTACACCAAGATCAAGGATGTGGCGATTGGCGTCAAGGCAGTGCCGGCCACCAAGCACAGGGACTATCTGGGGACCGCGCTCAACGCTCTCAAGCTGGCCAACGACTTCCAACTGCCCATCAACCCAGAGCTACGCGCCAGAGGCATCGAGGCCAGCTCATGCAAGGTCATGCACTCCAAGACCCTCCCTCTCTGGATGTCCTTCTTCAATCATGACCCACTTGGAGACAACATCACCACCATCTTCAAGGCAGGTGATGACCTACGCCAAGACCAGTTAACCATTCAGATGATCGACCTCATGGACAGAGTACGTTGTTGTTGATGATGATGATGGACGTGACATTGACTAACATAACTCAATCAATCACTCCCTTAGATGTGGCTAGCGGAAGGCATTGACCTCCAGACCATTAGTTACAAGTGTATTGCGACAGGTCCTTTTGAAGGAATGATTGAGGTGGTCGGTGAAGCGATGACCATTGCCGAGATCCAGAAGCTCTCGGGTGGTATTACAGCTGCCTTCTCTGAGACTGCCATCGCCAGTTGGTTGAAACAAGTCAATCCATCCGAGTTTGAGTACAACGTTGCCGTCGAGAACTTTGTCAGATCATGTGCAGGCTGTTGCGTGTACACCTTTATCCTTGGCATTGGCGATCGTCACAATGATAGTAAGTGTACCTCTGAAGTGTACCCTTATCCAATTACGGTCGGCTAACCCTCACCTCCCATCCATCACTCAGACATCATGATTACCAAGTCTGGTCATCTATTCCGTAAGTTGAACAATCGCGAGGCGAACATGTGATCAATCATTCTAATCAATCAAACATCAATCCATCAATCCATTAGATATCGACTTTGGTAGATTCCTTGGCAATGTACAGACTTGGAACGGTATCAAACGAGAGAGGGCACCATTCGTATTCCCTCCTTCCTTTGCTCATATCATTGGTGAACACTTCAAGACGTTTGAGGATCTTTGTGGCAAGGCCTACAACATTATTCGAAAGAAGGCGCATATATTCTTGAACTTGTTCCTCATGGTAAGTGTCTACAATGAATCCAACAATGCGTGCAGCCAATGACTGACTCTCTGTCCAAATATAGATGGTGTCGACTGGAATGCCTGAACTTAGTCACAGGGATGACATTATATACCTTCGCGATGCTTTGGCACTCGACCTCAACTCTGAGCAAGCCACTGCCAAGTTCTCTGAGATGATCCAAGAGAGTTTGAAGACCAGGGCAACCGGTGTCAACTTTGCTGTCCACATCCTTGCCAATCCCAACTAGGTGATCCATCATCAAGAGTGTGTATGAATGGCAATAAACTATGATCTGTTGATTGATTGGAATGATTCCAGTGTGATTGATTGATTGAGATGACTCATAGGTAATCTTCCATCCACCATCATCCATCCATCATCCTTGCATCCTTCCTTCCTTCCATCCTGCCAACTCCATCCTTCCATCTCTGCCATCTCTTCTTTCTCTTCCTTCTCTCTTCCTTCCATCTGAATACTAGACTGTGTACGTTAGGGGAATTTGTATTTTATTTGGTTCCAACAACAGTCGGGATCAACTGTTGATTGGACGCGGTTAGATTACACAAGGAGGTGTACTGTACCGTGCGCGAACGACAATTTAATGGCGGTCTGGGTAGGCAGCGCAGGAGGTACAGATTGGGTTTGTGTGCCATGGGTGAGTGAACTCAGAGCAGAAGTTGGGGTAGATGGTGTCGGTCTTCTGAGCGAGGATACCTCCGATGATCTGCATTGGGGCGTTGTTTCCAGAGAGACCGTAGGCGTTGGCGTTGATGGTGTTGGACAGGATTGGGATCTGGCCAAGGCACTTGTCACAGTAGAGGGTCTGGATGGAGGTTCCGTAGATGATCTTGGCAAAGCCCATCCACATGGCGGCGGAGTGGCACATTGGGCAGGACTCACCGGTGGTGTACAGGTAGTATCCCTCCCAGGTGTTCTTGTGATGGATGCGGGAGCAGTTGAGCATGGCGGAGATCTCTCCGTGCAGGATGGACGAGGTTGGGAAGTCGTTGAGGCCGAGACACATGATGGTTCCGTTGGGGTGGGTGATGACCGAGGTGAAGAGGTTGTTCTGGGCGATGGCGAGGTCGTAGGCAATCTGCATGTACTTCTCGTGGAAGAGACGCTCCTGGCGGGTGAGCATGTCTGGGGTCACGAGTGGGGTGTTACGGGGCTGGTAGAATGGCTCGCAGGCCATGACGGCAGCGACCATCAGCAAGACGAATGCAGCAATGATTCTCATTGTGATGTGTGTAGTAGTAATAATACTCGAAGTAGTAGTAATAATATAATACAGGTAATAGTAATAAAGTAATAGTAGCAATAATGATTATGAATGTTGATGAGTGAGGAGATTTAAAGGTTGGTGTCCGACCACTCTTCAGGCCAGTCCACGCCAGGCCAGACATACATTCAATCACCCAACACAACACAAGTGTGGAGGTCCTTAGGCGTCCTTCACCTCTCTGAATCTCTGGACAACACCCAGTGGCATCATACAAGCTCTCTTCTTGGCAGATGAGTGCCAGTGAACGTCTCTTCTTAAGATATTTACAAGTTCAAACTTCCCTCAAGAGGGAAGAAGCAAGTGAGAGACGATTGAGGACGATCGCTCAAATTTCCTGTTGTACAACAGGAATGAGAGAGTTCTCTTCAACTGTGGCAATGAATGTATCCACACACAGGCAAGTACTGTTGACGTAGTTGATTGTGAGTGAGGGATGATGGATAGACAGTGAGTATCTGGCGCGTGCTCGCTCACGTCCAATCGAGAGAGGATTGGGTGAATTCTGCGCAGAACGTCGCACTCAACGCGAGAACCGTTTGTAATCTGGTGAGATTGGTCACGTACGTGCGAGTGTGATGAGAATTGTGATTGTTTGTGATGTGGATTTTTCGATCACAACAGCGCGCTGAATGGGGCCATACCAGAAGTGTGGTGCAAAGGCCCTGAAAGGCTAGCCCCAAGACATCCGCACGCCATCTTTTGTGTTGTTCACCACACCTACTCGCGTGCCTTCTTCATTGCTTGTCTCCACCTGTCTCACTCTCCAGTGTGTATCTCTATTGTTTTCCTTGATTGATTGATCGCCATCAAACGATGTTATGATCAAGTTGGTACTGCACACCATCATGTGTACGTCCAGCCTATGATATGGAAGGAGGGTGGCTGATCGATCACATATCTAAATGTGAGGATTCGATTGATTGAAATGGAAGGTCGTCTGGTCTGGGCAAGTCTTTACCTTCCCTTTGTCGCCGGTGGTCAACTTGTGCCCTCCTTAACACAATGACTGAGCATTTCGTCATACAAGCAAACTAAAGGCCTATGTCTCTTTGTTTCGTACAAGGTTGCTCCAAACTCTAGTGTGCTCGCGATCATTGGGAACCTTATGGATTCTTCCCCTGGGTAAGAAGGACCGAATGAAATAATGATGTTGATAACTTGATCAAGTTGGTGAATAATTGATCAAAGGTCATAATTCCAATGATCACCATCTACATGTTTACAAACAAATAATAATGAATAGAAAACATCAATACAGTGAACAACCTTCATCCAGCCGGCTGTGAGTGGATGAGTGGGTCTATTGGTGAGGTGCACTAATGTAACAAGACCATCACCCACAAATTGACGAGTTGACGTTGGCTCACACAATCAACAACAATGACTAAGGGGAGAGACAACAAGAAGGAACATCCGGTCTTGTCTTCGGTATTATGTGTAACATCACCAACACTACTTGTGACTAAGCGAACAATAATTACATGTTAGCCATTAATAATCAGGGAGGTGGAAGTGAATGAAATGGCTATAATTAACATGTGATGGTGATGCAATCATATGACAGCCATTAGCCACTTCATGGATGGGCGTTAGTAGAGCGGGTACTGTGTGCATGCAAAGTTTGATCAGAAAAGCGATCTGAGCCAGCGCATCATCAGATATTTGTTGTTTTGCCAGTTGTCGGGTCGTGAAATGGGCGAGCGAAAGTTCAGATCTAAGGCCTGGACCACCAAAAGCCACACAAGACATGGTGGCATACCATCACACCTATTCTTACACTGTCTTTCTCATTATTAGGGTGTTGTTGTACAACACAACATAAAGGAAACTGTGATGAATAAAACGAGAAGTCGATCTTCAAGGCCACCGTGTCGATGACAAGCTAATAAAGCAGTTAGTACCTAAGGTAGAGTCTCTGTTGAAAAGCTCAGAAAAGGTACGGTTCCAGCACACTTCTCGACAAGGAAAGGCCGCTACGCATACTTCTAGTTGATTTGCCATACTTTGTATCAATCAACGTCCCTGCCATACCCTTCACAAGTTGTTGAATGATCATTCTTATTCACCACACACATACACACATAAACACTTGATCAATCACTCACTTATCACTCACCCACCTCTCCACCCCTTCACTGATTCGGGGTCACAAGGCCACATCACTCCCCATAACACAACTTCCACATACCCCATTGCTAAGGCCTAGGCAATCAATCGAGAGCAATCAGATCACACTTGTTTGAGCAAGGCAAAGGGCGTAGCATAGACAGTCTCCAGTGTGCAGACGATCATACCCAGCATCAACAACAGTATCAACCATCAACTTTAATTATTGGTTCAACCGGAAGCCTCGCGCCCTTCATTGACAATAACATCCAATCAGAACTCACAACATACACACACACTTTCATTCCACTCGCTCACTCACACAAAGAGTGATCACTCCTCTGATCAACAACCATCAGAAATATTATTCTGGGCTGTAGACTCAACGCATCGGGGCCAGTTCAGACAGAACCAATCAAACAAACATTCAATCAATCAATCAATCTATTAGAGCCCAACAACATCTTATAATAGTAGAGTAGTGTAGACGTAGATAATCAAGACATGGATGGATATGGAGTACTTAAGCGTGCTGCCAGTTTCAGGAACTATGCCAAAAGAACTGGACACGCAGTATATCATCTGGATCTTGGACGAACTGATGTCAACTACCATCCAAAGTACCAAAGATCCAAATTAGGTATCTTTGTCAGTATATTTGTGATTGTCGTAGTTGCATTCTTTGTCGTCTTTACCACAGGTCAATTCTCTAAAGGTACGTATTGTCTGGCGGCGGGCGATCGCTCATCACTTCTCAAACCCCCACTAACTCACCATATCCGTCCATCCCCTTCACTTGTCTACGCCCAAATCCATAATTATAGGTGTACCTGCCATTATTTATAACGCCAATATACCATCACAGTATGAGGAGATGAAGACACCGATGGTGGGCATAGGTGTGTCCTTCTCAAATGGCACATACTTTAGCGATCCAAACTACTTCACTGTCAAGTACTCCCAGGTAACAATCACCAACCATGACAGTGTACCGCGTGTAAAGGTTGGCCTCAACTCGACCACTTGCACCTTCTACCAGAACCCGCCCTCAGGAATGCCCTCTGGCTACGTGCCACCCATCTACACATCGGCGGCAATCTGCCCCGAGAAGCCCATCACAATGAAGGGTTCGTACGAGATGGACGTCTACCAGTATCTGGACATCGCCATCAATCGTTGCCAGTGTCCTCCTTTGCCGGCCAACTGCACATGTGTCAGTGATGCCGAGTTCAACGCGGTGTTCTTCAAGGACACCAACATTAACCTCATCGTTCAGGAGCGTAACCCATCCTATTCGATCTTTGCCAACAAGTTCTCTGTTGTGCCAAGCGCCGACTTCTCGCAGCCTCCCGTGCCACGTAACTTCACCAACGGCATGTTCTGGTACACATCTCGCCTGCACATCCAAAAGGTAGACGTAACCATCCAGAAGAAGACCATCTACATCGGCCCACGTTTCATCTTTGACTACAACGTCGAGACCTTCTACACGGTTGGTGGAACAGTGGCACGCACAGCCGACTACATGCCCCAGCCAACCAATGTGACCAACAACCTGTTCAAGGCGTACATCCGTCTGGATGACTATGATAACCAGGAGTACCGCCAGAGCCCTCCTCTGCTTCAGTTGGTCGGCTCATGGGGTGCGCTGTGGACCTTCTTCAGTTTGACCCTGCTCCAACTCGTACAGATCTACAACTACAAGAAGCATGAGCGCGAGAAGTCCATCGACAAGATGGTCACTGACTTGGTTCTTGGCTCGCCTACCAAAGGACATGATGGAAAGCCAATGTCCGATCCAAACAACAACAACAACAACAATAGCGGCAGCAGTCTTGGCGCGTTGGACAGCAACAACAACTTTTACAACAGCAGCGGCGTGTCCATCATGGTCAATCAGGTGGAGATGGGCGTGCTCAGTAGCGAGAACAGAAGGAACTCGAGGAACATCCTCAACGCCAGCTCCTCGGGCAGTCTTGATCAGTTGGGCTGGCCTGGTCCCAACAATAACGTCTCGTCATTTGGCATCAACTCCTCTACAGACTACAACAACGATAGTCTTCAGCCACCCAACAACAACTCTGTCAATATCAAGACCAGCGTAGACAGCAGCGCCAGCTCTGATGTCGACTCTCGACATATCTAAATCAACTTTCCAAATCGAGTGCCATCAATCACTCATCAATCATTCCACCCCCACATCACTCACTCATCAAACTATCATTCATCAGAGTTTATAACTCACCTCGCCACTTCCACTGTCATGGCGGCAGCCAACGCCAGCCTTTGCCATGACCATTTTTCCGAACCCAAACTCCTCCTCCCCTCCCGCTCTCTCATCCCATCATATCATCGATCCCTGCCGACTTCCACCATAATCCAAACTCTTGCGCACTGCCTCACTCACTCAATTATGGCGCCACTTTGGCCGGGCTTGGTGCCTGCTCTTTACAAGGAGCACGTTGTACAATGTTTACTTTTTCCATAGGTTCTTCTCGAGAGAGGGGCACTAGCTAGTCGGCCGCCCGACTAGCAATCCAGCCAGCTGCAGCCAACCATTTCAGCCAAGGACCGTTATAACGTATCATCATTCCATACATCATTTCATCACATCACATATCACATAACACAATCCATCCATCCAATCCCCAATCCCATCCAACGAACGGCACATACATATACATACTCAGCAACGCATTAAGCTGAATGTCGAATAAAACCCGATAGGTCACCAATCAATCATTCAATCAAAATGATTACCGTTTCCAACCTTTCAACTGATCAAAAGGCACACTTTAACATACTTATACACTATCCACACATTCATACATACACACTTTATATCTCTACTAGTAAGTTGTTAACAATACCTATAGGTCGTTGTAAACAAGTGAAGTTACATGTGATTGGAGGGTCACATAGAGTAGCCACCTTCTGCCTTTAGCCTATCAATCCGTTTAACACATTCACACACATAGGTTGATTGGATGTGAGTCGGGGTTTGGCCTGCGACTGTTTACGATCGGAAGGTTGTGATGTGGCACTATATCAACAAGGTAGCAACAAGGTGTGGAGCACAGTTGCTTGAGTTACCTAGTTTGGAATGTACGGCAGCAAGTTCATTCACATCACTTCACACTCTTTCACTCATTCACTCATTCATGATCAATCAGGTGATGGGATGAATGAATGATTGAATAGAATTGAATTGATGTTGACTGTGACCTTTGGATTCCTAAGTGTCCATGTCCCGCAGTTATGCAGGGCCAGCCACCATGGTTTAAACGCACAAGCATTATGGGTTTTCAACGGATGATTAATTGTGATTGGTCAATCACAATTGATCAGTGTGAGCAAATGCGGGTGGTTAATGGGCAGGCGTCCAGTGTCTCTTCAGGTTGGCTCTCGACCCAAAGTGAACTGTGCTATTCTTGTTTCGTGGACCTCTGTGGGGACCTTTGGCCAGAGACCACAAAAGACCACCAAAGGATCATTGGAGCCCACTCGACAACGGCCTAACAATAGCCCTACTGGTCCTCTCAAGTTGGTCTATTATTGGCTACAAACATCGAAGAGACGCTGATCAAATATGATATATTACCCAAGGTGTCCCGTGAGATTAATGTCATAATGCCCACAATCATTCAATGTAGTGAGAGTTCACTATACCTGCCGGCGGCTGGGTGGCAGGATGTGTGGCTGGCCAGTGTCCCTACAAGTAGGAGTAGACACTACTACTACTACTTACTTTTAAGGTACCTAAACAAACAGAATGTAATGGGCGGTCATGTACATACCCAAAGCAATCAACCAACGTTGGTTGAGCAACCTTCCCTCCTTCACTTACTTATTTATATATAGAGACAGTTACTGTCAATCAATCAAATCAAAGTAATAGACGAGTGACACAAATACGATCAACACTTACAATATAATCCACACTACTTCCATACATCAATCACAATGAACTTAGCATATATACTTAATAATACCAACTCATATGGTTCATCATCATCATCGGCAATCTATAATATACATGGAACCGAGTACTCTACACAAGGCAGTCCAACATTGTCTTCATCACCAATTACTATCCCTTCACAATACAATCACAATCACAATCAACATCATCAACTTCCAGTTTCCCCAACTTCATGCGGGCAAGAGTATGGCACTGGACATCCACTTATGATGGCCTTGCTCAAGAAAAAGATAAACGATACCAAGCGTATTGTCAATGACCAACCAAACTCAATCCGCATCCTAAAGGTTGGRATATCAAAGTCCAGTATCAATCTCCAACTCCAACTGCGTCCAATACAACCCAAACATCAACTATAACTACAACTATATCACTACTTCTTCCTCTACATCTACACCATCATCTCCACTATCATCACCATCACAATTACCATCTTCACCACAATCTTCATCTTTATCTACACCACCATCATCTCCACAATCTTCATCCTCATCATTGAAGGATCTAAAGAATAAGAATAGTTACCTGTATAATTGGTCACCTAGCCAGGTTGACAAGCTGATCCAGATGGTTGGCGAGCTGGACTTCTTTTCACTACAACCCAACGAACGAAAGAAGCAGTGGGAGCAGATTGCCAAATCACTGAATCGTAGTGTTGCCGCGGTACGCGCCAAGTTCAGTCGACTGGAGCTACAGAAGCATGTTGGAGCATCGTCATCCGTAGGCCTCTTGTCAACATATTGAGAATACCAAGAATCAAACAAACCTATATATAAACGCTTATTTATTGGAAACAAGAGATATTCTTCATTGTGTTGAGTTGACAATGAAGTTGAGTAGAGTCATCTTTCAAGTTCTCATTTACATTGCAAGCCAAGTTATAACAACATACAGATAGACATTATGTCCTCAAAGAAGAGAAAGAATGATAGTGATGAGGAGGTGGAGGAGGAAGAGGTAGAGTCAACCAAGGCTGAGAAGAAGAAGTCTACAAAGAAGTCAACTAAAGTGACAAAGAAGAAGCCTGTTAAGGAGGAGTCAGAGGATGAGGAGTCAGAGGTTGAAGAGGAAGAAGAGGAGAAGAAAGAGAAGAAGGAGAAGAAGAAACCAAAGGTAGCAGCTTCCGCAAAGAAGGAGATTGACCTTGGCAACAAGAGGAAGATAGCATTCTCCACATTTGGTKGGCGCACCAAAGATTGACATTAGAGAGTTCTACGAGAAGGATGGAGAGATGCTGCCAGGAAAGAAAGGTATGATGAGGGGAAGGCCAAAGCAAAGGTAGGAACAGTACACATACTAATTCTCAGTCGCGAACATCATAGGTATCGCATTGTCACCAGCTCAATGGAAGATCATCACAAGCAACATAGATACAATCAATAAATGGTTGAATTAGAACGACTCGCTCAAGATGATCTTGATCGAGGTTTACTTTATTTACTTTAATCTTTAGAACATGTCGTCGCCATCCATCAGATCAGCAATATCCTCGTCGTCGAGATCTGATCCAAGGTCGTCTTGGTCGTCACTCTCACTCATACTGACATCATCCAAAAGTGCGTCGTCGTCCATGTCGTCACTGTCCTCGCTCTCATCGTTCTCATCCTCGCTGTTGTCCTGGTACACCAGCACCGGCTCAAAGTCAATCGAGACCACCTTCTTTGATTGCGACTTGCTCTCGACCAGCTCGCACTTGGCCACCAGCTTGGTTAGCGACTCGTGCAGCTTGAACTTATCCTCCACGATCGAGTTGAGAATAGACAGTTGTGATCTCAGGTTGGGCACGGTAAGCAAGTATGTCGAGTGCTCCTTGATAATGTTGTTGACCCAACTGATCAAGTAGTGGCTGTGTTGCAAGAAGGAGGATATGGTCAGTGTCGGTGACAGTCAATCGCTCGCCCGACTACTTTGGTACATACGATTTCTGGTAGTCTGTGGCAAGGTCCGAGATGATCCTCTTGAGCAAACTGAATGCATAGGGCGACGGCAGCGCCTTGACTGTGTTCTGGAGTACCACTTGGTTGACTTGCAATGCCCTGCTGAGCAGTGCGATATCGGATGATTGGAGCGCCTGTGTAATCATGTCGACAACTGTACCGGCGTTCTTGGCACTGTTATCAACGGACTTCATGTCCACTCCAATAATCTGCTCTTCGACATTGAGTTGGGCGGCATCGCCAGTTGTTGAGACCACCTGCTTGCTAGTGCTTCCAACTCCACCCTTGGACTTTGGATCCTTTGAATGATACTCAATGTTTGATGTTGTCTCCAACAATTCGCCCTTCTGGCTAAATTTCTATAATATGTTCGTCAGTTTCCATGTGTTGCTGCGAGTTACCGCGTGTTGCCGTGTTTCCGCCCAACTTACAATTATTTCAAACTTAATCTGTGATGGTGAGGAGAGAGGTCCTTGGGCCAGAGCCAACTCCTCAGAGTTGAGGAATGTAACACTTATGAGATCGACATTGTCTTGCAACTTGAACTTGGTCTGCGAGGAGACTGTCTTTTGAGCGGTGGCCTTGAACACTTCGATGACCTTGGCGTCAGTGATGGCGGCAAAGTAGTAGAATGTCTCTAGCTTGGTGGGCTGGGTCAGCATGTGCAGACCTCTAATGTTGGTATCGCACCTGATCATGTGTGAAGCCTCGCCACTCTTTAGTCCCTTGTCGCTCAACTCATAGACACGCATGTAGCGATCGGCTGTTGAGCCGACCAGCACGTCGCGCGACGTCTCATCGCTGAACGCTAGCGATCTGAGCTCCTTTGACGACTTGATTTTGCCAATCTGCTGCTGTGACGACAACTCCCAGATGCGCACCTGACTCGCGCCCGACACCAGACGGGTGGCATGTGCGTTGACCGCCAGCTTGAACACTGGACGGTTCTCCTCAACGGCGAAGCTTGTGATCTTTTGTGCCTGCTCGACGCTCCACTGAATGACCGTGCCATCTTGATCGGCCGAGTATAGGTGGTTTCCAGCATCGCCTGCGAATACCACATCATTGACCCTGCAGCTATGTGATCCAGTCAATGACTTTAACTGTTTTCCATCCAATATATCATAAATGTTAATGTCACCATTAGTCATACCAGCAGCCAGCAACAACTTTGGATTGGCAACTTGTTTCTAAAGTTTGATTGATTGATTGATTGGGCGAGTGAGTGATTGGGCGAGTGAGTTTGGGCGAGGCTTGTGATGGGATTGTCTCGCGAGGTGGCCATACCATTGAGAACCAGGTCAAACAGTTGAACTTGACATCATTGTTGGTGGAGCTGAATGAGAAGGTGATGATGTTCTTCTGGACATTCCAAACTCTCAATATATTATCTCTGCCAATCGCGGCAAAGTGTGATCCAGTCTTATCAAACAAGTAGAACTTTCCAGACATGTCTACTCCTGTGTATATATATAATATATAATATAATATATGAAGTGATTGTAAGTAAGTTTATGTATTTATGTAAAAGCGAGGACTCATTCGAGGGTCACTGAATGACATTGGACCATTTTTCTGATTTAAATAATCACAAAATTCAAAAAACGAACGAATATGAAGTTCTGATTTTTTATCATCAAGTCGAGAAATGATCATGGTCTTGATCAAGATTATTGAGGTATCTTTAAAGCAAAGATATCCTTTTCCAGAACACCAAGTACCTTGTTGTCAATATTCTGACTGATGTCTTTCCAAGCAATGTCTGGATTTTGTTGCCGCAGTACTTCTCCGCCATTAGTCAATGTGAATAATTCCTTGCAGACCAGTTTCTTGACTCTTCCAATTAACTTATAGCTCGATTGTTTGTAGGTGATGTTGGAACTGATCTGAGAGTACAACCCCTCTTGGTCCATCACCTTCAATACGACCTCGGGAGTGACTATACTGTCTGTGTAGGCGTTGATGGCAATGGTTGTCGGGTCCAGTGGTGCAATGACCTTTGGTTGGTACTCCGCGGTCGAGAACTCTTGTTTTTTGAGTGCCTCCAAATCACGCTGCGTCCTGATTGCAGTTATCTGAGCTTTGGCTGCATTCTTCCATTCGTCCAACACGATTGAGCATTTGCCGAGTACTTTTTGTTCCAGTTGCATCAACTGGATCATGAAGCCATCGTTTGGTTGAACGCACGATCTTGTTTGGTGCAATGTAGTGTACAGTTGATTCAATGGCAGTCTCTTTGCAATCATTAGATATGCCAGTATCACTGTTGGGCTACGACTTCTTCCAGCAAGACAATGTACAAACACAACTCCATCCTCTTTCCTCGCCTGTTCGATAAATAGATATGCCTCATCGATGAATGTCAGGATATCCTGTTCAGGTACATCCTCAAGGTTATGTGCTCTCTGTTGTACAACAATCGATGTGAGTATAGTGCCTTGATTGAATGAAAGAATGAATGGCTAATTGTTTGAGGACTTAGGAACATACCAACGATCTGTATTCTGATTCATTATGTACAGTTCCAGCACAACTAACTATATGAGTGATGTTCCTTCTCTTCATCTCAAATACATTCTTTGTATCTCTATTATTATTGATAAGTAGTTAGTATTGTAACTTGATTTAATGAATGAATGAATGAATGATAGTGATAGTTACCTGGCAGCACCTAGGTATAGGAAGTCTTCTATAACAGTTGATATTCCCATGGTTGGTGATTGTTGTAGTAATAATATATATTGGTTATATTTAACAACTTTAACTTATGATCATAGTTATAATGTTCTCTTTCTCGTTAGTATTACACTAATCTCAAAGTATCTTTTTCATTGTTGAGTAATAAAGTGGAAACAAAGAGTGTGGGTCATTCCCACCTTTCACTCATTCATTCCTACAGATAAGTACGGTTGGTTGCATGCTTGAGGAGGTATTAGATACACATACATACACTCACTATCTCACCACTTGACAAACAAGGACATTGGAAAGTGAGAGAATGAGATAATAGATAATAGATTGGTGACACATAATTCCAATGATGGCTTAGCTCACTCAACCTCTATCAGATTATCAAGTCAACATGTTAACATGGTTGGGTGAATGATGAAGTTGAGTGGACTCTCCAGATGTAGCAGCAGCAGCAGCAGAAGCAGACACAGCACAGCAGCGCAGCGGGTACAAGTATCGGTACTGTTACATTCCTCTTTATTGTTGTATGGTAATCAATTACGAGTACTTATAGTATTAGTATTAGTATTAGTATTAGTATTAGTATTAGTATTAGTAGAAGTGTGTCTAAAGCAATGAAGAAGAAACAATCACCAACAAAACAGAAGGAGACGTCGAATAAGAAGAAGATACCCTTGAAGGAGTGGTCGACAACAGAAGCAACTACGCTCACAATTGCTCAGCTAAAGAATAATCTTAAGGGTTATAAGGTTGAATTCAATAGCCGAGCGCTAAAGGCTGATCTTGTCGATCTACTGGTCGCCTCGAGCAAGAAGAAACAAGGCGAGGATTTGAGCCACGAGATGGATGACGCAAGTGATGGCGGAGGTGACAGTGGCATTGTTGATGACAATGTTGATGGTGAAGGCGATGGCGATGGCTTGGATGACGAGCCAGATGTTGACCTGCCAAAAGATGTAAAGGAGGTGAAGGGAGTGAAGGATGTAAAGAATGTGGCTAAGGATGCTAAAGATCAAGTTGCGAACAGTCCAAAGAAGAAGAGGGAGGAAGATGACGAGCTGGACGATGATGCCGACGATGAGAATGATGAACACCAAGCCAAGAAGCATAAGAAGGATAATGGCCAGCAAGTTCAAAAGGCTGTGAACGATCAACAAGATAAAGTGATCATGGAGAAAGCCCTTGAAGATGCTCTGGAGAGCTACGATATTCATAAAGAACTAATGACGTTGATCAAGGAGGAGGTCAAGACTCAGTCCACCGAGGGTCCTCTTCTGATTGTCAACTGGAATGTCGATGGCCTCAAGGAAATGTCCGTTGTAGGCCAGGCAAAGCGTGGCTCTCCCCAGGATATTCAGGACACTCTGGCCCAATTCATCAAGACCAACCATGGCACCGATCCAAAAGACACTCAAACAATATTCCTCTTTGAGTCCTCTGGCAGGATGACCCAGTGCCTCACTCAACTTGTCGACAAGTTCCCTTGGATCAAGCATACCAACCAGCCAAATCAGTTCAAGAACATGCCAACCATTCCGCTCGCCAGTCTGATCGTCATTCACAAGCTAAGCGATACCAAACTTGATGTTGCCGATCTCAGTGCCTTCCTTCTCTGCTAACTAATGGATGAGTATCCATGAAACTATACTACTAGAGTACCTTCATTAAATGTTTATTTGATCTTGATCAATGACCACGACACCTTGGCGGTATGCGCAAGCTTGGGTCCATCATTCGCTCCAATGCTGTATGTCATCGAGCAGTCTGGGGATGAGTAGCTCTCATGGTTTACAATCGCCAACAAAAGTCTTGGACTGAGTGAGCGGATGGTCCATCCGCGACCATGTCCATGTAATTTGTAGGTGTTGACGTTGGGGAATGTGGACAATAGTTTGCTCACATCAGACCTGCTCCTTATCATTGTGGATAGGGTGTCCAGTCTAACATTCTTTGGTGGCTTGAACTTTGATTGACTATTGAATTGGGTCAATAGAGACAATTCCATGGCAGACTCGGGCATACAGTCGACAAGTGAACGTAGATTTGTTCGCAGTATTACAAGGCCCATTGGTAATGCATTGGCCTCAACTTGATTGTTTGAGCCAGGCAGTATAAGTTCTGTAAGCAATGGTGGCAAGACACCAGAGGCGAGAGGTTGATTGTAGGATTGGCTGAGACTTAGAGTCCTCAAAGAAGCTGGGAGACTGCCCGGCACCAGTTCCTTCTTGAATGATGTGCCAATCCTCAGTTTCTCGAGACATGATGGTAGACATCCTGGCAGTAGTTCTTGGTTGAACTCATGGCCCAGTGTCAGCTCGAGCAGTGACTCTGGAAGGCACCCTGGCGTAAGTGGTTGATTGAAGACCTCGAGTGTGAGTATTGTGAGGAAGACTGAAGGCAGCACTCCAGGCAACAGTGGATGATCATAGTTGTTAAGGGATAGCTCTATCAGTGAGTTGGGCAGCACATCACATGCCAGAGTATGGCTATAGCTGACCAATGAGAAGAATGCGAGAGACTGGGGTAGTGATCCTGGTGTGAGGGGATCGTCCAAGTCAAGCCCAACTGTCAAGTTGTCCAATGAAGGGTGTAGTGAGCAGGGGATGAAGTAGTTTGTTTCCAAGTTCTTGAGTGAGTTGGGCAGTGTCCATGGATGACCTGGGTCAGGCCTGCCTTGGCAGATCAGTCGGGTGAGGGAGGAAGGAAGCACGCCCTCTAGTAGAGGCTGGCAGAAGGCACTCCCGAATGAGAGATACGTGATTGATTCAGGCAGCACACCAGGGTAGAATGGTCGATTGAAGTCATTTCCAAAATGAAGAGAGGTCAAAGAGTCTGGCAGAGATCCTGCGACAATACATTGATTGAAGTTGAAGCCCAACGAAAGGTGAGCGAGCGTGGTTGGTAGGACACCTGGTTTGAATTCTTGATTGAATGTATCGATGAATGAAAGATTGATGAGTCGAGGCGGTAACACACCTGGCAGTAACTCCTTGTTGAATAGACCCAGTGTCAAACTTCTGAGTGATGCGGGGAGCGAAGAGGGTTCCAGTATATGATCGAATACTGAGAGATGCAAATCTATGAGCGAATCGGGTAGCACACCAATGGGTATGGGATGATCGAACGTGTCTAGTCTAAGTGAACGCAGTGAGGCAGGGAGAGCACCAGCAATGAATGGCTGGTTGAACTTGGGTGAGTTCAAGTTGGTAAGCGAGTTGGGAAGTATACCAGGTAGGAGGTCACGTTTGAACTGTCCAAGTTCTAGTGTGAGGAGGGATTCGGGTAGTACGCCCGGCGCAATGCTGATGTCTCTGCTTGATGAGATTGACAGTTGAGTGATCGAGTCTGGAAGTGACCCTGGTGTATCAAGCACGCCATTGAATGGATGAACGAGTAACAAACGATCGATGTTGTCAATGTTGAATCTTGAATGTGATTGTGATTCAACTGCATCTCTGATTGTGCCAGGTAGAAGATAACAATCCTTCTTCCATGTCATTGATAGTTTAGTATTTGCAAGCCTGCCATCAATGTTGGCCTTGATATACAATGTTCTCAATCGTCTACATGTCAGACTGAGGCACAATGCATCTATGATGTCATTGAATTGTAAGTATATCTCTGTCAATATTATATCAGAGAGTATTTGTTCCATGTATCTATATCTTGTTTTTGGTTTAAAGTTAGTCGAGTGATCACATGATTGATCAAATGAGGGGTGATCAGATTCTACTTTGATCAAATATCCATACCCCAATCTTTACAATGATGGATATAACTTGGAATCTTTTATTCTTAAATATCAAAGCGATAAGCTTTGGCATAGTGGATAGGAAGCTCTTGCAAGCTAAGACTATTCTGTGAAGTCTGGAACGTGTGCAATACTATCCAGGAGCTTGAAAAGGTCGATTTGGACATTGTCAGGAGCTCCTTCTGGAATGTTGGCAACTCCATGGTAGATGACATTGATTGGAATGTTGATCACGTACAAGTAATAATAAATAATATTACTCAATCAAACTAGGTGAAGATGCCAACCCATCTGATGCCATTGGCATTTAAAAGACACCTCCATGAATGAATGAGTGACAATGATGATCATTTTACTGTAACTCTGTTTGGCAGAGTGGACAGGTGGACTTGTGACTGGTGGAGAACCACTTGTAGATACAACCAGCGTGGAACTTGTTCTTGCAGGTCTTGCATTGGAACTTGGGAATGGTGCCGTTGAAGAAGAGACTGTAACAGATGGGACAGAGGTCCACGCCCTGGAAGTGCTTGTCCAGCGAGCTCTTCCACAGCAGACACACGTCCAGGATCGATCCGTCCTGGGTGAGCAGCAGCGATGTCATTGACAGCAGCCACTTCCTCCACTGCATCTCAGTGACGCCGATCCTCTTGGAGAACTCCACTTGCAGCACGCGCAGCGGGTACGCGTCGGGGATCTGCAGCGACAGCGAGATGGTCATCTCGTCCTTCTCGTAGTTGGCCGTCACCTCCTTGATGGTGGACGACGCCTTGATGCTAAAGTTCGAGCCGGCAGGCTCCTTGTGCGCGTTGACCAGCTGTATCTCGTTCTTGATGATCAGCGGGCTGATGTAGTGCGTGATGTACGCGTCGACCTGCTGCGAGATCTTGCTGCTGCAGTCGTCCGACCACCAGCATCGCGCCATGCTCGGCAGGTTGTTTACCAGCACGTAGATCATGTAGGCGCAGCAGTGCTGCACGTTGGCATAAGTGATCTCTGTGTCGACACGCGGCAGCTCATCATAGTCGACGTGTGGCGCTGAGTGATAGTCGTCCTTCTTGGTGAGTGGGAATATGCAGGTAAGCAGTGTCGATACCTTTCGCTTGTCGTTCAGGTAGCCATTGATCGGAGCCTTCTTGGTAAAGTCTTGCATGGCATAGTTGCGCAGCACCAGGTCCCAGACCATCAGTGTGCCAACCACCTTTGACATCAGGTGTTGGTCTTGCTTGTCAGCCTTGAGCTGCTTCCACAGTTCAAACTGTGTGAGGATGGCGGCCAGCTCGTCCGATATGATGTACTCTGTCGTGTCTTCGTCCAACTCGAATGCCTTGACCAGCTCGACCGATTCATTGGTAAAGTATGATGCCAACAGATTGTAGGCTGTACGCTGGATGTTGGGATGCTCGCACTGCACAAGCTCGTACAGCTGCTTGAGGTTTAGCTGGGCGATTCTGAACTGCGTGGCCACGGGTATCTTGGCCAGCGTCGTCGAGTACAGGTCATAGAGAGCAACGTACGCCAGGTTGGAGATGAGCGCGCGGCCGGCGATCCACTGGCCGACCAACAGCGACGACGTCTCAATCAGGTACTCCTCGCTCGTGTTGGGCAGAATGAAGCGCTGGTTGTCCGCCTTGGACAGGATGATGTTGAACAACTTGAGTGAGTTGTATCGCTTGAGCAGCGTGGGGTCCTGTGCGTCCTTCTCAGAGATCCACTGATTGAGCAACGTCTGAATGAGCTGTGATTGATTGGTGGACAGGAACAGACTCTTGGCCACGACGAACTGTGAGGCCACGATGAACAACTGCGACAGGGGGATCTCCATCACGTCCAGTTCGATCGCCTGATCCTTCATGAGTGCAGAGCGTGCCCGCAGGTGCCACTGTTGGATCATCTGAAGCAACTTGAGCAGGATGTGTCCCTCATGCTCATTGAGTGGATGTTCGTCGTCATACGTGGCGATCGAGCAGAGCAGTGAGATCTTGAAGCAGATTGGGTCGAGCGCGTTGGGCATCGAGCTTTGGATAGCCTCGAGGTCCTTGAACAAGGCTGTTCGTACCTGTTCGACGAATGGCGATCGCTGCTCGACGAGTGAGGGAAGGATGAGCTGGAACAGGTTGAGATTGTGATGTGACTGCACCACTGTGTCGTACGAGTTGTTCAAATGCTGTTGCTGTATCAGCGCGATGAATGCAATGCGCGCGGTAGTCAGGGTAGCCTCGGCCATCACACTAAGTATGTTCTTGAGCAGCAGCTGATTATTGTCCTGCACGCCCACCGCCAGTGTGTTGTCGCTGGCCAGAAGAATCTTCATCCATGATGCCTGGCTGATTGATTGATCGTCTGTAGACACTGATCTGTTGACCATGGCCAACAGCACATCTTGTTTGAGTTGTTGCATTGATTGTAGTTTGTGCAATGTCGGACTGATTGGATTGTTACAGCCGATCGATAACAAGCCTGTGAGCACCTGGATGATCAGTTTGTCGCTATTGGTAGACTTGAGGATGGCCGTGATTGGGTCTGACTCGGAACCATCCCTCTTCATCAGCTTGCCCATGATCTCAAACAAGTAGAGGTGCAGACGGAAGTACTGCTCCTGGGTGGCCAGGGGGACGCTGTGGCGCTGGGGACGGAATGGCGACATGTCGGTCTGCAGCCAGGAGATGTCGAGAGCCATGGTGTACTTGGTGGCCGAGAGTGAGTAGTGTTGGTAGAGCTGTGCGAGTGAGGCGGCCAAGTCGTTTGTGCCAATCACGTCCAGGGTGAGGGTCGCCAGGAACTGTGTGTCTGGCGCGCGCAGTCCATGCAGGTTGTCAAAGATGATCGGCAGCAAGATGGTAGTGGTCGAGTGATTGTGCAGTTGAAGTGTGTTCGTGTCGGAGCAGATGGTCTTGCGCAGTTGATTGGTGTAGACTGAGGTGTCGATGGATGTCTGGTGATGCAGGTGGATGGCTGACTTGGCAATCTCTTGCCACAGCGCTATCTTGGCCGGGTTCAGCTCGACCGTGCTGTGCAGGTCGTACAAGATGAATCTTGACGCATATATAAGGTTCGCGGCAGAGAACTCCATCTCGCCACCATTGAGCACGATCGCCAACACAATATCCTTGAGCTCATTAGTGACCCAGTTGATGATCGCGATGATGCTGGAGGTGTCTATGAGCGGGGAGTCTAAGGTTGAATGATTGATTGATTGACTGTGAGTGGGATGGTTCAAAAGGGTAGTTGATTGAATGGGGAGTATACTTACATGATCCATCGACAGGAGAGACGATCAGGACAGACATCAGTGAGTGCTTTGTCTGATTGATGGAGTGGAGTTGGAAGAGTTGGTTGTCGTGCTTGTGCTCAGAGTGGAGGTGGGTGTTGACAATGGTATTGAGGGATGCACAGGCGAGGGATGAGCGATCGCACTTGAGTTGTGAAATGAGATTGACCAGGTAGACATTGTTCTGCTCGTCCTTTAGCATGTCAACCAGCTTGCTCCACACCGATTGGAAGTCCACCAGATCATTGCCATTGGCAATCACCGTGAAGATATTGAACAAGTTATATATCGACTTTGAGTTTGATTGATTGAGCGCAAGCTTAATGTTGGGAAGGAGTGAGTCCTCGACGAATTGCTTGGTATCTAGGGGAGGGCGAGGGTAAGCGAGTGATTGGAGGTGATTGATTGAATGACGGCGACAACATACCTTTGATCTCGGGCTCGAGGAGTGCGCGAATGTTGAAGTGAGACAGGAGGACACCGATCATCTCAAACATGCGGTCTTGAAGTATGGCGTTGGAGAGGTTGAAGTGCTGGCAACAGAATTGGAATAGCTGTTTGGACAGTTGTTGGAAGAGTGCTGGCGTGGTACTCTTGTGCTCAAAGAGTAGACGATATCTTGCAAACAGTGTGTTGATTGTGATTGCTTGTTGGCGTGGGTCTGGATTGGCTGCAGCATCTTGAGTGGCCGTGGTGTCATCATTGATGGGCTCGAGCTCCAGCAAAGCATTAGTGGTATGAGTGTATAGGCGTTGGACAACATCATCGAGTGCGCTGGCCACCAGGTCATTCTGAGCGGCCACCAATCTTTGCATTGTTTCGCAAACATTCTTTGTCAACTGATGTGAGTAAGGCGAGTACTCCTTCATAAAGTATCCAAGCAATATCGATCCAAACAAGTTGGACACCAAGTATTTGACAATCGCTTGATTGGTCGACCATTTCCTTCATTGTTCCATTGATTGGGCGTGTGATTGGAATGATTCCAGAGTGTGCCAAGGGAGTGGGAGGGTCAGGAATGTTAGTGATCGATCAATCAGACTGGACTGGACTGGATCGCGGACAACATACTTTGAACAGAATACAATACACTCGAGTACACTTGTGAGAAGGTAGGTAGTAGCGCGCTCACTTGAACCAAACTGCTTGATGTTCTCAAGTATCTCCAAACCCTTGAGTGTGTTGCCAAAGAACTCTTCAAAGAATGCCACGCTGTCGCCAACCACAGAGTTTGGAATGAAACTAAGGAATGGTAGCACCATTGGATATGATATCTCGTACGATCCATAGCAAGCAGTCCTCAAGAATGCCCAGAACCTTGGCAACACATGCTTCCTCGCATCCACGCCCTCCCAAGCCTTCTCCTTGTATTCTGTATATGTTTGAATGAGGTGAGTTAGTCACATGATTGATTGATTGATTGATCATCACTACTCTATACTCACTCTTGAGGAATGAGATGATGGCATCCCACATGAAGAGATGTGTTGATGGATCCTTCTCGGAGAATAGACCGAGTATCTTGGTGGAGAAGTCTTTGAGGTTGTTGTCTGAGAAGTTGGGGACACGATTGATGATCGTGGTGATGAGGCGATAGCAAGTCTTTCGAATGTATGCACTCTTTGATGAGAGGAATGAAAAGAATTGCTTCTCCAATGTCTCTTGATAGATGTCTTGATTGATACTTTGTGTCGTTGTAGTTGTCGAGGACGATGATGAAGATGATGATTGATCATCAGCTGAAGTGGACATTGATGTTGAGTTCTCAATCAGGTATTCAATTGCCAACAATGAGTTGGAGATACATCGATCATAACGGTCTTGGAGGACCTCGGGTGGGACTGACTTGCCATCGCCCAATGTGCCAGTCGTCTCTTGCAGGTTCTCCGTCAGATATTGCAATGCAGTATCATGAGCGAACCTAAACACATCACTTCTCTTCTTCTCAGGGAAGATAGTCTATCATGTACGCGTCAGTATGATCACTCACTCGCTCAATCAATCAATCATGATTGATACACCACTTACATTGAATGATTGAAGTGCAGTGTTGTATGATTGATCCTTTTGATCACAGATGGAGAATAGCCATGGACCAAAGAGATGTTTGACGTGTGGACCAAGGTTCTTGCCAACTTTGGTGCCGAGTGTGCCTAGACAGAGTGAGGACATCTCTCTAACCTTGCGATCGTCATCATTGACAAGCTTCCTATATGTCAACTCCCATGCACTTAGCAACGCGCGTATCGATGCGCTACTATCTGTCTCCAAATCAATCTTTCCAAACAAACTATTCAACTCCTCCAATGCCTTCATTCTGCTCACTGCATCCTTCTTCAACAACTTCTTAAACTGTACTTGATAATCTGAATCAAGTTGCTATCATTGTTTGTTTGATTGATTGATTGATTGATTGATTGATTGATTGATTGATTGATTGATTGATTGATTGTTAATGTCTATGTCCCTGTGATGTGACTGTCTCTGTGTCTGTGTCGTGGCCACAACAACATACATATTCGGGATCTGTCGCGCTTGATAGCGTTGATGTGAATGCTGAGAAACCTAGGAAGCTAGCATTGTTTGCTGATGCCTCCCTTCATTGATTGATTGATTAAGTGATTGAGTGAGTATGAGTGAGACCATGAACATCGTCCATCTTGTTGGTCCATCATGTTAATTGAACAATCATACCAGCTATTAGCACCCTTTGATCTGGCGTTCTTTGCCTTATCCTTTCCCATCTTTCTCTACAAGGTCAAGTATGTACTATATATTATATATATATATATTATGTATATGTATACAAAAGGGTAATGTAATAACTACTTAAGTTCACTTCATTCACACAGACATGTCATTCGCGAATCCACCTCGCACATTCATTCACTCAACTTGGAATGTGTGAACAAAACAGGAATCAGATGATCCTGACTTGTCCTTGGACTTTGGACTTAGTAGTCATGACCCTTTTATTATTATACATGGAGATGCTGACTGAATGCCTTGGCACTTACATACATTACAGTCTTGAGAGAGCCTTGATTACATAACGAACGTATGATGGATTCTTTACAATCCATCTATCAGATAGATATGAACATGATAATACAACTCTTGAATCTGTATCCCTTATATAATTCATGGCATTCAATGCTAGAACATCTGCAATTCCCTTGCCTCTGTATATTATTTATCGTTGTTGTTGTTGTTGTTTCAAAGTTAGTATATGAATGATTGAATGACTGAACGAATGATTGTTACCTTTGTGAGTCAGGTACGAATGTATGATAGAAGTTATATTCATTGCCACTTCTGTTGTAGTCTAGCACTGCAATGTCTTTGTTGGTCATACGAATGATTGATTGAATGAAAGAGGAGAGAGGCGAGGTTAGTATATCAACTTGGAACAAGGTCCAGAGAGTCAGGTAGACAACGCAACATACCTCCATTGTCAAAGGTGATACTAAAGTTCTTATCCTTATTATGAACGACTGACATGTCTCTAATATATATGTATATATGTATGTATGTATGTTTGAATGAATTAAAGAATGAATGGAAGATTGAGAGAGGTAGAACTTGTGTGTATGTGTGTGGATCTCGTTGAAATTTCAAAGTGTCCTAATTAAGTTGATTTCCTTATTTGGAGTCGGGTCTTGGAGTATTGAGGTATGGATACACTCACTCAAGAGTGATTGATTTAATAAGGATATAATATATATTATGTGTATATATATCATCCAAATGTGAATTTTAATCACATGGATGAAACTTGAAAAGGCCTCACGAGGCCAAAGGGTCCAACTGAATGATTGATCAGATCATACAACTACATCAATTGGATCACTACTCTCTCCATCACCACTGCCCAGTGGAGGAGGTGATAGTGATGCATGGTAGGTTGGACGCATAGGCAGTGTGGGTGGCAGCGTGATCTTTTCGGCGCGAGTGTGATTGTTTGAGTTGACCTTGATATTGTACATGTGGAACTTGAGTGTGTCGCCACCAGCATCATACTGTGATGGTGGACTCAATGACACTGGCGATGAGCCCATTGGTGTGGACGCATTGGCGCTGGCACTGGCACTGGAGCTTGGCTCACGTCTATGATGACCCTTCTTCTTTGATGATTGTGTTGGTGTTGTTGATGGTTGGGTGATGGCGGCGATGGACGACGATGTCGATGGTCCGGTGGCCGATGACGCACGTGCCTGCTTGTTGTTGCTGTCTGTGATGGCGCTGTCAGAGTCGTCGTCGCCAGACTCTGAGTTGAGGTTGCGCTGCGCCTTGGTCTGATGGTAGCCACAGAATGGCTGCAGCTTCCACTTCTGCACGGGTATGTTGCACTTCTTTGAGTTCTTCTTGTTCTTGTTCTCGTACTGACACCAGACAAAGTCCGAGTTGGGGTCGAGTGGCGCGTGATGCCAACAGTACTTGCAGTTGGCTAATGCCTTGCCCTTGCACAGACGGTCCTTGCCAAAGGCCATACAATAGCCCTCGTGTCCCTCGGCCAATCCAGGTGGTATCTCATCCAACATCATTGTTTGTGGTGGCTGTGTCAGTGACTGTTGAGTGGGATGTTGTTGTTGTTGTTGTTGCAGTCCCCTGCTACTGGACAACGCGGCCATGGAAACATCCTCAGCGTCAGACTTGTCTCTGTCTGGCAACATGGAGTACATGTCCTCACCTGGTGCTAAGCCCTTATTCGTTGGTGACACTGTTGGTGGACGAATATGCATTTGGCCACCAAGTCTACCATTCGACTTCTTGGACGATGATCCATTTGGTGCCCTCTCCCTCTTAACATGTTGTCTCTCTCTATCTCTATCTATATGTTGTTGTTGTTGTTGCTGTAGTTGTTCTCTGTCTGTATCCCTATCTCGGTCTCTATTATCTCTATTTCCAACATTTGGCGATATCAACAACATGTTGGAATTGTGTGATGAGTGGAGTGGCAACAGTGGGGGAAGTGATGTGGGGTGGGCTTGAGGCTTTGTCGCGAACCTGGACTCTGAATCAGAGTCAGAAGACACCTCTTCAAACTTTAACAATCTATCTAATAAGAACCTATTTAATTGATTGAGTGATTGAATGGGGGTGATGGTGGGTAGGGTGGGATAGTTCCAGTTAGTGTATGTTTGATTGAATGATTGGTTGATGTTAGTTAACATACCTCTTCTCAGAGGCCAACTTCTTTAATTGCTTCTTGGCATGCTCCAATTGAATAATAGTATCATCCTTCTCTTCAGCAATCACACTAAACTTCCTCTTCAAACTTGAATAAAGTGCTCTATAATCAACACTTGGATCACATCCTTGTTGTTGTTGTTGTTGTTGTTGATGTTGATATCTATTGTCCATCACTATAGTTATTATATTGTTAATAAGTTGAGTCTAATAAACTAAGAAATAAGTGGTGTGGTGGAATGATTCCGTCCCGACATAGTGACGTCACAAACGTACCTTTAGAAATTTCCTCAAAACCTATATTCCTATATATATATATCTTCGTTTAACTATATCAGAGTAATAATGAATGAATGATTGTTGAGGTGAGGCAGAACGATTTGATGGAGTGGATGAATAGTTAAAGACAGGGCAGGGCAAACATGACCTTGTTTACTTTACTTGGTTAGTGTTGGGGGAAAAGTGAGGTGATAAGTTGTTTCATGATGACGGCGATGGATGGATTGATGGTTGGCAGGTAGGGCAGGTTGGGTTGTTGTTGACTTTATTTGATCATCATCACGATTCCTTTTTTCACTGATCACAAAGGGTATACCCTTCCCCACGATCACCAGGCACCTAATGTAGGTCTGGTCACAACACTACCCCCCACTCGTCAATCACATTGTTCTAATTTGATGACAAACAAGTCAAAGACTTTGATTCGAATGGTCGGCAACCAAACCCCCACGAATGCATGCCCCCACTGCCACCATATTTGGCAACCTCTCTGTTTGATTGATTGATCGTTTGAAGCGAGTGAGTGATAGACATATATATATGTGTGATTGATTACTTGATTGATTGGTTGGATGATTAATGGATGGAGTCTTTGCCAATGATTATACTTAGAGTACTTGACGAACCGACACTTTGAAACATCCACCTCAATGATGGTTGGATACAGACGTTTGGCATCCAATAACAGGAGGTTATTTATGGAACGCCAGATAAGAGACAGGTCTTCAAAGTCCACACTTACTCACTAAATGATTCATTCGTTGAATCAACCAATCAATCAACCTGGTATACAAATGTCTCATGTTAAGATATAGCAAGCATAGTGGATGGTCTCACAACTGAGGAGAAGATTGCTTGAGAATGATGAAACATCCGCTCCGCCAACTTCTTCAACTACTTCAACCACATCCACAACTACAACCTCCAACAATGCCCAAGAGTACAGATCCAAGACCATTAAGAAGAAGAAGTCAGACAAGGTGGAACCGACCGTCCAGGATAAGAATAGGAAGAGACCCAAAGATGTGGACACCAAAGGTAGTGATGGTAGTTCGCGCGACCACAAGTTTTGAAGTGGCGCCGTAGTGAACATCATCCCAACTTTCATTCATTCAATCAAATGCACAAGTAATACATCTCATTCATTCATATATATATACTTATTCTTACTTACTTTGTTGGTTGAGGTGTGATATACGATAGGATAGAAGGTCATGACGCTTCAACACATGTCGCGACAGAATAGTACATTGTTCGACCTGTTACTTGAAGGCGACTTTGAATCAGTTGTTAGGACATTGTTTGAACAACAACAACAACAACATCACCAACATCAACAACAGAGTGATCACAGCAGCAATAACAACAACAACAATAATAACAATGATAATCAAGATGATCTGCCACAAGATAGAGAACTATGTCTATCACTACTATTACAGATATCTATAACAGATGAACAGTTGCGTACTATGCTACATGAGAACACACCTAGTATGACACCTCACATGGCCAGCTCACTTGCACGTCTAACCGCCTACCAATGTCTGGACCTCAAGCCACTCTTCATCTTTGCCGAAGATGAACTACAACAATGGAAGAAGTTAGGTCATGTATGTTCATTCACTCATTCGTTCATTCGTTCATTCAATCATTCAATCATACTTACTAACTCATTCACGTATAGACTGACCAGATGGTATCATTCATACAGTCAACGCGCAATGTACAGCATGCATTCGAGAATGGTGACTGCGCGATGAAGTTGAAGCTGGTGCTCAGTGACTTGATTGCTTTGTTACACCATGCCGAGCATCAACATGAGTTACACATCATCAAGAAGACTACACAGATGGGCAGTGTTGACCTGGACACATTTGCATCGGGTCAAAGATCATACGAGTCCATCGTACTCGATCTGCCCATCTACCTCACCGAGCTCAGTTACATCCTGCCACTTATAGCTCATCTCTTTGGACATCTGTTGGACTTCAATGTAAGTTATGTTATGACGTCCACACCTCATCAACGCGTTACCGGTCACTCACTCATTCATTCATTCATTCAGGTCATACTTGGATCGATGCTGTTCCTCAAGCAAGCAGCGCACTTGGTTTACATCATGGCATTGAACAACCCGGTGGACTTTAAGGATATTGTGGACTCGGTTGTGTTGGCATCGATAGACTTGGTGGGCATGGATAGGATACGAATGGTGCTCTGCAAGTTGTGTCGACTGTCACCATTCGCTGCAACATACATTAGACAAAAGTTGGTCGAGCGCACACTACTACCGGACCTGGTACTCCACATCACCTCGAGATACATCCATGATGAAGTTGACTTTATCTGCAACATTATCACCAATCGACAGGAATACCTCTGGATCAAAGATCACCTTGCACAAAAGGAGACGCCAGCCTTCAACGAGATCAGGGAGACATTGTTATCCATGGTATGTTTGATCATGATCACTTGAGCGTACTCTGGCTAACATCCAATCATTCAAACATAGTTGGATAGCTCGACCAAGTCATCATCAGTGGAGGGCGCAGTTGATATCGATGTCAACTCAATCATAAGGGTGTATTGTGGCATGGGAGGAGTGTTGGGCATCAAGCTCAACCCAAACGAGGTGACACTTTCCATTGGATTACTCGAGAAGAACATGTCCTCCACTGGCAAAGACAACAGATCATTTCCAAAACTATTCCTTTGCTTCCTCCTCGCGGTTGAAGGTCTACTTCGCATTGTGCCACCAGTATGTTATTCCTGGATCGCATGTAAATCATTCCAATCACTCACACATTCAACATGACCCTCATACTTAGAGACGCGTAACAGAATGCTTTGATAACTTGTTGAAGGTGACATCATGCAATGATTTGATGTTGTTGATCGCGATATACTTCCACACGAGACAACTACAGAACATTGTGGCGACGGTCAAGACTATCCTGGGCTTCCGCCCATCGATCCATACAGAGAGTTTGAATCAAATTGGTGAATTGCTCACCAAGGATATATTCCCCGAGGCATTGGTCGCCATGAAGTCATCACTGTTGCCCTACGTTGACAACCTATCAAACAATCGCGATCAGCAAAACACGTCGATCATGTGCATCTACCATCTACTCAGCGAGCGAATCTTTGAAAAGTACGAGACTGACGTTGGTGCATGGATCTGGGCTCAGACCCTCAAGGCATCCACACCCGTCCACTACCTTCTCCCGTCCTGTCTCGACAAGCTTGTCAAAAAGTATGCATGTCCAAGATCCAGGATGGCCATGCCCACTGGCACGATCACTAACTCATCCATTCCATTCCAACACTCATACTAGCATCATTGAACCAACGATCACAACAAACAATCCATTGTTCTACATGAAGAGGATTGCTGAATGGACGATATCAAGTGTGTTTGCTACAAGTGCCAAGACCTCACAAGTTGTCCAAGTACTTGTTGTATACTATGCTCTACGCTACAACGACAGTGTAATGAAGCTAAAAGAGACATTGAAGGGCAAGACACCCAGTCTACTAGTCGAGTCAACACAGTGTAAGTCCATGGTCACACTCATTCGATCACTCATCACTCACTCCCTCCATCAATCAATCATAGTGAAAGAGTATTCAATCGAATTCCTCTCGAAGCTACCCATTCAGAAGTGCATCAACATCATTCAATCCAATCAAGCGGACTACTTCTTCATCATTCCACCATTCCTCTACCTCATCTCCTCTCAATTCCCTCAGTTCTTCAATGTTAGTCTACTCCTTGGCGAAGAGGAGAAGTTATCAAAGTTAGTATTTATGGGATGGACGCGACCCATGCGTGGCGTGCATGACTGACACTCATTCACTCAATCAATCACTCATTGATAGCTCAATCGATCAGTTCCAATTCATTCCTCAATTCAATCGTAGGGCCGTGTTGCCTAATGGTAAGAGCGACTTTAAGGAGCTTGTAAATATTTGTCAAAGGGCGGCGGAGCAACCGACCACCACTCATCTGTTGCTCAACTACCTTGGAACGCTGGCCGATGGCGAGCTCATTGTATATATATTCCCACTCATTCAACACTTGCTGCCCATACTGATTGAACAACGTGCCAATCCGCCCGTCGAGGGACTCATCGCACCGTTCGCCGAGCTTTGGAGCCGGGTGTTCCCCTTGGAGCAATCGGACATTGCACTTAAGACGATCAATGTTCTCACGACCACTAGTGCATCACCGAGTATACTGGTCGTCCAGTCGCAGTACAATCACACCGACATCATCTCTGACCCACTTCTAGTGTTCCGCGCGCATCCCACCGTCTTCAACTGCCCTCCACTCTTCAACATCCTTCTGCACATCCTATACTTCTACATGATGTCCTCCAAGAAGTACCTCCAGAACCAGATCCAGATCGCGCCAGTGGTATGTCCATCATCAACCAATCAATCAATCAATCATACTAACTCAATCATTCGATCAATCAACCAACAGGGAAGTGGCAAACAGGAAGAGATAACTACATTGATATTGACTCAAGAGAGCTCAATCATTCAGATACTTCTGGAACTTTGTGTTGTCAATAGGATAGGCGCCAAGGATGTACTGAACTCACATGTTGACAATGAAGTGGACTCTTTGGACGCGAATGATTCGAACACCAGCAACAGCAACAAGCTCAAGCGAACTCAAACACATGCATATACATCAGCGGACATTGAAGAGATACGTTGCAACATTTGTAACTTCATTCATCAACTGTTCATCGAGAAGCCATTGCTTGTTAAACTCATTCACTTCCAAGGCTACATGGCACAGCTGCTACCAATCACCGTGACTCACATACCTTCGATGCACATCTGCTTTGACTTCTTGCCCGAGTTGCTCAACCTGCCCAGCGTGGACAAGCAGGTGTTCTCCATCCAGCTCGTGGCATTCCTGGCCGAGAAGTATCCAATACCAAAGTCACTGCGCATCTGTCGCCAGGCACTGGGACGCATTGGATTCAATCTGCAACAGGCCAACAATGTTAATGTCAATGTCAATGTCAATGCCCAACCACCGCCACCATCACAGGCCATGATGATGGAGGACTTTGACAAGGTGTCATTCATCAGACAGACACTGCCCTCGATGACCAGGATTGCCAAGACCTATCCAGTGCTAGCTGAAGAGTGTCTACAGATATTGATCGATCAGTTGCCAGACAAACAGATCTATGCCAGTCAACATCAACATCAACAACAACATGATCCACAGCAACAACAACAACAGCAACAACTTGATATAACATCAATAGCTCAGACATCATCAATGACACGTTGGCTCAGTGTGATGGACAAGAGCGACATTCAAACAGAGCTTCATCAAGCCATCCAGATCATCATCAAGAATCTTACAAAGACTTAGCAGTACACGAACGTTTGATAAGTAATGATTTGCCTTGCCTGTTATTCATTCATTTGTTTTGTTTGATCGATTGATTGAAAGATGTCAACATTGAACAGCATATCACTATTGCTGTTGGGTCACATTGCTTCATATCTTGATGCAATGGACACTGTGTGTCTATTGCTCACCTGCACTAGACTCTACAAGATCAGACGACCATTGATCAGATCTGTCCCATTCATGTTGGGTCCACTCCGTAAACTGAACACATTCTTGGGACCTCCTTACCTATGTACCAAGGATGGCGACTATGATCAGACACGCATCTGGTGGAAATGATCATTGCCACCCATCTCATTGTTGGGAGACGAGCAAGATGATGGCGCACAAACACATCAACGAGGTAGTCTTCACGACCAAACACTCAGTATGTATGAGTCACGTGACTGAGAGTGATCGAGTGATCTGTCCGCGCGTTGCTCGACTAACCAACTCTAGTGCAGACGTGGAACATCTACCTTCTCTCAGCTCATACTCCAGCATTGGCAAGCTCAGATTCAAACACATTAAACTTCCTGCAGCCAATAGGTTGAGGGGTGCAACATCACTCCGAAGACTGGCAGTGGACTACAGTGTTCTCAATCAGTACTTCTACAAATGCCCTCAACAGATCCAACAACAGATACTCAACCTGGCTTACCTACAACCACTGCGCTCACTGACCAAGCTGGCACTGGAGCATTATAAAGGGTATTTGGTGCCATCGATCATCCCACCGAGCGTCACCAAACTCTATCTTTAGTTCTGTCCGATCGCTGTCGGCTCGATTCCATCAACTGTGACCAGTCTGTCAGTCTATCAACATCAGCATCCATTAATCGTTGGCATGTTCCCTGCGTCGTTGACCAAACTGACACTCATACGCCTCTTCAAACACATCACGCCTGGCATGATCCCCTCCTCTGTCACACACCTCTCATTCCTCTACGAGGACAGCGGTGGAAGCGGAGTTGGACAAACATCCACATTCGAACCTGGCAGCCTGCCCCCTGGCCTGCACTTTCTTGATCTCTTTTACTCACAGCCATTCCAAAGCGATGTCTTGCCAGGCTCCCTCAAACATCTTCGCATTCAACTTCCAACACATAATAGAGAGATGCTACCTCTTGCGGAGGAGGACTCACTCGTGCCAAGTTGGTTCCTTCCTCCATCACTCAAGCGTCTCACCATGAGCCACTACCAAACCTTTACGCCGCCAATGCTTCGGCCTGGTGTCATTCCCCAGTCAGTGACGTCGTTGGATTGTAGGATGAGTCTGTGCGATCAACAGTCAATGCCATCAACGCTAAGACACCTTAGCTATCTTCTCGAGCTGTCAGACACGAATGTCCAACTCTCGCTCATGACCTCGCTTCAATCGCTCATTCTTTCAAACCTCACTCCAGAGTTCACAATTCCGTTCAGATCACTTCCACCATCGTTGACATCATTGAAGCTCAGATTCTCACCGTACCTCAGAGTATGGGACATGACCACTGGGTTGGCCGACAGAATCCTTTGCAACCTTCCTCATTCTATCACCGACCTTGAAATGAACCCGCCATCATTTGTTTACGTCCCCAAGTCAGTCACCAGCCTCGCATTATGTACACATGCGCCTATTCAACCAGGAGCGTTGCCAAGCTCCCTGACATCATTGGTCTTATTTAAGGCAGATGCCAAATACACACTGTCTCCTGATCAACTTCCCGCGTCATTGACTGAACTCGCAGTGCACGACGCAGCAATACTTCAGTTACATACACCATACTCGACATTGATCAGGAATGTCAGGATAATGAATGGTCCTCCAACATTCCCAAGACAACTCGCACAAGTGTTTGCAGTTGGCACCAATATCGAGTATCATTACAAACAACAAGATACCAGAGTGTCACAGTTCTGGAGAATCATCGATCAATCATATGTCTCACCTCAAATTGTCGGTGGATTCCTCAACACATCAGTGGAGCCAGACTCGACGACTCCAAAAGACCACTAATCAGTGAAGTGGAGCAGTCTGTCAACTAATAAAGATTGTTAAGTGATCCAGAGAGGTGTCACTCAAACATGGGCTAGCAGGATTACCTGCCCTGCCCCTTACATACTGTATTGACTATTTAACAAATGTACATGTGGCGGTGATGCCCTCAGCTCATTTACAATTCGATTGTAGTGTGGAAGCACGTCTCCACAGTCCACGAACATTCCAAAAGACAAGTGCGAGTAAATCTGGAACTCTGCACTCAGCAACTCCTTCCTAGTGATTGATAACTTCTTCTCGATACTCTATAGATTGATTGGATATTTGAGTGAGTGAGCGAGCGAGTGACTGTGGATGCCATCCAATCAAACATACGTCAATAAGAGGCTTCAAAGTGATGGTCGCCTTGGGATCATTGAACTTGGACGCCAGGAGAAGACAGACGGCTGCGTATAGCTTGATGTTGAGTTTAGTGATGAAGCTCTTGATGATCAACTTCTCGATGGCGACAAATGAGAGCGCGAGGGTAGATAGCTCCAGGTCAGTGAGGATCGCCAGCTTCTTCAACTTGCGTTTCAGCTTGCGTATCTTGTATAGTGTGATGCCAGACCTGATCCAAGGATGCTTCTGTTGGAATTGCTCGTTGAGCTCCTCCTTGATCGCTGCCTTTTTGATGTGCGGGAAGATCGACACTGTGTAGGATTGGAGGTTCATCACTGTGCGATGCTTGCCTGTCTTGAGTTCAGAGTTGTCCAGGAATAGTGGATCGTACTTTAGTGGTATGCCAGACGAGTCTACTTCGTCCGGTGATACCACAACATAAGGAGTGACATAGACTGATGTCAAGAGGTGAGCGTACGACGTCTCCGACGACGATGACCTCCTGCTAAAGAAGCTAGACTCCTTCAGCTGTGTTCCAATGTGTGTGATGTGTTCGATGCTATGTCTGTGGAAGGTCCAGTAAGGGTTAATAAGTAAGTGCGAGGGCTAGGGTGAAGGTGAGGGCAAGGGCGAGGGTTGGTGACATACACAGGTTTATCGTGTGACTCTTTGGAAGTACTCTTGCCCTTGGACTTGTTGGGGTTCCTCGAGTCGCCACGAATCATTGAGAATACTGCCATTGGATGTCCTGATCCAGTTGTAAAGAATATCCTCTGATTGATTGATATATTATAGTTTGAATTGTACTCGGCACTATATATATATATTTGGTCAGTAAACAGCATGGATGGATGGATGATGATGACACTTACATGGTACTCTTCTTGGGCGTGACTGGTATGCGTAGGTGTGATTGACTAGTTGATGTGGAGAGTGATGATGAGGAATGCCCCAGTGGGGGCAACAGGAGATGACTTTGTAGTTGACCAGATGATGAGCTGGATGATGTGAGTAGTACACTCTCCAGTGATCTGTTACTCAACTTGATCATTGAGTTACTCAACAATGGACTGACATTGACTGATCCTCCACCACCTTGATTCTCACTCTTTACCGGTGAGTTGGTCGGTGCCAATGTTATTCCTGTTAGGAAGTTGATGGCCTCTTTCCTACATTTTGATTGATTGATGTAAGTGGATGGAATGATTCCAGTGATTATGGGATGGGACATACTTGACTTTCTGGCTCGAATAGTTGTTGATGAGATCGACAAAGAGTGGAAGTTGTTGTTCTGAGATGTTGGTGAATGTGGACTTGGAAGATGATAGGTTGGCAAGTTGGGGCACAGTCCCCAGATGGTCCCGCGGTATTGGTTCCTGGAAGAATCGATCAAACCTCATTATGAACTCATATGTTGAGTCTGATTTCTTGATCTTTGGTTCCTGGCACACTGTGGCCAATGCCACGATCGTTCCATTACCATCAGTGCCAGCCTTGTCCTTGTCCTTATCCTTGTCCTTGTCCTTTATAATTGAGAAGTAGAACTGATCACCTTGTTTCAGTAAGACATTGTTTTGTTTGGATTTGAGCTTGACCTGTGATCCAATGCCATTATCACATGACTTGTATGTACTATGGTTCAAATTGAATATCCAGGAGTTGTGATGATGTTGGCCAATCAATGGTGATTGTGATGATGGGTCGGCCTTCTTGACTGGTGATGCAAGGAGTGGTACAAACACTGATCGTTGAGGTGGTGATGATGGATGAGTCGTCGTTGTTGTCGTAGTCGTCGTGGAAGTCGTGGCAGTCGGGGCAGTCGTCTTTGGAATTGATGGTTGTGATAGTAATGGCAGTGGAAGTAGTTCATTCTCGCTCGATGTGGGTATCATTGGTTTCTTGAATGAATGTGGGCTGCTGGTGTTGGAGCCACTTCCAGTGGAGTTGTTGCCCTTTCGAGCTTGTGACGACGTTGGAAATGGTATTGATGAAAGGAAGGACAGGGCATTTTGACTCTTTTCCAGCTCTCCCCGTTGAATCATCATTTCATTGTTCAATGCTTAAATGATTGAACTAACTGATTGTTTGGCTGACTATTTGATTGATTGAGTATGTGGACTTAGCTTATATATGTATAATGTAATATATGTCTGTTGGTCTGAAAGTGTTTGATTGATTGATCAAAGTCATATGATAATATTGACCCGAATGTGATTGTGTGTGATTGAGGTGAGTGAGTGAATGAGTGGAAGTAAAACAAACACTTATGTTATTAGTAACAACAGTTAATAAGTATGAGAGAGATAGATATTAATTTAATTTATCAATGATATAACTTCTTCTTCATCCTACCTACCCCTTTTGCCAAAGCAACCCAATCAATCAAACACCCCCCACCTACAACACAGCACGATCACCCAATGAACTTGATCACAAACACACCACACCACATAGCCCCAACACTACCATTCATCCAAGATGAGTTGTGGGTTGTGTTGCGGACCACTACTCCACACACCACTCCTCCAACTTCATTCCTTTCATTCATTGATTGATTGCAAGGTTCAAAAAGGGTCGATGACTAACTGGGCAGGTCTCACTGCTTGTGATTGTTTGATTGGATAACGATGAGGCCCCGCCAACCTGCCCTTTGACGACCGCCTCCGCTCTGTCGCTTAAGATGATGTGCTGGTGGTTGGCAGGGCTGGTCGTTGCACTGTTGGACCCATGCAATCAAAGTGATAGACCAAAATGATGATGATCGTGCCAGTGCTAGGCCTCTTGAAATGGCGAGTCGTCTGGCATTGGACATCCAACAACTAGAAGCCCAAGTCGCCATTTTCCAAGTGATTGTCATTGAAGAATGCTGACCTCTTTCGTTTGCCAGTAGCAAAGTTGAACATTGGCGCATCTGGCGAAGTCCTATATTGTGTACATGGCGCCAAGAGTTAGTTGATTGATTGAATGATTGAACGATTGAATGATTGATCGACCATCATACCATTCAACACTATAACATGCATTTGCCATTACTGTGGACGTTGTCTTCCAGCTGAAACGTGTAATGGCAGGATATCCAAACACTTTGTCGCGATTGTCTATCAGCCACTTCTTGGTGACTGGGTCGCTGGGGTAGCCCGAGCCAAACTCGGTGCCAATGTCCACGCCTTCATAATCGTCGAATGATGTTGCCGCGATACGCAGGTCACGTATCACCTTGGCACAGATACTGGCCGCCGACACTATTGGGAACAGACTATCGGCCTTCTTTGACACGACCACTTTGCCAATCGATGGATAGGCCACCTTGATCATCGTCTGATACTTTAGAGGTGGACCCACCGTATCAACGTACAACTCTTGTACATTGTAGCCCTTCTCCAACACCTTGCCAACTAGACTCAATGCTGATTGATGAGAGATCACATTGAGTGACGTTGGATTCTTCAACAACATCAACTCTGACAAATGACTCGGTTCAATCACATCACTAACGAATCCCAACAACTTATCATTATCAACTATCTTCTGAAACAATCCTTCTCTTTGTTGTTCCGTTAACTTCTTTGAGTCTTTGATTGAATGAGTGCGAGGTTAGTGATGTTATTGATTGAGCATGTTTGATTGATTGATTGAATGATTGAATGTGATTGATTACCATCGAATTTATGTCTCTTTATAGTGTCGGCTTGTGATAGGGGACCAAAGGCAGCAGCGTAGACAAGTGGGCCTAGTACAGGGCCTCTACCAGCCTCGTCGATACCCATTATGAATGGTTGTGTTCTATCAACAGACTCATCCAAGTCACCAAATAATGGTGGATTACTCTTATCAACCAATGTTTGTTTCTTTGTATTATCCATACTATATATCTGTATCTATATTTGTATCTTTTATCTTTGAATAATAACTAGATTGGCGCTCTTTCTTCAAAGTTTGTTTGAAATGATTTGAAAGTTCGAATTCTTGATTTGACACCTAAAGTGGTAAATTTCCAAAAATAGAAAGGGCGTTACTAATCTCTTTGTCATCATCTGTCTCTCTTTTATTCATTTACAAAATCGACAAGTATTGTTTATTATTTTCTTGATATTATTATCTCTTTGAACAAATAAGTTATAACTTATACAAATGGAAGATAAAGTATGTATTATAACAGGTAAGTAATAAATGAATAAATGATTGTTTTATTTAGAGTGATTTATAGAATGAATGATTGATTAATTGAATGGAATGAATTAAAATAGGTGCAAATGAAGGTATTGGAAGGGAGACTGCCAAGAGGATGGCTGCTCACAACATGCGTGTAATATTGGCTTGCAGAAACATTGAGAAGGCTGAAGTTGCCAAACAAATGATCATTGATGAGACCAACAATGATAAGATTCAATGTATGAAACTGGACCTCAATTCATTAGACGTATGTATCTTGGATACTTATAAGTATATATATATATACTTGTATTAATATTTGTTCGTCATCATGTATAGTCGGTCAGAGAATTCGTCCAAAACTTCAAGAACATGAACTTGCCATTGAACTACTTGATAAACAATGCTGGAAAGTATGGTGGACCTTATGAACTGACAGAGGATGGCTTTGAGTCACAGTTTGGTGTCAATCATTTGGGTCCATTCTTGTTGACAAACTTGTTGCTCAGTACATTGGAAGCGAGTGACAATCCAAGGATAGTGATCCTGACCTCCCGTCTTCACTTCCATGCCAAGCTCGACCTTGACCGTCTATCAGTCGACCCAAAGGACTATGGCGCCAAATCTGCCTACTCCCAATCAAAGTTATGCAACATGCTCTTTACCAATGAGCTACAGAGACGACTTGATGCCAAGGGTTCAAAGATCGTGGTCAACGCAATGCATCCTGGACTCGTGCTCACAAACATTCTCCACAGCTATCCCTTCCTCAACAAATATGTAATCCCATTGTTCTCATTCATGTTCACCAAGGTTACTGTGAGTGCTGAGGTATCCGAGGCTTTGGCCCTGGGTACCGCGCCACATCTCCAAGGTGTCAAGGGCAAGTTCTTCAACATCAAAGAGGAGCAACCGTCCAGCCCCTTCTCACGCGATCCAGAGAATGCTCGACAAGTCTGGGAGACCTCTTGTGAGATGGTCAAGATACCAGTCGACATCCAACTATAAACCATCACTCGATACTTGATTACTCGATCAATCAATCAATCAATGTGTGGTCTTTACTCCTTCGATCTTGATGATAATGATGGTGATGGCCACGTGTAGCCACTAGCGTGAATATGTATGAATGAATGAGCGAATGACTTAAAATTCGTCATCATTGTCATCGTTGTTGTTGTTGCTGACATCACCTTGTTGAATGGGTGATGGAAGTGTTGGCGATGACCATCTATCTGGCAGTTCAAAGTCAAGTTCCTCCTGCTTCTTTGGCTCAACCTTGAATGGCTGATGTAATACATGATACAAACTATTCACCTTCTTTGGTCCAAGACCAGGACACAATCCAATCGCTTCCTTATTTGATGTGAACATCCTCTTCACGCTCTAATATGATGGATTGAGTGAGTGAATGGAATGATTCCAGCCCAAGGCTAGGAGTACTTACACCAAATGCTGACACTAGGGTGGTGGCATCAGTCTTGTTGATGCCACGGATAGTGGTCAGGGCATCTTGGATATCGGTCTTGTCCAGACTTGATTGTTTAGTCTTGATGACGTCTGGCGTCTTGTTGTCAAAGGTCTTGAGTGATTCAATGTATCTCGCTGCCTCGGCATTGTTGAAAGCGACGAATAGTACGAGATCCAGTTGCATTGACACGCAGGACAGCTCCTCCAACAGCGCCACGCAGTCGTCAATGTCAATCACAACGACCAATGAGCGCAGCTCAAAATGGCTGGGCAGGGAACGTGCGCGGGTTTCCAGATGCTGCGGCCGTAGTCGATAATCCTTCAGCGACGAGTATAAACAACAAGAGTCGGTACCAATCACGACATCGGGTTTGATCCACTTGGCGTACTCCCACCGCAGTCTTGATGAGAAGTGGCCTGGTATGCCTGTGATCTTCATGGTCTCTTCATTAACCTGTACTATTCTATTGACCATCGTTGGGGCAGTAGTTGCGAGGCTCAAGCCTGAGCTGGAGTTTGAGTTTGAGTTTAAGAATGAAAGATTGGGAAGTGAGAGAGTGATGCGTTGACCAGGTGTTGTTGGCAATGTGAGCGTTGGCTTGAGTGATCCAGTCGTTGGAAGTTTCAATGATAGTGTTTGTGGACCATTCAATGTCGGTCGAAGTGTGAGCGTCCGAGGACCTAATGTCGTGGCTGTCGTCAAAGACGTTGTCGTCGACAAACTCAATGATGTCGTTTGTTTTGGAGTCAATGATATCTTGGGCTGGACATATCCAACTGTCTCATTGTTATTATTGTCATTATTATTGTCATCCAATGTTGTTGATGAAGTTGGTGATGATGTTATCGCAGCCTTTGGTTTCAAAATCCTTGACGAACTAAAGAATGATGATGTTGATGTTGTTGATGTTGATGTAGTTGATGATGTAGTTGGCCTTGATGTTGATGTTGTTGATGTTGTTGATGTTGTTGATGATGATGATGTAGTTTGAGGAGTTGATTGATTCAAGAGTCGTTCTACATCTTGTTTCTGTTTCTCTTCTTTCTCCTTTATCTCATCTATAGTTGGAGGTTTTATCAAAGTATTATCAATCTTTGGTTTACCCTCATCAAAAGCATCTCCAAATCCATCATCATCATCTGGAATGAAGAACTTCTTTCCCGTTGACATCTATATCTCTCTCTCTATCTCTTTATCTCTTTCTTTGATTGAATGATGTTCAAGATTGAGTCAAAAGTCATAGAAACACCACTTTTTGCAATTCAAAACAATTCATGAATGAAACTTTCATTCATTCATTCGTTCGTCTTTTGTCATTCATTCAAACAATAAGTTATATATATCATCATATAATAAGTAATATATATATATATATACATATGGGAAAGAATACCAATATAAACTATAAAAAGAAACCAAAGGAGGTTATTAAGAAGGAACAAGCACAAAAAGAGAAAGAACAAGAACTAAAGATACAGGCTCATCTCAAACTTGATGTGATAGAACAGAACAAGAAGGAGAAGGAGAGGGAGGCAAAGGAGAAGAAGGCAAAGGATAAGAAGAAGAAGGCAAAGAAGAAAGCAAAGGATAAGAAGACAAAAGATGTAAAGGGTGAGCCCTCAAAGGATGATGTTGAGGAAGAGGATGACGATGATGAGTACAACATCGAAAAGATAAAGTCAGAGTTTGATTCAGATTCAGAGGAAGAAGATCATGATGATGATGATGAAGTAGTGGATGAGGGATCAAGGATAAAGGTCAAGTTCAATGATGATAGTGTACCACATCTTGAGGAGGATGATGATGATGAAGAGTACGTCCCTTATGATCAGATTCGTGATGGTCATGTTGTCTTTGATCAAGAAGACGACGACGATGGAGGTCAGGATGTATCAAACATGTTGGACACAAAGTTGTTGCGCGAGACTCTGCCCATGCATATAAAGGACAGATTCCACACTGGTCAGTACACGCCACATTTGTTCAGAGTCAAGGACAAGGCCGGTAACTTGCTTCGCGACAACCTGTCGATCGCTGCGGCCACCAACCCATCGGACTTCACACCGTTTGTGAGTCAGTTGATGAACCCCGCGCCGGTCTACCCGAGCTACTTCCCGCCAAACTTTGCCAACATGGCGGTGGAGGGCACCGCCGCGTCATTCGAGCCCCTGGTCAAACAACCCAACTCAATCACTCTGGCGCCAATCGGTCGTCGCGCATTCCCCTTAATGGTCAACATCCAGATCTCGCCCCTCTGGTTCGAGGAGCTGCGTCCGCCCATCAACACCTCGCTGCGCCACTTGCTCACGAGCGAGAAGATGCCTGTTGACGTGGTCGACCGTCTCTGTCAGGAGGTTGAGAGCGATGTGCCTGCGCTCGACAAGTCATTGGTGCCCGTACGACGCGACACTGATCAATTGCGAGGATATGGCAACACGATGGTAATGGTCAGGACTAAGCTGCTGCTCATTGCCACTGGACCAAATATGAATGTATTCTCTGGCATAACAATTGGAAGGGGCAAGAGGAAGCTTCCTACCAAGTACGATCACAAGTGGCATGCCTTAATCAGATATGACAAGCAGCAACAGCCAATCCTCGACATCAAGCTAGTCCAATACTCTCTTCGTAAGTCAACCCGCATATTCCCATTATTCGGAATCATTCCAAATCATTCATTCAGTCAATCACTCAAACAATCATTCGATCAATCACTTCCTGGAATCATTCATTCAGTCAATCACTCAATAATTCAATCAAATCCATCATTCCAAATCACTCGAGACCATTCCAATCAAACTATCACTCATTCCAATCATTCAATCAATCACTTCCCGGAATCATTCCAATCACTCCACACCTATTCAATCACTCAATCATTCAATCCGTCACTGTCCATCAATCATTCCTGGGATCATTCCAATCACTCAATAACTCTTATTAACATAACGCCAACCCGTGATACACAATACAGGACTCTATTTGGTGTACTTCAGAACAACATACTCATTGTTCTTTTTCTATTTACATGTGTTTGGAGACAAGTATAGGAACTTCTCTCTGGAAGAGATCAAGAAAGCGACATTCAGACAAAAGATTATGGATGCAACAGTGCCACGCACTTCAATGGGCTTGGCTAATGTGCTGCTGGAGGATGGAACGCTAATGTCATTCAACTTTATATCTCCCGTGGATGAGTCTGCTGTCGATGGACACGGCGACTCCCTCCGCATCATCCACTCCTTTGCTCCCGACTATCCCTCATTCAAATGCCCTGCATGGGCCATGCTGGCACGTCAGCCAATCGTGGGCAACTCACAATACATCTTATCTCCGAGCGAGTTGGTCGAACTTCAGCTGGACCCGGTCACGGGGGTGCCGCGCACACGAGTGCTGCTACGCGCCGAGACATATGGCCCGCTGACAGGCATCTACTCAGATGCCAACTACTTCACATTTGTCACGACGACCAAGCGCGCCATGATGTTTGACAATCGAACGTTTGATCGGCCACTCCTCGTTTGGTCGTTCGTCAAGCCATTGGAGGGGCCCGTGACCATCCACGTGCCCATCATCGAGTACCTCAGCAACATCAAGCTCCTCCTGGTCAAGAGCAATCTGACGGGCCTGGTCTACGTGCTCCAGTACCGCATGGATGTGTTCCCTCGCCCGCTCCAGATCGCCCCCATTCACAAGATGTCCACAATCAACATGGCCACGAGCACAAACACGAGCAGCAAGCGACCGTTCTCAATGAGCTACAGACACCACGCCACTATCCAGAACTTCCTGGACCGACCATTCACACACCTGATCAACGGTGACGAGCCGGCCAACCTGTACAGCACGCGTCTGCCCGTGGCGTGCGGTGCGCCCTTCATGTGCATGCCCGTGTACGGCTCGGAGAAGCACTCGATCACCCTGCCCTTTCCGCCCTTCCCCGAGGAGCCGCTCACCGGCCTGGTCTACATCCAGACCAACAACAACTTCTTCACATTGCTCCAGATGAGCAGGATTGGCGACGTCACATCAACTCGCTACTCACTCAAATACAAGCACGACCCACTTGATGGACAGGACAAGTTTGATCGACACTCACACCGAAAGATCCAGGCCAGTATATACCGCACGCCACTTCAAATCGAGTTCCTGCGGCGTTTCATTGAACAACGAAACTATACCAACTACTGTGATGTTGTTAGAGAGTTTGGAAGCACAATCATGCTCAGACAAATGCCCAAGTACCTCAACAGTATGTACTTGGACCACGACTATGTTGGCTGGCTGGCTGGTTAACATGCAGACCCTTCATCACTTGAACTAACCCAATCACTCAATCAATCAACCAATCAAATAGTGCGCTCTTCATTGCCATTCAAGTTGGAGCAGTTTGAGAATCATCCAAACAAGTTGTTCTCGGCAATCATTGAACTACTGAAGTTGAGTGGACCTATGACGATGGGCGACATTATGGAGAGGTTGGGCGAACACTTTACTGAGGAACAGATAAAGAATACTTTGACACGACACTCCCGACCTGGCACACTCAATACCACGGCACAGAAGCATCACTCGACACTGGGCCTCTATCATATCAAACTGAAACCGCACGCCACCCTCACCAAGCTGGACGAGCTGGTAGTCGGCATCGACGATCCACTGATCGAACTCAACACCAACGTCTACTCGCACCAACAGCACTTCTTTGGCGATGTGGACGAGCTCGTTGGCAACAAGGTACTCGTGCAAAAGGCACAGCGCGTGCACCAGTTTAACAGGCTGTCCAAGCATGAGATCGAGGTGTACCAGGTGAACGAAACACTCTACACCAAGCCACAACTGGAGCGATACTTGACGCGCGAGGCCAAGCTAGAGGAGCAGCGGGTCAAGATCGCCGAGCACAAGAAGAAGATGGAGTTGATGACCGGCAAGCGACAGAGGGCCAAGAAGCCCGTCGTCAACCGCACGTTCAAAGTGCAGACGGCGCCCTTTGAGCCAGATGCGTGGTATCAGGAGTGGATCAATGATGCCCACAAATACGAGGAGGATCACGATGACGAACACAATATATCAACGATGCTCCCGCCTACCTCACTGCCGACAACGACGGGCAAGGCCAACCGAGATGCATTCAGGATGCCCATGAGCCAGACAACCATGTCACAGCCAGTCTACTCTCGTAGATACAACGATGACGACGATGATGATGATCTCTATGGAGGAGGAGATAGCAGTGATGATTAATCCAATCAATCAATCAATCAATCAATCAGCCAATCACCATTTGGTTTCTTTCCACTGGACTGGAACTACTTCTATCCAATCAATCGATCAGCAATCATTCATTCCAGGGTGTTAGGAACCGAACACTTGGGTGGGTGTCCATCTCAACACAAGTTGATCAATCACTTAAGTGATAAACTGGTCATTGATATCAATGACAATTACAAATCGGGATACACACGTGCGGGAAACTCAAGTAGCATCGAGATCACCGAACGATCACTTTCAAATAAATTGTTTTAAGGGTTACAAAAGTACGTCGACGTTTCGACCACCCCGTATTCCGAGGCCTCGATCACTTAATTGTGTGACGTTTGAGGCAAAGATCACTTATCAAGTCAGAATCAAAACCCATTTTCTACTAGATATAATTGCAAATGATGACCAAAGATCAACAATCAGCTCAAACGATATTCTGATCATTTCTTCGCTCATACTCATTCTGATCACTCATTCATTTATTCAATCCCTCGAATCAAATAATAATAATGGCGTAAGTATTTGATCGTACAACATACCCTCCCCCATCACATCCCCTGGAATCATTCCAATCACTCAACCACCCCACCACCCATCCACTCACTCACTAACTCTTTCCCAATCAATCAAACTTTAGTTGTTGTGGATGCGCATCAAAGATCAAGAGGTTGTTGTTCTTCCTCTATGCAATGTCAATGTTGGCCAACTTTGCAACATCGATATCATTCTTGATCACATTGTATACTTATCCACACAGGGATGAGCTGGACGATGATGGAAAGAGGTATCTCAAGATTACTCAGATACTGAGTACGGTTGGTCTGGGCTTTGACACTGCCACACAAATATTCTGTCTCGTCAAGTCTGGCTTCCACTGTTGCTCGGTCATTGTGGCGCCAGCCGTATCACTATCGTGCAATAAGAAGTGGAAGGAATTGAATGAGCAACGTGGATCATGGCCAGTGTTCAAACTCAAGATATGGAACATGTTCACACACAATGTACTATTGTTGGCGGCCACTGCCTTCTACCTTCGTACGATGCGTGACGTTGTACCAGTCTCCCAAAGGATATCAGTCTTTTTCAAGATCGTTGCACTCCTAATCTCCATGGGTATATTCTTCTTTATCGAATTACCACTTAAGTGTTGTGTTCACAAGGTATGTCAAGTACCTGGAATGATTCCAGCCCCAGCCCAACCCCCCACTCACACAATCAATCAATCAATCAAACAATCAAATAGACTGGAAAGGTTATTGATAAGAACAAGGATAAGATTGAGGCCAAGAAGGAGAAGATTAAGAATAAGGCAAAGGATAAGATTAAGTCTTTGAAGGATAGGTCAAAGAAGGATGATAACAAACAGCCAACTGATGTTGAGATGGAGGTTAGATCATCTCCACCTGATACAAATGATGCTGTTTAAACATCTCTTTGGAAATAAATATTGTTTAAGTATCTTGGCGAGGGTTAGGGCAAGGTCGAGGGCAAGTTCAAGGGCGAGGGTTAGGGTTGCACTCCAAAATTAAAACAAAGTGATCAATCAATCTAAATAACAAACAATCAAACAAACAAATAGTATAACAATATGGATACAGATAGACTGACAGATTGCTTCTTAAGTATCATCAGGAATAGATACTTGGTGAACTTGATACTTGGCAATGTACAATCGGGCAACATTTGGAACAAACGATATAGGTCACTGAGGATGGCCACAGACATAATCACATTTGGTCGTTTCCCTTTGTTAAAGTACCGATTGCAACGTGACGATCCCATCGACTTCCTCTTTGAAGACATACAGGACATATTTGCACAGTGTCGCGACACCTCCCTCTTCACACTACTCTGTCGCCGCTATTGGGATCACGTTGAAGCTGCCGGCCCCTTCACATTGCTACTCAGATGCGCAGCGGAGCAAGGCAATCTGTGCGCAGTCAAGTTCCTCTTGGGGTTGGCCTACGACACTGAAGATGGCGCAACGACCCTGTCTCCGTCCCTATCCCATCATCATGTGTTGCCCACACCCTCCGATTTAGCCAAGGCACTGGACTTGGCCGTTCAGTTTGGCCACATGAATGTGGTGATGGAGCTTCATCGGAGATACACACAACTTACTGGCGCGCTGGTCTACACTCTCACTAAACTGCCGAACACTACACAGGCGATGCTTGAGACGTTGGAGTTTGCACGTCGACAGAGTCTACAGTTCGACATTGATGATGAGGAGACGCTTGTTGACGTGTTGCTATGGGCCGATCGTCAACTCGCCGATCACTTCTTGAACAAGACACACTTCAACATCAAACTGCTTGTTGCACTGCTGAGGCGAATGTATGCTGGCGACTCTGCCCTGCGTGGACATGATCATCGCAGTCGAACCAAAGGCAGCCTACAATCACACTTCAACACGATCTTCTACATCATGGCTCACATTGAGTTTGATAAATTCAAGCCAAACGACTTCCAACAAGCAGTCAACATTGTTTACTCGTACGACACGATCACAGACATCAGCAACAATGGCGGTAGCAGTACTGAGGAGGACTACTTCAGTGCGGTCAAGCTGATACATCGCCTGCTCTTCCACCATCCGTACAACATTGGCGAGCAGCTTCAATTGGCCAAACATGCGTGGGACCATGCACTGCCGCTGTACCATGCCATTCGCACGGGCAACGTGCAGCTTATACATTATGTGGCGGAATCAATACTCACGGCCAAGCAGGATGAGCTACGCCAGCACCTGCTCTACCAGCCACTCATTGACATTGACTTTAGGGCTGATGTAGTGGAGGCTTTGATGTCTGCACGTCTGATCAACGCAGACTCTTTGTACAGCATGATGTTTGCCGTTTGCAAGAGCGGACGGCCAAGCACGATCAAGGGTTTCCTGGCCAATCTAAGGCGTCACACCAAACAATTCGATCACGTGTCGATATTCAATCAAATGGCGCGCACTGGATGTATCAAGGAGGAGTCGATCGATGCCATTAGGCATCTCCTAGAGGACATCCACAAGCAACAACAACAACAGCAACAACCAAATATTGTCTCTGGCGACCCATTCGCATCACCTCCAACTACCTCAACTCCGCCACAGATCATCAGACGCGACGTGGTAACAGAGGCATTGACATGTGGAAGCGTGGAGCTGGCAAAGTTGTTATTGGTGGATATGAAGCTACAGGTCAACACGAGCGATCTGATTTCAAGGCTGGCTAAACATGGCCATTTGCATTGCATACGCTACGTCCTGTCGCTGTTCAACAGCAGTGATTGGTCGACATTGGTATCAACACCACAACTGACCAATGCGGTATTGTTTGGTAACCCGGCCATCATTGACCTCCTCATCGGATGTACTTCAGCCAAGCTTGAGCTGTCGAGCCTTGCGTTCTTTGTCGGACGCAGTGGCCGCATCGATCTGTACCGGAAGCTCTGCCACAGCCAGCTGCCCGCTGGCGTGCCATCTCAGCTTGTCAACCACAATGCAATGAGCGGTGCTTGCTACGGCGGCGACCATGTGTTCCTGGACTACCTGCTCAATCACACAGACTATCGACTCAACACAAACTTCCAGAACATCACTGATGCACTGTACAATGCTGCGCTTCGTGGTCACGTCCATATGTTGCCACCACTCTTTGATCTCATTGGACAGCTTAGCACGGACTCTGCTGAGAAGCTACCACATGAGATTCACAAGACCGTGATGACCTGCGTGCAGAATGATCGCACCAACGCAGTTCGCACACTCGTCTCGGAGATGATTGGCGAGCATCGTATACTTGTTGACAACCTCACAGAGTACCTGCGTATGGCACTGGACTATGAGAACATGCTGCTCATCAAGTACTTCCTGGAGCTGGTGCGACAGTACCAAGTGGCCATCTCTAGCAGCCTCCTCAAGCTATCATACAAGGGCGCCAATGCAAATGTCTTGACATTGTTGGAGGAGCTAAACATAAACATATCTGACACTGCTACAGTTGCTGATGTTGTTCAATCTCAGTTGCTGTAGCCATGTATACACTGTACATTCATTCAATCAAACAATGTTGTTGTGGTTGTTAAATAGGATTGGGTTTATTATTATCTTTGTTGTACTACTTGCGATTGAATGGAAGGAGATTGGGTGTGAACAGTCATGTCTGGTAGAGACACGTCCATATGGCAAGTAGTTTGTGTGATGTTTGGTAAGCACGCTAACCTTTTAACGGCTTCTGATGTAGTCACGGAGACCAAAGTTGGCGGTCTCACCTCTGTTTCTCTGGATGTTGGTCATACGGAGAACCTTGAACAAGACTCCAGCAATCAAGATTGAGTTGACAACCCAGAAGAACAGGGAAACAACATTGAGGGCACCAACAGCCTTGTGGTGGTTGTGGAAGAGACTGATCATCCAGATAAGACCGCTATATTATTGGAAAATGTAGAATACATTGATTGTTAGAACATGAGATGGTGGATGAGAGAGGAGAGTGGAATATATGATACTTACTGCATACCAGAGTACTTGAAACCGAGAGCAAAGAAGAGAGAGAAGAGGAAGAGTCCAACGTATCCCATGATGAAGGCATAGTTGGCCTTGGGCTTTCCGTTTCTGGCGGCTCTGTACAGTCTTCTTGTGAGGAAGTAGGCAATGGGGACACCGACCAACAGGTAGAAGAGGGACAGGAAGAAGTCAGCGACCTGACTGTAAATGATGGCTGCAATACCACACACAAAGTTCCAAACCAAACTGAGGCAAGTCCAGCCAAAGACACCCATGGCAAACTTGGCCAACTTCTGGTTGGCGATGGGGATGTCCTCAGAGATGTTGACCGAGGGCATGAAACCGCGGCCAGTGGCGGGGGCGGCAGCAGAAGCGCTGTTGTTGAAGCCAGTGCCTTGTGACTGGACATTGAGATTCCTCTCTCGTGCTCTCAACTCCTCGTCCCAACGGAGGAGGTTCTGCTCCTTCTCATAAAGAGCTTGCGAGTCGATGCCGCGTGGCGCCGTGCTCGCATGGCTCGTTGGGAACTCTGATGATCTCTGGATTGGCGAATTTAAGTTGGACATTATTATTAATAAATAATGTTTTTGTTTTTGTTGTTATGTTATATACAAATGAATAAATAAATAAATAAATAAATAAATAGATTATGTGATAGATAAAAAGACTCTCTCTTTCTTTATCTTTATCTTTATCTGTTTGGATTATATTATAATATCAAGTTATGAAATAGAGTAGTCTGGCAAATGTATATCCGATGCCTTCACTCCACATCCACTCCGCACTACACCTCGAGATCTGTTCGATACCATTGAAGTAAGTCAAGTTCATACGTACATATATCCTTTTATGTCTTCTTTGTGTGTTTCTCTGTGTGTGTTGTGGTGAATGTGTGTATGTATTATCTGTGTTGTGCTGACCATCCATTCAAACACACACCACACACATAGACATTCACACACACTTGCAATGACGTAGGATGTCTTACTTAGAAGTAGTTGAGTTCAGTCAGTGTGAAAGACAGACCTGTACGCATGACTTATTGTGTTGGACTCATTCTCTTTCTTTCCACCATCCACACTCATTCATACACATACACATACTCACATGTACACGCACGCGTCATTGAGTCTAGGAAGTGAAATGGAATGAGATGACAAGGACTCCTTTGGAACAAGCATTGCAAGGTTTAGATCTAAACCACCTTGATGACGAGTAAGTCATGACTTACCTTACCAATAATAATATCTTAAGCCTAGAACTAACTCTGGAAGGAAACTAGTCACTTGACTGACTGAGTTTGCAAATATATGATGAATTGAGTCATAAGTAATAAGGTGATAGACGGTCAACGTTATTCTTATTATTATTAGTATTATCTGATTGTTTGATTGAATTTATGATGAAGTTTCAAAAACTGTAAAAATTTGGTCAGTTGACAAAAAACGAACAAAGTTTTAAAATTGTTGGATGAGGTTTCATTGCACCATTCTGACCTGAAAAGGAAATTGATGGAGGATGAGAGTCATCCTTTTCCCAAGTTGTAATGGGACGTCCCTGCCCAGCCCCTCCTCCAACTCAAATCTATCTTTCTATCCAAAGACCTTCGGTCTCTCTCACAGACTCAACTCAATAACAAAGAATCCAAATTTCGATCAGTTGTTGGTATTCACATTCATTCATTATCATACATTCTTTATCATTCATCGCGAATAAGTAATAGATACAGATAATCATTCATTCATTCATCGTGAATCATTCAATCTTTGACTCATAACCCCACACAAAGTCAAACGCACTCACACTCTCAAAGGATCGTTCAATTTCCCATTCAACCTCAATCCTTTGAAAGGATATTACTATAACATATAACATATAAATAATAACTAGTAACAGATAGAGATAAAGATATAGATAATAGATAGTAAAGAGATAGAAAGAATGAGCAGTGTATTCAAAAATCAGAATATATCGAAATTGATGATGATTAAACATAATCATCCATTGGAGCTATTGGACTTGCCAGATGATATATTGTTGTACATCTTTTCATACCTCGATGAACAGTCGTTGACACGCGTCAGTCAGATATCAAACTTCTTCAACTCTATATCGTCCAATCATAATATATGGAAGGAATTGTTCCGCGTCAAGTGGGGCCCGATGTTCCCCCTGGTGCCCGTCTGCACGATCAACTGCTGCCACAAGTACTTCTCGGACCCCTACGCCAACCTGGAGCCGATCAACATGCTCTTCTCGCTCGCCTTTTACAAGTCGCTGATGCTGCCCGCCGAGCTCCTGGCCATCGTCACGTCGTCCTACAGCTTCAAACTGATGTTCAAGTTCCGCAAGCTGCTGTTCTCCTACTATACTCCCCTGCTCAACGCGGGTCTCAAGCTGATGCAAGACACGCTAGCCATTGGCGCCGACAGCTGGCAGCCTATTAACGACTCTCTGGCGCGCCCTAGCGTCGCGCGCGTGCCCAACAGCTTCAACTCGCTCATCGACAAGACGGTGTTGCCGAACCGCACGATCGCCGTGCTGCACGAGCAGACGCTGGTCGAGCGCACCACCACCACCTACTGCATCCGTATCACACGTCTGATCCCAACGCGCATCCTCAAGAAGATGCTGGCGCTGATCATCGACTACGAGAAGATCCCCCTGTGGGACGTAGCCCTGCGACATTGCACGGGTATGGTCATCAAGAGCCCCGAGACCAATCAGAAGGCGCAGATTGTTGACGAACCACCCATCAAGAAGGTCGACCTGCTGCACAAGCAGATCATGGGCAACCTGTACATGACATACGCTCGCATGGTCTACACCAACTCGACGGCCAACGAGCACTTCCTTATGAATCAATCGACAAATGGTGTCAACGACATCTACACAAGCAGCACAACTACCACCGCCGCCACCAACAACACCAACAGTAACATTGCCAATATCAACAACAACAACTTCAACAATAACAACATAATTAAGGCCAGTCTGAGCAACAATGGCATTATCAACGCGATGGAGGTGATCAAGAACAAATTGGAGCAGCAGCAGTTGAAGCTGCCAGCCATGCCATCACCACACGAGCATGATGATGAGGACGACGAGTACGACGACGACGAATCATACACCGACTCATCGGACGACGATGACGACACGACCGACGATGTTGCCGATCATGAGGACGAGGCCCATGAGGAGGACCGTGCCCCATCCAAGCGAATGCGACGCGTTGACCACAACGCCCACACCGAAGTGCGTCTAAAGGAGCCAATCTACGTCGTACAGCACAACATACCATTCCATGTAAAGGGTATGAACAACCACTTGATAGACAAAGGTAAGTTCGACGATGGAGCACTACTCCCCTGTTTGATTGATCGATTGGATACTAACGTCATTCCTTCCGGCATGACTACAGAGGTACAACCATTCCAACTGGATTGCTTTGGCAGCGGTTTCTTGTTTGAGCCTGTGGATGAGAGTGTCAGCAGCTCGCCCGATGGCCAGCAGGAGGTCAAGCTGACATATCTGCTGCAGTTGATAAAGTCGGAATGGATGGAGGACGAGGCACAGGAGTTGCTAGATGATCTGGCCATCTCCAGGAGTCGATCACTCGCCGCACTCATTTCACATGCCTACCAACTTTCCAGACAGTAGTTGCGCCCGGGCTGCTTGCTTAATTACCAAACAGAACAGACAGACAAACAGAACAGCGAGCTGTACAGCTAGCGCCAAGTGCACTTGGATGTATTCATAACATAAACATCACCGTTAACTCATTTCATTCATTCAAATCAATCTTGTTGTCAACTCTTGTACTTTTGTGTCCGTGTTGTATGTCGCCTGGCGTCGTCGCGTCGACATTCAATCAATCAATAATGTATTGCTGAGGTTTATTGGCCAAGTAGTAGACCTTAGTCTGGTGCAACCTCATGTGATGCGTTGCCTTTGCTGTTGGAGTTGCCATTGAGATTGAGTATGTTGTTGTTGAGAGCACTGATGATGTCTTGGCTGGAGGGATTGTGGATGAATTCTTGCTGCGATCCGAGCATATTTACAGGTAGCGAGACTGAGATGGCCTGCTTGACGAACGTCTTTAGGTAGTTGACCTGCTTGCGCATTCGATCGTTCTCCTCGGTGAGCTTGTCCACTTTGGCCGTGACATTGTCGTTGTTGGACTGCAACGAGTTGGCCTTGATTTCGAGATTGGTGATGTACTCCTTCTGGCGCTGTCTAAACAGCTGTGCGGCCTCTCTGTTCTTGAGCAGTCGCTTCTTCTTGCGACTGGTGTTGTCGCCGTCGTCGTCATCGTCGTCGTCGTCAAAGTCGCCGTCGCCATCGCTGTGGTCGTCATCGTAGTGGTCGTCATCACTATGGTCATCGTCGTCATCGTCGTCATTATGATGTGTAACTACTGGCGTGGCCTTCTTTGCTCTCTTTGTCGACGAGGCTGCTGCGGCGGCGGTCGTCTTCTTTGTGCTGGCTCTTCTTGTCGTCTTCTTTGGTGGTTGTAATGGTCTACTTGACAACTCTACATCAATACCAAACTCTGCTAATTTATCTTTCTGTTTCTTATATTTCCTTGTTGGTTGTCTTTGTGGTTGTTGTTGTTGTTGTTGTTGTTGTAGCATTTGTTGTTGTTGTTGTTGTTGTATATTATTAACATCACCATTGAGGTGTTGTTGTTGTTGTTGTAACATATGATTCATATCTCTTATAAGTGTGTCTCTATCTCTATCTCTATCTATCTTTGGTATAAGATTCTTTATTTGTTTGGTTGATTGTTTGATTGATTGTTTGTTTGAATTGATTGATCAAGCAAATATTGTTTATATTATTACTTTACATCGAATATATATATGTATCTCTAAACAACAACAACATATAATATAAATGTTATTATTAATTATTATTATTATGATGTAACAGGTGAAAGAATGAGACAAACTAATTATCTTTTTCGATTATCTGAGACCCACATACACACACACACACACAGATTATCTCATCTGTTTGTGAACCAAAGTATTTAATTTAATTTGTGAGGTTGTAAGTTTTGGAGTTTGACTCTCCACACCCACCCTAGAGACCTCTCTCAGGGCATCGCATTATTCTCATCGGACAGACACACACACACACCAAGGGTCAAGTTCACTCTCATTCACTGTTGTTTATTATTACTTATAAGTAGTACATGCACAGTATTATTATTACAACAACAAACATTTACAACAAACTGTTAAGGATTGTCGAAGGTAGTTGTAGTAGTGAAGTAGTAGTAGTCGTAGAGGGGTAGCAGAAGTAGTGAAGGAAGTAGTAGAATTAGAGTGTAAGTTAAAAGAACTCTTAACAATAATAATTATAAATAACTACCTTAATATATACACATACAATACATTATTACAGGAGAATGAATGAAAGAGAGAGGTGAAGAGAGGCGGAGAGAGAGAGGGAGGAGGAAAGGGTGGCCGGGAGATGGACGGATGGACGGATGGACGGATGGACGGATGGATGGACGGATGGACGGGCGGATGGATGGATGGATGGATGGTCGCAACAAGATGGAAGGGAGTTATAAGAATGATTATATAAATTAATAACAAATTAACTAACATTCATTCATTGAAGAACTGTTAAAGTTGAATAGGAAGAGATTGAATTGAAGAAATGGAGGGACCATTATGTTACAGGTTTGAATCAATTCAATGATGGATGGAATGAATGAACTAAATTAATAACTCAAACTATCAATCAATATTGATTAATTATATTTTAAAATAGATGCCAGAAGCCAGGCCACAGAGCCGCTGATTGCTCAGAGGAGGAGGTTTGCCGTAGCTGCAAGCAACCAGGCCATTATGCCCGCGACTGTCCAACACCAGGCGAGAACACTGGTCTAAAGTGCTACGGATGCAACCAGTATGGTCACGTCCAGAGGGCCTGCCCAAACCAAGCGCAGTCCAGAAGATGCTACAAGTGTGGCGGCGTTGGCCACATGCAGTCCACCTGCCCATCCGCTGAGGGCGGCGGCGGTAGCGGAGGTCGTGGAGGTTACAGCGGAGGCGGCGACAGGAAGTGCTACAACTGTGGCAAGCCTGGCCACATCTCCAGAGACTGCCAGGAGCAGAGCAACTAGAGCAACAACGACACGTCGTGTCATCATCCATCCAACCATCCATCCATCCAACCAACCAAACAATCAACAGACATCTCCCGTCAACAATGTGTAGATATGATATCAAAGTTCAGTATTGGAGACCTCTTCCAATACCCAATACAAAGGAAGGCCTAGATGCCACCCATCGTTCGTTCGTTCATCACTTCATGAAGTCGCCGACTTCAGCCAAGAAGCTGCTCAGGCCACCCGCTTTACTTTTGTTCTGTTGCTGCTTCTTTGCGCCAGCCTTTTTGGGAGGAGGTGGCGGCTTGGCAGCAGCCTTCTTTGGAAGATCACTATTGTCCATCTTGATCTTCTTTGTCTCTCTAGTGTCTTCGATGATCATCTCTGTCGATGGAGCGGCAACAGTGTTTTCTGATGGCGCAACTACAGTCTGACGAGGTCGCTTCCTCTTTTGTTCCAGAAGACGATTGAGTCGCGCCTTGATCTTCTCGGTGGGCAGTGATGTTGTCGCTTGGCAATCGGTACAGACCACACTGACGAGGCCGTACTCACTGGCTCTGTTGTTCTTGATCTTGTCGCAGTAAGACGATGGGGTCGCAATTCCTTCTCGCAGCTTTAGCTTGTTAGACCTGTTCTTTAGACGGACCCTGCAGTTGACACCTGGGACAAGATTGACGCTGCAAGACGAGCAGGTCTTTAGGTGAGATGCCACAGGTTGCTCAGCAGAGGGCAGTTCATCAACACCCTGTTGGAGAGCATCTTGTCTGAATCGATGGTGTAGATAGCGAGCGATCGCTGGAGAGTTGCTTTGCTGCATCATCAAGGATGCGCGATAGAGGAAGTTGAGTCTGGCCAAGTTCGAACCTTCTGCCTTTGGCTCATCGACATCTTCTTGAAATATGGTCAGTGATCCACTGTTTCCACGACGGGCATCGCGTTTCTTGTTGTTGTTGACATTCACTGAATTATAGGGAGTTGGTATGAATGTCGATGTTGATGTGAGATACGGGTTGTCAGGCTCGACTTCGTTGTTCTTTGGCTTGATCTTGTTCTTGTCGCTGTGATTGTTGTTGTTGTTGTTGTTGTTTCGGTTGGGAGCAGGCTTGGGAATTAATTGTTCCTGAATGACAGACTCAGTGGATAAGGATGAGGTGGAAGATGATGTTGGGAGGAATGGATTGTCATTCTCAGCGCATCTCTTGGGTTGCGGTTTGTTTTTGTTGTTGTCTTTAGAGTTGTTGTCTTTGGAGTTGCCAACTAGCCATGAATTATGGGTATCTTGTTCATTGAGCTTTGGTTTGTGAATGATGTGATGCTGTTCTTTGGGCTTCGAAGACAATGGATGTGTGGCCGAATTTGGAGTTGCAAGCGCCAACGATGAAGACGATGAAGACGCCGATGATGAAGTTGAATTTGATTGTTTCTTCGCTTTAGACGACGAGGACGACGATGATGAGGACGAGGACGCCGAAGGAGAAGAAGAAGATTGTGATGGAATGCTCTTCTTGTTTATGATTGCCAATGCCAGAGCCTGCATTTGTTCTTGCTCCTTCTCAATTCTCTCCTTCTCTCGTTGTAGTTTAAACTCCTTGCTCCTCATCTTCTTCTCTTCTTGTTGCTGTTTATTCTTCTCCTGTCTCAATCTCTTTTCTTCCTCTGTCTCCTCTTGATGTTGTTTATGCTGTTCTTGATTTGTCTCCTTTTTCTTGTTGTGTTGTTGTTGTTGTTGTTCATCTTTGTCTACATTGGCTGGTGCTGTACCCTTTGACTTGGGTCCTTTATTCTTTTCTGAAGCTTGTTTGGCTACTACATTAACAACACGTTGTTGTTCATGTTTAACTTTGTTCATCTTTTCTTTCTTTCTTTCGTTTCGTAACAATCAGTAGAAGAAAGATTCGAGAGTTAAATGTTATTTACAGATAATATATATATTTATTTATAAATATTATAGTTTTGTCATTGTTAGCCTAGCGCAATTACTATGATCGACTGAAACAACTCATTGTTTATCATGATACGCAGGTTGTCGCGATAAACACACAAATGACTTGGATGAATGAGATAGATGGGGTGATGTGACCACACAATTTGGAATGTGAATGAAGACATCGTGTGGAACATACACACAGATAGGAGAAGTGAAGTGAAGACGTAGTCCAACACACTAGCTATACATTCATTCATTCATTCATTCATACACACACATACATAATAACAAGTTGATAGATATATAGATTATATAGAAAATATAGATAGATATATATATATATATAGATAGTAAAAGAAGATGACTGATAAAGGAGATACATGGCATTCATTTAAGACGGGATTCGCCCGTGCCAAGCATAGAGTGTTGGCAAAGGTCGGTGCTGCAGAGACTACTGTAGATACAAAGATTAAAGCAGAGAGTGATAAGTTATTCACTCTATTCACTCTAATGAAGAGATTGAATAAGAATATTGAGAAGTATCAAGAGCAACTAAAAGGTATGTTTGATCAATCATTGAATCAATTGATTGAATGAATGAGTTATTAACAAACAATACCAACAATAACAGAGATATCTATATTACATAATGAGATGGCTCATGATATATTATCATTTGATGAGAAGGATCCAATGATCATTGTATATAGTGAGTCAATGAGAGAGTTGGAACAGCAAAGGATGGTCATGGTATGTTTGAATAACATTCAATCAATCAAACAAACATGTTACTAACTGAACCAAATAGGAGGAGTACTTGGAGACATATTGCCATGACCCCTTGAGACAGTACTTGGCACAGTTCAGAGAGATTAGAGAACGTTTGAATGAACTGGACTTGAGAAGACTGGACATGGACAGATATTTCCGTGATTATTCAATCAAAGCCAATAAGGGCAAGGATGCAACTAGTTTGGCAAAGACAGAGGCCAAGCATCAAAAGACAAAGGAGGGCTATCAAACTTTGAGCGATGAGTTGATGCAGGACATGCCCTCACTCTTTAACGACAGACAGAACGTGTTCAATCCGGCGTTTGCATCATTCGTCAACAGAAACTCTGCCTTCTACGGCGCAGTATCCACCTCTTATTACCGTCCACTTCAGGCGGCCGCCAGTGTCAATGAGTACGACGCTATCAACCATGGCTGGGTTATCACTGCTGTGGAGTTGTCCGCTATCTCAAGCAACGTACGTTCATCCGCCGTGTTCAACTCCAAGTCCGACGATTACTCCCCATCAAAGCCACGCTCAGCCTCATTCAACAGCAACCAGACGTCCCCTATGGCCGCACCTTCACAACAATCACAGCAGTATCCACCTGGCGTGGGAACGCCCGAACAAGCACCAATCTCTCTCAACAAGAACTACTCTCCACCTGGTGCCCCACATGCTCAGCAGCCGCCCCAMCAGCCACTCTATCCATCTCCACAACAGCAGCATCAGCCACCAGTGCAACAGATGCAGCATCTCAATGTACAGCAGCCTGGTGCACTCAAGCCAGCCTTCCCCAACAACAACAGAGCACCGAGCCCAAGCAACACAGGCCGAGCTCTGCCCGTCCCAAAGCCGGCAGGCGGTCCGAGTGGCGAGGCACTCTACGATTTCACGGGCCAGGACAGCACAGAGTTGACATTCAAGCGTGGCGATAGGATCACGCTCCATTCGACCTCTGGCGATTGGCTGGATGGAGAGCTGCACGGCGTCAAGGGATTGGTGCCAGCCAACTATGTAAAGATCATGTAATGTAAGACTGTCAGTCAGTCAACCAGTCAGTCAGACTGAGATAACTAGTAAACTTCCATATACCCTCTATGTGTATTCCTTCTAAGTGCTTGTAACTTGTTGTGGTTGTTGTAGTTGTTGTCGTGAATGAATGTACATGTCTCGTTGAGCCTTGAAGTGTTCCATCAACTTGATTGGGTCTGGAATGGTGTTGGCAGGCAACTGATTGCTGTATGACTTGATGAAGTATACTGTTGGATTCGAGTCGCTGTTGGATCTTTGTGGCGGGGCCAAATTCAATGACAGTGGAGGTGACAAACATCTCAAAGTCAACTTCAATGGTACCCTGGTGGTAGTTGTTGATGTAGTTGTTGTAGTTGAAGTTGTGGATGTAGATGTGATTGGAGGTGTTTGGGATGACCTGTCTTCACCATGATCATGATCCAGGCCGGCCTGGATCTGTTCCAATTCATCTGGATCATCGAGATCATATCTAAATGACTCGATATCGTCGTATGTCTCTTGATTGACTGCTGCCACAGCAGCCGCTTCATCATCTTCATCTCCCTGTACAGATATATCGCTGTCTCTTGCTCGTTTCAATCCTGTAATATTTGTTTGAGTGTACTGATCGTTGTTGTCTTCATCATCTTCATCTCCATCTCCATCAACATCAATCACCTCGTCTATAATATTCACAACATCGATCAATATATCTGCATTGATTGACTTCCTCTCTGGAGTCGTGGGTAGGTTCATCATCGCCTTGCCATCCAAATCCTCGTCCAAGTGCTTCTCAGCACAGAACTCCTTGACCAAGTTGATCACTGCTGTTCCATGTGCCTTTATCTTTGCCTCCTCTAATCCTTCAATCATCCTCAACATCTCCATTGTCGCAGGTCTCTTCTCCGCGATGCTAATATTTTGATTGATGGAGTTAGTGGATGTACGTTGTGGCACGAGGATTGGCGGACTTACGTCTTAAGAGACTGTTCCGAGAACAGGAGATAGGGTGGTATGTCGAGCATTCGTGAGAGGTTGTGACGGAAGAGGATAAGCTTCTGGAAGAGCTCCGACATTATTCCAAACTCTGCTTTGGACAGACGTGGCTTGCTAGGTGTACGGTCCATGCGTAGTTTCTCTGCTTTCTCCTTTCCAAGTGTACGCTCAACTTTGCTGTATGACCTAGTCTTTGCATAATCCTTGGCCAACTCTCTTGTGTAAGGCAGTTCAATCACTATGTTGTTTACATTGTTGTTGTTGCTGACATTGTTGTTGTTGTCGTCTGTGGATGTCTTGGACTTGTTCTTGGGTGATTGATTGAAGTTCTGTACGAGGTCTTGTTTGAGCACTGTCCATCCCTTGTCTGTGAGCTTGATGATTGAGAAGAATCGAATGGTGTGCACGACTAGGTATCCCTCTTGCACCAACTGCTCGCCAAGCTCGCGCCACCACTTCTCCGACATGTGATTGCCCTTGTTGAATGTCTTGGACTTGCGATGCTTGGCCACCTTGGCCACATTGGAGCCACGCAGCACCTTGATGATGTTGGACATGCCCATGCTCTGATTTACATCCAGCACACAGTTGAGTAGGTCGAGCACTTCGATCGTCAGGTTCAGGGTCTTGGGCTTGTCATCTTCAGCGTCCTTGCCTCTTCGCAGACAGTTGTCGCATGCGCCACAGCCAGTGGCAGTGGCGGGGGGCTCGTACTCCTCGCCCAATGCCTGTAGCAGTGATTTGCGTCGACAGTTCCTCTCGTTCAACAAGTACATCTTGGCATCATTCATCTTTGTCGCCTTCTCACTATCCATTGCGCCACCCTCCTTTGACATCACTCTGAACTGATTCCTCACAAAGTCCGTCCTGTTGAAGAACACGATCGACAGTGATGGCAGTCCATCACGTCCAGCTCGTCCAGACTATGTGGCGCGCATCCATGTTAGTGTCGCTCACTTGTTCAATCAATCCAATCACATACCTCTTGATAGTAGTCCTCCATGCTCTTGGGCGCACCATAATGGATGATTAGACGGATGTCAGACTTGTCGACACCCATGCCAAAGGCGATGGTGGCCACGACCACGTTGACGTTGTTGTACATAAAGTCCTTGTGTATCTGTGTGCGATCCTTGAGCTTGACCTGTGAGTGATAGCAGGCACTGTTGCAACCATTCCTCTTGAGATAGGCGTGTATTTCCTTGGTCTGCTCGATCGTTGGACAGTACACAATGGTCGACACTTGATTGACTGACGATGCATCGTTCATGCCCTTGATCACCTTGGCAATGTGTGCGTAGTCCTTGTCCACGCCCTTGCTGCCCGCTGCCTTGGCCAAAGTCTTGTAGAATATGTTGGGACGGTTGCGACTCGAGTGGAAGATTGCAGGGTCGCGCATGAGGAGTACCTGACACACGTCGGCTTCGATCGCCGAGGTGGACGTGGCGGTCAGCGCCATCATGGGCACATTGGGACAGAGACGTCTGAGCAGCTCGAGATTGCGGAACTTTGGACGGAAGTCATGACCCCACTGTGACAGACAGTGACACTCATCGATGGCGAACAGACACAACGTATCCGACTCGTACAGCTCCATTATCAAGTCCATTGAATTGACCGCCTTCTCAGGGCTCATATACACCAATCTATAATATCCACCAACCAACTTCTGAACCACATCCTCCTCCTTTGATGCCTTGCTTGAGAAGTGACATACCTTGATTCCAAGACTAATGAGTGATCATTGATTGATTGAATGAGTTAACGAGAATGATTGAATGAACGAATGAATGAATGATTGTAACGTACGTTGTCAACTTCATTAGTTGATCCTCCATGATTGAGATGAGTGGGGAGATGATGATGGCAGTCTTCTTGAGTACTAGTGGTGGCAGTTGGAAACATAGTGACTTTCCCGAGCCTGTTGCCATGGATACGTAGCAATCATCCGACTTGACCACACAACTCTGTACGATCTCATATTGATTACTCCTAAATGAGTTGTGACCAAAGTACTTCTTCAGCACATGTTTGATCCTTGTCTCCATCGGTCGATCAATCAATCTTATTACATCATGTCGAATGAGAGTGACAAGTGTTGCGAGAATGAATGAAGAGTGTTGGGGTTGGTTTCAATTTGAGCACTTCTATGAAGTTTTGACTTTGAACTTGATTCATTCACTACGACATTGTGTCTACTTTTGGTTCAACTTGCTTGGACTTGGGTCTTGAATCTTGGTCATTGTTGAGTTTATACTATTATAACTACAACATATACATACACATACAGGACAAGGACATCAATGGATACCTTTATAAATACTTTAACAAATGGTCGGTTAATATTAATATGCTCATTCAATCAATCAAACAATCATACTTACTCAATCAACAATCATACTCATGGTTGTGTTACTTGACTTGACTCTAGAGGATGGAATATATACAGTAGAGACGGTTGAGAAGTTGGTGGATAGATTGGTGGACAGTGAATTGGAATCAGCTGATAATGTATTGATTGTAAAGACGCTGGCAGATTGGTGTAGAAAGAAAGAGAATAGAGATGAAGTTATAAAGTCTTCAAGGTTATTACAGTCTATAATACATTTAGTAATGCTCACTGTTGATACTACAGTGACACCAGCATTGTTCAAGATATCTTCAACACAGACACAGGCGGTGGCATTGTGTGAACAGATATGTCGTCTACTTGGCAATCTGACATTCGATCATGAAGCCAACAGAAAGATAATCAATCAGCTTGAACAGAGTAGCACGCTGTTCAGTGCCGTTAATACATGGATCCTGCAGACAGAGTACGCAGTACTGAAGCGCAATGCGATCACCGCCATGCTCAACATGGCCTCGGACGACGAGGACATCCAGGACAGGTTCATTGAGTTGGGCCTCGTGACCTACTTATTGAGCATCCTCACAGCGAGCAGCGGCGCCGGCGTCGACGAAGCACTAGTGGATGTGTGTGGCAAGGCGTTGCGCACGATGGAGGAGAACACCAAGCTCAAGACCATAATCACAATCAAGGACATCAATCAGCTGCACACCCGTTTGAGCCAGACACTCAAGGACGATGGCTGGATTGGCAATGATCTCGCCAAGGACATCGTATCCCTCATCAATGAGATTAGCAAAGATAATGGTACTATCCCATCGCGTGATGTGATCACTCTCCCAGTCTGACAATCATACTCACTCAATCAATCAATCACTTGCAGAGCCAATTATGTTGGAGCTACTCAAAGGTGGCGTGTTGACAAAGTTGTTGGACTATATTGATGATGCAGATGCCCAGCGTGCACAGGTCTATGATCAGGATGAGGAGGATTTGGCCGAGATAAGTAGCGAAGACCTCTCATTCGCACCAACTGCCGCCGAGGTATTGGTGAAGCTGGCCGAGAAGAATGCTCTGCGACATTTCTTCCACGACACGACAGGCGTCGTCGAGAGAATGTTGACCATCGTCGGTGCCAAGACACCAACATTCGCCGAGAACACCAAGCAAACACAGCTCAAGGTCCTTGACATGGCCAAAGTGAAGAGGAACATCACAAGAGCAGTGGCATATGTATCAATAGATGGTAAGTTGGTTGTTCCTGGCCTGTCCTGGCCCTGGCCTGGCATGGCATGGCATGGCACGGCATGGCCTGACGTCCACTCACACTCATACTCACGCGCATGCACTCAAACAGACAAGAACGTTGACATCATACTCAAGAACATCAATCTCTTTGTTGAGATCTTCAAGCAAGAGGACACTGAACAGATCGTCAGTGCTGCAATGATTGTTGGAAACATTGCCTTATCAGACCCAAACATCACCAAGCTACTATCACTCAACATTGTAGAGTTGATGTCGGCCACGCTGAAGCTATTCCCCAATCATCAACCCGTGCAACATTTGATTCTGTCATCGCTGAGGAATATTACTTCGCCACGTGGTCCATTCAAGGGCACAGTTGTCAAGCAGGAGCTGATGAATGGAGTGATTGGCAACATGATCGTGGAGAATCAGGTGATCCAGTACGCCGCCGTAGAGCTGCTCAAGAACTTTATACTGGGCTGCGACACCAACTACACGAACTTTATTGAATCTGGCGGCCTGCAGCCCCTGTGCAACCTGGCCAACGGTATCACCAAGTCGAGCATGGACGAGGGCGAGGACACCGAGGAGGGCAGAGCGGCCGCCAAGCACAAGGACAAGCGAGTGGCCTACGAGTCCAGTCGCATCATACTTCGCATGTTGTCGACACGTGACCTGCTGCCCAGCGAGCAAAGACAGGCGGTCGTGACGGCCAGTGTGCGACCAATGTTTGAGCTCTCCTACGCACCCTATGCCATCCTGAGCAGTGAGGGTGTTCGAGGATTGAGCATCATAGCCAAGCTCGACGGTGGACCACAATCAATCATGCAACACCCCGATTGGTGGACAACCCTTTTGAACCTGTTACAAGCCAGCATCGTCTCGACCAAGGAAGCAGAGCGACAATTCAACATAGACACACAGCAGCATATTCTTGATATCTTGACAGTGTTGACAAAGGATGGTAAGTGTTCAGTGAGTGGATGGTCCATCACTCATTCATTCAAATCAATCAATCAATCAATTAACTTATATTATCCACCATTAGATAATAGATGCCAAGAACTTAAGGTACTTGGTGCTGTTGCTTCACTCAAGGAGTTGGCGGCAAAGAATGAGATCACTGCGATCACCAAGACTGGCCTCCAGAATATTCTTGTACAGCTTTCGGTATGACTTGCTCATATTAAGTAAAGTTTACACACATCTACAAACGTACACCTTATAATTTTTCAACCAACATTGACGGCACGCCAAACACACAAACACATACACACTCAGTGTGTTGATCATGATCAGTCATATGCCATTGAATGGAAGAATTCCGCCCCACTCACCACCCCACTCTAGTGAGTTACATCAACTTTATTCTTATATCTGGCCCTGTGTTCCAGCACATACTCTTCTTTGTCAAAGTGGATCATTAGAGTGTGTGCTTGTTAGGTGTATCAGGGTAGGTACATTTTGTAGAGTGGCCCATTGTTGTTGTTTTAGTGGTGGATGGATGGTGGATGGATGATGGGAATGAAACGATTGTAATTAATGATCACAGTCACTCTTCATTTATTATTATTTTATATATATTTTTCTACAAAACAAATAATAACAATAATAGTATATTGGAATGAATAAATTATTCATACCTATATTATTAGTTTTATTACTCAACAAATTCTGTTTATGGTAAGTAATCAATCAAACACCGGATTAATCCGAGGAAAAAAAAACACAAATATTAATATAAATTTTTAAACAAAAATAAAGGACAAACTCCTTGTGGTCCAATGCTCAACAAATTTGTATCCCGTTGCCCACCACTGGTACAACCGCAACTGCGACATCTGCCACTGCCACCACTACTGTATCCACTCAATCAACTGTTGCCTCGAGTACTGTAGCCTCCACTACAATCTCTACTCAATCAACTGTTGCTAGTACCGTGGCTTCAACTGTGTCCCAGGCTACTGCTACCACCACGGCCACCACTACTTCTGCCACGGCCACCACTACTGTGTCAACTCAGTCGACTGTTGCATCTACTGTTTCCCAGGCGACTGCTACCATGGCCACTGCCTCTACTGTTGTGACTACTACTGCCTCCACCACGGTGACTACAACCTCACCTGCGTCTACCATCACTCAGACGACTACTGCCACTACAACAGTGTCGAGTACCGCCACAGCCACCGGTCCAGTAACATCAACAGTAGCCTCAACAACTGTGACCACCACCGCTTCGACCACCTCGCCCGCGTCAACAATTACTCAGACCACCACTGTAACCACCACTGCTACTACCACCTCAACTCCACCATCAACTACCGCCACTACCACTGTCTCAACCACAGCCTCAACAACTTCACCAGCCTCCACCATCACTCAGACCACCACAGTGACCACCACTGCAACCTCCTCACTGTCAACTACCGTCACCACAACAGTGTCCACTCAGTCAACGGTTGCCTCGACCACTTCCACCACTGGAGGACGTCCACCAACCACCACTACCGGACAGCCAACTTCGACAACAGTGTCCACTCAATCAACTATTGCAACAACAACTACAACACCAGTATCAACCACCGGAACACCATTATTCTCCATCGAGGGTAATTTGTGGCTGGACAATTCCAACACCGGTATTCTTAGCACCGCCCCAGGTGATTCAGTCAAGGATATCAAGGTCCAGTTGTTGGACTCCCAGAACAATCCGATCAAGACTTTGCCAAGTGTCAATGATGGCAAGTATAAGTTTGATGGTTTGGCCGCTGGCCAATACTGTATCCAAGCCAGTGACAACAAAGGTTAACTTCAAGTCAATTCCAAGAAGGGTGACAATGTCTTCAACAATGGTACCTTCTGCTTCAAGGTTGGTCCAAGCATCAAGAAAGCCAACGCCTGTATGTATCATCGGTCCTCCGTCAATATGATCACTCATTAACCAATCACAAAGCATTCTACAAGTCACCATCATACTCAATCAAGGGATATGTTTGGAGAGATAATGCCAACACTGGTATCCTCAGTCTTTTACCCAGTGACGTTGCCTCTAATATCAAGCTTGAGTTACAGGATGCCAATGGCAAGGTGATCAAAGCTCTTACTGCCACCGGTAACTACTCATTTGACGGTCTCAATGCTGGCAAGTACTGTATCGTTGCCAGTGACACAGCTGGAAAGCTATTCCCCAACCCCAAGAAGGGAGCCAACAAGTTTGACCATGGCAAGCTCTGTGTCACTGTTGGTCCAAATGCCGTGAGCCAAGATTGCTGTAAGTACATCAATCAATCGAATCATTCCGATCACTTCTCATTCATTCTATCATTTATATATAGCCTTTAATGCACCCCCTCTCTTCTCTGTCGCCGGTAACCTCTGGTTGGATAATGCCAACACTGGTATCCTCAGCACTGCACCAGGTGACTCTGTCAAGGACATCCAGGTTGACCTCACTGATGTCAACAAGAATGTGATCAAGTCCATCCAAAGGCAAGCAGCTCCTACAAGTTTGACAACCTCCCAGCTGGAAGCTACTGTGTGATTGCACGTGACACCGCTGGCAAGCTCCAAGGCAATGCCAAGAAGGGTGCCAACTCATTCAACAACGGAACCTATTGTTTTAAGGTCGGTCCAAGCATCACCAACGCACACTGTTCATTCTACAAAGAGCCATCATTCTCCATCAAGGGTTTCAACTGGCTCGACAACATCAACACTGGTATCATCAGCATCCCAGACAAGGTCAACAACATCAAGATGGTGCTCCAGGATGGTCAGGGCCAGGTAGTCCAATCAATCACTGCCAGTGGCAACTTCTCATTCGTTGGACTCAAGGCTGGCAAGTACTGTATCTTGGCCAGTGACCCATCCGGAAAGTTGGTCCCCAACCCCAACAAGGGCGCCAACAAATTTGACAGTGGAAAGATCTGTGTCACACTCGGACCCGATTCAATCAACAATGACTGCTGTAAGTACTCCCTCACTCACTCGATCAATCATTCATACTTTCATTCATTGACAAACAACCTCACACACATAATAGCATGGGCAACACCACAAACATTCTCCGTTGCTGGTAACCTCTGGTTGGATAATGCCAACACTGGTATCCTCAGCACTGCACCAGGTGACTCTGTCAAGGACATCCAAGTGGATCTCACCGATGCCAACAAGAAAGTGATCAAGTCCATTCCAAAGGCAAGCAGCACCTACAAGTTTGACGGCTTGGCAGCAGGCGACTACTGTGTCGTTGCACGTGATACCGCTGGAAAGCTCCAAGGCAATGCCAAGAAGGGTGCCAACTCATTCAACAATGGAACCTACTGTTTCAAGGTCGGTCCAAGCATCACCAACGCACACTGTTCATTCTACAATGAGCCATCGTTTGCCATCAAGGGTTTCAATTGGCTCGACAACATCAACACTGGTATCATCAGCATTCCAGACAAGGTCAACAACATCAAGATGGATTTGCAGGATGACCAAGGCAAACTACTCCAATCAATCACTGCCAGTGGCAACTTCTCATTCGTTGGACTCAAGGCTGGCAAGTACTGTATCGTTGCCAGTGACCCATCTGGCAAGTTGGTGCCCAACCCCAAGAAGGGAGCCAACAAGTTCGACAGTGGAAAGATCTGTGTCACCCTCGGACCCGATTCAATCAACAATGATTGCTGTAAGTACACACTCACTGACTCGTTCAAATGATCAAACATACTCACTCATTCACCTTGGCCATCACATAGCTTGGGCTACTCCAGCCAAGCCCTCGATTAAGGGATACATCTGGAAGGATGATGGAAACACTGGTATCTTGAGTCTTGCCCCAGGTGATAAGGTCAGCGGAATCAAGGTTGAGCTGCAGGACGATGCAGGAAAGGTGCTCAAGACACTTGATAATGTCAGTGGCAACTACACATTCGGAGACCTCAACCCAGGCAAGTATTGTGTCGTTGTCAGCGACCCATCCGGCAACAATGCACCCAACCCCATCAAGGGAGACAACAAGTTTGACAATGGCAAGATGTGCACAACTGTTGACACCAAGGACATCATAAGCCAAGATGCATGTAAGTACTCAAGGCTGAACAATCAATCAATCAATCAATCAATCATACTCACTCACATTGAACATCATCACAGCATTCGCCTCAGTATTCTCAATCAATGGATTCTTCTGGAGAGACAATTCAAACACTGGCATCATCAGTCTTGCTGACAAGGTCGACGGCATAAAGGTTGTGTTGCAGGATGAGAGTGGCCAGGTGCTCAAGACTCTGGATAGTGTGAGCGGCAACTACTCATTCACTGGACTTCGCCGTGGCAAATACTGCATGGTCGCCTCCGATCCATCTGGCAAACTTGATGTCAACCCTGCCAAGGGAGACAACAAGTTTGACAATGGCAAGCTCTGTGTCACCCTCGGACCCAACGCCATCAAACAAGACGGCTGTAAGTACCTCAACCGATATCGATCACTCATGATCACCTATTGACCATCATTCCCATTCAATCAGCCTTCACTGGTGGTCGTGAGATCAGAGGATTCCTTTGGCTTGATAATACCAATACTGGCATCATCAGTATCCCAGACAAGGTCAGCGGCATCAAGGTTGAATTGCAGGACAGCACTGGACAGGTTATCAGAACTTTGACTGATGCCTCTGGCAACTACACCTTCACTGTCGTGCCCAAGGGCCAGTTCTGCATCGTGATCAGCGATCCATCCGGCAAGTTGGTGCCCAACCCCATCAAGGGAGCCAACAAGTTTGACAACGGAAAGTTCTGCTCCACCATGGCCAACGTTGACATCACCAGTATCGACGCCTGTAAGTCAATCACTCGTTCATTCATACATTCAATCAATCAATCACTCACTCATTCAATCATTCAATCAATCCATCTAGCATTTGCCACTGCTCACAAGGTCAGTGGATTTGTTTGGATTGATAATGCCAACACTGGCATCCTCAGTCTCACAGACCCAGCTCAGAGCATGAAGGTTGAGTTGCAGAATGATGCTGGAAAGGTCCTCCAGACGCTCCCAAGTGTCTCTGGTAACTACTCGTTCTCTGGAGTAGTCGATGGCAAGTACTGTGTCGTCATCACCGACCCATCAGCCAAGATGGTGCCCAACCCTAAGAAGGACGCCAACAAGTTCGATGGCGGAAAGTACTGTTTCACCGTCGCCGGCTCAGACATCACAAGTGCAGACAGCTGTAAGTAACCTTATACCTGCACACATTCCCACATAGACATGGCCATGATCATAAAACTAACCGCGTTCGCTCTCATAATAATAGCTTGGGTTGCAACACCACCAGCTCCAACTGATGCCCTCAAGGGATTCCTCTGGATTGACAATGCCAACACTGGCATCCTCAGTCTTACAGACCCAGCTCAGAACGTGAAGGTTGAGTTGCAGGATGATGCTGGAAAGGTAATTCAGACACTCCCAACTGTCTCTGGTAACTACACTTTCAACAAGGTCAATGCCGGAAAGTACTGTGTTGTGGCAACTGACCCATCGGGCAACCTGGTCAATGCCGTCAAGGGTGCCAACAAGTTTGACAAAGGAAAGTACTGCTTTACTGTTGCCGCCGGAGTTGATACCCTCAACGCTGATGGATGTAAGTTGTCCAGCTCCACCATCATTCAATCTTCTGATTCTGACTTGTATTCAAACCATCAATCACATCATAGCATTCTACAAACCACAATCGATTGAAGGCAAACTCTGGCTTGACAACCAGAATACTGGTATTCTCAGCGCAACTGATGTGGTCTCGGGCATCACAATTGAGCTCAGGGATAATGCTGATAAGGTGCTTCAGACATTGACCGGTCAGAACGGACAGTACAAGTTCTCCAACCTCAACAGTGGCAGCTACTGTGTTGTTGTCAGCGACCCTGCCAACAAGGTTAAGCCCAACCCCAAGAAGGGAGACAACCTGTTTGACAGTGGAAAGTACTGCATTGCAATTCCACCCAGTGTTACCAATGCTCATGCATGTAAGTACTCATTCATAATATGTATGATTTTCAAACATGCTAACAAACATTATCATTTTTCCAAATCATAGCCTTTGCCACAGTCTAAGTCCTCATCACTCATTCTCAAACATCATTCAATAATGGATCAACTTTTACCAAATAACTATCAATAAATCAATCTCAACATAATAATATTACTCAAATCAATATGTCATTAATGGATCGATCTTATTGTTAATCGTTATGTGTATTGTTCTGAAGACTATTTCGGAAAGGTCAATGATGACCTGACGACTCCAAGTTTACAATCCGATACCTTTACTCATTTTTATAAGAATCATTAAAACCCCGGTCTGGTTGAACAAATATCTCTTAAGATATAAACAAGACACAGCACGCCATTCTCTGACATTCTTTACCCTTTATTCCTTATTCTCCACCAGACTACTATATAATTCTCCAACTTGTTGCTCTGCAGATATTCAATCAAATCAATAATATTCGAAACCATGGTTTTCTAGATCTATAAATATATCTAAGATTGTTATAATCATGATCATGGCTCTACCCAGGTTGGTCCAATTCGGTCGTCTTTTTTATCAGAATGCGCCCACCTAACCCTGCAACCACACACGTTTCGATCTGCGCGTGTGCATTCGAATGTGTAAAACCCCCCTTTTCCTGACACCTCCCAAGCTCACACACACACTCACGCACAATCGATTGATTCAAAGGTGGGTGTGATCCATCCAACATCCATTTATCTGTCGATTGTATAAACACATTACTTGACACTCTGGTATAGTAGGGGACATGGTTCCGAAATGGTTAATCCATTTTAACCACACTCCCCATCCTCAATCCAATTAATACAAATATGAATGAATGATGTTGAGTTGAGGGACATGTGTAATTTTAAGTTGAGTTGTTATTTACATCTAAGTAATTAAACATATATATACTACTTATAACTTATTATTATTATTACTATTATTATATGTATAAAATTATAAATTATTATTACTATTAATTAATTGATTAATTTAATTATTAATTATTATTTATTTAGAATGTTAAAACAAAAGATAATTAAATGGAATGGATCATTGGATACTTATAAGAGTGGAGATGTGTTGACAGCTATACAGATGTTAAAGACAATTGATGCCACGTCCAAAGTTGAATATGACTTGGGAATTATGTGTATGAAGATAGATAAGATTGAAGAGGCAATTGGACATTTCATATTGGCAACGCGCTACGACCCCTTCCTCGCAATTGGTTACTTCATGCGTGGAGTATGTCATTATATTCTTGGAAATAATAATCATTCAATTGTCGACTATGACGAATCCATCTCTCGTCTGCGTGGTCATGAGTTCATAGACTATTCACAAATTGGATTGAATTACCGATTGCTACTCACAGAGATATTGTTCAACAAGTCATTGTCACTTGGCTCTGCTGGTGCATCAGTGGCGACGATGGCGTCCAAGTGCAAGGTGATGCCAGCGGACACAACGTACAAAGAACAACTGGCATTGTTGGTTCAATGCAAGATGCCTGGAGTGAGGATGCCCTCCCTCGAGCTATTATTCAAACCCCCCAACGTCTCTGACAAGCCACCTCCAATCCCCGAACAACTCCCACCTGTATTTATGTATTCGACAACCACTTCGACATCCCCAAGAGCTCAATCTCCTTCGTCATCGACTCCAACATCCCCTCGAGCAATGTCTCCGACACCAACTACTAGCTCCCCTCCATACACCTTGCGCAATCCATCCAATTCATCATCTCCCGATACTTCCCGATCACCTCAGAACACCCAACCTCAAAGAGAGCGTGCCACTTCACCAGTTACTATCATCAACAAACCCCCTCCACCACCTCCAATGCTCATCAAGAAGTTGCCATCACGTCCATTCAGTATGCTCAACAAGGAGGTGCTCACAACAATGAGATGTTACTATCAAGATAGGAGAATGATACAAATACCAGTGGAGTGCACAATGCATGTGTTGAGATCAAAGATCGAAGCAAAGTTTGGACCTGGCATTGTCAGTGGAGGTGGCTTCACCATTCGATGTCGCGACCCATCATCCTATGAGATGTTCGAGCTCCAGACACAAGAGGATCTTGACTGGATCCGTGAGAATGGCATCAATGACCTATTCATCAATCGTCCTGGCGAGACCAACATGTTCGAGTCATCCTACGAAGACTACAATGTCATGTCTCCCGAGGAAGACAGACGGGCAAACACTCTCACTCCAACTCCTTCGCCAAGGACACCTACTACACCTACTTCAACTTCACCGATATCACCAAGACAATTAATGTCACAGTTGTCCAAGTCAGCTCAGATCAATCCAAGTCCTCCAATTGTTACCCCAATGCGTCATCGCGGACAGACTGCTCCATCCCAAAAGACACCACCTCCACCACTACCACGTAAACCATCGATGGTTTCAAACTCAACCAGTGGCACCTCCTCCTCCTCCTCTTCATCGTCACCAATCAAACTTTGTCAATCACCATCAGGTGAACGATTCTATCTCAATACACAAACAGGGGAGGTATCATGGTCACCTCCTCCAGTATAACATCATCATCATCATTATTATTATTTTTATTATTATCTCTATTTAATTTATTATTATTACTATTTGAATAATTATTTATGGAAACTTCAATTACTAAATTGGTGACGGGTCACCGGAGATTTCAAATCAAATTTTTAGGATAGTTATTTGTTTTTGATTGAGCGAAAGACCTGTTTTGGGCACATACACACCAATAAAAGTTGAGTGATTGGGCCGATGATTGGGGCTGGTGTGGTTGGGGTTTAGGCCCACCATCTGATATGATTGGTGTGCTGATGGATGGTCTAGGTAGGTCTCTAAACACACTTGAGAAAGGGGTAAGGCAGTGAGTGTACAGTGGGTGACTGAGCGTCTGAAGAGGTATTTGTGTGTGAGTTAGTGTATGATCAAGTATCATTGTCTAACTATTCCATTCCCATCACCATCATAATAATAATAATAATAATAATAATCAAACATCAATTCATTCATTCTGATACCCTTATTAATATTATTATTTAATTATAACTTATATTTATATTATTTTTATTATTGATTGACAACAACCTGTTTTGGTTTTTTCAGATCGAGGCTTTGACTTGTCCTCCATTTGTTTGTCTTTCTTCCTCCTTCTTGGGGTTTGCCACCCTCTACAACTCTTATTCATTCAAAGTATCTTATATATTTAAAACAAATACATATACAAATATAGATACATACTGTACTTCTCAAGATAATAATTATTAATTGTTGTTTTAAATAATTAATATATATTATATATTGATTGGTTGACGACGATAATAATAATTCTAATAATAATAATAATTCAATCATATCATAAAGATGAGTCAATATCCTCTTAAAGTAATACGTCAACCTATACATCAATCAATAATAGATTTCCAACAATCATTAGAGACACAAAAGAAGAAGCAACATCAACATCAACATCAACAACAGAACCAGCATCAACAAATGATTGATCAACAACAACAACTGATTGAGCAACAGACGCAACAACAACAACAACAACAACAACAACTGATGCAACAGCAAAAGCAACAACATCAGATGCAGCAACAGCAACCCCAACATCAGCAACAGCAACCCCAACAACAGGTGCAACACAAATCATTATATCAATATCAAAAACATATTCTACAACAACAACAACTTCAGCAGCATCAGCAGCAGCAGCAGCAGCAACAACAGTTGCCACAGTTGCCACAATCACAGTCACAGCCACAGCCACAGCAACAACAACAACAGTTATCACAGCAACAACTTAAATACCAACAAATGCAACTGATTAGGCAACAACAACAACAACTTCAGCAACAACACCAGCAGCAACAACAACAACAACAGCACCAGTCACAGCCACAGCAGCAGCAAGAGCTTCCCAGCATTGATTGGAGGCTCACTGGTAATCATTCATCATTATGGTTGCCTGAGCCCGAGTCCAGCTTTGTGAGGAAGACAAACTCCAGCCCGCCAACAGTCCAGTCGCCCACACAGTTCTTCTCCGCCTCGATGATGGGTGCTCCTCATTCCGGTTCATCATCGCCTATACAACAGATGTTTGGATACCAAAACCAAGCCCAAGCCCAAGGCCAGGTCCAGGCCCAGGTCCAGCCTCAGCCTCAGACTCAGCCTCAGGCCTCTCCCCATCAATACCACAACAATCAACATCATAATGGATCATCCTCAGCCACAAGCAGTCCTCATCAATACTCACATCAACAACTACAACAGCAGCAGCAGCAGCTGAAACAAGTTCGCAAGGCTCCACATGTCTCTGAACTGCTTACTCGTGAGATCATTGACATGGACCATCGCCCTGTGTCTCCGCCCTTGCCTGATCACCATCGCCCTGCGTCTCCACCTTCTCCCACAACGCCCAAGCACCATCGTCCTATCTCCCCACTCTTGCCCGAATATCAGCGTCCAGTGTCACCTCTGCACCATCATCTTGTATCACCACCACAAACACCCGACCAACAACTGAAGCGACAACAACAACTTGTCCAACAACAACTACTTCAACAAAAGCGACAACAACTGCTCCAACAGCAAGAGCAACTCCTCCAGCAGCAAGAGCAGCAGGAGCAACTCCATCAACTCCATCGTCAACAACAAAATGATGAGCGATTCGGTATAAGAAGCATCACCAATGCCAACCCTCCACATTCACCACGACAACAACAGCAACACCAACATCCACATCCTTATCGACCACCACAACAACAACAACAAGTCCAGCGTCAACAACATCAGCCTCAGCAACAGCAGCCCCAGCCCCAGCAACAACAAAAACCAAGACATCAACACCAGGAACAACAACAACAACAACAACATCAACAACCAAAACATGTAGAACAGCATCAACAACCAAAGAATCAAAGCACTAAAGAGATGGACCAGACATCAATGGACCTCCAACTACCAGCCCCAGTGACGGCCGCATCAATCGCAGCCAATGGACTGAACCTCAATGACCTTATCAAGAACTATGAGACCAAGTACAAGCCAATGAGGAAGCTTGGCATGAGCGGCAACAATCCAGTCAATCTCATGATGCTTGGTGGCGGTGGTGGCTCAAGGGCCTCCGAGGCACTGGCAGTGACTGGCTCAGCAGCATCATCCGCATATCATGCCACACACAGCATCGGGGACTCCAACGAGAGCAGTCCAACAACAGAGATCTTCATCACAATGGAGCACTTTGCACATTTGGACCATCCCTCGTACACAACGATACCAATCGCGACACAGATGTACTCGTGCCCTGTCTGGGGCTGTCCCAAGCTGTTCCAAAAGTTCAAGGACATCGAGGTGCATTGCATGCAAGTGCATCCGGCCAGCGCGGCCAACCCTCTCGAGCAGCGTGGCGTCGACATTGTCGCGCTCTCCGAGCTGTCCGACGCCACGGCGCTCAATCACCACTCGGCCGGCTCGATACCGGTGCTCATCTCGGGTCTGCCCAAGTCGTGGCGCACATCAGAGCTGTCTATCGACAGTCTGTTACAACACTATGGCACCAACAGGACCATGTGGAACATTGTCGATGAAGATGGAGTCAATTGTCAATGGGTTGGCGACTTTAAGAAGTTCTTCGATACCACTTCCAGACAAAGACGTAACAGCTGTATTGTCAAGATGAGCCTCGACCTTCCCTCCAAATGGGATCCATTACCAACAACCAAGACCAACTATCTAAGTCTATTCACACATGTAGGTTAAGTTGTTGTCCGTCGGATATAGACCTGCACTAACCTAACTCACTCACAGGACCAATACACACAGTCATACCTCTTTGTTGCAGGCTCTGGCTCTGTTATATCACTTCATCGACAGTTTACAGACCTGACAATCACTACAATTCAAGGATTGATGAGGGTATGTTTGATCATTCTTTCATTCAATCAATCAGATACTAACTTGATGATGAACAAACACACAGGTTATAATGTTCCCTCCAAACAAGATGATGGACATTGGCAAATATAACAAGGACTTCTTGATCAAGGAGAATAGCAAGAGTAGTTTTATATACTTTGATCATCAACTCACTGAAGATGACTTGGACCTTATCTCAAAGTTTGGTGGACGCATTGTATTCCTCAAGAAGGAAGAGAGTCTTTTTGTCCCCGCCGGCTGGTACTTCCAAACAACAGTCCTCGACGATGGTACGTAATAGATTGATTTATTGAATGTGTGGATGGATTGATGGATGCTAACAATAACACACGTAATCCAGAGTGTATATTTGTACATGGCCAATGTTTGAATCAGAACAACTTGGAGTTCTTCTTGCAGAACTTGCGAAGGAGATCATTTGGAGACAGTCTGACAATCGAGGATCTGATCAAGAATATCATCACAGACTACATGGCACGAGCCAGTGGCCTTTGTGTACAACGCCGACCAAAGGTATCGGGCGTCTCTGGTCTACTGGGCTCGTCGGCAGCCGCAGTGGCAACGCGTCAGTGGAACAACTTCCAGTGTCCCTTGGACAAGATGTCCATCTTCCAGCAGGTGACGATCATCATGAGAGAATGTTTCACACTGATATCTGCCTACTATCTCGTTACACAATCGATGCGCGTTGAAGACAAGATCAAACTGGAACAACATCAACTCGTAGAAGGACTCAAAAAGTCAACTAACGAGTTGAACTACTCACTACTCTCTTTATCCAGCTCAGGTCGTATGTCTGGATAATGATGATGTTACTCCTCCAACAGTAAAATGATATATTTTAAACAATGCTCGATCATTGATCAACAAGTTGGACATGGCGATTCAATCACACGATATATCGCTTTGTGGACCGACATGAGATGGCGACATGCCATGTTTTTGCGTGTTTTTACATGTTTTTGGTGATGATGTCAAACACGAATGGGGCAAAGGTCGTGAGTGATGGATGCCAGGTTAATCCATCAATCACAATCATATATCTGATCAATAGTTGACCATAGTTAGTTATCAATCCAACAATCAAACAAATAATCCAACAAGTATTAGTCAATGAATGGGGTAAGTACCGCAATCATGTAATCCGGAGATGGAATGGAATGATGAAGCGGGTGTGGGAGAAGTCAAGTGATCAAACACACACACATTCATCAATCAAACTCACTCCATCATTCGCTTCTCACTTCACACTTCACTCAATCAATAATTCACTCACTCACTCAATCATACAAATAACAAATAAACTAACAAACTATATAACTTAACTCTATATAATTATACAATGACTGAGAGTAGCAGTCACAGATATCTTAGAACATTGGTATCGGGAAAGAAGAAACGATTCGTACAGGATGGATTCAATCTTGATCTATCATATATCACCGAACGTATTATAGCCATGGGTTATCCAGCAGACAATTCATTGCACAAGATGATCAGGAATGACATTGACCACGTGTACAACTTCTTTGAGACCTACCACAAGGACCACTGGAAGATCGTCAATGTCGCCCAGGAGATATCATACAGTCACACGAAGCTCTGCAACAACGTGCTGGTGCATGGCTTTGAAGACCACACGCCCCCGCCCTTCCTCGTGCTGTTGCAGATCATCGATGTCATCCACGCTTGGCTGAGCGAGCATGAGGATAACGTCGTGGCGATACATTGCAAGGCGGGCAAGGGTCGCACGGGCACATGCATCGCTTCATACCTGGCGCTCTTGACCAAATTGAATGAGCCCGACATCTTTTATGGATCAGATTCGATACTTAGTACAACAGTCAACTTCTTTAGCAGCATGCGTAGTATCAGTGCTAGCTGCGTCAACGTACCATCACAACGACGATACATTGGCTATTACATCTCCTACCTCAAAGGTGAGGTACCTCAATCAGTCCTCCTGGCGCCACCCCAATACCGTCTTTGCAACATAGAGTTCCTCTTCTTCCCATCCAACACCCTATTGATCACTTCAATCGGTATGTCCGAGCCTTGGTGGACCACACTTGGAATCATTCCATCCCATAAACTAACATCTCCTCCCTCACCCATCCAGAGATACATAATAGATATGATCCAAGAGATAAGAGGTTGCCATTGATACTGCATGTTAACAACACTCAATCAGTGTATGTATCATTCATTGGCTACACAGGGGCGACCTGTCCTGGCGACAATGCCATCGGAGCGTCATGACTAACCCTCGCGCTACACCACGCCACTCATCACCATGCGCGATACACAGCTCAAACGAAAGGTATCTTAGGTTTGAACCATCAAATGTATTGATTGATGGCGACGTTATGATCAAGTGCAATCAGTTCGACTCGACTCAATGTGTGTTCCGATTGGTGTTCAACACAGCTTTTATCTCTGGCGGCATTGGCGAAAATGGCTATACAACATTGGTCTTCACAAAAGGTTTGATCGACGGTGCCAATCATGGTGCACTAGATGACAATCGCTTCACTGGTGAGTTCCAACTCCGTTTGAATCTGGAACAACTGTCAAACGGCATGGCGCCACCACCCATTCCCGATCGAAGCAAGAAGCCCATACTTCTCGCATCCTCAGCACCTGCCCTGGCACATGGCGCGCCAGCCATCACAGCCAGTCCATTCTTCAGGCCAGCGTCCTCACTCAATTGATCCCCTGGGGATCACCCAAACACATTGGTAACATCAATGGTTGACATGCACGCGCGCGATCACAGCAAAGCTGGGGAAGCTCCAAGCCTCCCCTCCCTTTACTACGACTACACCTCTCTCTCGTGAGGCTCTTTATACTCGAGTCCAAGAAGCAGGAATATGTCTCTCTCGGTGGCGGCTTCGATTGGATCACCCTTCACTTCGTTGTCGCCAGTGCCCCAGCGACGAACTAGATGCGAGGAGCTCAAGGAGAATCCATTCTTCCTGGCCCATAGACGCATTGACCTATTGAAGTGATCAGATCCTGTGAAGTATAGTAAAGCATCTATGCGCGTGATGTGATGGATGTGCGGATGGATGCATGTATAAAGTTAGAAGGTTGCACCATTCAATCAATAAACAATAGTCGTTGCCGACGACGACTTGACATGTTCATGTTCGTGTTCATGGGATGGTGTACTTACATGGCCATTCCTCTCTTGGTATGGTTTGGAAATCAATCCTCCTGTGCTTTCCATTGGGTCCATGTCTGCATACACCCATATACTATTTGATTGATTGATTAAGTGAGTGAGTGAGCGAGCCAGCGCCAATCAATGACAGGAAAGACATACCTTGTCACTGTCGGACTTTACATGAGTCAGGTGATCGGTTAACAATGAGTTTGATTCGAGACGCTTGACAAGTTGCCAAAGGAAGCCCTTTAGTATCTCACCCTTGACCTGAGTGAATAGTATGTCAATGTCGCCACAGTCTGGTTTGCTCCTCCTGAACGATCCACACACCTGCATGATGATGTCCTTGTCAATCTCCTTGGCAACAGCTTGTATCTATTATTGAGGGGAAGGGTCAGTGGAATGATTCCAAGACCATGTGGATCCATGAGTGATCAAACATACATTGTCAGCAATAGCTTGTACTTCATCACGTGGTATTCTCAATTGGAAGTCATCATAGTATTTGAGTCCAATACGTTGTTGCCATGTGAGAAATGATTGATCCTTGCTTGCAGCCTGTTGTAGTTTGTCCAAACTGTCGATACCTTTGGCGATCCACTTTCTCACCGTCTCGGGACCCGCCCCATGTATCTTGGACAGCGTCTCACGAGAGATATTGGTAGTGTCGGCCAGTGCTCGCTCAACCTTGAGCAGTGTGCCCGTGTGCAGTATTTCACGTATCTTGTCCAAGATCTTGGCACCAATGCCTCTGATGTGACTGATCTGCTTGGCATCATTCACTCTGAATGGTAGAGCGCGCAAGATGCTCACGGCCTTCTTGTAGGCGTATTGACGCCAATGATCGCCTTCCGCTTCTGACAAGCTCTGTAGCTTCTCCATTACCGAGGTCAGATGTTCATTGTGATTGACTCGCCCGCCATTGTTCTGACAAACAAAGTTTGAAGCTTTGAGGTACTTTGTCGGGGAGACCAATGATGACACATTGGACTTGGTTGGCGTAGTCTTTGACTTGGGTGGTGATCGAAGTGTGGACAGCGAGCTTGGAAGTTGTCCTGCGAATGGACTGTCGAAAATGAGTGATTCAGATGGTGCCAATGAACTTTGATACTCGTCCTCAGTAAGGTTCTCATCGGAATCAATCAGAAATGATCGATTGCTAATGTCTCCATCATTGTAAGAGTTGGCTGATGTGTTCAAAAAGTCGCTGGCGGTATCTCTAGTGTCATCCAAATTTGATTGATCATGGTAATTTTCATGGTCGTGGCCATCCGTTGATAATGATGATGATGATGAGTAGTATGATAGCCATGATGTGTTTGTACAGTCGGTTTGTTGTGTTGTTGTCTCATTCTTTGTTCTCTTCTTGACAGGTGAAATGTTGTTGATATTTACAATGTTGCTCTGGTCTTGGCCATAGCTTGCCCTTCTCGCCTTCTTCATTGGTTGAGTGATGGTAGTGTTTGTCGTTGTGGTTGATGCGTCTCCATTGTCATTGTCCAATGTAGTAGTGCTGGAGGAGTCATGTGATAGTCTTCTCTTGATTGAAAATGGTAATGTACATTTGTTTGTTGATGTTGTAGTGTTGGTAGTTGATGTAGTTGATGTAGTTGTTGATGCTAATATCTCATCTAATGGCCATTCCAATGTCCTTATATAAGAATGGACTGGTAATCTTGTCCTTTGTATGACTGATTGAGTTATCCAGTTGATTGAAGTTATGATCACATCCTAATATATGTCATTGGTCAGGTCAAAGTCATGAATGATAAAGGATGGTCATATATAACATACCTTTGACAATAGTTTCCTGATTGAATTTGGTAGAGACAGTGATGGCTGCTCATTGGCAATCAGTATATTGGTCAATTGTTTGTCATAATCATTGAGTAGACAACCTTTATTATCCAATATCTTTTGTTTTAATATATTATATTGTATATTACCAATACCCTTACGAACGATGTAGAACTTAAGATCACTAAACATCTTCTATCTATGTATTGTTCTAAATCTTACTCCTCATAATATCAAAGAACCAAGGTCACATGAAGAGACGGAGTTGGGAAGAGGTAATGATCATTTTTTAAATTTTGGCGCCAACAATCATCACAAATTATTCTTCTTCTGGAAATTACTTTATCTCCAAAGAATACTTGCTATTACCTTGGCACTGACCAAAGTATACTAGGGCTATTAAATCTATTATTACTTTGGACTTACCATAGTATACCTTGTTCATTACTTGGTAATGACAAGAGTTTCCAGTTTTTTTCCATGGACCTATATTTGATTGATGAAGATTGACAATAATTATTTGTTGAAAGTTAGATAATTGATATATAGATTGTACAATCCCACAAAGTAATATATGTTTAATAGTATATATTTAGTACTAGTTCTACACTATTTCAAATCAGATATCTTTAAAATATACTCCAGACTTGTAACAAAGTTTGTTAAAGAGGTGTCGCAATCATACTCAATGTATGCGCAGATGTAACTCTTGCTTGTTCATGAATTAGATGGACCGACCAAGTCTGGTTGGACCATCGTCCATGATCAACACAACCCCCAATCAATCAAAGATAAACAATATATTACATTATTATTAAAATTAAAAATATTATCCAAAGTATTTGGATATCTTTCCAGAGAGCCATGACTTGATTTGCTTGGAGACACTTCCATTCGATTGAATATTTACAAATGATGGTATATCATCAATATGTACAAATGCGTAATGATTGATCTCTTCATCGAGGTCAACAAAGAACATGTTGTGTGATAGACGTCGAAGTTTGAATGGTGTCTCTCGAATTGAATTCTTGATCTCCAAAGTACCAATGTGGCTCGGTATGTCTTTGAGGAATCGCTTTACATTATCCAATTGTTGTTTGGAATAATATAACTTCAAGGTGTTGATTGATGTTGGTAGTTTGGTCACATCGATTGGAAGTTGAAAATCTTGTACGCGCAGTGATGTCAGATGGGGAGGAAGGTCATCAAGTGCGACCGGTCGATAGAGATCCATCGAGGTGATTGATGATGGCAGTGTGCCCTTTGTCCATTGATAAGGCTGGCCATCGAGGTGACCAAAGTTGGCGGTGGCTCTGCCAGGTCCTTGCATCGATGAGCTCCAGAACGTCAATGATGTGGGCAGGTTACTCATGTCAATTTCGATTGGCTCAAAATTGTTGCTGTTATCATAGTTGGTGAGTATACTGTATATACTAAGATGTTCAAGACGAGGGAATGTTGTTGCAGAGATTAATGGTATGTGAGCTGGTTTCGCCAATACAATCGACAACTTCTTGAGCGATGGCAAGGGTTGGATTGGTCGAGCGAGCATGTCCGAGAACACTAGTCTCAGTGTCTCCAATGTTGGATGATCGACCATTTGATGTGGGTTGTTCAACTCCATGTTGATGATGCTTGGTGGAAGGTTAATCAACGGATAGCTATGTCCCGAGTCAATCTTTAGCATTGTGAGTGAAGGTGGCAGTGCGTCGCCGTCCATTGGATGAGTGTAAAGGCCAGAGATAACCAAAGATTTGAGAGTGTCTGGCAATGATCCTTTGGTTATTGGTATGTTGAAGTGAGGGCCAAGGTTAACGTGCTCCAAGTGCAATGGGAGTGTTGGTGGGACAGGACTGCTGTTCCATGTGTAGCCGCCCACGATCTGCAGAGACTTGAGTCCCTCGGGGAGAACGTCGCGATTGAGTGGACTGTTGAAATCGCCAGAAATCAACAGAGTGTTCAAAGTGTTGGGAAAGAGATGACGATGAGGCGTCCACTCTTCTTCTCCCTCAAAATCTCCATCATGTCGTATTGTGATGCTCATTGATGTCAATGGCACATCCTGCATTGGTAGTGTTGGATTGAGTACATGTAGTTCAAACTCCACCTTTCCAGATGTTGTTGTGGTGTTGCGGCCAGTTCCTGATGTCAACAACTCATTCAAATCATTCCAGAATGTTTGATCATATGTTAAACTATTGTGTATTGAACTGAATATAATGGACATATTTACTCCAACAACATTCTTGATGATATTGTTAAGATTGTTGATCAACATCATATTGTTGCCATCTTGTTTGATTGGTGAATGAGTTAGTGAGTGATCAATGAAGGATAGTATTCAAACATACCATAAGCAATTGGAGTTGCACCATCTTTGATCACTAGGCTATTTGCAGTATCGAGTTCATTCACTGGATACACAAGTATCTTGTGTTGTTGTTGAGTCAGACAATCAACTGTCTTTCTAATATTACAATATGACTTGAGTACATCATTTTTTGTTATCAATGATGATGATGATGATGTTGTTGTTGTCAATGATAATGATGATGATATTATGTTCTTTACATTATCTACTAAGTATAGATATTCATGTCTTCGTTCAAACAATCTTTTAGATACTAATGTCAACACAATACGGTCTACATTGAACTCCAAGTAATCAACTATTATTGACAACACTGTACTTGGTAATGTATTTAGTGCCATGTCATCTTCGCTCTATCTATCTATCTGTTTATAATTATCTGTAGACTGTGTCCAAAGTTTGAGTGTTGTTGGACAATGTCAACCTTTGGAAAATGTCTAGAAACCCAAGATTTTGAGAACATTACACTTCCTTGAACTTCATCGTCATTCATAACCTCAAACAGATAAACACAATGTCAACAGTTACACATAGGCCAAACAATGTTGACAATGGCAAGGCTAGGCAGTCACAACAACAACAAGCTGCTACAGCAACTGCTGCTTGGTTACAGACTTCAAAGAAGGATGGCTCAGCAAGTTCAGTGACAACCTCAACTTCAACCTCAGGATCAGGATCATCATTATCATTGACATATATATATAATAGGAACATTATAATCAAGTTAGCATTGCTGACTAGAATATGTATATGGATATTCGCATTCGTTGTGACAAGATGGTTGAGTGCATTCGATAGCTCATCATCATTAAAGTCACTATCACCTCTGATTAACACGACCAACAACATGACGAACCCTTCAGAATGGCTCACATCACATCATTCATCGATTGTAGACAGTACTATATACCGTGTCTTTGTCAAATGGGACAGCTTCTTCTATCTACGCATTGCAGAGTATGGCTATGAGTATGAACAGTTCCACGCCTTCTTCCCAGCCTATCCACTACTGATCAGATGGGTATCAAATGGTATGTTTGATCGATCGATTGAAGGTGTGCACATCACATTGACATCCTCACCCTCGACTTGCCAGCATTGTCATTCATTAGCCTTGGTCACCTTCATCACTATGACGCGTTGGTGCTCAGCGCATTCATTATCAGCAATGTATCATTCGTCATGTCTGCAGTGCAGCTGTTAAAGTAAGTCAATCAAACGAGGGGATCACTACTTGGAATCATTCAAATCACTCATACTCACTCATTCAATCAATCAATGGTAGACTTGGCATCGTCATATTCAATGGACACAGACTGGCATTTGTGGCCGCGGTATTGTACTGCATCAATCCGGCAAATATATTCATGTCGGCCGTGTATACGGAGAGCGTATTCAATCTGTTTGTGTTTGCCGGACTGTATTACTTGCTGGGCGGTCGCTTCTATCTTAGCCCGTCACGCCAGCTTGGCTTGGACCGCATGCCCACGTCACGCATGGTGTTCAGCTCGATGGTCGGCTCACTACTATTCGCCGCGGCAACGTTCACTCGCTCCAATGGCATCCTCCTCAGTGGCTTTGTAATATTCAATCACATGGCGCCACTGTTCACGCGACTCTTCCGCAGGGCGTTCATCGTGCTCAACGCGCTGACGCAGAGGAAACGCTCGTCTCCCGCGCTGTCGCACTCCACATCGTTTGGCAACATTGACGCGCTGGCCGGCATGGGCGTCGGCGAGTTCATCCTACGTCTGCTGCTCATCGTGGTGCAGGTGGCCGTCGTCGTGCTGCCCTACATCCTCTTCCAATACTATGGCTACCAGCGATATTGTTCGCGAACACTGGACGACAGCAAGTATGGAGAGTGGCCGCGACCATGGTGTGGCAAGCCATTCCCCAACATCTATGCGTTTGTCCAGCATCATTATTGGAACCAGGGATTCTTCAACTATTACACCGTGCAGCAGATCCCCAACTTCCTGCTGGCCGCTCCAATGGTCGTGCTGTCTGTGTGCGCGGTCGTGTCGTACGTGCGTCACTATGCGCGCAACCCGTATGACATGAACCCAGCGGTGGCCTCGCGTATCCATCGTCTAAAGATCAAGGTTGGCGGCCAGGCATCACCGTACCACACTCCCAACCTGTTGCCATTCGTCACATACCTGGCCATCATCACGATATTCTCTGTTACCTTTATGCATGTACAAGTGATCACTCGATTCTTTACTCATTCTCCACTTATATTCTGGTTCGCTGCCAAGCCTTTCGTCGACATTGACTCATTGTCATCCTCCAGCTCACAACAACAACATCGAGTCGGTACTGGAAGCAATAGATTGTTCTCATCACAAACAATGATCACTGGATACTTCATGCTTTACAACATACTTGGATGTATACTTTTCCCAAACTTCTATCCATGGACATGAAGTTGGAAGTAAGATACCAACCTCGCGAATAAAGGCGGCAGCGGGACCAAGGTCCGTATCCCTGACTTCAAAGTTTTTGATTGGCTGTCTTGCAAAACATTCGCTGATTATGTGTGTGTGGTGGGGTGTGTGGGAAGAGTTGATTTTGATTGATCACGTTGAGTGCACTGGTCGGTGTGATTGATGGGGGGTGATCTGATTCGTCTTTTTTGTTGCAACTGTTCCTCTTTAAAAGGTTCACATGAACTGTACAAACCTTGCACCGTTTGACTGATTTGTTTGATTGATTGATTGTTTGATTGTTTGTTTGATTGTCAATGGTTACAATCAATTCGTCATACTAACAGTGTTACAAAGGGTCACCTTTATCATGTCAATCAATCATTCATTCAATCATTCATTCTATGACATCACAAAAACATATTTAAAAGAGATAATATAACACATACACATATATATTTATTTGTAACATCATGAAGTTGGTAACAATACTTGCACTCTTGTGCTTCATTTACTCTGGTAATATTCAATGATCACGTGAGGTCCTTGAGGTCCTTGAGGTCCTCAAGTAGGCCCCCGCCCCGGCCCACTCCATCACTAACTCATTCAATCAATCAATTAATCAATATAGGTGTCCAAGGCATCCAGGTAACATCTATACAATATGGAAGTTACCAAGCGTCTATGATGGGCACCGAACTGGACGCCAACGTCGATGTGGTCGTCTCGTATAATGGCAATGCCTATCCACTCTCGATTGATAACCGAGGTCCAAAATATTTGAATGTCAACTTTGGCGTTGATGTACCCTTGCAGGGCAACGTAGTCTTTAATAGCACTGGTACGCCCTTCGAGTCAGTGCCATGGCGTCCAATCTACATAAATACAGCGAGCCCAATCCCCACACAAGGCGGTGTCCTGTCGATCTCGGGAGCAATGATGATTGGCTCCGTCAGTGATGGACCGGGTGCAACCTTGGTCATCGTGCCACCTGCTGGTAGCCCCAAGTACACACTGACCAGTCGACTCGAACAAAGTGCCAACCTTACCATATTCAACGTCACCAACACAGGACACGCCTGCATCACTGGCCTACACACCAGTTTCCAGCTTTACCCCGATGGAGACGACACCACACCAGGTGATCACAGATTTGCCGAAATGATGTTCCCAGTTCAATGTAAGTCATGTCAAATGATTGATTGATTGATTGATTGATCACTGGAGCGCGCTCACTAACTCACTCGCCTCACTCAATCATTCAAGCCCCAACAATTATAACGAATGAGTTGACCAAGACCTCACTCCAGTTGACAGGAACTAACTTTGGTTGTAATGCATCCTTTATCAGAGTGACTTTGGATCAAATTCCAATGGGTGTGACCAATCTCACTGATCACTCAAGCTTGGCCATCCTACTTCCAAACTCAACTTCCGACATATACGACCCTACCCTCACCTACACCTACCCAGGCCTCAAGACACTCTCATTCACAGTAGATGGATTAACAACAAATGGTGCCAACATTATAACAATTAGTATGTATTATCATCATCATCATCATCGTCACATGATCACTAACATCCGATCATTTTAGGACCAATCATTGATAATATATCAAGAGTACAGGCTACTACTGGTGGCGTAGTCACGTTGACTGGCGCCTACTTGAGGACAAAGGATGAGATGAATCAGGCAATGAAGGTATCGATCAATGTTGGCGACAACATTGCATGTGTGTATGATCCAAACACAGTGTCCACACCAGGCATGATCACATGTGTCATGCCCAAGGCCACCGCGGCAGCACTCAATGCCCAACCACTGTTGGTCACTGTAACGATCAATGGTGTGGCCAGCACTGACAAGGTCTACTTCTCATACGAGGTACCAACACTCAGCCATCCATTCCAACTTGGCAATATATTGGTGTTGCCCGGTAGTGGTCTGGGCACCACGACACATTCCAGTGTGATCATCGATGGCAACATATTCTCTCCAGTGGCTATGGTCGACCATGTTGATGGCAGCCAACTGATGATCATGACCCTGCCCGAGGACATACCCCTCTACGTGCCGTTTGAAATCTCGGTCAACAACACCGGAGTGATGACACAGACCAGCAACATCACTGTGCGACTCATGAACATCACTGTCTCTGTCGCGCCAATAGCCGGTGGAGTCGTGACGATCACTGGCCAGCCATCGGTATTCTTTTCACCAGACATACACCAGGCTGACCTCGCCAGTCCACACTGCAAGTCGTTCACCGTGCTCAACACATCGACCGCCACATGTGTGGTGCCGGCCGGCTCGGGTATCCAATATCCACTGTCGATCACATTGTCAAACATCACAGCGATCACTGGCGAGTATAGATATGCCGCACCAATCATCGACTCATCGACCAGTGTCACGTCTAATGGTGGACCAATCACAATCACTGGACGCAACTTTGTCCAATCATCAGACTTGTTGGTGGTCGTTGGCCAGGTCACATGCAAGGATGCCAAGGTTATCAGTGTGCGTACATTGACGTGTACACTCGACAAGAGTGACCTACCCAAGCCACTTCCAGCAGACATCCTGCCCATCTCAGTCACAGTGTCCAAGCAACAAGCCGTCGCAAACATATTTGTATACATGACCTATCCAACATCCTCGACCACCGCTACTCCTTCGTCAACCTCGGCCACTACAACTTTGAGCTCCACTACTACAGACGCACCAAACACATCAAGTAAGATCCTTGCATCAAGTATTATTACAATGATTATGGTAATACTACTTGTGACACTGATCTAAGGTGTCAGTGTGTGATCACTGGAATCATACCCTCCACTCTTTGACCAGGGATCGTTTGTTGATAGAATGATCCCTGGGTTTACAATCGATAATATATATAATTATGCATCAATCAATCAATCTAATAATAATAAGTACGAATATGTTATATTATATGTATATATATCTTCATCATCAAGTCATTTGAATTGTCTATTCCCCAGGGAGAAGTCATCAAAGGTCACACTTTTATAGAAACTTGGAACTTGGAACTTTGAAGATTGACTTCATTCCTTAATTCATTTATTCATTCAATCAATCATTCATTCATATTTATGTACTAACTACCATCTACAACTAATAACTATCTTAATGGATAATAATGTTAATCCACAACTATCATATTATGTATTGAAGTTGATATATAGATGCTTGACCAGTGAGGGACATAGAGCTGCTTTGGACATCATGTGTTTAGGCCTAACTTGTAAGAGTCTGTACTCAATGATGCCAGATATGTTAAGTTTGTCAACAACCAATCAAGATAACGAACATCAAGATGATAATGATGATCACTTGGTCACAGTACACAACATTGGACAACTACTTCCGGATACTCTCTCAAGGTTGACTTTCGACAATGGGTTCAATAGAGTCATCATGCCTGGCCAGTTACCAAAGTCAATTAGAGTGATCAAGTTTGGTCGCGACTTCTCACAGAGTCTGAGTGCTGGAGCACTGCCACCCTCGCTCACTGAACTGTTCACAGGAGATGGCTTCAACAGGACTCTAGAGGCCGACTCTCTGCCTTCATCGCTCACATCGCTCACCTTTGGTCAATACTTCAATCAGCCACTGAACCACAACTCGCTGCCATCATCAATCAGATACCTGACATTCGGATTCGACTTTAACAAACCGATCGAACCTGGTGTGTTGCCATACTCCCTGATCACGCTGGTGTTTGGCCACAACTTCAACAAAGAACTGAAACCAGGAAGCCTGCCTCTATCACTTATCTCGCTCACATTTGGCAAGACGTTCAACAAGGGGTTGGAGCCTGGCACGCTGCCAGCCATGCTGACCACCTTGATCTGTGGCAACAGCTTCAATCAATATTTGGATCGTGGTGTCGTGCCTCAATCATTGACATCACTGAACTTAGGCGCCAAATATTCCTTGGGCTTGATACCCAATGCTCTTCCCGACTCGATACTCTGGCTCAAGTTTGGCGCATACTTTAACGCCCCGATCACACCAAGATCCTTACCAAGATCATTGACTTATTTGGAATTTGGAGACAACTTTGATCAGTCCATCTGTGTGGGATATCTCCCGCCCTCAATCACATTTCTAACGTTTGGATTCTCATTCAATCAGGCTATTGACGAGGGATGTCTCCCGCTCGCGCTCAACACATTGGTCATTGGCTACAGCTTCAATCAATCATTAAAGCCTGGTTGTCTGCCCGATGGTCTTCTCACCCTGGATTTTGGAGCATCCTTCAAAGGTCCACTTGAGGTGCAAGTACTACCCGAGACTCTTCGCTCTTTGGCCATTGGCGCCGGGTTTACACAAAACATAGTATTTCCCAAGAGTATTCAATCATTGATCCTGGACAACATTTCACAACTTGTTTATATCCAAGCATTACCTGGACCTCTGGACTCACTAGTAGTTCGAAGTGGAGACGTTGGTTTGACAAGCATGGAACTGAACATCCCTCCCATGCCCGTGGTACCCTACATCAAACACATGACTTTAAATATTGGATATGGATTGTCCACTCAACCAAGGACCTTGGACACACCAGTTATACCAATGAGAATATTACTGGATAATTTGGTCAAGAGTGTTGTTAGAAGGATGTCCAACGTGGAGACCTATCAAATGGAACTACTTGCGTTACCACTTCCAATTACCAAGCGATTTACATTATCAAGGCATCAACTTGATTTCAGATTGATCGATCCATCTTGTATTCTTATTGTCACTCATCATAGTCCAATGTGTGGAGATTTTGGAAATGGAAATGAAGGTGGAAATGGAAGTGGAGATGGAGATGTTGATGATGATATATTACCAAAATTCAGAATGATACATGGTCCCTATCACAAACTCAGAAACAGGAATGTCTATATTGATGCAATGTGTGCAGCAATAAACAAGTTATTCTTCTAATGTCCATCGGTGGACATACCCTCGCCCTCGCCCTCCCACTTGCCCTAGCCCTCACTTGACCAAAAGATCCAAAAAGTGATGGACCTTCCAAAGTTTGAACATTCTTGGATCTTTCAAAGATGGACAACTTGTCAGATTATTTGTTGCGAGAGATATATAATACTTTGTTATCTCTTGATAAAAATAATATATTGGATATAATATGTCTTGGTCTTACATGCCGACGATTCAAATCACTCTTTACCAACTGGTTTGATCATATCACACTCCAACAACCAAAGGATGTTGACTCAATCTTTAATACAACTGTCCCAACATCAACATCAGAAGAAGAGGAAGTGATCAATTGTCTCGACCTCAGCAAGCTACATCCCATGGTCAGGACACTGAAGCTTGGTTTCGGATTTAATGAAACGATACAGCCGGGCCAGCTACCCCGGTCGCTAACTATGCTCCATATGGGGGATGGCTTCAACTGTCCGCTTGAGACTGGCTCCCTCCCAGACACACTAACAAGCCTCATCTTTGGCTCGCACTTTGACCGTCCGATCCCCACCGGGGTCCTTCCTTCATCTCTCACACTCCTCCGCCTCGGCTACTGCTTCAACCAACAGATCGCGCACGGGGCCTTACCCAACTCATTGACCGACCTCCAGTTTGGACATTGCTACATTGTGAGGATTGACGCAAACATGCTACCGCCTTCTCTCACCCGACTCAAGTTTGGCTTCTGGTACAACTGCTTCTTCCCACCCCATTCGTTACCGCACTCGATCACCGAGCTGAGTGTAGGCACCATGTACAATCAATTGTTGGTCACTGGCTGCCTACCCAAATCGCTGACCTCGTTGGAGCTCGGCAAATGCTTCAATCAATCGCTCGATCATGGTGTGTTGCCCGCATCGCTCACCTACTTGAGTCTGTGCGACAACTTTAACAAGTCGCTGGTGTTACCAAACAAGATGCGAACGCTACACATCGGTGCCGCCACACAACTGCCACATCACTTGGGCGTGCTAAAGTTGCCAGCCAGTATGGACACTATGATCATCGATAATTTGTGCTTGGACAAGAAGTTGCCTAACATCCCTATCTTGTCATGGGCCGAGACCCAAGGTAGCGGTAGCTGCGAGAGCAGTAGGCTCAAACTACTCAAGATGACACTGGACAACAACAGCTATAACAAGAACTCGATTGAAACTATCTTGAAAGCATTTGTACATCTTCCCAAAGCAGATACCACCATGATATATGTGGGCGAGGCCGCATTCATCATTATGGATGAACATCAACATCACCTGTCCTACCGATGGATGGACGATCAATCAAAGACTGCCCTGTGTGTCACTAGCAATGGTACAATCTGGAAGTTGTTGAGTGTATAACTCAACTCTGACTGATCTAGGGTATGATCATATATATATATATCACACACTCACTCTCACACTCATTCACACTCTTTGATCACACAGGGTGTCATGTGATCAAACACTGACTATATAGTATGTGTGAGTGAGTGATCACACACTACAACAGCCTCGCCACATGCAACAGCAGCAACAGCCTAAATGGACCAGTCAATGAATGAATGTGAGAGTGAGGCCCACACTCTCTGCCACATCAACATTCAACAACATCAATCAATCATTCAAACATATTTATATATATATATATATATTATTTCAAACAATCAGGCATGCGACTTACACATAGAAATACTCCAACATCAGTAACATTGATTTGGTCATGGACATGGACTTCGGCATTGAGCTATAATGGGGCATGGACAATAGTGGTGGTGATAATGATGATCAGTCAGTTGTTGATAATAGGATGTCAAGGAATGGTCAGCCCCGCCAATGGCTACGTATATCCAGGAGCATACAATGATCCGACATTGGAAGAGGTCAAGGTGTTGATGTGGGCCGGCAACTGGTGGGCCGGCCTCGGCCAGGACCTGTCGCTACCCAACTACATTGGCGAACAGTATGCCAAGGCCAAATGCCCTGTCAACTGCCAGATACACGATGACAAATCTATGGCGCCCGATATGGACGCCATCATCTTTGAGCCGCAGCCATTCGCAGGCTTCCTCACCGAGTACCACACCAAGCTGCCCTTGTTCCCACAGAAGGAACCCAATCAGTATTATGGCGTGTTCACAATCGAGCAGCAACACTACTTCCCGTTGCAGGTCGACCCGGGCTTCCTCCAGCATATGGACTTCAACATGACGTTCAGGGCCAGCTCGCAAGTGCCCATCACCTACACATGTGCCTGGGGCACGCAGTTCACTGGCGGTTTGAACAGCTTCTCCAAGGCGGGCATGATTCCCTTTACATCAAAGTTGAAGAAGGTGGCGTTCATGTCAACCAACTGCGTGGAGGGTGGCGCGGCATTCCGTACCGAGTACATCAAGTCGCTACGCAAGGTGTTCTCGGTCGATGGACTTGGATCATGTCTACACACCAAGGATATCAATCCCAAGTACATCTCATATCCAGTGTTCAAGGACTTGGGTCGATCAATGATGATGAAGTCCAAGATCATGTCCGAGTATCTCTTTGGTCTTGCATTCGAGAACAACAACATCACAGACTATGTCACCGAGAAGGTCTACAATGTAATATTGTAAGTAATCCCGCACTCCATCACTAAATTACTCGATCACACTCGACCACAATCATTCATGATCACTCGATCACTCCATCAATCAATCATACCCAGCACCCACTCAATCTGTCGTTGGAACTATTCCAATCACTCTATCAAACATACCAATCACTCATTGACCCAACCAATCAATCAAACAATCAATCATGGATAGAGGTGGAACACTTCCAATATACATGGGAGCACCTAATATAGATGAATTTGTTCCAGAGAAGAGTATTATAAAGACCAGTGACTTTGAATCACCACAAGCATTGGCCAAGTATTTGAGCTATCTAGCATCGAATGAATCAGCCTACAATGAATACTTTGCATGGAAGTCCAAACCACTGCCTCAATTCTTCATCGACAAGTTCAACAACTGTGCATTCTATACTGCCGACTGTCGTCTATGTATGCACGTACACAACCTAAAGAATCAAGTAAGAACCACCTTATGCCATCACATATTCAATTAATCAATTACTGACACTGTCACTGTAGCATAATCAGGCCAACAAGTCTGGACATAGAGTCAACTTTGGTGAACCGGAATATGCCAAGAGATTATCAAAGTGTGCAGCGTTTGGTCCAGAGTCATGTATGATTGTTATGCCATACAAGCGCGTCGAGGACTCAATCAAAGAGTTTGCATTCACCTCATGGATCATCATGAACAAACAACAAAGCCAGTATGTATCCCTAATGACAATGACCAATCAATCAATCAATCAATCAATCAATCTAACATTGGATATCCAGGATATTTACATTTAACAATCAGATCAAGTTTGGAGTGATTATGGAGTGGGACAGGTTCTACTTGTCATTCTGCAACATGGATGATTGTTATGAAGGATCAATACCAATCATGTTTGGATTATGGTTCCATGTTGGATTCAGTTATAATAGTCAAACATCCAAGTTATGTCTATTTGTCAATGGTAAACAAGATGATTGTTATAACATTGTTGACTTGAAACCAATGGAATTCAAAGAAGACACTGGTATAACAATTGGATGTGGACATAACAGCAATGGCAACAATCATAATTCACCATATGAAGGATTGGTCGATGACATGGTATTTTGGAACAAAACATTGACAGAGGATCAGGTTGCCAAGTCAATGTTCTCAAAGTACCGAGGTGATGAACAATCATTGCTATTGTATATAACATTCAATGGTGATGAGATAGAGGACTACTCGGAAAGGAAATTGCCAATCCATGCTGACAAGGTGGTCCTTGGCCCCCATTCAACCAGAGAGATAGACCTAAACTGTTGTTAAACTAGACAGCATCATCATCATCATAAACATCATACTCCATCAATCCAGAGCATGTGGTACCACTTCTAAGATGAGTGTGTTGTGTGTGTTGTGGGGGTTGTTGGCAACAGTGATCACAATCAGGTGATTGTTGATGGTGGTAGGGGCATGGGTGATGATGGACGTGGGCGAGAATGTAAATATGTTGTATTGGCAATAACATATAATTGAGAGTACACTTATATATACAAATATATGTGTATTTGAGTGATCATGGAATTAATTAAGTGTTGAATTATGAGGATGATCAATGATCCCACTCACTCACTCATTCAATCAATCAACTTATTCATTGTTCAAACGATCACTATTATTATTATTATTTATTGGTTGGTTGGTTGTTGTTGTAATCACAACAATCGATTGTTCACTGTCAGAATACCAATTTACTCTTGTCTCAATCATCAATCACTCACTCAAATCAACTAAGTCACACATCATATATTGGTTGGAAAGTCAGTTGGTCAGTCATCCAGACAGACAGTTAATAAATCAATCAATCAATTAATCAATCAATAATACAACCAACCTAAACCCATATAATACCATCAATTAAACACCGACCACCTATCATCACCACACACCAACTCACTCAATCAATCTTAACATACACGATCGTGTTTTGTTCTAACTTAAATTAATATAACATAACCAATCATCGAGTTGTAATCCAACCATCTAGATAAACAATCAATCTCCTACCAAAGCCTATTCCCATTCACATCACTTCACCATTCGCCATTTTCCCAATTTCCTTTTTCCAGTTTCCAGTTTCCAACTTCCATTATCCAATATCCATTATCCAATATCCATTATCCCACTTCCAATATTCAACAATAATTATTATATTTATATTTATATAACAAGTAATATGGGAAATACTATATCATCTAAATTCCCAATTCTTACAAGTTTGAGAGGGAAGAAAGAGTTAAAGTTGTTGATGCTAGGTTTGGATGGAGCTGGAAAGACAACATTATTATATAGACTATTACTTAATGAGGTAGTGTCCACCATAAGTACACTAGGATACAATGTAGAGACAATACAACATAAGAACTTAAACCTAACTGTTTGGGTATGTATCCAATCAATCACATGATCACTTAATCATATGATCACACTACTCACTCATTCGATCAAACAAACAAACTTTAGGACTTGGCTGGCCAGGACTCTATTCGAGGACTATGGAGACCATTCTTCTACAAGTGTAATGCTATTATATTCGTTGTTGATAGTAGTGATCGATCGAGGATACAGGAGGCCGCTGAGGAGTTGGGTAAATTGATGATGGAGGAAGAGTTGAAGACTTGTCCTTTGTTATTGTTTGCCACTAAACAGGATTGTGAGAGTCCGATGGATGTGCCCGAGTTGACCGACTCGCTTGGTCTACATGAGGTACGCGATCGCAAGTGGTACATCCAGCCCACCAAGACCATCGAGGGAGTTGGTATCCATGAAGGTCTAGACTGGCTGGCGGCACAACTTCTCGAGCCCAAGCCCAAGAAGAAGAAGCAACAACATCAAAAGAAGAAACCAAAGCAAGTGGCACCAGAACCTGTGACTCCTGCCCCTGTCCCTGCACCTACAACCGCACCAGAGCCTGAGCCTGAGCCTGAGCCTGCGACTCCAGCTCCAGCTCCAGCTCCAACTCAAGAATGTGTCCCTGATGAAGCTGTCCCTGAAGCTGAAGCTCAAGCCAAGGATGAGTCAAAGCATGAGCCTGACACTCAGCCAAAGGATGAGTCTAGGGATGAGTCTGACATTAAGCCTGAGTCTGACATTAAGCCCGAGACTGAGAACAATGCATCGGCATGTCAGGAGACAACGCCACAACCTCAAGAACAGTCAGAGACAGTTGGTCGTGGCGAGGTCCCAGTTCCAGTTGCAGTGGAGGGATCACAACAAGATCGTGCGCACAAGAAACCTAAAAGACATCACAACGATATAGTTGCCGCATCAATCAAGGTCAACAAGTTCTTTACCAATACTATATCAAATATCAAGGCTCAACTGAGTCATTGACATTAAATTAATTAATTGTAATTATATATATATATATCTTGATTGATTGTTGTAACCTTGATCTTATTATTCTTTCTTCCCTGACGTGTTTCACTCCTTCTTCTCTTTCTTTGTAATAATTAATATTATTATTATTGTTATTCCAACAACACAATAGAGTGAGTGTGAAACACCATGTTTGCCTTTGATTTTGCCTCTTGTCTTTGTCGCGCGAGACATTTGTTTTCTTTCCTCAACAACATGACACGACACCATCGTGAACAACAAATTCAAATAACCTTGTTTGGTTAGTGTTTTGATTGTTTCTTCAAAAGAAGTCACACCTTCATTTTATAACTCTAATTCACTCCGATCCAATTCAAATAATTCATTGTTACACACACATAATCATTCACACATTATCCAACATCACATCAATCAATCAATCAATTAATAGACTCTACCCCCCAACAATACATACTCTCCAACACACCATCATCTACTCTCACATTGTTTGTCCCTCTCCACTACCATCCATCCATCTCTTCTCCATTTGGTTTGACTTCATTCATAATTACTTACTTATTTACATCATACTTAGAACTAGTTAGACAATAATATTCATTCAAGTTCAGACACAGCCAATCAATCATTCATTCATAGTTGTACAAATACACCAATAATACTTATACTTATACTTATAATTACACAGACAATCAATCAAGAGACATGTCCAGCGCAGTCAGTTTATCACCAGCTGAGAAGAGTAAGATTGAGTTGTTCATATTTGAACAGAAAGAGTGCATACCTTACTTACTCACTCAATCAATCAAACCAAACCAATCAATCAATCAGAGTCAATTGAGAATGTACTTACACAGAGAAGAGAAGAGGGTCGCTTGATATCAAAGGTGACGCCAATTAATGAGAAGAAGAATAAGAAGAAGGGCGATATGACATTGATACTTGGTATAAACAGGTTGTATCTGTTCAAGGCCAGTGGCAAGGTACAGGAGGATCTACATTATTTGGACATCACAGAGATACAGAGTCCTACCAGCCACGAGATCACCATCAAATTCAGAAGTGGACATCACATCAAGTTCCAATCGGCCGACACCGATGTCATCCTCAAGAACCTCTACACCGCCCTCGTCACCTCATTCCCTGCGATCACCATTGGCAAAGCCCTCATCTTCTCGCTTAACCCCGAGTCGAGGCTAGTCACTATATTCTCTGCAGGTATGATCAATCATTCTTTCAATTCAATCAATCAACTCACTGACACACTCAATCAATCAATCCAAACTAAACAGCAAGCATGAATAAGGACGTTGGAGCATGTGGATCATTCGCGACAACTTACAAGTCAGTGTGCGACTATATGAACATCCAGCCATTGTCTAGTGTGTTATGGGACATTGAGAATATGTACCCATTCAATTCGATAAAGGAGTTCAACTTGAATGAGATATACCAGTATGGACCTAGCGACCTGCGAGCTCTTATAACATCGTTCGCCTACAATAACTACTTCACATCGTTCGTGGCCAACAACTGCAAGCTCTCAAACGAGGAGACCAACCAGCTGGCTGAGTCACTAAAGATGAACACCACCATGCAGAAGCTCTGTCTGAACAACGTCCAATCGTCCAAAGAGTCGCTCATGGCCGTCCTCTCATCCGCCACAGAGAACAAGGCCATCAAACTACAACATCTCAACCTTGGCAACAACTATCTCGATGTAAGTTCAACATGATCGATTGATTGAATGAATGAGTGGCCTAACATACCACCTCGTACACACACAGAGCAAGGGTCTGGCATCGCTTGGAACAACAGTCCAATCATTCCCAACAGGAATAAGTTATTTGAATGTGGAAAATACTGGAGGCGGAGGCAAGGCCATGGAGGCTTTGTTCAACTCTATTATGACTTCGGCATCAGCCTCGACTTTGACATTCCTATCGATTAGCAACAACAAGTTGGAGGCGGCAGGTACTGCCGCACTTTGTAAGCTGCTGCACAAGGCAGCCCAACTCAACACTCTTCAGATGTCAAACACATCGCCCGTCTATGGCCAGTTGCGCAGCGGGTGCACTCCGCTCAAGGTACTTGACTTCTCGGGAAACAAGCCATCGTCGTCAAAAGAGACAATGATGGAGCTGCTTGGCTTCTTCAGACAGCTGCCACAGCTGACGCACATCAACCTGTCCCGTCTGGGCCTCAGTGGCGACGACCTCAAGCTCATCTTCAGTCCAGCCACCTCGCTTCTCAAGGTGCCCAACGTCGACCTCTCGGACAACGACCTCGGTGACGCTGGCCTGCTCAAGTTGTGCGAGGTCATGTACCCCAACTCCAACCTGCGCCACCTGGCCATCGATAACAATCTCAAGAGTCGCTCCAAACTGCGTGTTAGAGCAATTGAGGCCCTTTGCAACTTGATCGAGGACAACGTAGGCATCGAGTCACTGTCGGTCGCCTCCATATCCAAGGGCCTCAAGGGTGACCTGGTGCCTCTAGTTATGACCCTGCTCAAGAATGAATCTCTGGTCAAGCTGGACATCAGTGGCAATGGCATTGGCGACCACGGCGCTCTCGTGCTCTCCAAGGTGCTGTGGAAGAACAAGACACTCAAGAGCGTCAAGATCGACGGTAACGACTTCTCGGCGGGCGCGCTAAAGATCATTGAGCAGGCACTCAAGAGGAACCCAAGCCCAGCCACTCTGGTCTATCTTCCAATTATGGATGTAAACGCCATGCTCCTTGCCGACAAGTCCGCACCCAGCCACGACATGATCCACAAGACTCTAGTAGACATCCAGAACATAGTTAGCAACAGTGCACAGGCTCAGATGCCCGCCGCCGTCGACGGCGTGTCGCCAATGAAGCTTGTGGGTCTGGGCAGTGGTGGAAGTGGTGGCAGCGCATCAAGTCTGACCATTGGCCGCCGATCGATTGGATCAACTTCGCCTGTCAGCGCGTCCACCAAGCCCGCCGCCAAACCAGCCCCTATCGACGGCATGAATGCCAAGCGACCAGCTATTCGTGGACCACTATATCCAGGCCGCCAGATCCAGACCTCGGCGGAAACCTTCTCCAAGGGTGCCTCCACAACAGTAGAGATACCGCCAATAGTCTCGCGATCAGTCGACTTCCTCGTGGCCAACGGCACCAAGGTTGTTGGCATCTTTAGAACGTGCGCCAGCGCAACTTTGCTCAAGAAGATCAAGGCCCGCTTCGAAGCTGGCGAGGATCTGGACCTTGTCGCCGAGAACATCGACCCCGACACAGTGGCAGGCGTGCTCAAGAGCTATTTCCGTGAGCTCCCCGTGCCCATATTCCCCGAAACGATTCACGAGCGCTTCTTCCAAGCCTCGCGCATGCCCACGAACGAGGAGAAGGCCGCTGCATATCGCGAGGTCATTGAGCAGCTGCCAGCACTCGAGAACAAGATGTCCAAGCGTCTATTCCATCTGCTGCATCTTATCTCGCTGGAGAAGAGTGAGAACATGATGTCACCAGAGAACCTTGCGATATGCTGGGCCCCTACACTTTTTAGATCGTTCTCCTCCGAGCTGCTGCCGATCAACTCGTTCCTTGTGGTCAACTACTACGAGATCTTTGATCCAGAGAATGCACCTGTTAAGGCCAATACCAACGGCGCTGCGACCACACCAAGCGAAGAGTCGCCACAGAGCGCCAATGAAGAGCCGCTGCCAGGCTCGCCTCCCTCCGACGTACATGGCGAAGAGATTCCAATGGACGGCACAGCGACACTGCGAGGCAAGCGATTCACACGCGCCAAGAGCACCTACTCGCCCGTTATTGGACGAAGAACGATCAGAGAGCGAGATTCACAGGGTTGGACAGAGTCGTCGAGAACACTTTCATCACTATTCCAGGATGAATGGCAGCCAGAGACCTCCAACAACAACAGTCCACCAAGCTAACATCTTCATGGCCCATTATTATATCTCTTCCCTGCATACTCGCAACCAATCACTTTGTAACTAAATGAGCCAACTGGCTCACATACTTGTACATCAATTCTTTATTGACAATCTGACTTGGGATATCTCTGGAAATGACCTTTTCGGTGTGCTGGAACAAAGCCAAGTGGTAGCAATGCATTTGATAGCATCCGTTGATTGTAGTGAACTGTTTGAGGACCTTCGTTGTTGTTGTTGTCAGAGTGTAAGAATATTTGGAAACACATTGAAAAGTGGGTCATGTCGTTGAACATCGGCTTGTTGAGATGGGTTGCCAGTCTGTCAACATGAGTGTGGAGTTCTCCAGATGCATCTATATTGGAAATGTCATCCAAGTTGCCCATGACCAACTGAAGAGTTGTGAGGTTGGTGCTAGCGATACTATTTGGTAAAAGGTATGATACTGTATAGTCGATTGAATGGTTAAACAGTTGTAGTGTGGTTAAATGATGTGCATTAGCATAGAAAGTCTGAAGACCACTGGAGTTGATGTCTGAGAAGTGCTCAATTGCTAATGATAGATGGGTCAGATTGCTCATTCTGCAAAGAGCTACAGAAAAATACTCCAATGAATCCAATAGAGTGATAGTGATTGACTTGATGTGTTTGAGTTGCTCGGTATCTGCCTCTAAAATGTGCTGGAATGGATCGTACTCATCATCACTTCCTGCTTGTGTTCCAATTAGATGTCCGGATACTCTCTTCAGGTCCATATTTGGCAATAAATACCACATTTGATTGGAGTGATACTCAATCATTAGAAATGGGGAAGTGTGCTGGTCATTGATGATCTTTGAGAGTGGTTCGTGTACTTGGTCTTCGTTGAATGTCACTTCCTGATCGAATATATTTGGAACAAAATCATCATGATCATGAAAGGAGTTATATGATTCAATGAACTTGATATGACGAAGATTTGGTGTATGATTGGTACTTGGAAACTCCAAGTTTCCTTGAGGGCCCTCATATGGATTCTTTGACTTGAATGGGATTGTCAATGATCGCAATCTGTCGATAAAGTTGGCACGGTGAAGTTTTGGAATGAACTTGAATTGTCCAGAATTGAGATGTAGTGGCGGAGTGCGAAACAGGCAATACTCTGATCCTATGTGATCGATCATTGATTTGATTGTCAATGTTGGCAGTACATTGTACGATAGTACCAAGCTGACTGAGTTGTGGAATTGTTTGGACACCATGGCCAGAGACAATACCCATTTGATGTCCACTCTATAATCTTTGTCGTCAAAGAACTCCTCAGTCAACAGGAGTTGGACAACGTGATTGATGAGTCGTGCTGGTAGGGCTGGGCATGGCATAGGTGGTAGTACTAGTGCCACTTTGTTCAAATTCTCCCTGGTGATTGATTGGTGTTTGAACTTTTTGAATTGAACTTGATAGTGAAGGTACTCGGGGTGATTGGTATCCAGTCGAGCCAACAATTGTCGGCTGACCTCCTTGTATTGGGAGTAAACTTTGGTGGGATCACATCTACCTGCAGGGTTTATGCGTATCAGAGAGGAGTAACGATATTTGAGGAAGTGGTAAACTGCGGCAGGGTGTTGGGATATTGATGTTGAGTCCAACAACATCCTCTCAAAATAGTCCAGACCAGTGTCAACGAGAATGAGATCCAAGCATTGCATCCACCTGCTTGCCACATCCTGCAAAGGGAATGAGTTGATGAATGTGGTGATATGGTACCAAGTATATTCAAGTGATACTTTACTCCCAGACCTCGTCAAGAATTGGAATTGTTTGATGACCAATTTTATCAACTCCTCATCAACAAATGGTGCAAGGTACTTGACTACGAAGCCAAGATTGATTCGCGTGGAAAATTCGATGTGAAGGAGGTATGTTTTGGCCAACATATTTGTCTCTGATTGATACATTGGAAGCAGTTGATCAATCAGAGACTCAATTGTGAGTGCATCACTGTCGGTTGTTGGATCATTGATTGAATGTAGCCTTGTCAAGCGTAAGTCAACCAGTCCAGTGCACACCAAGTAAGCCAAAGCCAAATCCATGAATTGATTCAGTTTGCCAAGACTGATTTCGAACAACCTAATCGCACTTTGAATAATCAGCACTCTGTCTGCAAGTGATTGACAGTCATTAGGCTGCATTACATTAAAGCCATTCCAACAAGATGCCATGTGCTCCAATATATTCATTCTTTGCTCCATGCTCAATGAGCTCTGCTCAAGGGTTTGGCTAATGCTGTGCATTATCAACCGGTCAGTGGGATGGTACATACACGAGGCTATAGCGTCCTTAATCTCATTATAATGCTGGTCCTAAAGTCAGTCTATTAAATCCATTTATCCAAATCAACCAATCACAAAAATGAACTTACATGAATGAGCGACGGACCAATACGCTTGATAAGAATGTTCCTGCTATGGATGTTTCTCAGGCGTCTGAAACAAGAAGTGAAGCAGGATTGGAATGATCGAATGTGAGGCTGAAGAGCATTGAATAAATCTTCAGTATTTGGACCATTTACCAACAGATGTATCATTCTCTCTTGATTGTCATCTTTGTCGATGTCATCAATCACCATTGATAGCACTGAAGACATTGCATTCCAGTTATTCATCAGCCCATTGGCCATTGTAGACACTACTAGCCTTAAGATTATTTGATTGATTGAGAGTGATTTGGTGAGTGAGTGAGGGTGGAGGAATTCACTCGAGTTGTTGGATGGAAGCGGTTGATGTTAACATACTTAAAGAGTGATTGCTTGATCTCTCCATTGTCAATGATATTAGTTGGCAAGCTGCCCTTGTTAGCTATCCATTGGATAAAGTATAGAATTTGGTACGATGATGGTGGCGAGACCCTGCTGTTGGTCCCCAGCATCAGTTGAAAGAGTCCTTGTTCAACTCGATCTCTTCCAAAGGCTAATGAAATGTTGTCGTAACAACCAGGACAGTCCAAATAGGCACGAAGCAACATGAGATAGAGATTGAAAAGTTGATCCATCTGTTCATCATTTGCCAGACTAGACTCCCTCAGTGATGTGAGTAATGTTGAGATGAAGCCAGCATCCACCAAGATGAAATATGACCAATGTGGCTTGGCTATTGCCAAATTAAGGTATGACAATGTTTGTTCCAATGATCTGTCTTTCAACGACTCAAAGTCAATATTGTTCAGTAGTCGACCAAAGTCTTTAAGTATGTCATGCTCAATATTATGCAGATGACGACTATCTAGTAACTAAATGATGGTGAAGATTATGATAGTTAGAATGAGATGATCAAATGGTACTGAATTATATTATTAAACATACATTGGATACCAGTGTCAACAAACATTGTTGCTGTGTTGACGAATGTATTGACTCTGTTTTTTGGTTTGGATGGTTGGGATAGTTGATCAACAACTCACTGATGGCAATGTTTAACTGGTTGGAAGTGATATAGTATCGTGATTTGGAGTTCTTGAATCCTATTAGGTAAGATTTGATCTTGTTGAGTGGAGACAATGGAGCTCGGGACGATTTTTTCTTGTCTAGGTCTGAGATGACCAATGTTATGGGATGGATGTGGATAGGCTTGTCACCTTTTTCTTTGTCTTGTGTAGGAGGTATCAACTCATAGTTAAGAATGACCAAGTGACCCCTTATTGCTAAGGTAAACTTCTTCACACGGATGCATGTGTTGATTGGAAAGTCCCTGGTCTTCTTAGAGGTATCATTAATAAGTGCAGATACAATGTGTTTTGAATCGGACAGTTCAAGACTAGACGAAAGAGAGAGAGTGAGTATATGTAGAATAGTGTAGTTTAGTGAATCAATCAATCTATCCAACCGATAAGATTATAAACTTAACTTACAATACTTTGTCTCGAATTTGGTGATTGATTCCAACTATCTGAAGGACTATGTCAGAGTTGGTGCAATTGGAGTCAGTGTTAGAGCTGTATGTTGCAAGTCTCTCTAGATGGGTATCCAATAATGTCTTGTTGTAGTTGATATCCATGATATATTATTGTATATTAGGTTGAATGAATGAAAGAATAAAAGAATGAAATGAAACTGAAGAATGTATGAATGTAGTTGCTTGACCTCAATACTTAGAAATGCAACACTGTTGGTGTCTCTCTTCGCCCACCAATTTGATTGATTGACAGCCAATCTGATGTTCCAAATAAGGATAAGTTGAGGTTGTTTACGCGTAAACAACCTGGCGGTGTGCTAGCTAGCTAGCTAGCTAGCTCACTAGTTAATGAGTTAATGTATGTCCAACCATGTTAATTAGTTTTATTCATGAACAGCAGCAACGATCGCAGCAGAAGAATACATTTAGTTCTCCTCCTCCTCAGCTGGGGCGTTCTTGGATCTGGCGACCTTCTTGGCACGACGACCTGGCTTTCCACCAGCGTATGGTGAGTTGGGGTTCATTCTGATGTGCTTCTGAGAGTCGACACGGACCAAGAATGAGGCAACGTCGACCAATTGCTTTCCAACGCTGTATTAATCCAAATCAATCATGTCAATCAAGTCAATCAATCATTTCGATAATCGCATATATGATTAGTAGTTTGAGTGGAGGAATGAATGTTAGATATGCTCCCTCCATCAAATGAATGAATGAATGAATGTGATAACTTACCAGATGTGTCTACCCTTGATGAGGACACGAGCGTGATGGATGGACTTGGCCAAACCGAGCTTGAAGACCATAGTCTGAAGACGACGCTCCATGAAGTCCTGGGTCTTGAGGTTGAGGACGTAATCGAGCTTGTTCTTGGACTCATCCATGACACCGAGTCTGTGGAGACGACGGAGGAGAGCGGAGCCATCAAACATACGCTTTGGGTCCTTCTCGTCAAGCACGAGGAGCTCTCTTGCTGACTTACGGATCTTGGCGAGGGCGAGTTGGACTCTCCACACCTCACTCTTGTTCTTCAGTCCGTACTCTCCAACGATCTTGAGCTCGTTGTCCAGACGCTCCTTCTCGAAAGGACGACGTGGGGTGGAGTTGGTTTTGCTGTCTATTGGTTGTTGATGTTGTGATTCATGTTAGTCCTCTATTGTGTATGATAATCTGTATCGTATCGTATCGTCTATCATCTGTATCATCCTCTATCCTGATGGTGTTCTATCTGTATATCTTCGCACTGTATCGCATAGTTGTATTGATCGGATGTATGTATCATTTCGAGATTTTGGATTGGTTGAGTTGATTGAGTTGATAGAGTTGATTGGTCGCGATCATCTAGCTAGAGATGGATAGGATTGTGATTGGATTGAAGAACGATGTATTACAGTTACGCAGAGACATGGTCAGAATATGGTCGATACAATGAGAGTGAGCCTGAATCAGATTCACTTAGTCATTCTCCAGAGATGCAGAGTGGTGATCGTGTCCGCGAGGGAGTATGTGCGAGGTCCTTGCTGCTAGAGGTAACCCAAAACAACTCTCAAAATAAAAATAAATCAATTTCAATACTTTGGAAAGAAGTTCAGATTCTTCAAAGGATGTTGTGATCGCTTGGATATATTAATACAGATAGAGATAGAACAGATAACTATACATATAACATATTTGCACAATAGAACTTGTTCAATATATTCAAACAAACAACTTGAATGAACGAACGAATGAACGAATAATTGAATGATTGAATGATCGAACGAACGAGTGGAGCAATGGTGACGATGATGATTAGGTATATTATTTAGAATGATCTTTCGAGGAGTACTTTGGCATCGGAAGGTGTTACTTGTTTCCATGCCATGGGAGTCCAGAGTAGTTCAACTTTGGTGAGGACTTGATCACCAGGTACGTTCTCGTAAGTGAACATTAGACTGGATTTGTTGTTGGGGTCCTTGACAGTGGCAGATATGGGGTCCTCTGGCTGGCCAAATGGTCTCTGGCCCATGGTAAGCATCTTGACGTACTTGGAGCCATCGGCATAGGTGATTCGCAACGTGTAGTCACAGCCACTGGTCGCACAATAGAAGCCGATGGGTGGTCGGTTGGGAGAGTAGGCCTGGATCTGCTTGAGATCAGTCGGGTCCAAGTATCGAAGAAGGTTGCCCTTCAAGGACTTGACGGGCGTGTAGATAAAGCTGCATCCAGTGCATGTTGGAGTCTCTGATTGATCATAATACCAGAACACAGTGTAGACTGGTACATCACGCTTGATTGGCATGCTGTCATCGAATCCAAACTGAGCGAACGAGCTATTCTGCAGCGTGTAGGGCTCCAGAAGGCCAGAGGCCGCATTACACTTGAGGTATGAGTCGGTGGTCGGCACGTAGGTGATTTGTTGCTGGAAGAAGTTCTCAATGATGGCCTGATTGTAGTCACTGAACATCTGGTATGCGTAGCCGGGCGTGGGTGGGTCGTTGCCAGTGATCATCGGATCGAACTTGTAGCACTTGTTCACGGCACAATTATCACGAGTGTATCTTGAAGAGTTTGATGCAGTTGTCGTTGGGAGGAACTCATTGTGATCAAAGTTGAATCCCCATACTGATCCATCGAGTGATCCTGCTGGATATGGGTATTTGTTTGGATATTCCTCATCAGCGTGCTATATAGATTAAGACCACGATTGTATATATGTTAGTTATTTGATTGGAATGATTCCAGAGTGATTGGATTGATGCTTGGGAGTGATCGGAATGACTCCTGAGTGATTGAATGGATGAATGAGTGATTGGAGTGACGATCGGTGTGATTGATTGAGTGATTGGAATGATTCCATGGTGTGATTGAGTGGTGGACGACACTTACATTTAGTCCCTCACCATGTCCAAGTTCATGAATGAAGAAGATATTCTCATAGTCTCCATCACCATCTTTGGCTCCAACATAGGCAATTCCACGATTGAGTCGGACGTAGGTACCTTGAGCGTTTCGTTGGAATACTGGGAGATAGGTTTGTAAGTTGGCAAAGTCGAATCCCCATGCTCTTCTGATGGCAGTCGCATGATCCAACAAATGTAGGACAACCAATCTATAACTCTCATCAGCAAATTCATCAGAGTTTGATACAACCTTGGCTGGGGCGCTGCCTGTGGGCGGGGCCACCAGTGTTGGCAACTCCAACTGACCCATTGGATGGTTGTCCGTGGTGAGCTTGGACACTGGCCACTGTTGGTAGAGGAATGGCTTTGTTACCGCGGGCAGATCATGGATATTGGATGGATGGTTGAGCTTTGGATCGATACCATAAAGGTAGATTGGAAGGATACGAGCATCAACATAGTTTGGACATGTTACGATTGGTTGCACAGGGTCTGAAGGTATATCGGCTGTGTTCAGCACCTCAATCTTCATTCCTGGCTTCATGAGACTGGCTGGTATCTTCACGCTGTATGTGTCCGCGCCATAAGTTGGGCCCTTTGACTCTGTTCCTGGGAGTTCGCTTGGGAGCTGGCTCGTCAAGACTGTGGGGTCGGCGTTGACCCTCTTGTTTACAAACTTGCCGGTTGTCGAGCTTCCTGGAGGTGTAATCCTGACTTGTGGACGGAAGTCAGAGGGGAGTGTGTCTTTCTCCTTGATCTGGTACAACAACAAAGCATCCCTCTCACCCAGTACGGTCAACTTCTTTTCAACACCATCGCCAGCCTTCAAAGACAGACCCTGAGGATCGAGCACATGTGTTTGGGCAATCTTTGTGTTGACAAGAGTGAGTGGAGGTGGTGGAGGGGGCGTAGGGGATGGCGTTGAGCTTGTTGCCGGAGAAGTAGTTGCCGGAGAAGTGGTAGCAGGATCTGTTGTAGCTGGAGTGGTTGTTGCAGGGGCTGTGGTAGCAGTTGTAGCAGGGGCGGTTGTAGTAGGAGCAGTAGTGGCAGTTGTAGCTGTATCTGTTGTGGCTGGGGCAGCAGTGGTAGCTGTAGTTGCAGGAGCAGTGGTAGATGGGGATGTGGTAGCTGTAGTAGCAGGGGCGGTGGTAGTTGGAGCAGTAGTGGCAGTGGTAGCTGTGTCTGTTGTAGCTGGGGCTGTTGTAGTTGGAGCAGTAGTAGCCGGAGCAGTTGTAGTTGGAGCAGTAGTGGCAGTGGTAGCTGTAGCTGTTGTGGCTGGAGCAGCAGTAGTTGGAGCAGTAGTAGTTGCTGTCGTGGCTGGAGCAGTTGTAGTTGGAGCAGTAGTTGCAGTCGTAGCAGGAGCGGTTGTAGCAGGAGCAGTAGTAGCTGGAGCAGTGGCTGTATCAGTCGTAGCAGGAGCAGTTGTGGACGGAGCAGTAGTGGCTGTATCTGTTGTAGCTGGGGCAGTTGTTGCTGGAGCTGTAGTGGCGGGGGCCGTAGTAACAGGAGATGTGGTGGGAGGAGCGGTGGCTGTATCTGTGGTGGCCGGTGCAGTTGTAGCGGGTGCAGTTGTTGGAGCTGAAGTGGCCTCTGAGGTGGTTGATGGGATTGTACTTGTAGTTGCAGTGGTGGCCGTGATCACTGATGTTGTTTGTGGCTCAGATGTAGTTGTTTGTGGAGCAGATGTTATCGAGACAGATGTTGTTGGTTCAGAGGTCGATGGCAGAACGCTGGTCGTCATTGAAATGGTTGGGTCAATGGGTGGCATTGTTGTCGGTACCTCCGATGATGATGAAGCCTCTGATGAGTTCTGGGGAGCTGAGGACGATGCTTGGGCCTCCGACGATGATGATGTTTGTTGTTCCGAAGACGATGATTGAGCAGCAGATGATGATGATTGATGCTCTGAAGACGATGCTTGAGCCTCAGATGATGATGATGGTTGCTCAGATGAAGTTGATGGTACTGAGGTTGTGAGTGAGGAAGTGGTTGGGATGGAGGTTGTTGGAATGGAGGTTGTCGGCGATGAACTGGTACCTGGAGTTGACGAGGTCACTGGTGGTGGAGTTATAGGTGGGGGAGGTACCATTAGACATCTTGGCGAATCACCAGAATTGTCACATGCCAGTGGATATGGACATTGAAGGAATCTACATTTGTCCACACATGTTGGAGGCAACACTGTATTATGTGGTTGGCAACATATCTCATTGCTCAGGCATATCTTGTTTGAGCAACTAGTCAATGATGATGACGAATATGCATTTGTCACTATTTAATTTGTTAGTTTGATTGATTGATTGATTCATTTTGGATCTCATGTGATCAATAATTTATTACCATTCCAGATTGATGCCAAGAGGATAAAGGACAATAATATCCTTTTTCCATGATTGAGTTCCAAACTCATTGATTGGTGTTGTGATTGTTGTTGATGTTGTTGATGTAGTTGTCTGACAGACAAATCTACTACTACTACTACTACTATTTTAGTTTGTTTGTTATTATTATTACAAAATGATTGATTATTATTATTATTATTATTATTATTATCTTTTTCAATAGTAATAAAGGATAAGGTAGGAGTAGTATGTGGTCCACGTGCGAAGGAAGCAGATGGGTAAAGGCCTTAATAAGTTAACACTTCTCTACTCACTTTATAAATGTTACTGATAAAGTGATGGAGAGTGTGTGTGTGTGTGTGTGTGTGTATGTGTGTTTGTACATGATTTACTGATCATTAGATCACACTGTTGGTGTGTTAAATCACACACTACTCTATCATCATTGGTTTAAAAAACAGATAATTGGGAATAATACCTGTTGCACTGATCATACATTTATAAATGAATTCAAACAAAGATCGGTCTCTTGATGGATGGAACCCATCAAAATGAAGGTTGGCACCTCATGATGCCAACAAATCTAAAGTATCTAGATATGCGAGCGAGGTGGCCCTTCATTTAAGTTCCGTGGCCCAATCCCGAATCAGGAAAAAGCACCTGATGTGTAGTCTTGGTTGTGGTGGACAATCAAACAGGGACATGATCATGATCATGATCAAGGTCACTAACAATCAATCAATCAATCAAACATCTATCCCCTTAACAAATAATAATGTATAACTTCAAAACACAACAACTACTATTGTTGTTGGCCACACTACTGTTGCTCAGTGGCAGTGGTGGTTGGACACTGACCTTGACCAATGCTCAATACGTCCATATGCTGCACTATACAGCTGTTGGTTGTTCCTCTGATATAATCAAGGCATCGTCGTATAAGATCGACTCTTGCTATGCCGGAGTGACAGGCTCTTATGGCTACACGATGACCACAGCCAATCAGATCACATTCAATCAATACCTTACACCCAACTGCACTGGTGCCGTCAACAAGACCGATCTATTCACTCCCGGCAAGTGCTCCATGACCTACCTCTCCTCCATGGCACTACTATCCGACACAATCATCATCCCCACCGTGTCCAAGAACTTCTACGAGAAGTATCCCGTTGGATTGTAAGTATCTTGTCTTGCATCACAACCCTCGACCCTCGACCCTCGGCCCTCGACCCTCAACCCTCGACTCTAACATCCCATCACTCACTCAATCTAGTGATTGTAATAATGATAATGCGGCAAGACATAGTATGATTAGTGGCTATTGTGTGCCTAATGATGTGTGGAAGGGACAGGTGGTCAATACCGGCATATCGATGGCGTATGAGTTGGCGAATGTTCAGTGTCTAGGAGCCAAACCCGCGGACTTTGCAACCTACCTGGCAGGCTGCTCAGCAGCAAACTTGTACAATGTTGCCAACGCTTTCTCTGTGACCAGTCCTCTTTCTATGTCAGTGCAGGTATCAGTCACCGGCTATGACAGTGTCAGTGTGACAGCAGCACAGTTTTCTGGTTGGATTGGAATGGGACATCTGTTTGAGGTGTTCTATTCGACGACCAGTGGCAACTGGGCACGTCTCAATCAATCTGCTGGCACAGGTGTGGCACAGAGATGTTACTCTACATTACTACCATGTACCATATCAAGCATACCAATCGGTACCAGTGTCTCCAACACTGTCATCAGTCTCAAGTTCGTCTTGGCCGGCATCGACTACTTCGCGTCCAATACGCCACCATCCTACACAGCAGGTGGCATCAAAATGCCTTCATGTATGTTACCCTCGCACTTGCCCTAACCCTCGCCCAACCATCGTCCTAACCCTCGCCTCACCATCAGCTCCAACAATGCAGAACCTTGTGATCAAGGACCAGACAACTAGTTCAATCACATTTAACTACACAGCTGCTGGTGGATATAATGGACTCACCTTTGTCGTAACAGTGAATAGCTTGCAGATCAATACACAAGCATGTACAACTGGTCCAACTTGTACTGTCACTGGCCTACCAGTGGCCAGTCAACCAGTGATTGTAGTGTACGCCACCAGTTCAGGAAGGAACTCACCTAGTGTGACACAAACCGGACAGCTGCTCAAGGGTGTCACCATGGCCCCGCTCACCGTTGACATTGGCACGACAAGGAAGAACATCACCGTGCACTATGTAGGGTCAGGCGGAGACATAAGACAGCCATACAGCTACAGCACCTACCTCAATGGTACTCTCAAGTGTAATACTACCGCCTCATTCTGCTCAGTCACCGGACTCTCTTTGGTATACTATGATATCAAGGTTGTCGCCACCAATGATGGACAGCAGAGCACACAAAGCACATCGGTAAACCTAGCCGTCATCCCTCTGCAACCTCCCAACATCACAGCCATAATAGGTACGACGCATGCTACCATCCAGTTCTACGCATCTGGCGGCGAGGACATCATCGCCACAGTCTACAACGTGACGGTCAATGGAGTGTTGACCTGTATCAAGACTCTCCAATCGACTTGTGAGGCCAAGGGTCTGGCGCCATTCACAACATACAGTGTTCAAGTCACCGCCACCAAGGGAGCGACCACAACAGGTGCCACCTTTCAGTTCCAGACCTATCAATCAGTTGACATGCCAACAGTGATCGCTACACAGAACTTGAACAACACTGTCACCATCCAATACTTTGCGGACCATGGTGTGCCATTCAACAGCACATTCACTGTTCGTGCCAATGGTACCTTGATCCCACTCTGTGTCAACACCACCGCGACTGTATGCCAACTCTTCAATCCCAACCTTGGCCAATACTACCAATTCAGTGTCAATGTCTACAATGATGGCGCCAGCAAGACTGCCTACCAAGATATCATGCTCTATACATGTAAGTTGGGTCGGATGGACGCGTCTGGAACCATCCCATCAATCTGGCTAACACACTCGATCAATCAATCAATCAAATTAGATCCAACAACATTCTCAATAACAAAGATGTTGGCAACAATGTCATCAATTGATGTTGAGTGGAACGCGAGTACTGGTGGCGCGCCAGACTCATCATACTACACTACAGCAGTATCTTTGAACAAGGTAGTCTGGAGTGATGTGTGTGTCAAGTCCTTGGAGCTATCATGTCAAATCAAGAACCTACTACCCAACACGATACATTACATCCGTGTCACAATGACCAACTACATCTTTACGCCAGTGGTGGCAACATCCAACAACTCTACTCTCTCACTGCCAGTCACCATCAACTACTGTTTGAATGCACAAGGTGTCTCATGCTCGGGCAATGGCAACTGCACCAACAATATATGTTTGTGTAACAATCAATGGAAGGGACAGTATTGCGAGGAGCGTATATCCGATCAAAACACAAACAATGGAACTATTGGACACGATCCCAACTCACCTGGAATCAACGTCACGTCCAAGGGCGTGTACTTCTCATTCGCTGTCAACAAAATAATTGAGCGTGACTCTGTCGGCATCATTGTCAAGCAGCTAAACATGACCAATCTGGTGTGGTTCTTGATGACCAGTTCCAACTCCACTGTTACCGTGCCCACCACCAACGACACTGTCCTCGAGACGCGTCTAACCTACATCTCCAACACCTCCACCAACCCAATGGACTCGATCGAGGTCACCTTCCTCCAGTACCATGCCATCCAAGGAGTAACGAGGATGTCCAACGTCATGTTTGAGTTTGCCAATCAACAGTTTACAATCGACCTGGGCTCAATCAAGTATAACGTGGCCATCAACAAATGGAAGTTTACAAGTTATTTGAACACATTGGAGATACACAGCACTGTTTCCAGGATCAATGGAGGCAGCTGTGACGAGACAATACAGGGACGACTACTCAATAATGGACCAATATCAACAATGAACATCACAGACTCAAATGGAAACAACATTGTTGGAAGATTCATCAATCGTGTTGTTCTGGATCAGACACCTCGCCTGCTTAACCTCTATGAGCTGGACCAGGAGAGCAAGGAGAACATGACGATCGTAGCAGTGGCACCGGCATTCTCTCAGAGACTCGAGATGGATCCTGACTTTGGATTCTTGGTGCGTGGCGACTCGTCAGTACCAAGGAACACTTGTCATCAACCAGATGACAACAAATGGAAATTGATCACTGGAGTCGTTGTAGGTGGCGTTGTACTCTTGGCTGTGGCCATCACAGCCACAATATTCATACTAAAGAGGAATGCTGTTTATATCAAACATCATCTAAAACTAAATAAGATAAAGAATGATGAATAAATAAGTTATTCCACAGATCTATTAACTTTTGGCATATTTGTAACCTTTGTTTATATAATCAATTTTATTTATGAGAAAATATAGTTAAGATTATTAGATAGTATACAATATAGGGAGTATAAATATTATATTTATTATCCATGGGATTTGAATTATCACTTCAAAAACATACATACAAGTATGAAAAAAAGAAGGAAAATGAATAATTTTAAAAGAGAAAAGGCTCCAACGAGATTCGAACTCGTGACCCCTTCCTTACTAGGGAAGTACAATAACCAGCTATGCTATGGAGCCGATGTTTTTAGCAAATAAATAATACGGTATTTATGTCCAAAATTTTTTGCATTGCTCATTTTCATAAACAAAATTATCAAAGAAATTTAATCTTTGTTACTAACTTGTTGATTAATTTATGATTCCTATTGAGGAATAAGTTTTTTTAGTATTAATAATCTTAATTAAGATGGCAATGAAGTTCAAATTATGAGGTTACCACCCGACTTGGTTGTGATTGAAGGGGGTGTGATCATAAAGTAGTGGTGCTAATTAACTAGTTATCACACATACTTATACAATAATTATAATACAAATAAAGAGATATATATTGGATATATACTACCAATATCTGTAATAGATAATAACAGAATAAATAACCTTAACAACAACTTCAATATCATCAGAGTGATAAACAGGAGCAGGAGTCGACATACTTTTCCTGCATTGCAGATCAAGACATATGATTGTTTCACGACTCGACAATATACAACTACACTACTGCCATTAGTACGACTCTGTCACCTCCCTCCCTCACTCAACTCACTCCCTCACTCGACGACGATTAGTACAGAATGAACTTCTTCTCGTTGGGTTCAAAGCCAAAGAACAAGTATTCTTTGGAGAACCTAAAGTATGTTAAACCTTAGGACTCTCGATCAATCAATGACTCGATCACTCACTCGATCACTCGATCACCTCAGGTACCTCTACAATACTTTAGTCAAGAACCCTATAATCACACCGAACAACAGCAGCACAATCATCGAGACACTGAGGCAGTTGGCCGAGGTACTAATATGGGGCGATCAGAACAACAACTCTTTATTCGAGTATGACCTCAATGATCGTGATAATGGATGGATCGATCAATCATGATCTCATGTACTCACTCATCCAAACCAATCACTCAATCAATCAATCAGGTTCTTTCTTGAGAAGAATCTATTAGGATTCTTTGTAGCTATTCTCGATCAAAAGACATCGACTGAGGTGATCATACAGCTATTACAGACTCTGAGTATCCTTGTTGAGAACCTTCGATCACAGATGTCAATATGTATGTTTGTTTGATTGAATGGACTGGGCACTCAATCAATCAACTAACATCAACCTAATCTTAAGACTACCTACTATCGAATAACTACATCAATGAGATAATTATACACAAGTTTGACTTCTCCATCGAGGAGGTGTTGGACTACTACATCTCCTTCCTCAAAGCACTGTCACTCAAGCTGGACAAGAGTACGATCAACTTCTTCTTCAATGGACAGGAGAAGGACTTCCCCCTCTACACAGAGGCAATCAAATTCATCAATCACAAAGAGGCAATGATACGCATTGCCGTTCGAACACTCACTCTCTCAGTCTTCAAAGGTATGTCCAATCATCGATCGACAGGCTCATGAGTTGATCGACTGACTGACTGACTGACCACTCATGGAACCATTCCAAATCAATCAATTAGTTGAGGACGATGCAATGAGAACATATATTATCAACTCTACAGCAGTTCCATACTTTTCAAACATTGTTTGGTACATTAGACAAGAGTGCGCCAACTTGAACAAGGTGCTGGAGAAGTCAAGCCATGAGAATACAAGTCAACTCACTTATTGCTTCGATGAGCTGGCCGATCAGTTCTACTACCTGCACGACATTTTCAATCTTGGCTTCGACTCGATGAACCTGGTGCTGGCCGAACAGTTCATCCAGTATCTTATATTCCCTCAGCTCATTGGTAGTCTGTTGCTTGGCTCAGACTCGAGCGGCAGCAGCAAGAGCACCGCCGAGCCGCTGGAGGACCGGCTCACACCCTCACTTGCACTGTTCCTCCTGGCGCAAGTGTTTCACATCTTCACTTTCAAACCATTGCTGGACACTGTGGCCACGGCCATCGCCTCGACCACACCCTCTCAATCACAGATGCTCAACACCAACCCTTCGGCGCCGCCACCGCTCTCCGTCCTGAGCACACAACGCAAACATTATAATAGCTTCCGACGAATATATTCTTATCCAAGTCTAGAGCATCATGAAGCCAACAGTAGTGGCGGAGGAGGTGGCGGCAGTGGCGGAGGCGGTGGCCAGCCATCATCATCGACGACCAAGAGGAAGAAGGACTCACTCAAGCATAGTAGCACGAACAGTACACCAGCCATTCGTGTGACGGAGAAGATAACAGTGAACGATACGACAAATGCGACCAAACACAGCCCCGACGACCAAGACGACATGGGTTCGAATGTGTCGGGCTCCCCACCCGCAGCCTCTGGCGACAAGTCCAACGAACCAGTACATCGCGCCAAGAATGAGTTGTCCAGCTCGGTCGACAGCGGATCAACAAGCATCAGTTGCGATTCGAAACTGAGCAGCAAGAGGAAGCACAACAAGGACGAGCTGAAGCAGACACTACTCCAACTGATCAGCAAGGACAGGGAGACGTTCGGCGTCGTCTGTCTGCTCTACTCATTCTTGAAGAACACACACGTCGATCAGAAGATTCTGGAGAGTGGCGGACTGCTGCCGTACCGTTTGGCCAAGGCCAAGAAGCTGCTGGAGGGTCTGCTCTCGCCCGAGTCCTCGTCGCCCGTGCTCTCATCTTCATTGCCCATCTCACCAACACACTATCGATCCAAGTCCGAATCACACGCACGTCTATCACCAATCTCATTGGGCAGCGAGCCCGTCGCCAAGAGAGACATTGTCACATTGTACAGCAGTGACAATGCCGATGAGGCAGATGATATCTTTGCGAATGGTAATGGCAATAGCAATGGCAATGGCAACATTATCAGCATCAAGCCCAACAACAACAAGGACAGTACATCATTGGCGTCAGCACTCAAGAACCAGATGTTACAACGAAGCATTCAACAAAAGATCCTAAACAACAACAACAACAACACCAATGTGTCAGAGGCCATACCAATCTTGAAGATTATGGGACAACAGATGATGAACCGTGAGGGCGACGAGGAGGAGTTTGTGCCTGTTCCAGACTCGAGTCAGAAGGACTTCACGAGGAACCTCATCGATCGTTTGTTCTTGGTGCTAGTCAACAGCAATCAGTTCCGTTTGATCACACTCCAGATGACACTGCTCGTGCTGAAGGAGTTGGTATACTCGCCCGAGTCGCCATCCAAGCTGACCGAGACGCAGCTGGCGCTATTAGAGGAGGCCTACTCAATGGTCACCAACAACCTGAAGGAGAAGTTGGTGGGCAACCTGGCTCCGGTGTTCCTCGAGCTGTTTGAAGAGGAGCTGAGGTCGTACAAACAGATCAGCTTTGATTTCTTGCTCAAGGACGTCAACCTGATCCTGCCCGTTCCCGAGACACCCACTTCTCGTCTTTCTCTGGCCAAGCGTCTGCCTTCGGGAGAGGTCGAGATGACTCAGAAGGCCATCCAGCAGTTTCTGGTGCTGCGCGAGCTCAAGTACACACTGCTGCGACGCAAAGACACGATGCTCCCACTCAAACAACCACAGATACCAATTGTACGCGAGAAGGACTTGTTCAATCTGGACACGGACAACTTTGATATCATCTATTACTATCAGGTCGCAGCGCCACAAGCTGGTCAACCACAGACAAAGAAGAAGACTAGGAATTGCGGAGTGCTCTACCACAACCTGTTGCTCAATGTCGATCCCAACAATGTGCCGCCACAGAACAAGGCCGGCGTGTTTGGAATGATCACACATGTGGCCCCGCTTCAGCGACTGGAGATTGAGCAATCACATCTGGACGCCACCATTCTTCGAGTGTTCAGTCATCCGACGCGATGGAATGTTGACATGGGCTTTGATGAGGAGTCCAAGTGCCAGCAGGCCAAAGCGCTGCTCGAGACTGCGCGCGATGACGTCAGATCGAGCAAGATGCGACAGATCTACACATTACTGGGCGAGCGCGATCCATATATTGACGACGACCCAGACAGTCTTTTACCGACCGCTTCCTCCACGCCGCCTACCCGTGTCATTGTCCCAATTGACGCGTCCAATTCACATCCTCTGGCATTCAGTGGTGAGCTCAAGCCTCAACCAACTCCTCTATCTGGTGCCAAACAATCATCATCATCGTCTAGGAACAACAATAGACACTCACTGACAGAGCGAAAGGAGAACATATTCCAATCATTCTTGAATGATCCTGTAGACGACTACAAAGAGTTGAACCTGCTCTCTGACGAATCATTACAACAACATCAACAACAACTACAACAACAACATAACGATAGTATTACAAGTACTGATGCTGTTCCAGATGTAGACTCGATAACTCTTGACATCCCAGCACCAATACCACTACCACCAACTACTCCCACTTCCACTACCACGACGACAACAACATCAACAACTTCCACCACCGCAACAACAACAACAAATGATTCGTTTGTTGACCCATTAACTTCATCTTTACAACAGTTGTAGTGCTGTAAGATATACATATATACATATACATATACATATATATACAACCAATAAAGGAGGGTTGTCCTCTGGCGGGACGACCTTCTGTTACGCGCGTCCCTGGCAACTTGCTGGGGCATCCATCGATAATAATACTATCTATCAAGGTTATGTTGTTCATTTAGACTTTGGCTTTGATGTTGGCTTGACGAATGGCTTGCTGATTGCTGACTTGTTTGCCTTTCTTGTCCTTGGAACAACGTGACGAGGCTTCTTCTTGTCATTTTCGTTGGCAACGTTCTTTCCCTTGGGCTTCTCTTTGTTGGGGAATATTCTAATAGTTCTTCCATTGACCTCCATCTCCTTCTTCTCAATGGCACGTCTGGCACCAATTGTCTTCTTGAACAGTACATAGGCAAAGCCCTTTCCCATTCCAGTATGCTTATCTCTAATGATTCTAACATTCTCCACGTCTCCAATTGTCTCTTCAAATACATTATGTAATTCCTCATTCTCCAACTCTATATATGTTTGAATGTCGCGATAAGTTCCATCAATGATTGAATGAGTGATTGAGTGATTGGGATGATTCCAAGGATATTGAATGAGTGGCGGAGTTGTCAGTTGAGTTGTCTTTTGGAAACCAATATGGTGGACACTGGCCACCTGTTGAAGTACTTACCGAATGGGATACCACCAACGAATACTGTATTCTCATCCTTGCCCTTCTCCTGTGTACCATGAACAACTTTGTATTAGTATCCATCTCTTGTACCTCGCTCGCTCGTTCATTCAACTTACATGTTTGTTGGCAGCTATATCCAGACGAAGATGTCTCTCCCTGAACAGTGTACCATTCATCGCCAGTGCCTTCTTGGCATCGCTCTCCTTCTCAAAGACGACGTAGGCATTGCATGTGTCTCTCTTATCATGATACTCCTTGTTGATGTATGTTGCCTTTCTGTTGGCACCCTCCTTGTTGACGGGCAACGATCTGAATCTGACGTGCTCGACCTTGCCATACTTTCCAAACAATGCCTTCAATTCCTTTGGATTGGAGGACAGGTCGACATTGGCCACGAACACTGTGCGTGGATTGGACTCGTCTCTGATCTCCTGGTCCTTTTGCTTTCTCGCTTCCTTCTCCTCTTCTGTGACTGTTTGCTTGCCAACACTGTTGAGACGTGGTGCAGTTGGAGCCTCGGTCGTCTCAGCAGGAGCAGGTGCTTCAAATGCGTTCGTTGTTGAGAATGAGTCCATAACTGCCTTATTGTTACCACTTGCTTGTTGCTCATCTCCCTGTTGTTTCCTCAATGCGTCAAAGATAGACATGCCAGAGGATACTGGTGCTGGTGCTGGTGCTTGTGTTGGTGTTGGTGTCAGCTCAGGTACTGCCTCCTTAGCAACAAAAGGGGCTGCTGGTGCAGTAGTAGTCTTCTTCTCAACTCTCTGTTTCTTGGTGACCTTCTCAGATTGAACGACCTTGTTGTTCTCCTCAGCATCATTCGACTCTGATTCAGTGTTCTTCCTCTTTTGCTGTGGTTGTTTGGTCTGTTCCTTCTTCTGTGGTGTCTGCTTCTTCTGTTGTTGTGGTGTAGTGGTAGTCTTCTTCTCTACTGATTTAGTTGTTGGTGCCTCTGTCGTTGTTATATCCTTTGTCGTAGTCTTCTTTGTATCCTTTGCTGGGGTTGTTGTTGTTGTCTTTGTCTTCTTTGTATCCTTGGCTGGGGTAGTAGTCGCTGGCTTTGATGGGGTTGTAGTGGCTGTCTTGGCTGGTGTAGCAGTCGCAGTCTTGGCTGGAGTGGTCGTTTGCTTTGATGGGGTTGTAGTAGCTGTCTTGGCTGGGGTGGTAGTAGCAGCCTTGGCTGGTGTTGCCGCAGTCTTGGCTGGTGTTGCCGCAGACTTGGCTGGGGTGGTAGCAGTCTTGGCTGGGGTTGTTGCAGACTTGGCTGGAGTTGTTGACTTTGAAGGCTTGTTGACCTTCTCTGGAGTGGTTGTCTCGATGACAGCCTTGCTATCTTTAGTCTTTTTAGGTGTTTTATCCATATCTTAATCTATATCAGTGTTGTGTGTGTATGTGTATTTGTATGATTGTTGATAAAGTGAGAATGAAGATTGATCGAGTCGAGTCGTTCGTTTTTTTCAATATTGTTCACAAAAACAAATCAAATAAATAAATTAATTACATACAAACCAATCAGCAAGGGATATTGTAATTGAATACACTATTACATTTACGTGTGTATCTGTAGGTATATATATATATGTGTGTTTGATGGTATGAACATCCCATTAATTCAATGTGTTGATGAGGTTGAATTCGAATAGGGGTATGAACAACAACAACAACTTGTTATTATGTGTAGTGAAGATGTGTGGTGTGTTGTGGTGTCCTCTCATCATCTTGTTTGTTTGATGTTGTTGTTGTGATGTGATAGCCATTCATTCATTCATTCAATCATTCATTCACCATTCAATCCAGTAATAATATAGAGAAGAGAAGGATGGAAGATCCAAATAATAATAATAAGAATGTTGGACAACAGACTTTGATTGATATTGATGATGACCTAAATGGCAATAACAACAACAATAATAATAATAATAATAATGAAGGACAATCAATACAACAACAACAACAACACCAACAACAACAAGAACAATATACACTATCATCAGTAGATACATCTCCAGAGACAAAGAGGAAAAAGAAAAAGAAGGACAAGGATAGGGCAACTGAGATATTACATAAAGATGCTGATCATCACAATGAACATGAACATGAACATGAACATGATATAGAGGAGGAAGAAGATGAGGAGGAGGATGATCATCATGATGATGATCATGAGGAAGATGATGATGATGAAGAGGAGGATGAAGGTGATGATGAGGATGAAGAGGAGAAACGTGCACATAAGCAAGCAAAGAAGGAGGAGAAGAAGAAACTAAAGAAACAGAAAAAGGCAAAGAAGAAGGAGAAGAAGGAGATGAAGAGGAGGATGAAGGAGCAACAACATGGCATGCATGAGGAAGGAAGGGAGGAGAAGGAAGAGCCAACCTCAACGACTACAACAACTACAACTACCACGACCACTGGAGCTCCTGGACAAGGCGGGTTCGAGACATTCATTCCAAAGCCGCCAACAATGATAAAGCTCCCCAAAAAAAAGAAGGAAAAGAAGAAGGACCGAACTGAGCTGACCAGGCGATCAAGTAGTAGCAATGTGTTGGACGAATTGATGTCACAGGTGCCAGTAACCTCGGTGTCTGGTGGCGGTGTCGGCAACATCAACAGTATACCTGAGGAGTTCCTATCGTTTGACAAGATTCCACCTCGTTACAGCAACTATCCTGCATCGTACCAACAACAACAGCAGCATGCCATCGATATGAAGTTGGGCAAGGGCAAGATCCCCGTGTGGAGAAAGGTCCTGAGCGATGACTCCAAACTATTCTCCAACGAGAGGACCTGGATGAGCTGGGTTGGACTGACATTCTCTTTGGGTGCCATTGGAACATCGATCATCACATTCTTTGGAACCGAGAACATTGCATTGTTCACAGGTGTATCCCTATGGGTAATTGCCCTCGGATTCCTAATCTACTCATATGTAATGTTTAGAAGGAGACGACATGCAATCCTTACCAAGACCAAGGGTCCTTACTATGATCCATACGGTCCTGTTGCAATGGTATGTAGTGGCATAATAATATATATTAATGACAATCAAACAACTAATCAATTAATCAATTTAATAGGTTGTTACTGTAATGTTCTCAGTGTCACTATTCCTTATATTCTTCATATGGAAGAGGCCGTCGGCAATTGTAAAGAGAGGTTAATACAGTGATCTAGAAGATTTATCAATCTGAATATATTCATTCTGCTAGGGTCTTGACCTCCGATTCAGGTTGAATTTTCTCCACCCAAGGTGGAGGCAGATCATTCCTTCCAACTAATTTAGTTTCAAGATATTGGAAATTGATCTTGTCCATTTCTTCCTCAAGGATCGTCTTTATTTCCAAGACGATGCTCTCATTCAACTTTTGTGATTTACTAACTGTTTTGAATAGATCACCCTTCACCTTAATGAGATTGGTACAAGGTTGAACAGCTCCTGGTAGTTTCTTGAATGTAGGGTCCATGTAATTGAGTAGGAAGTCTATAGATTATTTTATCCTGTTTTGACTTTACTTTGGAACTGATCATTGAACTCTTAAATATATCCCATTTTAATAGTCCATCCAAGAGTTCTTCAATTGCAAAACTGTTGTTATACATTTGGTATTGTAGAATTTTAAAACAACCATAATGTACAAGGTTGATATCTGGTGATCTATGCCGGGCACCATTTCTTCTAGCGCTACCATGAGGAATCAAATTCTTTCTGATCTTTGAGCAATTGAGACCAAGAGAACACTTTAAATTTGTTAATTTAAAAAGATTAAATTAATTAATATAATTATATATAATCTAATTAATATCACAGTAAATATTAATTAATTAATCACTGTATACTTACATGATTATTTGGAAGCTTTGTGTAATAGTTTGATAGATAATAAGACAAATTCCTCATTGTGTGTCGGTGAAATGCATGTGACTTACAAAGCCAGAATAGGTCAAGCTTTATTCCAATGTAATAATAATAATAATAATACAAAGAAGATGAACTGATGATAGTTTTGGTTGGTTGAATGGTTAATTGACAGAGTCAATAGCCTGGGATGGTACATATATAAATAAATATATATAGAGAGAGGGAGAGATTATATACAAGGTAATGGATATGTATGGGAAGTGTGATAGATGCCAAGCCAAGGTTGACAACATGTTGCCAAACTCTACTGGTAGGCAGACTCTTCGGCGGCCAGCTTGAAGTCACCCTCTTGGATGTCAAACAGCTTCTGGTACTTATATATGGCCTCGGTCAACACTTCAAACAGTTGCTTGCCCTCGCCCTCGCGACAAATGACCTTGCGCTTGTGTGGCTCGGACTTGTACTTCATCCACACAATATCCTGGTTCTCAAAGTCCAGGGCTACCTCGTCGATGCCGGCAAAGGAGTTCTCGCTCTTGATGCTCTTCTGATCGAGATTGAGCAGCGAGTCGATCGTCAGCTTGAACGTGCGCTCCTGGTGCTTGCCGGCCTTGTTCACCTTGATCACCTTGTACTCAGTGGGCAGTGGTATGTTCTGGTAGGTCTGGGTTGAGCCCAGTGGTGGGTACTTGGACAGGCCCTCCTTGAAGCCGGCGCCCAGGATGTCTTGTACGATGTGGTCCCTCTCCAGCTCGTCGTTGCACACGTAACGACGCACGCCATCCGAGACGCTCTTGGTTAGGCCGGTGACGGCGTTGGACAGGAAGCCAATCCTGGACTTGCTGCCTGTTGTCGTGGTAAGGTCGTGGCCCTCTGGAGAATCGCCCTTGAACTTCATCGATATCTCGACTGATCCCAACACTGACGCGATCTCATCAATCTCATCAATTCTCTTCTCATTCTGTATCCTCTTGGTCTTTGGATCGATGTTCAACAGTGAGTTGCTCGTGAACTTGATCAAACTATGTCATTGATTGAATGAATGATTGATTGTTAGATTGATTGATTTGAATGGAATGGTTCCAGGATACATACCGCTCTTGCTTCTTTCCCTTGGAGTTGACCTTGACTACACGATAACTCTTGGTGATGTAGTCCTTGCTTGTCTCGGGCAAGGCGATGTTCTCAGTGTCGATGTAGGTGGTGAGCTGCTTCCAGTTGTAGATCTCGTGTATCTTCCTCTTGAGCTTCCTGCTGGTGAATGTACGCATGAAGTAGATGACGGCGCGAGTGTACGCAGAGGGGTGGACAATGAAGAGATTCTCAATGTTCTTCCTGTACTTGCGTGAGAAGACCTCGGCCAGCTTGGGCAGATGCGTGAAGATGGCACGCTTCATGTCGGATGAGACATGCGACCAGGACATGTCGACCACCAGTGTGTAGGCCGATGTGTTAACGCAGCTATCCATCACCTTGAAGATGTGCGCAATCAGCGGGTTGATGTTGTCAAAGACCTCGGGCTTGATGCGGTTGAAGATGAGGTAGAACACGGGGCGATCGTGCTTGTCGTTGGGGCCCTGGAAGAGGAAGCGTGCGCGCTCCAACATCAGGGTGAAGTCGTCGATGCCTGGATTGAGACTGCCCTGCTGCTGCTGTTGCTGCTGGAGCAGGTCCTCCTTTTTCTTCTTCTCGACTTTGGTCTTGGGCGACGAGCCCAGCTGCTTGAGAATGTCCAGGATCTTGGGACAGGAACGGTTGCTGGCGAGTTTGATCGCCAGCTTGTCCTTGTACATGTCCAAGATGCGATGCAGGTCGAACAAGTCGTGTATCTCGAGACTGCGGATGTAGCTGTCCCATGGTGATGGGACGAATGGTATTTGTGACTGCAACTGTGAAGTGGCAGGTGGGTGATGTTGAGGCGGGGAATAGCTGCCCGGTGTGCGTGGCGAGCTGCCTGTGCTGCCACTGCCCGTGCTGCCTGTGGCTTGTTTGTGAATGACACCGTTGCCCCATGTGGATGACATGGGTGCGGGTACCGAGGGATGAGTGGACTGTGATGGAGTGAATGTGGATGGCGTTGTGACCGTCCACTTTGATGCTGGTGACTTGGTCTCCATGCGTGGTGATCTGATTGCGCTGCCGCCAGGCTTACACACCAGGAAGCCTTGCTGTGTTGGCGGAACGCCCTCCAAATCACACCATTTCTGCGTGTTGTTCAGAGGGTCCTTGCAGATCATCTGGAAGTACTTTGACATCTTCTGTTTGTTATCCATTATGAAGTTATTCATACATGACATGCACTCCTCCTTTCCTCCAAACAGTACTCCATTCGATGTGTTCTGTGTTAGGTGAGTGAGTGAGTGAGTATGAGTTGGCGCGGTTGGCGAGTGGCGTGACTTACCTGAAGAATCTTGGCCAGGAGGATGAGGTTGCGCTTGGCACGTCGCGAGGGGACAATGTCAGGGGCAATGAGTTTGGAGTACTCGGGCGTGACGATGGCTGGTGTGAAGAAGCGGAGCATGATGAAGCCTCCGACAAGTGGTGCCAAAGACTCTGGCGCATACTTTAACGCAGACTCTGATGTATAATCAGCAATGGCACGGATCTCACGTGGCATCTCCTCAACAATCGTTGGATCTGTTATCCTATCAATGAACAACTGTGCCGTCTCCTTCAATGCCTTTAGATTCTGTTGAATCATTGTAGCAGGGTTGGCGTTGCTGTTGTTGGTGGTGGTTGCTGCGCTGCCTGGCTTGCCGCTCACCGCAGGCGGTGAGTCATTGACATCATCATCGTCCTTGTTGTAAGCTTTGAGTTTGTGTGGGTCGATCTCCATGCGCAGGTCCTTGTCCAGGACGACCTTGGTGACGAGGTCGGAGAGTACGTAGCGGAGGTAGCTTGCGCCGACCAGACGCACGTAGGCGCCCTCAATCTTGTTGACTATATTATTGCCACGCATGATTGAGCCCTCGCCTTCGGAATTCGCCTGCTTATTGAACTCATTGAATATCAAGTACTTGATCAACGGCAATGTCTTATTAGCCGCCGTGTATATATTGACCACTGTCTTTGCGAAGGAATCGACTTCTGACGAGTCCAACAAGTTTGCCAATCCACTTGTGAACCTGTTGTGTTTGTGTGTTTCCGTGTTTCCGTGTGAGTTTCCGCGCGAGTGTTAGTTCGGAGATTGGGCGTGTGGCGTGGTGTTTCGCGTCAGTTGACGAGCGGTAACAATGAAGGATACATACGTGTTGTCCTTGACACATAAGTCCACCAACTCTCCATATATTGCTGTTGAGTTATTCCAAGCATTCTTTCGCCAAACTAACAAATCTGATGATTTCACCAATGGTTCCATCTCCTTCTATGTATATATATATTATATCTTATATTATCTGTATCTGTATTTGTATTCCGTATCTGTATATCTACACCAACACACTCTAGACTAAACTACACTCTTAATCATTGATTATAAATAACAGAGTATCTGTATCTGTATCTGTATCTGTGTCTGTGTCTGTGTCTGTGTCTATATCAATGTTGATATTAATATTAGCAACACACACAAAGATGAGATGAGATGAGTAGATGGAATGGTACAGGTATGAATGGATGGATGAATGAATGACCCAGATGAGCCCAGCCGACCAATCCAAGGATAGTTCTGGTGGGGCACAGGGCCGTAAAAATTGATAATAGTTTGGTTTTGATCGATTGCTGTTGATGAACTGAGATGGTGAGTTGTGGTCGACCATACCATCAACTCCCTTAGAATAAAACTATGAGACTGATCTGCTGAGCCACCTCTTTCCCAGCATCATGTCCTCTTTATTGTGTTCAATCGTCAGCAAACGAACCGATCCACAAAAATCAATGGTTTTTTTGTATCCCCACATGTTTAATTTCATTGAAGCACGATCATCATTGACGAGTTTGGATTCAGTGTGTGTTGGTGACGAATACTCCAACGACATTTGATTCGTTCCATTCCGATTCCAAACGAAAGGGAACCTGTCTAAATAACTTAACAGAGTCGGTTAGCACTAACTAGTTCAATTCCAATGTGTTGGGATCATTGTCGGATGATAGATAGGAAACACAATGTCATGCAAAGTTGTGGCATTCAATTGTCCCATCATTGGCAAAGCCGAGAGAGCATGCTGTGCATTGTCAATGATATGTAATGAATGATTTGGCTTAGTTGTTGGCTTTGTTTGGAGACTGGGGAGGAGGGGAGAGAGAGTGGAGCGCGCTTGCTTTATATATATCTACATTTATCATCATGATGAGTTAACTGGGTTTACTAACAGTTGCTGGATTGAATAGTTGCAGCTGCCAGTTTGGTTGATTGATTGATTGATTGATTGAGTGAGTGAGTGAGACGACAGACACCTAATTAGTTGCCACATGGACACTTCTTCTGTTGAGCTGGAGACGAAGGATCTTCCAGCAGCTTCTTGTTGTGAACCTGGTTGTGCTTCATACTATTGGATTGATTGACAAGGTGTAAGAATGAGATGAAGCAAGGTAGTCGTGAACGGAGAATATATACATACACAACTTCAATATCTTGTACGATTGAATCAAACACAGCACTGACACCAACATTGTCTTTGGCACTGGTCTCTAGGAACTTGATGCTCAACTCGTCGGCAAGAGCCTTGCCTTGCTCAAAGGTCACCTTGCGCTGTGTGACCAGGTCAGACTTGTTGCCCACCAGTATCATAATCATTCCACCGTTTGAGTATTGGTTGATCTCCTCTATCCACGATCTGCAACGCTCAAATGACTTGGGGTCGGTCGTGTCGTACACGACAATGACACCATGTGAGCCACGATAGAAGGTCTGAGTGATCGACTTGAATCGCTCCTGTCCGGCCGTGTCCCAAAGTTGCAGCTTCACAATCTGTCCTGTCTCCTTGTTTCTAATTGTCTTTACGTTAAAGTCAACGCCCAACGTTGGTGCAAAGTGTGGAGTGAACGTGTTGTCTGTGAATCTAACAAGTATAGAACTCTGTATACATATGAGTTAGTTAGTATGTCATCGTCTTGGCATGTACTTGATGTCATTCGTTCAATCATCGCTCATTCATTCATACCTTTCCAACAGCAGTCTCGCCAACCAGAATGATCTTATATAATATCTCCTCGCTTTATTTGATTGAATTATTGATTGTTTGGTTAGTAATCTTGTCATCATCATCAGCAGCTCATTCATTCGATCAATCAATCAAACATACTCTGACATTGTATAAATAAACTTGAAGTTTGTGTGAAATGGGTGTTATTACAAGTAGTGTAATAAGTGTATGGTTATATTATAACAAGTAAATATATATAAATATAAATAGGTTAGTAATACAATAATATAGTATATTATTATTATGTGTATTTGTTTGAATGAATAGAGTTGACTTGGTGTCCGTTGTCGAGTTGTGATGATGTGTTTGTTGTTTGTGTTGTTTGAGTGAAAGGGGGAATATTAGTTTTTTTTCAAACACTCTTCCAAAGTATGAGAATAGTTGACGAGGTGCAAGGTATGTGAGTGATGATGCCTGGTTTGATCGTTTGAATCGTGGAATGGAACCAAGTGTGGGCCAGCCATCAATTAATCAATCAAATCACCAGTGATGATGGATGCCATACCTGGTACACTTAGCCGAATCGTCTTTTTGGAATTTCATCTGTATCCATTCAGCCTGGTAAACATGGAAAATTGAATGAATGAATGATTGATCTCAATTATTACAACGACATCATTTTATTCAAGTTGTTTGATGATAAGGTCATTACTGTTATCTGTGTCATGACCATGTATTGATAGTGAACTCATTGGTAGTGGAATGTGTGATGGATCCTTCTTGATATCTCGTGCCAAACGTCTCATCTTGATGTTATCAACCCGATCTAATCTCTTCTTCTCTTTGTCCTTCTCATGCTGCACGGTCGATGCCTTGATAATGAATAGCCACACCTCGACCGCAACACCAAAGATACCACAGCCTAGACCGATGGCCAGTCCGACCACATAGCTTCCGAACCATTTGCCTCCGGCAAAGATACCACATGCCAACAACGTGAAGAATGTCGCCAAGATGTTCAACACAATTGATGCTTGCGACGAGATTGAAGCCAGCTCCATCTCATCCTCCTTCTCCTGCGTGATATTCTTTGTCATCTTCTTATAATGTTGTTCCTCATACATATTCTGAAGGTAGAGTCTTCGTGCCACCTTCTCTGGGTCGATCTGAGTATGTTTGATTGATTGAGGTTGATTAAGTTAGTGAATGCATGATTGATTGAGTGAGTGTCAAGCCAATGAGTACACATACCACCTCCTTTGGCTTTGGTTCAATGTATATAGTAGCACCTCGCAGTATATCTTGTAAGTAGCATGGTGGTTCATAGGTCTTGTTGTTGTTATCTTCGCTCGTTGTTGTTTGATTTCTAATTGATGCATCTGCGGCCGTTGTTGTTGTTGTTGTTGTGTTGACCACAGACTCATCCTGCTGTTGTTGCTGATAGAGATACTTTAGATGTGTAGACAATGACTTTACCAATGAATATGGTATTGATTTGACAGAGGATGTCGAATACTTGTTTATAAAGTCTTGCATCTCGCGATCCAAGTTGAGTCTATGTACATTGTTGGCCACCCTATCCAACGAGCTCTTTAATACTGGTGTCAATACAAATTGAATATCCATCCTACTATTCATATTTGATATGATCAATTGAATGTGTAATATATATGTATGTGTGATTGATTGAACGAATGAATGAATGAATGAATGAATGAATGAAGTGTCGTTGTCACATGTGATGTTTTGACTTTGTAAAGCCCCAAACGTCAATTTACCAGCCCAGGTGCACCGGGTGAAAGTTTTGTTTGTCCAACCCCAGGGTCACGTGAGATCTTCTTCAAGATCATGGTCCAACTTGTCATCTGACACATTGAAAGAATTCTACAACTTGTCCAACCAGGACTGGTACCATTCAACCAACAATTAATTCTCTCTTTTCATTGTTATAAATATATCAAATACCAATCAATCAAGGCCCAATATTAAAATAAGGTTAAGTGGAGAAAGAATATAAAAAGTTATCAATCATGATGAAGATGATCTTTGAACGAATATGACGTAATGTTATAAAGTTAAGATGGTGATCGTTTGTTTCAGATAAAGCACTGGCTAAAAAATATCTAAAGTTTGATTGGAAGTTAATCAAAAAATATCTGTGTTTCTCAAGTTACCGAGTGTAGATTATAATAGGTAGGATTCCGACCGACTCTTGATCACTTCTGTCTTAGCATTCTGATACACTTCTCTATTATCAACAACTACTATTACTACAACTATTACAAATACAACTACATCAATGACATTATAAATTTAGGTACTCAATCATTTAATCAATTACTCAATCAATCACTCAATCAACTGCGTAGAAAGTATTTATTATCACATGATCTCTGTATTCCAACTGATAGAGATAGTAGCGATCGTACTCTATTCATTCCTACTCATCGTTTGTCTGATATCATTCTGGAAGTCATTCCAACGCAATGAATTTGCACTCATCTCTAGGATATTCCACTTGTTCATCTTCTTATTCGTATTGTGTAAGTTGCTAGCTTGATCACAACATGGTCATCATCATACTCTGTCTCCTAACATGCATGCATCATATGGATACAACAGGCAGGATATTATGGTACACATTGAGGGTAGCTGAGGGTGAGACACCATGGACTTTCATCCTCAACAACTTTGGATTCCTCTTTGACATGACAGGTCTATCAGTTATTTTGTTCTTCTGGTAAGGACTCCTGGACACTCCACTCCACTCCAACATTGCCAGGACTAACAATCAATCAAACATCACATCACTCAGGATTGAACAATACTATCAAACTTATGTGGCATCGACAGAGTTCTTCCCAACAATGAAGATGACATTCGTAGCAATCAATCTGGCGATGTATGGTATCGAGATCATATTAGTTTCACTATTCTTCACAGTCAATCACTCTAGGAAAGAGGGAAGTACAGTATATTTATTGAACACATTATACCAAGGTATGTATTACCGCATTCACATTGTCTGATCACGTGACAGAACGTTTCCCATACAAATCCAGTCACGTGATCAGACTTACCCATACAAATCTGATCAGCTGACACTAACCATTGATCCAAATGCTCCTAACGATCATAGTGTTACTATCATTCCTACTTGGATCACTATTCGTCATTACAGTCGTTAGAATTTACGTCAAATACACATCAGTCGACAAGGATGTGTGTCGCCAACAACTATATCAACTTCGCAAAGTATGTTTCATCGATTGACCTTGTCCTGGCAAGGCACGCCATGACATCATCAATCAATCCATACTAATTCAGCTCTAATCATCCACAGATGTTCTTGTTATCACTATCATTCTGCTTCTGTTTCCTGATACGAACAGTGATATTCTTGTACAATCCAATCACTCACAAGTTTATGAACGAGGAAGTGTTCCTCACGATTGGCTACTTCATACCAGACATCATTCCAACATTGCTTCAAATGTATATATGGCACAGCAGGATGAAGAGTGAAGAAGATGGCAAGCAGTACATCAACACATTGTACGAGAATGAGTTGGACGACTCTGATGTGATGCCCAAAGCTGCCTTCCTGCCAAACGAGTCATCTCCACTGGTCATCCAGTATGAGTACTACTAGTAATATTATATATTAATAACAACTATTATCGCAATCACTCTGGCCCTGGCGGATGATGTCAGAGCTAGTAGACCAAACATATATATGTCCCAAAAAGAGATATCATTATTATTATTACTGTATACATCGTATTGATTATGTTTATTTAAATCCATTATCATCATCTTCCTTCTTCTTATCCTATTATTATATATATATGTTATATCTAATCAGTGGAAGTGATTGGATTAGTTAGAAAGGTACATTACATTGACAAAGTTGGGAGTGATCGGAAGGTGAGTGGAAGATGTGATGATGTGATGGTGATGTGATGTCCGATTGAAAGATGGATGATGCTGAAATGAGTGAAACCGAAGTCTCTCCAACATCATCATATTACTCTTTCATTCATTCTGATGTAGCACCCATCCAACGATCCCTGGTCACTTTATCAAACCAAGGAACTTTAAGGAGTGCAATTGAGAGGATAGAAGATGGAGAATGAATGTGATTGATTGATGTGATGAAGTACATACCTGTAATGTTAGTAATAATAATAAGTTGTTGGGTTCTTTGTTACAATGACATAGAGTGTGAATGATCGCCTTTGGAATGAATGCGCGAGACCAAGCCTTGCCAATTTCCAGCCAGCCTTTGGACATTCGCGCGAATGAAAAAAAGAAGTAAATAACTGAAATGAATGAGTAACGTTTTCGCGAACAGCCATTGTCTAGAGAGCTGGAAGATTGGCGAGGTTGGAGAGGAAGGTGGAGCCAGGTGGGAGCAGTGAGTCGCGTTTGGGATAGAGATCCTTGTAGGCATTTCTAATGGTGACTTCAGAGACACCGGTGATGTCAGAGATGGTCTTTTGAGTGCGCTTGTCATTCTCTGAGAGTTGGCTGACCATGTAGATGCTGGCGGCAGCGACAGAGATTGGGTTCTTTCCAGCGACGATGCCCAACTCAGTGGCAGTGCGAGACACGTGTTCAGCGGCCTGCTTAATCTCCTTGGGCAACTGCAAGTTGACACAGAAACGAGTCATAAAGTCCTCTGTTGAGATGGCTTGCAGGTTGACCTTGGTTGACAGCGACTCCTTCATGAGCTTGTAGCAACGATTGAGATCCTTCTTGGAGACATTGTTGGACAGTGCGCATATCTCCTTGAATGTTCTCGTGATGCCCTTGAGACGACAGGCAATGTAGAGACTGGCCGCCAGGAATCCGTCGGCAGAACGTCCCTTTAGAGACTTCTTGTCTTCCATCTGTTTGTACAGCTCGTTGGCCGTGTCCATCACCATCTGTGGCAGACCCATGTGGTCACCCATTCTCGAGATCTCCTTGAAGCCGTTCAGTAGTGTCCTGTCGCCCGATGCCAACGCACCCCTGTTCTGCATACGCGACAGTGCACCAGAGTCCTTTGAGTTGCCCTTGCCAATGACAGTGGACAGGCCTGAGTCGCTTAGCAGTGGGTTGGTGGGACCTCCCACACGGTTGGGGTCAGAGCCAGTCGACTCTGAGTTGGAGAATGTACGCCACTCGCTGTGCTCATCGACAATACGATCGCCAATAACCACACCACATTCTCTACAGATTAGATCGCCTCTTGCATAGTCCTCTACAATATCAGGGTCAGGGTTCTTGCACACGGGGCAAGTAACATTATTAAATAACTCCTTTGTTGTTGGTGTTGGGCCCTTTGGTGCTGGTAAACTAAATGACTGTGACTTATTCTTATCGCTTTGAGACATTATATATGTATGTGTATGTATGAATGAATGAATGAGTTGAGAGTTTGAGTAAGTGATAGAGTGAGTGAATGAGAGTGAGTGAAGGAAGTGTGATTGATATGAGAGACAAGTGATTGATGTAATATTATGATGTGATGTTCAAGTTATATACATATATTTGTATTCAATGTATACATATATTAGTGTGAATAATTGAAGTGTTGTTGTGTGTGCACTTTCGAAATTTTATTTGTATGAATGAAATAATCAATATTTATGGTTCTTCGAAGTTGATTAAGTTCGAACTTACAGTATTTAATTTAACAAAGTAAATACATCCAGGATATTGTTCTATACTATGTGACCATTTTACTATTATTGTGGATTCATCAATCCACATACAATGTAAAATAGTTACATTATAATTCATAATAAATGATACTGTCGATAAATGTGGGATTGTAATCATAAGGTCCTTAACCATATTGATATAATTTTCCTTCTCTTGTTTAGATATCTTCAAACCTATACTTGAATAAAATTCAATATTGTTGACAATGATTTTGGACAATGATGAAAGTTCGAAGGTCGAATCAACTGAAGGAATTGAATTAATGCAAAGTTGTTTCAATTGTATTAAACCACTTACAGATGGAAGACTGAAAGAATCAATATATTGGAATCTTTAGAATCATCAATTGTGAAGGTAATCTAAAGTCCATTGTTAGTTGAGATCGAATTTCCAACTTTGTGAGAGAGTCTGGAAGATCACCGTCACTTATATTTTGATCGAATCTGGGAGATAATAATTGTGTTGTCAACTATTGACATCAGATATAATTTAATAATCTAAATATTATTTAAATGTATTATCCCTTCTAGATCTACCAACCTGAGATGTCATAAGTGAACTGATGATTATTTGCCATGTTGGAGTTCATCATCCAAATGATAATCGAACGTGTCCAGGAGGACAATAGATCATTCATTCTGAATGAGACATGATGAAGTCTGACTCTCAAAATAATGTCTTCTCCACTTATTATCTTTGATTGAATATTCCATATGATATCTCTTTTGATCAATTGCAGTTATTGTTCCTTTGTAAGAGTTGAAGACCAATGTTTTGGACACGTCATTCTCATATAGACACTTGTCAAGACATACCAGTTGTTTGGTCGACAGTGTAAATCGGAATACTAAATACGTATTGGTTCCGCGGTAAAGAATGTAGATGTTGTCTTTGCCATCGAAGCAAGTACTGCCTTCTGGAAATCTATCTACATTGCTGATGATTCTCGCGACTTTAGTCAACAGGTTGAATGCCATGGGCTTGAGTTGTGGTTCACCCGGACCAGCGTCGGCGTTAAACACATAGAGAGTGTTGTTGTGATAGTACACCGTTGATTGGAAAAATCTAAATGGAAGCCGTCCAACATTCTTGCATTCATGGGTGTCAATGTTGAAGCTGTCCACTCTTGTCAGAAAATTATCGTTGGACAGTCCACCAACGAGGTAGATAAGCTTGTCACCATCATAGCATAATCCTATATCGTCACCGCCTGGGATACCAACAAGCTGTTCTTCTTCCAGCAGTTGGCCATCTGCAATTGTGTATCGCATGAATGTGTCCTCATCATCTCCACCAAAGTAATAGACATTTCCACGCGCATAGATGGTTGATGCTGAGGTTCGAATGAGATCACCAAAGTTACGCTTGATCTTTGTATGTCTATTTGTCTCCAATGAGAGAAATGACATCTCCTCGTTATCAGAATCGTCATCATTGTCAATACGCGAGAATATGTGATTATGAAATGATTCAGTATGTGGAACTTGTTCAATGAGATCAATGCATGCTTGTATCTTGTCCTTGGTGCTCCTGACATTATTCTTGATGGTCTCCAGTTGGTGATTTGATGGAGATTCGTCTAACAGATCATACTGATTGAGTTCCATGTGTTTAGCGTGACTTTTGACCAACAACATCAATTCATTGTCATTAAGTTGGTTGTTGTTGTCATCATCATCTTCTTGAATGAACTCATCAACCGATGAACAAGTTGTGATTGACTGAATCACCTTGGATATGTTCGTGTCACTGTTGTCCTTTGGTGGTGGTCGTGACCTGTTGATTATAGAGTTGATGTCACTGATCTCATTGATTATGTTGTTGATTGTTGATCGTGTTTGCTCCATCTGTAGAGTGATCGGTCCTTTGACCTTGTGCTCCTGGGCCATCAACAACTGTATTAGTTGTTCAAACTGTTTGCTGATCTTGTTGCTCTGCTTCTCCAACAATTCATAGTAGTTGGCACGGTCTTTGAGTATGTCCCATAGATGCTCCAACCTTGAGTTGCAATCGTGTTCCATTGATGATTCATTAAAATCATTGATATTGCTGATGATATCAAACTGGTGTCCACTATGATTAACAACATGTTTGGCGCCAAACATAATGAGCACGACTTAAACATATGAACTTCTCCTTCTTTTGATGTATCGAACATGTTATCTGTTGTTGTTGCTGATTAGAATTCATCATGTTCTTATTCTTGTTATCACTTCACTTCTCAAACACAAACAAAGTGAAATGAATGAATGAATGTATTGAATGGGGGTGATCAAAGTTAAACTTGTTGTTAATAATTAATTTAATTTGGAATTAATTAAACACCAACCTTTACGTATCATTGATGTTGGATGAGCTATCCACTTATTATCTTGGATCGTGTATCGTTTTTCCAAACTCTTTGTATCAGTTGCGGTGATATATCCTTCCGGACCATTGAACACCAGAAACTTGGTTCTGATGTCATCGATTGGAAACTTGGCAAGTACAGTATATTCCTTGGTGGACAGAGTAAGTCGGATGAACGTACTCCCATAGCGGCCATATAGTATGTAGATGTTGTCAACACCGTCGAAGCAACACGTGGTGTTGAACAAAATTTCGGTGTCATCCTCAAGGAGGAACTCGGTGGCCCCTGTCAACACGTTGAACGACATGGGCCGGCATGCCATATCATCACGAGAGTATCCACCAATGATATATATAGTGTTGTTGTGATAGATCAGCGATGATTCGAAAGATGGAGTGGGAAGTTGTCCAACATTCTTGCATTCATGAGTGTCAATGTTGAAGCTGTCCACTCGATTCAAAAACTTTTTGTTATCTACTGTTCCACCAACGAGGTATATAAGCTTGTTGCCATCGTAACATGCAGTGAGATCGTCAGCACCTTGGAAACCAACCATCTCTTCTTCATCAATGATTTGGCCATCTGCCAGTGTGTACCTCGTGAATGTGTTCTCATCATGGCCACCAAAAATATAGATATTGCCAAGTGCGTAGACGATTGAGTTTTCAGCTCCAGTGGAGATATATCTTTGGATGTTATGATTGAACTCTGTCCGTTCGCCTGTTTCCAACGAGTACAATGACATCACATCGCCCACTATTGAGAGAATGTGATTGTCAAATGTTTGAGTCCTTACTCCAATATTGTCAATGCATGATTGTATCTTGCTCCCAATGATTCTGGCCTCAGTCTTGATGAGATCTTTCTGGCGATCCGATAAAGACTCATCATACTTGGTGAGTTGCATATGTTGAGCGTGATTCTTGATCATCAACAACAACTCATTATCAGTGAGTTTGTGATTATCATCTTCTTCATCTTCTTCTTCTTCGTTCAAAGCAGGTGCCAGTGATTTGTCGATAAAATCTTCAACAGATGGGCGCTCCAAGATTGATTCAATCACTATGGAAATATCCACAACATCGTCAATCTTGTCCTTCTGTTTTGGTGGTGACCTGTTGATGAGTGAGTTGATGTCACTCATCTCATTGATGATGTCGTTGATCTTTGATCTTGTTTGTTCCATCTGTAGAGTGATCGGTCCTTTGATCTTATGCTCTTGTGCCATCAACATTTTGAATAGTTGTTCAAATTGTTTGCTGATCTTGCCACTCTTCTTCTCCAGCCATTGATAGGTAGTGGCACAATCGTTGAGTGTATCCCAGAGATGATCCAACCTTGCCTTGCACCATAATGCATCATTATCTTTTGTTTCAATACACTGTTTGATATTGTCGATCGAGTCAAACTGATGTCCACTATGACTCATCGCCAAGCAGAATGAGCACACCATTGTATTGCAACTTAAACAAATGAACTTCTCCCTCTTATCGTGTATCATGCATATTAACTGTTGATTAACAACATTGTTGTTGTTGTTGATGATGTCGTTGTTGTTGTTGTCGTTGATGTCTTTGTTATCCATTATCTTTTGTTCGTTCTTCTGAAAGAAATCTTGATGATGATTGTTATTGTAAAGTTGATTACTAATTGATTCTACTTCTTATTATTATATCATGTATTGTATACACTCAACTGACCCTTGTTGTTATAAGTAATAATAACTAACAGATAAACAAGTGACACAACAATCTCAAAATGACCTTGATCCAGCAAACAAGTGGAACATTGTATCTCTCACGCACCCATCCATTCATTCACTCGTGGCTCTCTCTTATCTCATCGTCACATAATAATATCCATTGTTATGTTGGTATTGATTGAATGAATGTAATAATAGTTTACTTGTCATAGGTGTAGAATCCACGACCTGACTTCTTGCCAAGACGACCAGCCTCAACATACTTGACCAACAATGGGCATGGTCTGTACTTGCTGTCTCCAAGCTGTGAGTGCAAGACACTAAATGTGTTGGAAGTAATATTATTTAGTATAGTGAATATAGAACTCTTACATCATCCTCATCTTCATCATCATCAACATAATCTATACTTACTTCATGATTGAAAGACATGTGTCCAAACCGATAAAGTCACCAAGGGTAAGTGGTCCCATGGGCATGTTGCAGCCAAGCTTCATGGTGGTGTCAATGTCTTGAACGGTACCAATGCCCTCGTAGAAAGCTTGGACAGCCTCGTTGATGTATGGCATCAAAAGACGGTTGGCAATGAAGCCTGGAATGTCCTTGGCGTTGGTGGTGACCTTGCCCATATCCTTGGCCAGATCGAGAGTAATCTTGTGAGTGTCGTCCGAGGTCTGCAGACCCGAGATGATCTCGACCAGCTGCATGACGGGCACTGGGTTCATGAAGTGCATGCCGATCACCTTGTCGGGGTTGGGGGTGGCGGCGGCGATCTTGGTGATGGAGATGGACGAGGTGTTGGATGCGAGGATGGCGTCTGGACGGCAGATCTTGGCCAGGTCCTTGAAGAGGTTGCACTTGACCTCGGTGTTCTCGACGATGGCCTCAATGACAAAGTCGGCCTGAGCCAAGTTCTTGATGTCGTTGGTGAAGGAGATACGCTGGAGTGTGGCCAGCTTGTCGGCCTCGGCGATCTTTCCCTTCTCAACACCTTTGGTCAGCAGAGAGTTGATGAGCTTCTGTGATTTCTCCAACATTGCCTGTGATTGATCGACGATTATAACATTCCTCTTGGCAGTCTGTGAGAGTACTTGGGCAATACCAGATCCCATCTGACCTGCTCCAATAACACCAACATTCTTTATCTAAACATAATATGAATGATGATGTTCAATAGTCAGTCTACTGATCACTGATCACTGATCACTCTATTGGGTCATGCGGTAGTACACACGTTGGCAGCAGTTGAGTAGAATCTCAATGATGACCTGGTCAAATGATTGAATGAGGCAGCAGAGAACATGTTATTATAACTATATTTATGTATCTGTGTCAGATCAGACGATGAAGTGAGATCCTGCTTCTCTCACACTCATTTTGATCATTCGGGTTTGGGACCACTTGGGGCCTTCAATTTCAAATCAATGTGTGCCATTTTGATCAAATTTTACTTTATTGTTTGAAGATACAGATAATAATAATTATGGATACAAATAATAATAATAATAATAATAATAATAATAATAATAATAATAATAATAATAATAATAATAATAATAATAATAATAATAATAATGAAGGCATCTGTCCAACTCATAAAGAGAGGATGGATTTTATCTGTGTGGATTGTAGAGTGTTGTGTTGTCCAGTTTGTTTGGTTCGTACGCATAAGGGCCATCAACTTGATCATATAACAAATATAAAGCAGAGTTTGGTGGGCACGGACTATCGATCATTGTGGTGTACGCCAAGACTGGACCATCTCTGGAAGACACTGGATGATTATGCCAAATCCTATCAATCGTTGGAGAAGACTCGATCCGAGGTCACCAATCACTTTGAACAACTGATCAAAGTGATCATCGCTCAGGAGCACATGATCAAGAAGCCCATCAACGATCAAATGGAACACATTCAATCAATAATTGATGGTATAATCAGTGAGATTAGATCAATCAATCAGATTATCAACGTACCACTCGCATCACACAGTGTCACGGTGGGCGATGGTGACATGTCCGGACTCGTGGCGTCAATCAGAACATGCACAACAATTGAGCAACTGATCAACACTGTGGTTTCTTCTGACAGATCGTTGAAAGATGTCCATGAGGAGCTCGTCCACTATGATGACAACGAGCTGTTGGCAATGATCAAGAATCACATTGAGCTCATGTATCAGATGCCATACGAAGTCAATGATACTCTCGCCCTGAGACAGCCATGCAGTGTCAACACAGATGTCCAGAAGATGGATGAGATCAAGAAGTTGATCAAATCATGTTTTGAGGTCATTGGATGTTTTGTCGCCACGCCTGTCGTGCGTCGCGCTCCAAAGAGTGATTTTGCCCGTCATGTAATCTCATTGCGAAACAATGAGCTTTCAATGCTGGAATTGGATACATCAAAATGGACAATGATTAGAGACCCATTTAAAGGCCACATCTTGGACTACGTAACCACATCAGTGGTCTACGCTCGAGGCAACATCTATGTGTTTGGAGGAATCGAGTATCCACAGACCTGGTGTAGCTACTCTCTGAAAGGGAGGGTGGCCAACATTTGCAACATATGGGGCCTCTTTGGCGGCCGTGCCATTTCAACATGCTACAGCGGAGACAAGCTAATCTATCTTGTTGGTGGCTACTTCGATGGAGGATACTTGAACCGTGTGGACAGCTTTAACATAGCGACAAGCGAGTTCAAAAAGGTTGGACAACTACCTCTCCGGGTAGCCTTTGGCACTTCATTCTTCCACAACAAGACTATATATATTGTTGGTGGAGAGACTAAGGATTATGAAGCAAGGCCATGTCTTGACATCCACTCATTCAATATCCAAACTGGTGTTGGTGAGGTCTACCAAAAGGACATACTCGAAACCTACCATGACTCGAGCTGCTTTGACGGCAATGACTACATCTACATTCTCACCGCTGTCTCATTCTTCAAGTACTCGTTGACCACAAGACAATCAATGATTCTTCTAAAGTGCCCAACATATGGAGTATATCGCCAGATGGTCTACGACGGTGCCAATGGAAACATCATCTATATAGGTGGCAAAGGTAAGAACTATCGTTATTCAATCAAGGACAACGAGTGGACTTTACTAGTTGACAATGACCAGTCCCCTGATCGTAGCAGACATGGAACATATTTGATTGTCGATTGAACAACGCTCGTTCATTCAATAAAGGTCCTTCCCTCTTTGTTCGTAACGTCCAATGGGTGGACCATGATTGAATGATGAATGAGTCCAACTATTGGATATGTTGTTCTCTTTGGACAATTTGATTGTTCTGTACATCGCGATTAGGTCCCAACACAGCAGGTATTTCAAAGTTGAATATGCATAGTACTACCAAGTACTCTGTGATCGTATAGGTAACACAGAATGCTATTGAATGGAAGCCAGTTGGGAATATTGTAACATAGTATCCCAAGAAGTATAATGTCGCCAAGAATATAAGTGGATAACATCTTATACTCTCGTTTGATCTAAGACTATGTGCGTGAGTGAGTGAGTGAGTGAGTGAGTGAGTGAGTGAGTGAATGAGAGCATGTGAGTGATTGATTGAGTGATTGTATTCATACCTCCAGGATGTGAAGTATGATGCTATTAATGATATTGAAAGGAATACAAGGTATTCTGCGGATAAGAATATTGAGAACATATATATCATTCCAATTTGTAACTGATTGATTGGGAGTGGATGGATTAGTAATGGTACTGGATTTCCAGGATGATATTAATAAATTACAATTATAAATACAAGTGCAACGCAACAATTGTGTAACATAAATGTTTGTAGTCCATGTGAGTTGGAATCGAATACTGGAATGATTGATTGATTGATTGAATGGACCTGGATTAGTAATGTAAAATGATGATGATGAGGAGAGGACAATGATACATACCACTTGTTAAACATTGTTCACATATCCGTAGACCAACTCCAAACACTGTTACATTCAAGAAGAATATGATGTTAACCTTGATTATACATTGAATTACATAAAGGATGTAATCTTGATTGAATAGAATGAGGTTAGTAGATGTTGGAATATTATGGAAATAGAGTAAAATGGATATGCTGCATACCGGATGATAGGTGAGTCTCAGGTGATGAGAACCTGGATAGATTGATCAGGATGTTGTCATCGAGTGATCGGAGATAGCCAGAGCCATCGAAACTATTGACCAGGTTGTTGATGATTACAGTGTCGTAGCCGAGCACTTTGAGTAGCATCCGATGAAAGGGTCCGCCAAAGCATGACTGGTTCGTATATAGATCGATTCGATGTGTAGATATATTGTACATGCTCCTGACGTCTGGCGAGAGCATTAGGAAACCCTTCTGCGTGCTGAACTCGTACTGCTGATGCGTTTCAAATGTGTGGCGCACCCTTTGGTTAGGTGAGACGCCAACCACAGGACCATGATGCGAGGGCCTGGATGCCTCGTCAGGCTGGTGGTGAGTCTCTGTAGTCACTGCTTCTGATGCTGCGGTTGTGTGTTGTTGCTCCTCCCTTTGCTGTTGCATCTCGTCTGTTGATAGCAACTTATTGATGAGATCCTTTTGCATCAATGATGTTTGTGATGATGCGAATATCTCTGTGACCTCTTGTTGGTATTGATCGTCTTCATTGGAATCTGTCGTTATCTCTTTAATCTATATGGTTTGGTTACTATTAGTATGTATACATGTGCCTAACTTCAAAATACATACATCCAACAATAGTATATCGAATCGATGCTTTGGAAAGTTGGCCTCGAACTCGTCTACAATGCAGTCGGCCTACATCATGTATGAATGTACTTCAAAGTTAGTTGATGAATGACATCGGTCAAGTCCAAGAATAGATGTTATGTACCTTGCCAACATATTGTCTGTGCATTGCCACCAGTGAGAATAAGAATGTTGCAATGACTATTAGACAGAAGGTCTCAAAGGCCATCCTGAACTTGGGCGTAGTCGCATAGTTCAGGTATCTAATAAAGTGTGTATATCCGGCGAGGGCGCCCTCGTCCATGTTTGCATTTGGTTGGCTCAAGATATAAAGAAGAAGTTATATTATTATGAATGCTCTTCAATGTAGGTCTTATTATCTGTTGTCTGAGTCGTGTGTGTTAATATGTGGTTCGTCCTAATAATGAAGATACTTGTGTCCCCGCTCACTTCACACTCCCCACCCACTCAATCCATAAAGTCAGACAATTCAAACTATTGGAATACATAATATAATATATATTAAATAATAATAATTAATGTTAGGGCTAAGTATCTAACTTGACAATGATGACAGTACTGTTGTCACCACTGCCACGTGCAAATGCCTCCATTGATACTCGTTTGGCAATGTCGAATGAATCCCAATCCATGCTCTTGGAAGTATAGACCTCTTCAATTGTCTTGTTGATAAAGTCTACAAGGTCTTGATTTGAGAATACGTCCCATATTCCATCGGTTGCCAAGATGAAGTATTGATCGATATCAACTATTGATGATGAAGATAATAATGGTGTTGGTGCTGGTTGTGGTGCGGAAGAAGGAGACATGTAACCTGCTCCATTGATGGACGACGAGGAACTCCTGGCCAACTTGGAAACGTTGACTACCATCTGTGAGTTGTTCCTCCTCTTTGGACTGGTTGGTCGTTGGTAGATCATCTTGCTGGTGACGGCTGGGTGTTGTGCAACGTATTGATCTTGATCTGGTACTTCAGAAATGGATTGAGCACTATTCTCTGATATCGATCTGGTTGCCAGTTCAAACTCATTAATGGATGAGAATCGTTGGCACTTTGGACTGAATCGTGGCGATCCGGTAAGAGGGGAGAAGCTTGATGCCTTGGAGACCGTTGCTGGCACCTGTTGCTTGACTCTCAACGGGATGACTACGAACTCTGGGTCTGGGACGACCCATTTCTTCAATGGGATATCTCCTATGCCTCTGGACATCGAGAGGATTCCTCCCACGCGCCATGTTCTTTCGTTGTAGTCCCACTCGACCTTGCCTCCGGCACTCATGATCCTCTGCTTCTCCTTTGGATTCGATGGCTTGTGATCGAATGATAGAGGGATTGCTCTACCACTTCGGCACAGGACACCTCTTGAATCGCCAGTGTTGGCCACAACAAGAAGGGGTGGCGCAGATGGCGGTGTCGACAGGAGAGCGACCAAACACGTGGTCCCACTCTCGTTCTTTGATCGATACTTCTTGGAGAAGCGCTGATCCAGCACTGTGAATGTTTTGTAGAGTGCAGTCTGGAGCATGTCACTTCTGTTTTGTGTTTCGTTCTGTTGCTCGCTTCGAAGACTGTTTACTTTCTTCCAAAGCGGTGAGTCGGGTGCCCCAGCTGCGATACCCTTGGCTGAGCAACCCGGGGAATTCTTGCTCGAGTATCCAGTACTGTTCTCTTTGATGAACTTGTTTATATACTGGCTGATCCTCTTTTGTACAAAGTTGGCACATGTCTATTGTTGAACATGTGGGGACAGTTAGTATTACTTGAACATTGAGCGAAAGATATTGATTAACATACATGTCCTCCATGTCCATCGAATACACCATATAATGATATGTTTGGATTGTTATCAAGACTACTCTTGATCTTGTGACGGTCCTCCATGTATCTACGAGTACCTTGGAATGTATATACACCGTGCTTGGGATCAAGTCTGCAGTTATTGTTGACAGAGAGATCCGGTACAAGTTGGTTGCTTTGATCATTCATGAAACTACTGGAAATGAGAGTAGGAGAGTCTGGACCGTCGCTACGTCCATCGTCTAGGATGTCGTCTGGATAACCATAGTCTATAGGAGCCATTGGAGACATATACAAGATTGGTGAAGGAGTGAATGAAATGTTTGGAGAGGAGGCTTGTTGATGGACTTGGTTCAGATGCTCTGGCTGTTGCTGTTGTTGTTGTTGATGCTGTTGCTTGCCATTGATACTGTTCAAATAACCACTGCTATTCATAGAGTATATTTGATTGGACTGTTGTGAGTGTCTGAAGTAATTGATTATGTTCATTGTTTCGCTGTCTGTCCCTTGTTAAATGGTCAATGTCTGTCTTTAAGAGTTGGAAAGTGAGGGAGTACTATGTTAGAATGTCTTTCGTCATCGTTCTTAGTTGTACGACTGAATTCTGCGCTGGTCGGTGCACTTCGGTGAGAGTGTTTCCAAATACAGTGTATTGATACACTCCACACGCAAGCCAATCAAGCTCTAAGAAGGTATCACTCCTTAAAAGGAGTGAAGAGTTGAATATGACTCACCTAGATATGGCTATGAGGACAGTGAAAGGAGCAAACTATGAGGTCGGGTGATTGAAACAGTTGTTTACCAAAGACAGTGGAGGGTAATGAATAGAAGTGGAAGGTAAGGTAGGTAGAAGGGGAAAGAGATTGGAAAGATGTTGGACACTGATTGATGCAGGTATCCAAATATGTTTGTATGGAATGTATGGTATGAATATAAATATAGGCAAAAGACTATAAATAAGGTGATGGACGATCCTCAAACAACTGACTGACTGACGGACTGACTGACAGACTGACGACGGACTGACTTGTCCATCACCYTCAGTCCAACGGTCTATGCTCGAACAAAGAGTGAGTGACCATGCTTATTGTGGGCGTGGATGTCATCTGTCTTACTGTCGTTGTATTTCTACGCGTCCAAACATATACAAACGATGGGCATGAATGGATGACATTGTGTTCGATGCCTATGTTTGTTTGTGTGTTTATATGTATGTGTATGTATGTGTATTTGTATGCTTATGGTGTGTGGGTCAATCGATCAGAGTGTTGTTGTTGTTTGTGTTACCACCCCACACTTGATCTTATAATTATAACAGGTGTTGTTGTCATTATAATTATTAATTCTGAGTGATGAGTTAATTATAGGTGGTAATTCTACATCCCAACCTATTTGATATGTATGTGTTTGATTGATATACAATATTTGATGTTGTATTTATGATTATTAATTTGTTTGATATGTGTGTATTTGTATATTTATTTGAGCTTCAATCAAATGATTGAACAAATGAATGTTTGGGTGATGTTTATCAACATTGGAGAATTATCCAAGTCTATGGAAACAAATATATTACCTTTTATGTAAAGTTTAGATCTTGTATAATAATAATGTAGTGCAGCTATTGTAGAAGGATCATCCTCAATGATACTCCTCAATCTGAATCGACATATCAGGCAATGTGGGGTGATCTAGTTGTGTTGAACTACACACTCTCACTCACATTTACATTCACACACTTATACAAACAAAGAATACAACACTTAGAGATACACAGTTATGTGTTCTACACTACACTACATCTCATTTATCCAAATTTGGAAGTAAACTCAGTCTTGAGACAAAAGATATTATCTTGAGTTCATATGAAATTTCATCTGGATTTCTACCTCAACAATCAATAGCTTTTTCCGGCGATTTATGATGAGAATTGGACTGCAACGCTTCAAAAGATAATGGGTTGCCTTGAGTTTGAACTTGAATGAATGAGTGAATGAAAGAATGACTGAGGGTCTCATTATTTAGTGTGTGTGTTTATGTTTGTGTTTGGGTTCAAGTCAAGTCAAAGATGATGATGATGTTGTTAAGATCTTCAACTTCATTGATTCACCATCAACAACAACTCGTTGCACGATCATCATTCTCATTATCATCATCATCAACATTATCTAGTATCTGTATCTCTTCATTCAAACAATCACATAGTCTGTCACTACGCAATATGACGACCACAGCAACAACTACTACACCAACCTTTGTCAAACCATATGTTGGTGCCATTGATCAAGGTACCTCCAGCACACGCTTCATGCTCTTTGATTCACACGGTCATCCCGTCCTCTCCCATGCACTACCCTTGACACAACATCATCCTCATCCAGGGTAAGTTAAGTTAATTGATTGATCAATCGATTGATCGTATGCTTGATTGACTCCTAACATACTACTCCCTTAACAACAGTTGGGTACAACATGATGCTAATGAGATAATGGATGCTACAAATAAGTGTATTGATGAGGTGATGAAGAAGTATGAGGAACAGGGACTGGGTCAAGTGTCGGATATCAAGGCCATTGGTATCACGAATCAACGTGAGACCACTTTGGTATGGGACAAGACTACAGGCAAACCCTACCATCATGCGATAGTATGGTGTGACTCAAGGACCAGTGATGTCGTCGCTAGTCTCATTGACAAGGTTGGCACGCTCAACTGGCATCCAGAGGGTGATGTTGCCACTCCAAGCAATGGTGCCACACCCAACAACAAGGCAGACCAATATCAAATTACAAACAGAGACTACCTACGCGAAAAGAGCGGTTTACCACTGGCCAACTACTTCTCGGGTGTCAAACTGCGCTGGTTGTTGGACAATGTGGCCGAGCTCAGAGCCGAGTGCCAGAAGGGCAAGTGCGTCATGGGCACGATCGACAGCTGGCTCATCTGGAACTTGACTGGTGGCGCACAGGGAGGCGTCCACGCCACAGACGTGACCAACGCCAGTAGAACACTGATGATGAACCTTGACACTTGCAAGTGGGACAAGGAGTCGTGCGACTTCCTTGGCGTGCCCATGAACATCCTGCCCGAGATCAAGAGTTCGTCAGAGGTGTATGGCACTATCGCATCCGGCCCGCTCAAGGGCATTCCCGTGGCAGGTGTGCTGGGCGACCAGCAAGCAGCAATGGTCGGACAGATGTGCTTTGAGCGTGGACAGGCCAAGAACACGTATGGCACGGGCTGCTTCTTGCTCTACAACACAGGAACAGATGTCGTTCACTCGAAACATGGCTTGCTCACCACAGTGTGCTATCAGCTGGGCAAGGACGCCAAGGTTCACTATGCCCTCGAGGGTTCGGTGGCCGTGGCAGGTGCTGGTGTGCGCTGGCTGATAGAGAACCTGGGCATTGCTTCGTCCTCCAAGGAGATCGAACAACTTGCAATGACAGTCAAGGACACTGGTGGCATGTACTTTGTGCCAGCATTCTCAGGACTCTTTGCGCCATACTGGCGTGACGATGCACGTGGTGTAATGGTCGGCCTGACGCATCACACCAACCGCGCACACTTTGCCAGGGCCATACTTGAGTCCACATGCTACCAAACTTATGACGTACTGCAGGCAATGCAGAAGGATTCAAAGGACCACCTGACAGAGCTGCGAGTGGATGGTGGCATGACAATGAACAACCTGATGTGCCAGATACAATCCGATGTTCTCCGTCTGCCCGTTCTGCGTCCAAGCAACCTGGAAACAACATGTTTTGGCGCTGCCTATGCGGCAGGATTGGCAGTTGGTGTTTACAAGTCATCGATGGAGTTCCGCGAGGCCAGGAAGTTCACCCCCATCGCCAATCAACAAGATATCGATCTACGCATCAAGGACTGGCACAAGGCCATCTCCAAGTCACTCAACTGGGTCGAATTGAAATCAAACATGTAACATATCATCATCAACATCATTCATCATCCGTTCCACTTTATTTGCTATCTCTCAGGTCTGTTATACTCTGGATTGGCTGTGGAGCATCTAGAGGTGTCTGTGTCTTGATGAGCTGGTATGTGTATGAGTATGTTTGTGTTAGGACATGGAATCCAGGATTCCAATCAATCAATCAATCATGCCATATGATATCTTCGCGTACCTTGTTTAAATCCATCTTGGTCTGATCCTCAAACCTGCGAATTGAAGTCATGTCCATTCCAAACCATTCATCTATCCAACAGAACACTTGGCGATGACCCATAAACAAGATGTCTCTGACAGCAGTCTACGTGTGATGGGTGATGTGTCAGTTGGATGCATCTAGGAATGCCAAGTCTGTGTATCGCTCGCTATACATACCTTGTGGATGAACTGCTCGACCCTGGTCTGGAGTCCCCAGACCTTGAACTCTGCTTTACACACTTTGTAGCTGCACATCATTGGACTGTTTGTCTTTATCCAGTCCTTGTCGAGCTTCCCTCTGCCAGTCTTCTTTGACTCAAACAATGTTGGATCCTCCTCAACCTTATACTTTGTCGGCTCGATTGGATCGAATGCAATGTCTACAACGTCGACCTCACGTACAGAAAGGTCCTCTGGTCCAAGGTTCAAACACTATAGTTCGTGTGTGTTTGTGTTAGGATCCGGAATCATTCCAGATGCAATGACAATGGAAACATTCAAATCATACATTATCTTGTACTCCTGCATCCTGAACATATCTTGTTTCGATTGACAATGAGAACCTTTCTCCAAGGAATGGACACTAAGAATGATTGATTGATTGAATGAGTGATGTCAGTAAGATGTTTGTTCGGAGGTCATGCCCGGTCCATTCCCCTGGTCCATGTCCATGATCCAATATCCAATCCAAGTACGATGGTGATGATGACCTACAGCATATTGTGTCTTGCAGTATGGGAATGCATTCCAAGCTTTCTCCTCGACTTGAAGTGCGGTCTGTGGTACGATAACCCTCAGCCAGTTAGGCAGACGACTGCCAATGTGAAATATCTTATGTGTATACTGTCCTTTAAACTCTCCATCTACATATGGCTGATATCACATGTTTGATTGATTGTTGGGTTGAGTATGGATCGATCAAAGTGTGCCTGTCGTAGTTCATACCTTGTTATCGACAATCTCGACACCCTCGCCATTTGAAGTATGATTCTTGCTGACTTTGGCCACCATGTATAGTTGTCCAATCTTATACTCCTCCAGAGTCAATGGCATAGGTATCCTATATTCTCTAATTAACATTGTTATATATGTGATTGATTGAATGATTGATTGAGATAATAATAATACAAGATGTAGATAACAAGTCAGTATGTGAATGAATGAATGAATGAATGATTCAATGACAGACTGCAAACAGTGATTAATCACTCGCATTCTACGACGAGACACCTCATAGTGGTACACTCACACTCAATCATCTCATTAGATCAAAACGATAATCGTCAATACAACTTGGTGTGGGTTGCAATCAAATTCCCGAAAGAAGATACTTGTACTTCTGATCTTTAGTTTTTTTCATACATTCATTCTTACACGCACCATCAATCAATCATTCAAACATATACATTATATACAGATAATAAAGAAAGAAGAAGAAGATGACAACTTCATTGTTGACAACAGGATTGTTTAAGAGTCGTGTCAGTTCAGTACTCAATAAGAACTCAAAGGAGTATGGCAAGGACAATATGTTTGATGATAAGGATGACACCTGTTGGAACTCACATCAAGGAACTCCTCAATCATGTTCCATTCAATTCCTTGACTCTTCCGACAACACCAAAGAGTCATCAGTCAACATCACCGCTCTATCAATCTGTTTCCAAGGTGGATTCGTAGGCAAGGTATGATTGATCATGAACAATCAATCAATCATACACTCACTCAGTCATACTAATGCGCTCAATGTTATGATAGGATTGTGAAGTACATGCAATGATGGGAGATAGCCAGGAGTTCACTCTGGTATCAAAGTTCTATCCAGAGGACATTAACATTGTACAGGTGTTCCCACTTGATATCAAGATGGCAAGACAAATCAAGATTGTATTCAAAGAGAGCACTGACTTCTTCGGTCGTATCACCATTTACAAGATGGATGTCATTGGTACTCGAGTGTAATACTACACTAAATTCATACATTCATACATTCATTCATTCATTCTTTACATCACATGATGTATCTTGGAGTTCATTCACTTTGGCCTCATATGGAACTATCCCATATCCTTCAACTTGGCACGATAATGACACCAATCACGCTCCAATGATGACCAACCAGCACTGTCGTGCTCACATCACATTAGTGGATACAACGCTGGAAGTATCCAAGGCAGACAATGGATTGATGGCCCTCTTCATCAGGGTCGGCCAAGCTCAATTAATCAATCAATCAAACATAAAGAGATATCTTATTAAATATATCATTGATACTGCCGCTGCTTCTTCTGCTGCTTCAGGTTTAAAAGTTTATTGCTTGGTTGGTGTGGATGACTTCTTGGCGAGCTGATCGATACAGGCTTGGACCAAACCGACAAATGGTGGGGATGGACGAAGTGGTCTGCTCTTGAACTCGGGGTGGAACTGGACGCCGACGTAGTAGTCGTGCTCCTTCAGCTCAACGATCTCCATACGGACGTTGGTGGTGTCCTTACCAACAAAGTGTAGACCCTTCTTGTCGATCTCGTCAATGACCTCTGGGTTGACCTCGTAACGATGACGGTGACGCTCCTCGACGGCGTCGCCGACCTTTTGGACGCCATACAGCTTGGCAATCTTGCAGTCGACGTCGTTGAAGATGGTGTCACGCGAGCCCAGACGCATGGTGCCACCCATGTGTGTCTTGGACACCTCGGGCATGAAGACCACGACGTTCTTGGTACCCTTGCCAAACTCCTCCGAGTTGGCGCCGGTCCAGCCGACGACGTTTCTGGCAAACTCGATGACGGCCACCTGCATTCCCAGACAGATACCCAGGTATGGCTTGTTGTTGATACGGGCGTAGTTGGCCGCCAGGATCATACCCTCGATACCACGGTCGCCAAAGCCACCTGGAACCAGAACTCCGTTGCAGTTCTTGATCAGCTCCCAAGCGCGGTCGTGCTTCTCCGACGAGAAGTCGGTCAGGCCGCTCTTTGCGGGCTCCAGATCAGAGGCCTCGATCCAGTCGATGACAGTCTTGCGGTTCAACTTCATGGAAGCGTGCTCGAGCGATTTGATCACGGAAAGGTACGAGTCGGTCAGACCGGTGTACTTGCCGACCATGGCAATGCGAACTGGACCACCCTCGTTGTTGATGCGGTCCATTGTGTCGGCGATGGCCTTCCATGAGTCGAGCCAGTATGGGATCGACTGGTTGACCAAGAGGTGTGCGCTCTGGTCCTTGTGCATGGCGGAGCCAGTCTCCTGCTGGTGGAGGTCGACCTTTGGGGTGAGCTTGAGGCGGTTGATGATGATGTTGGTGGTGTTCTGTTGGTACAGAAGCAGGGGCACACGGTACAGGTTGCTGACGTCGTGCACTCCAATAACGTTCTCTGGCGCCACGTGGCAGAACAGCGAGATCTTCTTCTGGGTGTCTTGTGTGAGTGGCTGGCTGGAGCGACACATGATCAGGTCTGGGCTGAGACCGAGTGAGCGCAGCTCACGAACGGTCTGTTGTGTTGGCTTGGTCTTTTGCTCGCCGACGACGCCAATCACTGGCACGAGCGACACGTGCATCAAACAGAAGTTCTCGGCACCGACGCGGAACTGGAACTGACGCATGGCTTCGATGAAAGGCATCGACTCGATATCACCGACCGTACCTCCGAGCTCAATGATGCACACATCTGGTGTTCCCTCAGTTCCGTCCACAGGTACATGAGCCACACGCTCAACCCAAGATTGAATCTCCTCTGTAATATGTGGAACAACTTGAACAGTACGTCCAAGGAATAGTCCCTTGCGCTCCTACATTGATTGAATGAATGATTGAATGAGTGAGTGTTCTCGTTCGTCCGCTCACTCGATACACGCTCAAACATACCTTCTCGATGACGAGGTTGTATATCTTGCCAGTGGTGATGTTGTTGTCGCGGTTCAAACTGGCATCGAGGAAACGCTCGTAGTTGCCGAGGTCGAGGTCGGCCTCACCACCGTCGTTCAGGACAAAGACCTCACCGTGCTCGAATGGGCTCATGGTACCAGCGTCAATGTTTAAGTATGGGTCTATCTTGATTGATGTAACACGCAGGCCCATAGCCTTCATAATCATAGCAGTGCTACTTGCGATAATACCCTTACCAATGCCACTGAGCACACCTCCAGTTACAAGTATATATTTCATCTTTGTGTTGTATTATTATAAGTATATATAATGTATATATATATATGTGTATGTATGTATGTATGTTATGTAATGTTATATAGAGTTGTTAATTATAATTATAACTACCTATTTATTTGTCGTGCCCAGAATCGGGAAAGAGGCAATGCTCATCACATCGAGTTTTTGAAGACTCGCGCGCTCACTTCCACCCCCTACTCATTCGTTCAAACAATAAATTGAAATAAAATCAATTTCAAACCGAACGAATGAACTTTAATTATTACTATGCTGTCTTCGGAGTTATAATTTTATCCATTTATCTATTAGTATCAGGTCTTTTATCCATTATTAGATTGATCAAGATATAATATTAAGATATCTCAATATTATTATGTGTGTTGATTTTATACTAGTTATATATAATATTATTAATATTACTTTGACGATAAACAAATAATATAATATATATATAATATAAGTACTTATCTATATCTTAGTATTGATTGTTTGAATGTTTGACAACTGTGTAACGTTATTTTGATTTTATTTTTTAATACCTGGTCCAAATCACCCATCACACCCGCAACTCACTTCAGCTTGGCTCTTTCAAACAAACACACTTTTTTCATTCATCAATCATTACACTTACTTTACATATTAAGATAGAATATAAATAATAATGGGAGGATCAGGAAAGGTATTCGGAAAGCAGATCACATACACTGTCTCGCCATTCCGCCAGAGACTGTTTGTCAACTACTTCAAGAACGCAGTGCCACACATGAAGCGTGGAATTCGCGAGAACTTCTTCTGCACCGTTCCCTACTTTGTTGCATTGGCCATCACTGTCAACTGGGCCAATCACTCATACCATGAGGGTCAGAAGGAGGCCTGGTACTAAGTCAGCGCAGCACTTATTAATGATCAAGAAGCAATGACATCTAACTGCAGCAAGCGAACATTCATTCATACATACATTCAGTGTTGAACATATACCAAACTTCATGCCGATATACATTTTACATTACATAACATCACATCACATCAACAACGTATCTGATTGAACATACAAACACGAGTACATTAATGGTATGTATTTGATTGATTGATTGATTGGTAGATCGAATGATTTATTGATCGGCATTAACTAACTTATCACATCTCAATTTACAACAGAACAATCAATCAATCAACCAACCAACCAATCAATCAGTAACAGGTTTGAGCGACTTACAGCATCGTAAGCTGTAACAATCAATAAACCAACTTAACTCACAATCAAAGGTTATCTCGCGACTCGACTTGACTTTGACTCGACACAACTCACAAACTAGACCGACTCGACAGGTACGCGAATTAGGAGCTGCATGAGCAGCAACATGATTACGATTTATATATTACACGACAGACATGGACGGATTGACTGACTGTCCTCTATGTTAGGGATTGGCTACCCATGTAGAGTTGTCCACGCTCCGCCAGAAGATTGACTTGAGGGATGGATCATGGTTCTTGGCCCTCATCAGTTCAATGATTGCCCGACCAACATTGGACGAGAGTGTGCCGATGAATAGGTTACATTCACTGGCTAGCAATACTTCAGCCAACACCTCCATACCCATCACATGTGGAGGTGTCGCTGCTATATCCTTCTGTCGAGTGTTACTCAACTGTGCTGCAATGTCCGCATCACTTCGATGGACATTGGGCAAGAAGTGGAAGCGGTAGGGTTGATGAAGTTGCGTGCGACGTAGCTCCTCCACCACAGTGTCGTTGTCGGTCATCACAAAGACATCGAGGTAACGCGTACCATTGAGCGTGAACTCTTGCAACACGTCCATGTACTGACCGAGCGTGGGCGGTGGCACTCCTGTCTCATTGGCCTTGTCACCGTTGCGTATCTGCATGGCGATGCAGGTGCTAGGTGGCTTGCCGCCCCACAGAAACAATCGGGACTTGGCGATGTAGAGCCGAGTGGGTGCACTTGGCCGCAGCAACCAGTCCATCAGATATGATCGGTAAGCTTGTGCCGAGTCGAACCAATCATTCGGATACCTGTAGCTCGTGATGAAGCGTGCGTACACCAAATAGTCCTTTGTTACAACGGCCACCTGATTGCTATCATTATAATGTTGTTCCAAAAGATGATTGACCACCTGTCTATTGTTCTTGCTCACGTGATCAATGTCGTTAAGTGTGCAGCTAGTTGGTGGAAAGGGGAGGTCAGCGATGCAGATTGACCACCTCAATCAATCAAAGAGGAAGACATACCTAGAAATAGGAAGGAATAGATCGGTCCAGTTGTTGGTGATGTAGGCAAACTCATGGTCGTCAATGAGAAGGGTTCGATGCCATTCAAATGAACGAGACATGGCATAGGCCAGCATGTGTAGTGTTGCGAACATTCCTCGTGGTCCCAACTCATGTATCAACATACGACCATGTCGACATGTGTCGGATCTAGACCTTGACATTGACTTTGAAGTGTGATTGCCAATGACAATGCGTCGCCGACTTGCTTCAAAAGGGTATTGATACAACTCAATATGTTTGTAGAACTGAGACTTCTTTCCTGGCTTGGTCTTGCGAAGATGTACGAGGATGCCAGACGACGATGACGAAGATGATGATGACTGACATCGTTGATTGAACGCGTCGTTAGACTCATAGAGGTAGCTCCACACTCTGTTGGATCGAAGGAAGTCGTCGATTGAATATTCAAGTGCAGCTTGATCATTGAGTAGCGCGCAGTCTCCAATCACAATTATGTCCTCCACGATGATCTCTTCAAAGAATGTTAAGATATCGGTGATATCATGCAGACTTGATCCATTATCGATTACCAACCAACGAAATGATTCAACATTGTTGGACAGGACCCTGTCGGCACAGTCCATCATCTCAACGATTGATGCAAAGACCGTGACACCCTCTTCCTCAGTCACATTCAAATTGTCCACCAACACCTTGTATCGTTCGAGTTCGAGTTGAATGAGTAAGCTATGATGTTGTCTTCCAACTCTTTTCCGACTGTTTGCTATTTGTTGTTTGAGTGATGTGTGCGCATGTTGTTGTAGGTTTGAATGATTGTTGTTGTTGTTGTTGTTGTTGTGCAAATGATCAACATCAACAGACTCCTTCAATCTATTATCCACAACAATAATAAATATTAATGATCCAAGTATTAATAAGATGAATAATAACAAAGTGTATCTCATTGTCATTAATTGGGTTAGTTGCATTGGTTTGTGTTTAATTGATTCAATGATATGTTTTATCAGTTTGAATAATTTACCAAAGTGTTGGTATTTAACTTGTGCACCAAGTAATTAAATATTATAAATAAATATTACCATCAACCAAAATATTTATATTATTTTTATTTTTGATTAGTCTGAATGATAGATTGACTGGTTGATAGTTTCATTGATTGGGGCGATTGGGGACCATGAATTAGTTGGACTTGTACATTCCAGCCTTGACAAACATGTCAGCGGACGTGGTTGTGAAGCAATAGTTTCCATCTGCGTCAAACTTGCTATCCTTGCCAATTGTTGTTGGAAGGAACTTTGAATTGGATGGATCATCAAAGATGTTCAAACAGTAGTCACCTGCTGGTTGCTTTCCAAAGTCAAATGCTCCACTTGATGGGGTTTGAATCTTCTTGATCTCAGTCAAAGATCCATCTGCATTCTTCTTGCTGAGTGTGACATCGATTCCACCAAGGAATGGCTCTCCAGAGTCATCGGCACCATTCTTGTTCGTATCAATCCAGACGAATCCACTGATCTTGGGGGCGGCTTCGGGGACATATCCAGGGATGATATTCCTTGTTCCGGATGGAGTGGTCTTCTCATCCAATGGGAAACAGTAGATACCGGAGCTGTTGAACTTGTTGGTGGTTCCGATAGGAGCGAATGTGTATCCAGCTGGCTTCTCCATTGTGACACAATATGATCCTTGGTCAAGGTCATCAACCTTGATATCGTTGACGGTGTTGGAAGAGCCAACAGTGAATTCAGTCACATCAACGTAACTTCCAGTGTCCTTGTCAAGCTTTGTGAGTTTGCCCTTCATTCCATTCAAGTATGGCTCTCCTGACTGATCAGTTCCGTCCTTGTTGGTGTCACTCCAGGCGTATCCACGAAGCTTATATTTCTTTGGTGGGGTGACTTCTGTGAATCCGGCATTGGCATAGTGGGTCTTCTTGTCCCCATTGGTGGTCTTTGGATCCAAGGAGAAGCAGTAGTATCCGGTGGAGTTGAACTTGCTTGTGATTCCCTTGGTGGTGATATCATAGCCACCACTGGCGTCCTTTGCCTTTAGACAATAACCACCTTGCTCGAGGTCTGTGAACTTGTAGTATGGACTGGTGGTCTGAGTGTCAACCTCCTTGAATTCACCAGAGTCCTTGTCCAATTTGAGAAGAGTCATGTCCATTCCGCTGAGGTACGGTTCACCCTTGTTGTCCTCACCATTCTTGTTAGAGTCAATCCAAGAGTAACCACTCAACGTGTACTTTGGTGGTGGTTTGACCTCGGTGAATCCTCCTCTGACATAGTGAGTCATAGCATTGCCATTGGTGGTCTTGGAGTCAAGACTGAAACAGTAGACGCCTGACGAGTTGAACTTGTTGGTGACACCCTTTGGTCCTTGGACATAGTTTCCATTCTCGTCCTCCAACTTAACACAGTAGGCACCTTGGTCGAGATCACCAAAGTGGATGGCCTTGCTGCCCTTGGACGAGTCGGTGTACTGGCTGTCAACCTCGGTGTAGGCGTCAGAGTCCTTGTCATACTTGAGAAGAGTGGCCTTGATACCGCCAAGGTATGGTTCACCTCTGTTGTCTTCACCATTGCTGTTGGTGTCAACCCATGTGTATCCATCAACATTATACTTGGGTGGAGGCTTGATGGCGGTGAAACCTCCTCTGACATAGTGGGTCTTCAAGTTACCGTTGGTGGTGGTGGCATCGAGACTGAAGCAGTTGACACCGGTCGAGTTGAACTTGTTGGTGACACCCTTTGGTCCATGGGCGTAGTTGCCACTGTCCTCCTCCAACTTGACGCAGTAGGCACCTTGCTCGAGATCACCAAAGTGGAGGGCCTTGCTGCCCTTGGAAGAGTCGGTGACCTGGGAGTCAATCTCCTTGTATTCACCAGTGTCCTTGTCCAACTTGAGAAGTGTGGCAGTGACGCCGCCAAGGTATGGCTCACCCTTGTTGTCCTCACCATTGCTGTTGGAGTCTATCCACGTGTATCCGTCGATGTTGTACTTGGGTGGAGGGGTAATAGGGGTGAAACCAGCCCTGACGTAGTGGGTCTTCTTGTCACCATTGGTATTTGATCCATCGAGTGAGAAACAGTAGAAGCCGGTCGAGTTGAACTTGTTGGTAATGCCCTTTGGTCCATTAGCATAGTTTCCATTCTCATCTTCAGCCTTTACACAGTAGCCACCTTGGTCCAGGTCGCCGAAATGGATGGCACTGTTGCCCTTGGACGAGTCGGTGATCTGGGAGTCAATCTCCTTGTATTCTCCAGAGTCCTTGTCCAACTTGAAAAGCGTCGCCTTGACACCTCCGAGCCATGGCTCACCCTTGTTGTCCTCACCATTGCTGTTGGAGTCAATCCATGCGTATCCATCGATGTTGTACTTGGGTGGTGGCTTGAGTGGTGTGAAGCCGCCTCTGAAGTAGTGGGTCTTCAAGTCACCGTTGGTAGTCTTGGCATCAAGTGAGAAACAGTAGACACCTGATGAGTTGAACTTGTTGGTCACGCCCTTTGGTCCATGGGCGTAGTCTCCGTTCTCATCAGTCAACTTGACACAGTAGCCTCCTTGCTCCAAGTCTTCGAAACGGACGGCACTGTTGCCCTTGGAGGCGTCAGTCACTTGGGAATCAATCTCCTTGTATTCACCAGAGTCCTTGTCAAACTTGAGAAGCGTAGCCTTGATACCTCCGAGCCATGGCTCGCCCTTGTTGTCCTCACCATTGCTATTGGAGTCAATCCAGGTGTATCCTTCAATGTTGTACTTGGGTGGTGGCTTGAGTGGAGTGAAGCCAGGTCTGACATAGTGGGTCTTCTTGTCACCATTGGTAGTAGTGGCGTCGAGAGAGAAACAGTAGACACCGGTCGAGTTGAACTTGTTGGTGACGCCCTTGGGTCCATGTGCATAGTTTCCACTCTCATCATTGGCCGTGACACAGTATGCTCCTTGCTCGAGATCAGTAAAGAGTATGTCATTGCTGCCCTTGGTTCCATCAGTGGTCTGAGTGTCAACCTTCTTGTATTCGCCAGAGTCCTTGTCCAACTTGAGTAGGGTAACATCAATGCCGCCAAGGTATGGCTCGCCCTTGTTGTCCTCACCATTGCTGTTAGAGTCAATCCAGGAGTATCCAGCAACATTGTACAAGGGTGGTGGCTTGAGTGGGGTGAATCCACCTCTGAAGTAGTGGGTCTTCAAGCCACCGTTGGTGGTCTTTTCATCGAGTGAGAAACAGTAGACACCGGATGAGTTGAACTTGTTGGTCACGCCCTTGGGTCCATGGGCGTAGTTTCCGCTCTCATCGGTCAACTTGACACAGTAACCGCCTTGCTCCAAGTCTTCGAAACGGACGGCACTGTTGCCCTTTGTCGAGTCTGTGACCTGGGAGTCAATCTCCTTGTACTCGCCAGAGTCCTTGTCCAGCTTGAGTAGTGTAGCCTTGATACCTCCAAGCCATGGCTCACCCTTGTTGTCCTCACCATTGCTGTTGGAGTCAATCCAGGTGTATCCTTCAATATTGTACTTGGGTGGTGGCTTGAGTGGAGTGAATCCAGCCTCAACACGCTTTTCGTTGTTGGCGTTGGTGGTGGTGTCGTCGAGAGAGAAACAGTGCATTCCGTTGGAGTTGAACTTGTTGGTGGTGCCAATGGGACCATGGGCGTAGGTAGAAGTTGGGTCCTTCATCTTTACACAGTAGGCACCGTTGTCAAGATCTGGGATTCTGAAGCCGTTGGCACCCTCAGAGGCGTCGGTGGTGAATGTCTGGAGCTCGGTGAGCTCGTTATCATCCTTGTTCATGCGGTACAGAGTGCCATCAATGCCGCCCAGGTATGGCTCGCCCCTGTTGTCCTCGCCATTGCTGTTGGAATCAATCCAGGCGTATCCGAGAAGTGTGTACTTTGGTGGTGGCTTGAGTGGGGTGAATCCGGCTGGCACAAGCATCTCTTTTTTGTCATTGGTAGTGGCGTCGCCCAAATGGAAGCAGTAGTTGCCGTTGGCATCAAACTTGCTGGTGGTACCCTTGGGTGAGATGGCATAGTTGCCAGATGGGTCGGAGGCCTTGAGGCAGTAGTCACCCTCGTCTAAGTTCTCAAACCTGTAACCATTGGTGCGGAGCGAGGCGTCGGTTGTGTAGGTGCCGATCTCTTTTCCGGACTTGTCGGTAAGGACCATGTTCATACCGCCCAACCATGGCTCACCCTTGTCGTCCTTGCCATCCTTGTTGTTGTCGAGCCATGAGTAGCCGTGGAGGGTGTACTTGCCGGTGCTTGGCTTGGTGAATCCTCCTGGCACCAACATGTTGTTGTTGTTGTCGGTGGTCTGGTTGTTGAGGTCGAAGCAGTGCTTGCCAGTGGCGGTGTCGAACTTGCTGTGGGTACCCATTGGACCGTTGTTGTAACCTGGGGGTGCGGTCATCTGCAGGCAGTACTTTCCAGCGGGCAGACCAGTGAACTTGTATCCGTTGCTGGCCTTGGAGGCATCTGTGTAGCCGGTGCCAATAATTTTGCCACTCTCGTCCATCAACTCAATCTTCATGCCATCCAAGTATGGTTCTCCAGAATTGTCAACTCCATTCTATTTATGGGTGAGTTTGGGAATGCGTTAATATTAGATTGAATGATTGAATGTTGAGTTGGTACTGATGCTTACCTTGTTTGTGTCTGAGAAGGCATAACCATGGAGGGAGTATGTGCCTGGAGGGTTCTTGATCTCAGGGTCTCCACGTGGAGTAGGTGTTGGAGTAGAAGTTGTGGTAGGTGGAGGAGTAACTCCGGTAGTGGTTAATGGAGGAGAGGTTCCCGTAGAAGATGTTGTTGGTTGAGCAGTAGTAGAGGTACCTGGGGGTGGTGTACTGGTCGTGGATGGTGCTCCAGTAGATGTTGTTGGTTGGGCAGTGGTGGTAACTGTTGTCGTAGCCGTGATGGTACTGGTTGGAGTGACAGTGGTTGTCGCAGTCGTGGTGGCCGTGGTAGTGATGGTTACTGGTCCAGTAGATGATGTAGTTGGTTGGGCAGTGGTGGTAACTGTAGTTGTGGCCGTGATGGTGCTGGTTGGGGTAACAGTGGTTGTGGCAGTGGTGGTGGCCGAGGTGGAGATGGTAATTGGTCCGGTACCAGAGCTTGTTGGCTTTGTCGTTGTGGTAACTGTAGTTGTGGCAGTGATGGTGCTGGTGGGCGTCACAGTTGTGGTGGCAGTGGTGCTAACAGTGGTGGAGGTTATTGCTCCGGTGGTTACTGTTCCCGAGGTCACTGGTGGCTGGCTGGTCGTGCTCACAGTGGTTGTGGCAGTGATCGTGCTGACCGGGGATGTGGTAGTGGCCGTTGTGGTAACCGTTGTGGAGGTGGCACCTGCGACGGTGCTAGCAACGGTACTGGCTACTGTACTGGCCACTGTTGACTGGGTCGAGACAGAGGTTGAGGCCACGGTCGATTGGGTCACGGCGGACGATGTGTAGGTCGTGCTGGCCACGGTCGATTGGGTGGTCACTGTAGTTGAGGCACTGCTACTGGAAGTGACAGTGGATTGCGAAGCACAATATGGCGAGCCATATGTATCTTTGGAGCACAGGTATCCAACGGGACACCTCTTAAAGACACACTTGTCAATACACTTAGGCGGTAGGTTGGGTGAGGGTTGGCAACAGATCGAACCAAATGAGCATCTCATGCTACATTCTTCAGCTCCTGTGATTAGGGAGAAAAAAAAAAAAAAAACAAAAGTTAATTGTTGTTTCAAAATATATTAGAAATTGATTGAGGATGGATGAATTATTACATACCAGCAATTGAAAAGAGCATGAGGAGTAACATGATTCCCACAAAGTAGGTGTTGCCATAGTTTTTAACTAGGCGATTGAATACCATTTGAAAACAGTTATTCTTTGGTGTTGTGGTTGTAGTTGTTAGATAAAATTTAATATCCTTTTGTTTAACAATTATATAAATAATCTAATATAAGTACTACTATTATTATTATTATTATTATTATTATTATATTATAAAGATGATTTAATTGTAAGCTTCCGGAATGAAAATTTATAACTTCCATATGCGATCCTCCTCTATACCTCTCCTATCATCCGTCCTCCTTCCCTACGATCCATCCATCCTTCAATCAGTAGTCTGTACACAATACAACATTGCGAATATTCATATTAGTTAATTAATGGGTGTAGGAATTGTAGGGAGGGTGCTAATTTGGTGGGGGCAATTCGTTTAAAATATGTATGATCACCACATTGAGGGTGGTCAATATTAATTTTTCTTTCTGTCTTCTAATGAACACGAGTTTGCATTGATACAGAAGGTATTGTTGAGATTAAACACTAAATCTCCCTTGTAAAAAAATTCATCCAACAGGTACCCAATTGGGTGCATCATGGTCATCAAAATGCTTGAAAAAGTCTCATAGTGAGTGGGTGGGAATGATTGGTTTGATTGAGTGTGAGTTGATTGGGGGAAGCTCACTACACATTGGAGAGATAGAGTAGGAGGTAATGAACGAATGAAAGAAAGAAAATATTTGTATGATCACAAATTGTACTTGGCGTAGATGTTGTGTGTTCATCACTCTCTCACTCACTTTGAAATCAAAATAAACTGTGACTGACTGGTCTATGGATCATACCTCCCTCCCCTAGGTAAATCATTGACTGCCTAAAATCTTGAATGAATGATTGAGTGGGTTAATAAGATGATTGAAGTGTGAGATGAGTAGTGAGCACCCAATCTTATTAATATGAGCAACTGTATAGTTTGAAGTTGAGTGATCACACATACCTACCTGGCATTACATTAACTAATATAATATAATATAATAATATTATGACAATTCCCCTCAGGAAGATGATTGTTAATTGGACATGTCTAGATGGTGTAAGGATTCAGGAGGCAGTAAAACCTTTGATCGATCTAGAGCATAGATAGCTCGAGCAACATGTTTGATTGACACCTCACAACAATGTGAGTCATCTTCAACGACAAAAAAAAAAAAAGGCTTCAGAAGAATACCATCACATTGACCAGGCGAATAATAATCAACACACACTTCGCAAGTGATGATGACAACTGGTGTTTGATCGAGGCTGGACACGGCCCGCCGATGCTGGTCCAAAATGTCCATAAAAGTTGAACAAAACCGAATTAATTAGAGCCCAAAAACTTTTTTGCACTGAATTGGAATGCCGTTCCGCTTCCATGTGAATTTTTATCCATGTTGAAGAATGGTTCTGTTCTGGTGTGTGTTCTTTCGTGTGTTGAGTTTGTGAATGGATGGATGAAATTGTTCATCGTGCCAGAGAATGAGAGCATGTTAGAGTGTGTGTATATGTGTGTGTATGAAGGTGTGTGCGTGAGAATTAATGAATGAAGAGAGAGAGTTAGAGAGTGTTGAAGAATCATAATAAGAAGAAGAAAGAAAAGAAAGTCAAGTCCGTGCGTGCAACAACAACAACACGTCCGTGTCCAACTTAGTTTTGTCGCAACAAACATAACAACCTTCCCTTCTACTGCTGCACCTTCCACTTCCATCCAATCCATCACATCCCATTCAACTATAATCGTTATTATCACTCTATACCTTCTCCGACACAATATATCGAATATTATCAACATCAACAAACTAGCACAATAAGCTATCTAACTAACTAATTAGCAATAGCATCGCGCATTATCAAGAAAGCAATACCAGCATCAGTCAATCACACTTTACAGAAGATAGAAGAACCCTTTCTTGAACTTAACTTGAAAGAATAAGATCCAACAGAATAGCGCAACGTTGATCCAGAACACTCACAGACATAACTCAAAGACACTTTCAACGTTTATTCAACATCAACAACTACAACAACAACAACTACAGTTATTCAATATACTTAAGATTATATATATATAGTAAAGATATTGAATGGATAGAAGAAGAAGAAGGAAGCTATAATAGCAATCAACCAATCAATCAAACAATCAATCGATCATTCAAACAACAAGCAAACAATAATAATAATATCAACAACAACAACATATACAACACCAAGAAGGTCAATGATATAGAGATCACATCATTTATTGTACATTGACATCAATCAATCATTCAAACAAGTCGAGGTATGTTACCGGTAACTTGGCTACACACAACACCTCAGCACATCATTGACACATAAAGTGAATCAACCATTCATTCATTCATTCATCTTTCAATCAATCAAACATACAGATATATAACAGAGATAATACAAATACAAATGACAATCGATAACCTCAATGATCTTCCCAAGTTCGTCTTGGTGGAGATATTCAAGAACTTGAGACTAAAGACATGTAACAGCACAATGGGCAAGGACTCATTCTTTAATAACTATGGCAGCGACTCGGACGTTGTCACACAGGACAGCTACGCACGAATGGAGGACACCAAGGCCTTTGGTAGCCAAGTGTCGGCAAACGCCTCGCAGGCTGACTCGGCCAACGGCGCACAGCCGACCCAGACCGACTCGGACGGCTGCGTGCGTCCCAACTTCAAGAAGATGTCCCGGGAAGAGATACACAAGATGTGCAAATCATTCATGTCGTCCTATATGGACAACATCATCACTCTGTCACTGGTGTGCAAGCTGTGGGCCAAGCAGATCGTTCCTATCTCGTCGTGCCACGTGGTAAAGGTCGTCTCGCAGCGCCAGTTCTACACACTCTTCAAGTACATGACGCAGGGCATCGTTGAGGAGGGCGCCACGTGCCTCTTCTCCACGATCAAGTTCTTTTGCGGCTCCAACCAGCTCGTGCCCAAAGACTACCGCCTGCTGTACACGCAGTGCACGTCGGTGCGCAGTCTGTGCTTTGACAAGAACCAGTTGTCCTTCTGCGACATTGTCGTGCTGGCCGAGTTCATCAAGGAGTCTAAGAACATCACCGACATCAAGATCCCCAACAACTTCACACCACACTCGTTCAAGCTGTTCTGCGATGCGCTCAAGTACAACCAGTCGCTGGCCATCCTGGACATGTCGTCGACACCCATGACACTGGACTGCATAAACTCGCTAAAGGAGGCCCTAAAGGTGAACCGCACGCTCAGCTACCTGGACCTGTCATTCAATTCGATCGGCTCCAACGGCATCTACCTCGCCGAGATCCTGCGTACCAACAGCTCGCTCAAGAGCCTCTTCCTGATTGGCAACGAGCTGGACGACGAGTCGGTGTGCGCCTTTGCCGAGATCCTGCGCAACAAGAACCGCTCACTCACCGAGATCTCCCTGAGCGAGAATGCCTTTGACGACAGCGTTGGTGCCATGCTGGGCAACATCTTCAAGGACAACAGGACGCTCCGCTCACTGGACATCAGCGCCAATCAGCTGGGCGAGGAGACTGCAGCGTCGTTTGCCGAGTCCCTGGTGCAGTGCACCACGCTGACGTCGCTAAACATCAGCGAGTGTTCGCTTGCCAACGACGGTGGCATCAACCTATTCCAGACGTTGCAGAACAACACGAGCATCCGCCACCTCATCCTGTGGAGCTGCGACCTCAACCAAGACTCTCTCAAGGACGAGCTGGCCAGCTTCATCAAGAACAACCGCACGGTCACCACACTCTCGTTGGGCTACAACGACCTCACCTCGAACGACATAATCCCCATCATCAAGGACGGCCTCATCTACAACACAACACTGCAAGTGCTCTCGCTCAACAACAACCACATCGACTCGCAGGGCGGCATCGAGCTGGCTCGCTACCTCGAGACCAACACGTCGCTCCAGGAGCTGCTGCTGCTGGACAACCTGATAGAGAACGTGGGTGCCATCGCCTTTATCATCGCGCTGGTCAAGAACCACACGATCCAGAAGATGTGCCTCACCCAGAACAAGATCTGCCCCTACATCACGCCTTGCTACCGCCGCATCGTCGCCTACAATCGACCAGTGTGCGCATCGCAGAAGCAGCTGTGGATATCGGCCAAGTACCAACTGGTCATGAAGGAGCTGACGCCTCTCAAGGAGTACCTCGCCAAACCCTGCGCATTCTCCGAGATTCTCCGTATTCTCTTTGATTTACTCAATTGCTGTATGGGTTCGATCACGTCGGCCATCAACTGTCTGTCCTCCACAGTATGTTCGACGCCATGGCTAAGGATAACAGATAAGAAGTTATTATCATCACCAAGCAAAAGCAGCAGCAACAACAGTGGCAACAATAATGGTAACAACAACAATAATAATAATAATAATAGTGGCAACTAATGGAATCAACAATCGACATTTATCCATGGTATGGCCTTGTATATCACCAACAAATATCCATTAATCAATCCTATCAATCAAATCCCATCGACTCCGGAATAAACGACTTATATCACTCGCCAACTATATATCATAGTTTGGAACTTAATCATTCTCCTTCTTCCATTCTCCATTACTTCCTTCCATTCCTTTTGGGTTACTCTTGAATGGCTATGCAAACGAGCAAGCAAGGCTTTAATGATAGGAGCGATGATTGTGGAAACTACAATATTGTACAGAATGATTTCTTCTCGCCAGCAGGACTGTTGCCACCAGCATTGTTGTTTCCACTGCCGCTACTGCTGCCCCCACTACTGCTACCACCAGTGGCAGCGACTCCATTGCTTCCAGACAATGTCGGTGATGATCTATTTGGTGATTTGATTCTTAACTTGGTCCAGTTCTCCTCGGCGAACAACCTAAAGGTGGTGGAAGGATGGATGATGATGGTTGTGTGAGTCGTCGCATTCGCTCATTCATTCAATCAATCGCGGCCCATCGTGTCACATACTTTTCTCCTGCATTCTTGGCCACTAGTTGAAGCAGCTCGTCTACGCCTGCCCCGGTGGCTGCGCTGGTGTGCATCAGGGTGATACCCTTCTGGTTGGCAAACTCCTGGCCCTCGGCAACTGTGACGACTTGTGTCGATGCGGCCAGATCCGACTTTGTGGTGGCCAGTGCAATAAATAGTTTAGGATTGGCAGCCTTTGCATATCGCTCTATCTCCTGCCACCACGATGGCAGTCTCTCAAAAGATGACCTTGTCGATGGGTCGTACGTGAGTATAATCGCGTCTGTGTTTGTATATAGGCTCTTTGACAGCGTTCTAAATCGCTCCTGTCCTACAGTGTCGTGCTGTATCATATCATATATGGTATGTAAGTTAGTAAGTGAGTCCCATTCGTTCGATCGATCAATCAATCATTCATTCATTCATTGTCTATGAACTTACAAATCTAACTACTATCTGCTTCTTTCCAAGTTGTATCGTCTTTGATTTCTTATGAAGTGAGAAAGGAGTATGTTAGCTCTGACTGAATGACTAGTTCATCGAATGAATGAGCATTAACTTACCATTGTGTTGTTCAATGTAATGTTGGCTTGTTCAGCTGTGAGTAGTATATTGTCCTGTGGAATAGTAGTATCATGATATTAGTAACACTGTTATGTTCATTGCTTGTCGTCGACTTATAATAACGTACACATGTCCTCCACATCAATGTTGTCTTTCCAACATCTGGATCGCCCACCAACAACACTCTAATCAACATATCATTGCTTGTAGTTGTAGACATCTTTGTTTTTCTACTTTGTCGTTGTCGTTGCCGTTGTCGTCGTCTATCTTTATGTCTGTAGGTCTGTATATTACTCGGGTCTCAATATCACTCTCGATGTATATGTGTGTGTTTGTTTGAATGTGTATATATATGTCAATGTGATATATCTATCTGTCTTTCATTCTTTCATTCAAAGGTCCAACTCACACACAAACTCATGTGCCTCTTTGGCTTCAACCTCAGTTTCATTTTTGGGACTAGTGCTCCAAAGGGCGGGGTGAGTGACACACTACGACCAATAGTATCTGTACTTGTACAAGACGTGGACCAAGGACAATGACAATGACAATGTTGTTCAAGTATATCATTGTCAATGACAACAAATCCCAGAGTAATGGGAACGATTGTTTGATTGGATGGTATGAATTAAAGAATGAAAGAATGAATGATCGGATAGGGTGTTGAGGTGTTGATGGTCTAAAGGAAACGCGTTTAAGAAAGACACTACAACGGTGGTCCACAAGTCAAGGGTGGAGTCAATGATGACGCTAATGCCAACAATCTGCTAATGTATCCTTTACATCGGCACACATCCACAGACGACTACAACTTTGACACTGTGTGTCTAGTTAGTAGAGTGGTCACAGTTCAATCAATCAACCTATAATCACACATACACACACACACTCACATAACCAGTTAATCAAGAATGAACACACCAAAGGTGAAGATCTTAATAAATATAAACAATTGATTTTAATTAATTTGGTACCTTAGAAAGAACAGATCCCAGCACAAAACCACACCCCCCACAACAAGTGTTCAGCGCGCTTCACTACTTTCGTTTGGTTTGTGTTGACGACTGCCTCACACCTTAACAGAACTCACTTCTCTGCCTTGCCTGCCCACCCCCATTTACCAATCACTCATCATTTCTCAAACATAACAGACGACCAGTCACCCATCCACACACCCTCGCACACTTACATTTACATGAGCTTAGTTTGGGTCAGACTCTGAAACAAAAGGCGAGAGCATCTCATCATCATTATTCTCATCATCATCAATTAATATATAAATATTCTTACACGTATATAAAATATTATTGTTTATTATTATTATTATAATAATAATATATATAATATATTTATTACATTCACAGTTACAAATACAACTATGTAAGTATAAACAACAATATTTATATATATATATCCACATCTATCTATTGTTCGTCAGCAATAGCCAAAGCAGCAGTAGTCAGTAGTAGCAATAGCAATAGCAATAGCAACACAGCAGTTTGTGTAGTGCGAGTAGTAATAGTGGTGGTCCACTACCATTATAATGACTGCCTACCCGACAGATATCTTAGACATTCGATCACAAACCGGAATATTGAGATCATGTCCTGTCATCACCCAATCACCACTACCTTCTTCAAGTGGGATGGGATGATGATGATGACCCATCATCAACATAATCGTCGTCAACGTCAATCAATCAATCAATCAAATCAATCAAATTAATGTTACACACATACACTATCATACACATAATATATACATATATTATGGTTGGCGATGGAACGAATGGTTGATTCACATGTGGATCAGCCGCCAGATCATGTTGTGTGGGATATCTCCATTGTCAATGGCAACACACTCTCTTCCCCATCAATGTGACATACATTCATACCTGTGGTTGGTTGGTTGGTTGGCTCTACTCCTTGTACAGAGGTGTAATACAATACCATCTATAATGCAATGCAATGCAACCTTTTGCTTCGGCAAAAGACTATTGGAATGCAACTGTTGCGTGGGTTGTAAGCCTTTTGAATGAATGTTTGATTGGCCGTCTAATAACCAACCAACATCAGTGTGTGTGACATATGTCTGTTGCTATTGTTGAAGGTCTACAATCAGCCAACCAACCAAACCAACCAAACCAAACCAACCTCGCGAACATCAACTTCATCCATCCAATCAGCAGATGTGCTTTACATGAAGAACCGTCCCACACGGAGACGACTCGTCAAACCTTATCGACTTGATCTCCAACTTTCGTATTACATCACAGTGTGATCGATACAACCATCCACTCAACCCCTTGGCATCAACAACCCTTCACACACCCCATCACACTCGACTGATCACTCACACACACACACACACACTAATTATACACACACACTCACACTCTGTGATGGTGATATCTCGCAGTTATATTGGTTTATCTCTTTTATCATGTGATTGGCCTGCACTATCTGTTATTTTATCTCAATGTTATATATATTTATATTTATATATATATGTGTTATGTCTGGCAGACACCGGCCACCTCCGCCAGTCACCCGGTCATCCAATCCAGGGTTGACCGATCTGCCCCCATCCGCACTATCCCACTACCACTCTTCCCACTCCCTCTATCAATCAATCAATCAATCAATCAAACAATCAATCAATCAATTAATCAATCAATCAATCAATTCAAATGTCAAATAATCACATATGGGCGTGATCAGTCCAGCCAACATCACAGCAAGTCAGCTGCAGATGTATGTCTATTTCTCCATAATGTGACGTGTGAGTGTGTATGTTCGTTATAACCAGATTGGCTGATAGAGCGCGGCGTAGGCTGATCGTCTACCATTCCCACCCCACACGTGCAGCCGCCCAACATTCACCATCATTATATCAATCACCACCATCACGTGCCTGTCGCCAATGTACATCCATCCATCATTCCTTCCTTCCTTCTTGTTCTGTCCTACATGCCAAGCAGGCAGGCAGGCAGGCAAGCCATCGATGATCATCATCCTGGAACATTTAAATACCATCTCAAAATTCTGGATTCAGTTGTTGTTGTTGTTGTTGTCCTCTCCTTCTCTTGTCGCACTCTCCCGCAAGAGTCTAGATCTTCCAACTGCTACTACTACTACTACTATTGCTACTACTACTACTGTTGCTACTGCTGCTGCGTTGCGCCTCTCTTATCCACCCCCCGCACCCGCACAATACCATCATCACCCCCGCACGATCAGCTTCACAATCAATCAATCAATCAATCAATCAATCAATCAACAATAACAATATAATATATAATATAATATATAATATTATATCACAGACAACCTCACCTCACTTCATCTCAGCTCAGCTCAGCTCAGCTCACATCACCCCTGCCAGTCCAGCCGCCACCTAACCTAAAAGAGTTAATAATTAATTTATTATCTCTGCCAGGTTGCCGACCAACCCGTCTACGACGAGCCAGTCAGTGTCAGTCAATCAATCAATCAATCAATCAGTCAGTCGACACATCATCATCCAACCCAAGGTCCCAGCACCACAGCTCATCACCTGATTCAGGCTTGTTGGAAACCAGCCTTGTCCAACCACTTTCATTCACACTTCACTTCAACTTCCACGCCATCATCCATCCAACCATCCATCCTTCCATTCTTCCATCATTTAATCATCCATCCATCCATCTGTTGTTGTTGTTGTTGTATTATTACCTTTTATATTATTATCATCATTATATCCATTATAACATTATAACATTATATCTAACATGTTGGTCCTTCCAAAGATTGAAGTCAAGGATATATTCCTGGTCTTTTATATATTACTTGTAATACCCAAGCTCATTGTCTTCCTGCTTGGATTAAAGAAGGTCAAGGTCATGTCCGTTCGCGAGCTATTCCCTTTCTTCAAATGGGTAAGTACATACATTAGGGCCAAGGCCAAGGGCCAAAGCCTCAAGGCCTCGCGCACACACACACGTCCTAACTCATTCATCATTGTAGGGATTCAACATTAGACGATCAAACTTCTTGGTACCTATACTGAGTAACAATATAATAGTGACTGGTGAGGAAGCCGTCAGCTTCGAGAAGCCCCTGCCAGAGCCATTGGACATTGCTTCGTTGAAGTTATGCCAGAACCAAAAGTTGCAACTGGAGCAAAAGCTGCAACAGCAGCAGCAACATCAAGCTTCAATGTGTGAGCGCGAGTTGAACTTGGAGGAGTTGATTCAGCGCAAGGAGGCCTCTCTTCAGGAGGCCATTGTCTCACAGCCTGTTGAGCAAAAGCATCAGGCTGCCACCATCGCCCCCGCACCTGCCAACACCATCGCAGAGTCCCAATCAGAACAATCAGAGCAGGCTGGCACGCCCAATAGGAATCTGTTGGCTTCACCTATTGTCGCGCCGGCTCCAGCCCCCGCCACACCCGTGCCCTCGCATTCAATCTCATCAATGGACGGCAAGCCACTGTTGTCCAGTCTCTCGAACGAGGAGATATTAGCCAAGACAGAGTGTGGCGACATTCCATTATACAAGCTTGAGGTCGAGCTGGGCGACTGCAGCCGTGCCGTCGAGATCCGACGTATGGCGCTCGAGAAGAAGCTGGACAAAACGATCGAGGAGATCCCACATCTGTCGTACGACTTTGCCAAGGTGCTGGGCGCCTGCTGCGAGAACGTCATTGGCTACGTGCCCATCCCCGTCGGCACTGCCGGCCCACTGCTGCTCAACAACGAGGAGGTGACCATCCCAATGGCCACCACCGAGGGCTGCCTCGTGGCCAGCACACACCGTGGCTGTCGTGCCATTTCAGAGTCGGGCGGCGCTCGCGCCGTCATCCTCTCGCGTGGTATGACGCGTGCACCAGTCGTGCGCTTCCCATCGATTGACCACATGACCGACTTCACCATGTGGCTCAAGGAACCACAGAACTACGAGATCGTCAAGAAGGAGTTTGACAGCACCAGTCGCTTTGCCCGACTCACTGGCCTCAAGATTACCGTTGCCGGTCGATCAGTGCATCTGCGCTTCAAGTGTGACACTGGTGACGCCATGGGCATGAACATGGTGACCAAAGGTGTCGAGGCTGCTCTCAACATGCTCAAGATTCGCTTTAACCTGATGGAGATTATAAGGTATGTCTAGCTGGCCGATGGCGGCCCGTCATGCACCTACATCACACTCATACTCATACTAACTTGACCAATCAAACATAGTCTCTCAGGAAACATGTGTACAGACAAGAAACCATCATCAATGAATTGGATCGATGGTAGAGGAAGAACGGTGGTCGCAGAGGCAGTGATCAGTGGCGACATTATAAAGAGGGTGCTAAAGACGAGCGTGAGCGCATTGGTCGACCTCAACATATCAAAGAACTTGGTGGGCTCGGCCATGACCGGCTCGATCGGAGGCTTCAACGCACATGCCTCCAACATTGTCACAGCGGTCTTTTTGGCCACAGGCCAGGACTGCGCGCAGAACGTCGAGTCGTCCAACTGTATCACCTTGATGGAGTCCTGCAACGATGGCCAGGATCTGTACATCACCGTCACGATGCCCTCGATCGAGGTGGGCACCGTGGGTGGCGGCACCTTCCTGCCGGCACAGTCTGCCTGTCTGAACATCATTGGCGTCAAGGGATCCAAGCCCGGCAAGCCAGGCCACAACGCCGACCAACTGGCCAAAACAGTGTGTGCTGCCGTCATGGCTGGCGAGCTGAGTCTAATGTCCGCCCTGTCGGCAGGACACTTGATGAAGTCTCACCTACAGTTGAACCGAAAGACCAGCTCCATCTGTCTGACAGGACAGAAGTAGTCGTCTTCCATCACCTCCAATAATATAGTATATTTATGTTACCCTGTATCCCATCTCTGTCTCATTCATTAATGCATTCTGAGTTCAATGTAGTCATTCAATCAATCATTTCATTCATTCAATCTAAAAGGCGTTGGTGATTGGAATGGTGCCTGCTTGTTGTTCCATGTCCTGTCTCGTGATGGTCTGGTTTGGCGGGAGATTGGCACTTTGTTGGGTGACGCGCCAACACCTCCCTTGGGACAACTCAACAGGTCGAAGCTCCACTTCTTGATGGTTGAATCCAACGATCCGCTGATGATCTTCTTATGGTCAAACTGTAGACTGACAACCGATCCAGTATGGCCGCGCAGAGTGTTGACCGGATGCTCCAAATTGTCCATGTTCCATACCTTGATAGTCTTGTCACTGGAGCCGGTAACCATTCTATTACCCTTGATCCTTAGCACGCGTATCGCTTCGTTATGTCCTTGAACAACATTGATACATTGTCCATTGCGAACATCGTACACTCGCACTACCTTGTCGTCACCGCCCGCCACGATAAGGTTGCCCTTGAATGCCACGCTGTTGATACAGCCAGTGTTGCCAGACAATGACATCCTTGCGCCATTATGATGAGACGATCTAATGTCCCATAGCTTGACGGTTCGGTCTGCTGAGCCTGACACGACAAAGTGGTTACCGCTGCTGCCTCTCGTGAGACACAGCACAACATCATGATGCTTGCCAATGTTGCAAGACTTTTGGGTCTCGATGTCCCATCTTTTGACAAAGTAGTCGCTGCTGCCACTATACACGGTCCTCAGATCCTTGTCGGCGTCAATCGTCCACACCGTTCCCTTGTGCCCAATCAATCTTGTTGATGGCTGTATCGGTTTGCTCTTGATCGTCGCAGAGTAACTGGAAGGACTGTTCTCGCCGACGACATAGTGATGATTGTTGGCAAGTTTGGCATTGGTCTGGCTCAGGTTGGTGACATGTATGCATGCATCTTGGCTGGCACTCATACTGATTAGCTCGTGGGATGCACTCGACTGCTCGAGCAGCACCTTCCAGACCCAACCTTGATGTCCGGCGATGCTGCCCACTTTGATCATGTTCTTGCGATCCCAAATCCTGACATTCTTCTCGAATGATCCCGTCAACAGTATATGCTCTTTGAATGCTAATGTGAACACGCCACAGTTGTGTCCATCTTCCGTCGACACCTGGTATCTGCCCTGTTTCCAATTGCGCTCGACTTCAAATTGTTTGCGAAATTGTGTTCTCCAACTCTTTGTTGAATTACAATTCCAGGACTTTGACATCTTCTTGGATCGCGTTGATAATGACAAGTTGAAGTGAGACATGAATAAATGTCTCCAGATATTATTCTGATTAACTATTATTTGTATAAATTTACATGTTGATTGTAATGATAATATATCTTTTAATTGTAATAATGATATTATATTACTTAATACTTCATTTGGTAATGATGCAATATGATATTGAAATAATTGTGATTGATTAAAGTAATAATTTATATTACTATAATGGAATTTATAAGGTGATGGTGTATTTGTATCCCTTTGTAACATATCTTGTTTGATTTTATTATAATAATAATAAATAAAATTTATGTGATTGATCTTGAAATTGAACTTTGATATTATTGCAATTGTTGTTGAGGCCAGAGGCTTGGAATTAACATCACTCACGTATCCAAGTGATTGACATACAAAAGATATATACACTTAATACTTTGATGAGTTGATGGCAGTATAAAAGAGTGAGTGAACTATTGGGAACTTGAACATGCTTAATAGTGTGGGTCAATGAATCAAAGTCCAATGTTGATTGGCAATGTCAACCTAGCATAATAAGTAACAAGGGTATCCAGGTCAGGTATCAATCTTATTTAAGTATATATTCACTCACACCAATCTCACATCTAAAACACATATATCCAACTTCCAACCAAAGGTACACACAATCAATTTGTGTCAGCTGACACTCACTAGTTATAGAAGTAGTAGTAATGAGGCCTTGTTGGATCGATGGATGGATGAATGGAAGCAGATTGGTGTGGTGAGTTACTTGGGGGTAACCCTAGGGTTCACTGCCTTTTGAAGGAGAAGGCACTCAGAGTCAACACTTCACAAGTGCACTTCCTTTTTGAATTCAAACAGTTACTTTCGCACATTCACACACTCATCCACACAAAGAGATAGATAGAGCATTGACTTGACTTGACTTGGGCGATCATATTGTATGATGGATGGTGATGCCCCGGCTCAGTTCCATGCCCTGATACAACTTGTACTCAATGCGTGTAAGGATCACATAAAGGCATCCACAGAGACGCCAGATGATCACAGTAACATTCACAGTCAAAGTCACAGTCACCCTGTTGTAACAAGGATCGAATCATGTATGATTGCTTGTTGCTCAACAAGTTCAAGTTCAAGCTCAAGCTCAGGCTCACTAGACTTGGACACTCTTATACAATATGTGATTGACTACATGTTGATGTCACCGGCAACGTCTTTGGAGGGTCCTAGAGTTGTCTCACTCAAACACTCGATACTCATCAACTGGTTGGATTGGTTAGCATCAATGGTGTTGGGACATAGACAACTATTGCCAAAGACAGTCGAGTCTATTGTTAGGCTAAGACAACATCCACATTTACAGTCAATCGCCAACGACAATGCAGGTTATGTTGTATTGCAATCAATACTTGGACGTGTTGATGTCTTGTGTGCCTCAGATGGTCAACAAAGAGTGCACTTTGAACGTTCCAATGGTGGTGACAAGTTATCAAAGATGGCAACACAACTCAATAGACATTGTATACCTTTCAATCAAGAGTTGCTCAAATCAATGACATTCCGTGACCACGTGGCCATCGTGTCACCAGTGAACCGTACCGAACTCCCCAAGCCCAAAGATTCAATCATGGTTGACCTCGACAGTGTACCCTCACGTAATGTTGTCGACTTGGAAATGGACGAGCAGGATCAAGATGATAATCCAGCACTTCAGAACTGGGATCACTTGTTCCAAAGTCTAGTGCCACTCGCTGAGGTCAATGACAACTTGAGGAGGGACTCCTCCAACAAGGACTACTCATTCATTCATTATAATGTACTTGATCTGGATGATGACAATGACACATCGTTTGACAATCCCTTGCAACAACAACAGCAACAACCATATCCTGGAGTTGAAAGACAGACTTCATTCTCTGCCTCTGCATCTTCACAAGACCCACACGAAACATCGACATCTGGAATGATCACTACAAAGAGACTGTTGAATGAAGAGATCGATGCATTAATAATGATCAAGGACTCGCTGGTGGCCAATCCCATACACACGACCGGCATCAAGAAGAACATCAACTCGCTACTTGGCATCACTGATGTGGAGTCTGCCATCCGACTCATGGAGATCAACGAGCTCGAGGAGCAGGCACTCACATACTTTATCAATGAGCTGGTGTCGTTGGACCTCAGCTACATCATCGTCTCGGTCTACTTCAGGTTATCGCTCCTTCCACGCGTCCTCACCGCCCAATCAAACTTATCGCGTGACCTCTACACATGTCTAAAGACATGCTTCATCCGCCATCATACATCATTCATCAATGCCGTACTGATGCCACTGTTTGCAGACAAACACAACACACAACAACTCAACGCAGCTCAGACTGATCTAGTCAACAAGCTGCTCAAGGATCAGGATACGCCCACCGAGGTCAAGATGAGCTTCATCCAAAAGTTTGTAATCACGCTGCGCACCGAACATCCATCACCATTGAATGACAACATTATCCAAGTGATGCAGACCGTACTAAATCTCAAACTACAACTGGACGACACACTTTGTGGCAATCTATTGGAGACCATCTCACAACATAGCAAGGCATGTTCAAAGAACATGAAGTTTGATGCTCTGATGATGTCACTCATGTCATTCTATTCCAAACAAGTAATGTATTCCTTGATTGTTTGATTGAATCAATGAGCGAATGATACTAACACTCACGCAGTGCAAGTCCCAGATACCTCTGATCCAAAAGATATTGAGTGATATGAGTACACCTATGACCAAGCCAAATCTTGCCACCTTGGAGAAGCTCAAGTCCGCTGTCTAGATGAACCTCTTGTCCAAGGCCCAAGGCCTATTCTTAGTAGTCGTACATGTATATATATAAATTATGTGCTAATCTATATCTTTACAACTTTCTTTATTTTCAACATTCTTTTTGGACTCAATCATTCAAGTTAATTGACTGTATTGATATATAAATATATATTTATACTTAAATATCATATTTGAATTGATAATCAATCCAATATAGCTATGAACAACAACTCTATCTCAAAGAATGAGACATCATTGACATCTCTAGAAAATGATGATTATATTGACCAGAAATCATTCGAAGCAACTTTGGAAAGACTAGTCAAGAAAGGAATACTAACCAGTGACACTCAACATGTCTGTTATGAGGCGGCATTCAGAATGAACTTTCCAGGAGCCGAAGCATCTATCCAGCGTACACAGCAGCTACCCTTCAACCAACATAGTCTCACCAACGACTACACTGAATGAGTGAGATGGAAGACGACATGACACTTTGTATGATCTGATTGAATGAACGAATGAATGAATGAATCAATGAATGAATAAATGAGCATTGTTAGGGGACTATAGACTTTATCTTTTGGGAGCTGATGAATCCACATGTTGGAAGACGATCAAACAGTGTGCCTTGACATCTGAGGAAGAGTGTGTCGGCGATACGGTATAGATCCAAGCTGAATGAGGTATAATTCAGATGTATGCGTGTGAGTGTGAGGGTCGCCAAGTACAATGGAGTATGTCTCATTAGGTTGTGATTATTAATCCTCAATATAAGCGATCGCAGTGTTGTAGGCAGTTGATTGGGGTATGGCCACTTCTTGACATCGCCCAATGTGAGCGAGGTCAACGTCGATGGGAAATGATCGACCTCAAACTGATGATGATAATAATTCAAAGTGAGTGATCGCAGTCGTGGAGGCAGAATTCCTGGTGCCAGTCTAAAGTTGGGGTCATTGCCATTGACTTCCAATGTGTCCAAACCTTGGGGGAATGCCGAATAGTATCCATTTGTGGAAATGGTCAGCTCGTGCAATGATGCTGGCAGTGTGGAGAGGTCGAGTGGAATATATTTGTTGACACCAATCCTGAGGCTTGTAACAATGTGGAGCGTTTGGAGGGTGGGGAAGTTGGCTGTAATGATTTGTGCTGCATCGGCAAACTTCGTGGACAGGTTGGTCAGTGCCTGGCACACCAGTCCCGGCATGAGCTCCAAGATTGCATCGTAGCGTAGTGTGCGCCAATGTTGAGCGCATGAACCAAGTTGATGATCGTATAGTTCGTTCAGGCGCACCCTGGTAATGGATACGGGTAGGTTGGCGGGCGTGAGTGGCTGGTTGAAACTAAATCCAAAGTTTACACGCTCCAATGTCTCGGGGAAGGTGCCGTCTGCTATCGGTTGATTAAATCCATCGCCAAATTTTAACCGCTTAAGTCCTTTTGGCAGTGTCCCTGGCACGATCGGTAGGTTCCATTCATTTGACCAAATGGTGAGTGATGTAAGACTGTCTGGCAGGCCCTCCAATGGGCCAAACTCTCCATTGATCACTAGTTTGGTCAATGTGAGAGGGTAGAAGATGGGGTCTGGCAGCTCATCGCTCGGGCTTGAGTTTATGATCAATGTTGTCAATGGTACATTATACAATGAGAATGAGAGCCATTGTTCCATTCCAAACTCCAATTCCACAGATCGATCATACATCACTGCCATGAAGTCCTTGATCCCATCCCAAAATGCTGGGCCAAACTCATGTCCACCGGTCTCTTCCTCAAAAATGATGGCTGTAACATTGTTTGCACTCAACATTATCTCTGTCCATCTCTCTATAGTGTAAGGCTTACCCTCATACACTGTTTGATTGTGATCGATTGATTGATTGTGTTAGTGAACAGGCTCAATCATTCGACTTGATCAAACATACATACATACAGACATCATTAGAACTTATTGTTTGTGGAAATGATGATAAGATTGCAGCATGGTTGATCCTGGTGTTGTTAAGTTGATCGAGTATTATATCGCGGTAGGACTTTAGATTGATGATCTCATCATGATATGCTTGGTATCTCGATCGCGTAGCTGTGTGGAATCTGAGATAACTATGTCTACAATCAAACAAATGACGACACACCAGTGTCAACCTCAGTCGATCAGAATCATGCTCCAAGAATGACACTATATGTCTTAGTAATGTATACTGAAGTATCTCCATTGTATATATTACATGTATCATTGAATGTTTGAATAAATCTCAACTTGATCAAGTGGAAGACGCAGCACAATTCTCGAGAGTTTCGAAACTCTCGCTGGACGAGTATTGCGCGATACCTTTGTCAGAACATCACTCTTGTGATTATTTATACTTGTATTGGATTGTATACAATCTTATTGAACAGATGTGCTCGAGATATATTGTCATTGGCATTGACAAAGTGCAGCATCCCTAACATCTCATTTGAAGATAATACCAAGTCAACATCATCATCTTAGATCTCAACAACAGCAACAACAACAATGTATTAACATTATAGATGGTCGTCTCCTCTTTAGTAGAGAGTACAGTAGTAGTAGTAGTGGTAGAGGCAGAAGTAGTAGTATTAGAATATAAGTACAAAGACACAGAGTGAGATGGCACCTATACCAACCTTAACAGGTGCATCAAGTTCAATGATTGTTGGTGGATGTACGCTGGCTTGGAGACAAGTTCATCCATCTATTGACGAATGGAATTAGGGCCAGGGTCCACACCACACGAGGCCTTGACTCACACATACTTTGGTTTGTGTGGAAAACGAACGAAAGACCAAAAGACGAATAACATCAACCATTGTTGTTTTGTTCGCTCACTCATTAATTTACATCATATAATATTAAACGATGAGTTCAAAGAAAGTACCTATATATACGATTGAGGAGATCGTTCCAGCTCAGCAGATGGGCGCTGAGAAGTTGGAGAAGTACTTGTCGGGCATATGGGCAAAGGTGCAGGAGAATGGAAAGTTGGTGATGCTGACGAGGTCGTCGGTGCAGAAGCTCATGGCGCAGCAGTTGGTCTCGCTGAATGGTCGTGTGATCAAAGAAAAGACGGCCAAGGTGCAGGCCAAGGACGTGATCCAACTCAAGCTGTTCTCGATCGACAACTTCAAAGTGCAAGAGAGCGAGGAGCAACGCGTGTCCAAACAACAGATGAAACAACAACCGCGCCAAGCCCAAGCCATGACCCAGGCGCAGAGGCAGCAACAGAGTCAGAATAGTCAACAACAGAGTCAACTACAAAATAGCCAACATCAACATCTGGGCGATGAGCTTGTGGCCACAGAGATGAAGTTGGACGTGCTGTTTGAGGATGAGTGGCTGGCCGTGATCAACAAGCCCGCCGGACTGATTGTTCATCCTACCCCCGCAGGTCTAAACTCAATCAATGACGATAATCAAACGAATACGCTGGTCAATGGTTTGCTGCACCGTTACGGCAGGGATGGCTTGTCGTGGGTCGGAGGTGCCGACCGCCCAGGCATCGTGCACCGTCTCGACAAGGACACTGCCGGCATCTTGATCATTGCTAAGGACGACAAGACGCACAACCTGCTCAAGGAGATGCTGCAGGAGCACACTGAGGACTCGATTACCGGCGGCGATGACAAGGGCATGGGCAAACTCTCGGCCACTCCATCAAGGATACAGAAGAGGTACTGCTGTGTCGTGGCGGGTCGCCCCAAGAAGGCACGCGGACTCATCGCCTGGAAAATCGCCAGACATCCACAGGACAAGAACAAGATGGTGATCGATCAGGAGAAGGGCAAGGCGTCGCTCACCGAGTACAAGGTGATCAAGGAGTGGAAGAACATCGAGCTCGAGGTTGGCACGAAGAAGGTCAGTGCGAGTGGCAGCAACAAAGTGGACGAGTACGACAGCATTATCAGCAACATGTCATCATCATCAAAGAACAAGAGCAAGGCATCAAAGAATGCGCCAAAGAGTCGGTTCAACGCTCTATCCATTGATAGCGATGAAGAGGACTCGGAGGAGGACAAAGAGGACAGTGAAGGCGAGGACTCGGACGAGCATGAGGACTCTGACGCAGACTCGGAGGATGAAGTAGTTCAAGAACAAGCAAAGGCAGAGGAAGAGGAGGAGGAACATGTTACATACAAGAAGAAGAAGATTGGAAGTGGAGTGTATTCATTGTTAGACATTACTTTGCACACGGGCAGGACACATCAGATTCGTATACATACGATGGCTGAGATGGTGCCAATTGTTGGAGACCCAATCTACTCTGGCAAGTCCAAGCAGTACAACCTACCATACCTCTTGTTGGCCTCTGTCTACCTCACCTTTGAGCATCCCATCAGCAAGAAGAAGATGGAGTTCACCATCCCCTATCCTCAGCATATCCAACAATTTATCGATCAACTGGACCTTGAGGCCCAGCGCATGAACAATGATGTCTCGTCCACATCATCGTCAACATCCGAGTCAACAACAACATCGACAACAACATCAACAACATCATCGACAACATCATCAATGAAGAAGAAGAAGAATTCACAATTAGACGATGAGATGTTGATGGACTCGATGCTCATGAGAGATAATAACACAAAGTCAACTTCTCGTAATAAAAGGAAGTAGTAGAGGTTTCAGATCTCATTCATCGAAAATAGGCCTAACTGGGAATGTTGTGATCTTCTCCATCACCCCCACCACACCATGGATACATGCAAGGACAAAGAACAAACGAACGGATTGAACTGTTAACCCCTTCTACATCCATACACACACTCACACACACATGCTACCTCTATTAGTTGTACACACAGACACACACTCTCTATTACGATTCGTATCACATACTACCGCTCACACACACTTCTACAACCTCTCAAACAAACATCTTGACACAAAGAGCAACAACAACAACAATGTGACACACTAACTAACTAACCCAGGATTCTATCTCTCATTCCTCCACTTCTACTCAATTGTTTGAGTATACAAAGAGATAAATAGACAGATAGATAGATACATATTTAATCGTAGAAAATAATTCAATTATTAATAAATATATATATATATATAGAAACAATCAATAATGGATAGATATTTGATTGATGAATCCAAACTCCAGATGGAGGAGTTGGAGTTCTCCAAAGGATCATTCTCAAAGGTTTATAAAGGATGTTATAATGGACGATCAGTTTGTGTAAAGGTGATAAAGAAGGATATGATCGATCCAGAACTATTAGTATTCATAGATAGAGAAGTTGATATATTACAGTATGTATAATAATTGTTATTAAGGGAATAAATGATTGTATGATCAAACACTAACAAACAACAACAATATTATTACAGAGATTTACTGGATCATGAACATAGAAATATTGTACAGTTTATTGGTGTTGGAGGAAGAGAACAATTGTTATTCTTGGTTACAGAGTTGATTAGTGGTGGAGACTTGGGAACATTATTGTATGATTCAACAGCTATTAAAATACCATGGTCACTCAAACTCAACCTAGCCAAAGATATTGCAGAGGGCATGGTATACCTGCACTCAAAGAACATAATGCACAGAGACCTGAAATCAAACAATCTATTGATTGGTGATGATTGGTCTGTTAAAAGTAGGTCGTCTATCCATCACAAAGAAATACATTCATTGTACTAATTCCCAAACAATCAAATAGTATGCGACTTTGGATTCGCCAAGATTATAGCTCCACATACAATGACCACAACAATATGTGGAACTGATGAATGGATGTCCCCAGAGGTGATACTTGGAATGTCCTACAACTTTAGCGCAGATATTTATAGGTATGTAGTGGAAGTTGTGCCCTCCAAAGTCAACGAATGAATGATTTCTAACATTTAGATCAAACTACATTCAGTTATGGTATGGTGTTGATAGAGTTGATAACACAGTGTAGATTACAAGAGCGTTTACCACAGAATAGTTTTGATATTGATGAGGAGCAACTCAACGAGATACTGCCATCCGATTGTCCAGAGGAGTTTTGGAAGTTGGCAAAAGAGTGTTGTTCATATACCCCCGAGGACAGACCGGACTTTAGTGCCATTGTACAGAAACTTGAGGATATTATTGCCAAGTATGGCGACGACCGATCAGACTACCCTCCACCACCAGTGGTTGCGCCTGCACCGGACTTTGAAGACGACAACTCGCTACAGAACTGGTGTCTACTCTCCAATCTGCCTGATGATGTTCTGGAAGATCAAGATCAGGATGTTAGCGATGACAATAAGGTTGATGTTGATGACAACAAGGCCACAACCACATCAACTTGGAGTTGTTCGATTATGTAGTTAGTAAATATCGCTTTGATTTATCATTTTATTCCAAAAGGAAGAAGAAACTCTTGGGCAGCTATAGGATTATTCCGAATTTGTTAGTTAGTTACTTTGACGTCCATCAATCCACTCTGGATAAGAGGATTAATACTTTAAAACATGAAGTGTCATTCAAGTAAACAATCATGACATAACTTCTACTCTACACACATCAGCCAGTAAGTACTGTTGGTAATTACACCAACACATGATGGTTGGTGTTAGGCATGGGGTTGTGTGTTCTTTCAAGTGTTCAAGGTGAAGTCAACACAACTGCGCACCATTCACCCTCATCCACTCTTGCTTGATTATGTGTACGTAAGTGTGTTAGATTGAAGTGATCATGTGATTGATTGATTGATAGGTTGGGGATAGTTGGATAAAGACATGTATAAGTTCTTCCCCTGACAACCATTAAACATTATAATTACTTAATATTGATTCATAGATAGATCGAAATTTATCTAGATGGAGGAACATGTATATCAAATAATACTATTGGCAAGTGGAGGAGTTGGGTATGTATAACCTAAAGATATTTATGTCGATCCCATTCTAACTAGTAATCACATACCCAGAAAATCAGCACTGTCTAATCAATTTGTAAAGGATATATTTATTGAAGAATATGACCCAACAACAGAGGACTGTTATAGCAAGAAATGTGTAGTTAATGGACATAGTTACAATCTCAATATCACAGATCCCTCTGGTGAGAACTATTATTGTCTCTCCAAATCATATATGTTACGAGGAGAGGCCTTTGTCATTATGTACTCAATCACAGAGAGATATACATTTGAGTTGATACCATCAATAGTAGACTCAATGCGTAGAATTAGGGGCACCGACAAGACTCCAATCGTACTGGTTGGCAATAAGATTGACTTGGAATCACAAAGAAAGGTTGACTATCGGGAGGGTGAGGAGTTGGCCCGGAGATTGAAGTGTCCATTTCTGGAAACATCATCCAAACACAAAGTTAATGTTGACAATGTCTTTTACAAATTGATTGGAGAGATGGTCAGTTTACAAGCTAAGGAAGTACCTACAACATCCAGTACCAAGAGGAGCTCCTCATCTATTTCTCCTCTAAAAGGTTTATTTACTCTATCCCCTAATTTTAAATCAAAGTTCAAGAGAGCTGTCTCTACACATTAATAAATGTATTTATATTAATATGTACTTTGGCTATTGCTTTGGTACTTTAGAAATATACTTTGGCAATGTACTTTGGGTCTGATAGGATTACTTAAGCGTCACCATATTATGTGGAAATTACTTTGGAACTTAACAAAGTATACTTTGTCAATTACCTATGTATGTATAAATTTACCAAATCTATCCATATCAGATCTTTCCTGTTATTGAATATTAAATGAACAGTCTCCATGTTTGTAACTACACAATATAAACATGTTTGTTTATTCGTACGATGAATAAATACAATTACAATCCATTGTCAATGTAAATTAGTAAACTGGAAGTAGGCTGGAACTAACATTGAATGGAAAATATAAAAAATATATAATAATAATAATTAAGGTTTACAGAATGTACAAGGTGTTGAAGTGGAAGCCGAGAGTGAGAGAGCGCCAGTGAACGGGTCCACAAACACAGGATGTGCAATTAGACCTTCTCGGTCGGCCTGATCCTGGTGTTGGTATCGGCTTTGATCCTTCTCAGGAATGAGCTGATGGTTGACTCTTCGTCTATCTTTTGCTGACCGAAATGCTGGATCACCGCCTTGACCAGTTCCTTGCGGCTGGGCTGATGTGACACCTTGAGCCTGTGGATGGCGTTGTAGCGCTTCAAGGACTTGTACTCCAATAGCTGTAGCTTAACAACGACAGTTGGTGCACCCGTGCTGATGCCCGAGCCGCTACTGTTAAGAGAGATGGATGACTGATTGGTGTTGTGAGAAGATGATGAGGTTGGTTTGAATGGCGAGTTACTGTTGGCGACGATGTTTACATTGTTGTGTTGGTTGATTGAGTTGTTGTTTGAGTTGTTGATGGTGTGGATGTTGTTGGAAAGGTTCATGATGGAGTCCAAGGTGTTCTGTAATTGTGAGTAATTTGATGATGATGATGATTGTTGTTGGAGTTGTTGATGTAGACTGTTGAATGTGTTGTTGTTGTTGTTATTATTATTGTTGCTGTGATAAATGTGTGGACCATTGGAGGATGGACTGGAGAGGAGTGATGTGGGAGAGGAGGATGGAGATGGAGTGGACTTGGCACTGCTGGGCGACGACGTAGAATGATGTGCTGGCGAGAGTGATTTCTTCTTTCTGGCCACTGCACCCTTCTTGTCGGATGGCGACTTGGACAAATGTTTCTCAAAGGCCTCGTAGTCAAAGTGCTCGTCGTCGTCCATCTTTAGGAAGTTCTTCCTCTCATAGGGGTAGAGGTACTTGAGATAGTGGATGCGCAGACGGAAGCCGGCGTCGGTCCTCTCGGGGTCCACGGCTAGATCCGTGGTGATCTGTCGCCAGAGTTTGTTCTCGATGACGGCCTCCAGGCCGCCACGGGTGATGACGCATGTGTACAGTTTGAAGAGATTCAGCTCCTTGTGATCAAAGATGGGGATCTTCTCGATGGGCGTGCCCCTATTGCTCATGAAGCCAAAGAGCGCGGTCATAAAGCGCTTCTCCTCCAGGTCGTCCACGTTGAGCGTGGGCGAGGGTGGTGGCATATGATGCTGTTGTTGTAATGGCGATGAGCTGCGTGCCGACATGCTACTGCTCATATGTGGCGAGAGCAAGCTTGGACTTGAAATTGGGCTGTGGCTGCTGTGGTTCATCATTTGTGTTTGCGTTTGAGTTTGCGTGTGCGTGTGATGTAGGGAGCGCGCGAGAGAGTCGAACCAGACTCTTTGATTTGGGAGGGGGACTTCTTGAATGTTGTTATTAATCCCGCTGCTGATGCTGCCTTTGATGTTGTTGCTTCTTCTGGAAATTATTTGTTATCTCTCTTTGACTTGTTGGAAATTATTTTTTCGCCAAACTAATTAATTAAATGATTGATTGAATGAATGTCAATAATTTGATCGACTTGTGATTGATTGATTGAATTAATTAAGACTGTTTAGGTTGTTGGGATGTAGATACGAATGATATAATTGAATGATTGGATGAATGAATGAATGAATGAGAGAGAGGAATGAACGAGCGATGAAGAAGTAGGGACGGATTGTTAAATGAATGAACCACCACTAAAAGCAGGAACTGATTGTTGTGTTCCTCAACAACAACTTCCTGCTTCTTTCTTCGCCTGGTGGGATGGGATGAGATGATGGTGATGTGGGGGGGATGGATGATGGCGAGCCACTCCACTCTCTACCCATAGGTGATGGTGGTTGGACGATAGAATGAATGAATGAAGAGAACCAAACGATCAATCAATCAAGTTGCAAGCAACTGCAACGTCGTCGTAGGAAGTAAGGGAAGTGAATGAAGGGGTGAGGGCAACTCACAAATTTACATCAAATTGAATACACGATGATGATGTTGTTGTTTAGGTTATTATTGTTGTGTTTGTGTTGTGTTATGAATGAATGAGTAAGTGTGGTACATGTA